GTATACTTTTCTTCTCTTTCTATTTTTACTTTTTATTTGTTCATTTTTTCTTTTTTTCATTGCCCGTACACAATCATCAAAAATCATAGAGTGGTTATTGTATTTTGCTTTTTTTAACGTCTCATTAATATTTTTTTTTCTAAAAATGTTTAATAAACGTACTGTAATATTCGAATTTCACCATCGTCCTTGCTTCCTTGAACAGTTTTCCACTCTTTCTAATTTTTGTGGGAACATTCTCTCAACTAAAGTGAAGTATTCCATTATGAAATAAAAACCAAACCTTGCAGGCGTACGAACGAAGTCGATTCTGCATCATAATGCATCTCACGTATGTGCTAAAATATGTTGATTATAATTATAATTAACCAGTAATCATACAGATTGTACGATATGATTTGGCTCAATTTCGTAGAAATCTTCAAGCGAATATTTTGTCTTCTGCTATGTTCCCTTGCACGTGTTGCTTGCGAGTTGGAAAGTGAGATAAAATATCTAAAAGATTGTATTTACTAAAGAAATGGATTTAAATTTACTCTGAATTGATCAATAAAGGAATTCTATCGGATAGAAATTTTTCTGCTGAAATCTCTTGATTATATTTATAATTAACCAGTAATATTACATATTGAATGAAAGAACTTGGCTGATTTTGAACAAATCTTTATTGGCAGATTTTTTTGCGGTTAAATTCTATTGCCTGTGTTGATTGTGAACTTGGCAGATGAAAAAGAAATATCTGAAAGTTCGTATTTATTAAGAAAAAAAAGTTGAAGCGTTAGTGCTTCCAGTGTATCCGTCGAGCATACTTCAGGAAATATCAATTGGTTGAGTCTAACTGTGCTAAATAAAAATAACAAAATATTTTGGGTGGTTCCCCGGAGTCGAACTCGCCGGAATAGAACTCGGCCCTAATAGAACTGGCCGCGATAGAACTCGGCCGCAATAAAACTCGGCCGCAATAGAACTCGGCGTAATAGAACTCGAAGTTGATAAAAGACATAATTAAACTCATTTTATTCGAGCGAAAGAAGTATATTCTATTATCAAAATGAATTGATTTGCCATTGCGATAATTTTTTTCAATAATATTTAAAAGTTCAGTTGGTGTTCAATCACGAAACAAATTAGAATATACAAATAGTCGAAGATAATAAATTTATAATTAAAACGAAAATCATGTTTTAGCATGAATTATTTCAGAAAGAACAAATCAACTAATATGTAGAGTGGACGAAAAAATAGAAAAGTTATTTTGAGCGTTTAAACAATAAAATATCTTTAAATATTTTTTGATTCAATTTTTTTTTGGTAAAGACCGATAAATAATTTTCCAGCTAAAAAATTGGTAATGAGAGGTCGGTAGTGAAAAATAAATATTTTCGGTAGAGAAAATTTGGTTGAGAAAAAACGATAATGAAGAATCATTATCCATTTCAAACAGTTTGCACGGCTATGTTATACTTGCGCGGTCGTCTGTTTATGTGCAGTATATAGTTATTTAAATTTATATTTAATTCAAATAATTTTTCTTGATTAGGTGACCAATTAAATAATAACCGGATATTACTACAAATTCCAAATTCATTTTTTTTTTCATTGGAGTAAACAACCTGGTGAAGTTGGAATGGTTTTTATTAGAAATATTCTCTAAAGTAAGGACAGTGTTTCAATCCGTATTCATGTTTCTGGATGCGAACTCAAGACCGCGAGTTTTATGATCTTCTGTGAGTTGCGGAGTCGGCATCCTTTTTTTTTCCAGCGATATTGGGAGGCTTTTTCACTGCAACTGCGCTAACAGACGAAAAATAGTTAAAAAATAGTTGAAAAATAGTGCAGACTTTGGATGAAAGAGGGATCTGTAACAGATCTATTTTCAAGTCTATTTTTCATCAGCGCTTCATCTATTTCTCAGCCTTTCTCTATCTATTTAGCATCTTGGATTCATCTATTTTTCATCCATTTTATGTCTTGTCTCTGTCCCTCGTTCTTGCATTTTTCATCAGTTTTCTATCTATTTCTCATCCATGATTCATCCTTTTTTTAACCCATTTTTGTCTACTTCTTGTCTCTTATTCATCTATTTTGCGTCTATTTTTCTTCTGGATGGTTTTTATGAAAAAACAACAGTAAACGGAAAACAACAAAATAAAAAAAAAAGAAAAATACAATAAATTGTTCAACATTAGAAATATCAAATTTCAATTAAATAGAAAAATGCTGATTGAAATATTCAGCGGCATCGGGCTTCAGTTTTTTGAGTTGGTGCTCTTTTCCAATTTTGATAGCCAAACTATGCGCCATAACTTTGCTAGCGTGGTGAGATCCTTTCTGATCGTTATAATTTGAACGAAGGCGATCGCTAAAAGTACATGGTGTTATTTAGTGAAACATTCGCATAACTACATGAAAGTAATCGCAGACTCTTTGATTTGCACAGCAACTGAAGTAGCTTGATCCGTCGTTGGAGCAATATCTAATCCAATGAACAATGCTTCTTAATTTTTTTTTAACATTGTTCACATATGTATGTATTAAACTTGAATTGCAGATAGCAAACAAGAAAATTTGAAGTCTGAATAACTATAAGAAAAATCTAAAACATTATATCTGAAACATACATCTAGTTTTTGCCTTCCGTTAGTGAGCAATCGAGTCAAATCGGCTCCTTCAATTGGCAATTGTAGATGTTTGTCGAAGTTTTCGAGCATGGTTTCATCGCATTCGAACATTGCAGATTTTTTCTTTGAACATCTAAACTTTTTAGGCATGAGCTCTGGAATTTCTGCCGTTTTTTTGGTCACACTTAATTTTGATACCTTTTAGTATCAACATTACAATTCCATCTGAACAAGTGTGAAGAACATCCAAGATTGTATTGTACGGCTTGACATATTGCACCATTTTCGCCGCAACAGGACCAAATCCATTAACACCGCGAATACTATCTTCTAGAGTCTTATCCCCAAATCTGTCCAATCGTCGATCTTAAATCAATATAAGCGATGAATAAGAGGGTTTAAAATTATTATTGATTATTACCGTTTCCAAGTAGTGGTTTGTGCAGAGTTCCGTGAGAGTCGCAATAAAAACAAGCTTGTGGACTTGAAAAACCGCTCATTCCAAGAATTTTTCTTTTTGCCTTAAACTGAAATCTATAGAAATTTTTATCACTTAATCCTTACTGGTTGGTCAGAAACGAGTGACACGAGGTATGGAGAAAATAAAATATTGTTTACAACAAATGTTGACCCTTCGCCTTCCAATCGATTCATTATAATTTCCGTGACGGTATTCAAAACAAGGGTTGTTGGATTATTAGCTTTTAATTGCAGCATTCCACAGACTACAAGATTAATTGAAAGTTGCGACTTCATTGTAGGCAAATCCACTAACTGTAAAGTAATTGGCCACAAACTTCCTCTAAATGGCACATCTTTAATAAACAAATAATAATAATACCTGAAATGTCCTCGGGGATTGACGCCGTCCAGACTTAGCACCATGCTCAGATCACAATGATTTTCATCCTCGTATTTCCATGAACTGGAAAAAGAACTTCCTTGAAGATTGTGTGTGAAGTTTGGTGCTTTTTCCTTCAATTTCTTTCGAATTTCCATTATATCGTCAAAGGACGACTCCACAATCCCGCGAATTTGTTCGGTGAGAGGCAGCATAAGAAAAGTCGCCAAATCGCCGCAACTGAAATTGATCATAATAATGTTTGAAATGTGGTATATGTGTTTACCATTCTTTCTCTCTTCGACATCCACACTTTTCGCATATTGAACGCTTCATAATATTCTTCTTGAAATCATACCACAATGAGCGGGCTCTTTCAATCGGGATGAAGTTTTTAATTGTTGCCAGTCGTCTCAAAAAGCCTGCAACCATTTTTTGTCTTTGGAAAAGTATTAGTTTTACCATTTTCTGTATCTTTTCCGAGTACCGAACTATACATGCACAATAATAGTTCATCGGCCAATTCCGATACACGATCATGTGCGGGGTAATTCGGTACGCATGACGGCCCGACTACTTCGGAGAATTCTTCAATTTCGCTTTCAGATCGTTCTCTCATGAGAAAGGATGTTGTTGATGCATCATTTTCATTATTTTCGTTGTTCGACGATTTGTTTCGAAGTGAAAGCCGGGCGTTTTTTCGAGCAAAGACCACACGTTTGGTCGGCATGCATCGCGAACCAGCAATTTGATCTTAAAATAATAAACAATCAGCAATATTAATATACGAAACAAACCTACCTTTCCTCAATTTGAGACCTTCTTTGGGTAATCGATGGCGAAGAGTTTTAGGCATTTCCAAAATTGATTTTTAAAAAAATTGTGATTAACATGGCGCCATCTGCATTCACATTACGATCAACTGCACAATTCCATCTATTTTTCACCCTTTCAGTGTCTATTTCTTATCATTATCTTCTATCTATTTTTTCCCAATTTTTCATCTATTTGTCATCCATTTATCGTATATTTTTCACCAATTTTTGAGATAATCTATTTTTCGCCCATTTTTCTCCTAGTTTTTGTCTACTTTTCCGAGTAATCTATTTTTCATCCACCTTTTCACCATTTTTCGTCTGTAGCACAGTTGCAGTGATTTGATCGTTTCCCAAACTTTCCACTTACTTACGTCAAGGTTCAGCTCTTTATTGATGTTGTTTGTAGACTTCATACTGTTCAACGCTGGTTGAATTCAGTTTGGTCATCCTCCCGTTTGAATGCGAGAGACTGCTCAGAAGCATTAAGACAACTTCCATGCGACATTTCAAAACGATTCAAAAACGACAAAATAGAGAATGCTGTAGGTTCTTATAGCCACGCAATGCCCATTGCTCGTTTTCTTATTTGGAATTTTTGAGGAGTGACGATGAGCACAGATATGTATAAGAAGTTTTGATGTTTATTCATTTCACATGTAATTTAAAAATAATTTAATGGTAATAACAAGGAACACGTAACAATAAGACTGGTGTTGAAAGTCAAACTTTGATTGCACAATAAATAATATTGTATATAATAGCCAAGAGAGCAGCTATCAAAAGACAAATCCCGAGGATCACACAAACCGTTTTAAGAAGCACCGCCAGGAAATAGTCCATGGTGGTTGATGGGATATATTCTTTCAATTGTTCAATTTCCTCAAATGAAATCCCTTTCTGCGTTTCCAATTCTTCCAAATCTTCCTGGCCAAACTCCGGGTGTTCCTAAATTGAGCTATTATATGCATATTAATAATATATTAAAACGTACAATTGTGACATCCATAGGTAAAATCTTCATTTCTTCATGACGGCCGTCAATTTGAATATTCCCAAAGCGGGCGAAACACGAAAAAGGCAGGCTTACGAACAATTGTTTGCTTTCGGGCATTGATTCCCAGCTGGCATTTCCGTTGCATCTGACAAGATACTTCTGAAATCAATTATTTTAAAAAACTTTATCAAGTTTTCAAAAGTAATCACCTTCAGATTTGCGGCGGCTACATAAGTGCCATAGGAATGTTCTTGGGTAAAAATTCCATCTGGCACGATTTTCGAAACTCTCTTGCATCCATTCGAATTGGCCACGGTGCAATCCTTATGCTTATCATATGAACAAATAAAAAATTTGTTCTTCTAAAACAATTTTGTTACATGTACATACATATTTGTTTCCAACTATTGTTGTTATTACTAACCACTTCATCACACTTCGAAGCGGACGTCTGGAAAAATCTGCTGTAGATCTCATATCTTGGCAAATCGAAAAATCTAAAAATGTTGTTTCCGTTTGTGAAGTCCCCTGCAGGTTGAACCTAAAAACAGAAAATATTATATTGTATCAATTTTGCTTGATATTCTTTACAGCATTAACTTCTCCACATGCCAAACGTCGATACAAGTCGCCGCACAATGAGAAGATGATTTTATTCGATTCAGAACGAGCTGATAGTTTTAATTTCGACGAGAGCTCCCAAAAATAGTTTTCGTCAAAATTAAATTCATTTGCAACATCCTTAAAAGATTTTTGTCACTCACAGCGGTATACACAAATATTAAAATTTACCTTTGTCGTGACATTGACGAGATCGAAAATATCTGCAAGTCGTGGACTGGATAAAATTCGATTGATATTTTCTAGAATTTCGAATTCTCTTTCACTCTTTTCAAATTCTGCCATATGTCTAAAAAATAATTGTATGCTTACAGCCACCGTGTTTAATCTTACTCTTCGAGAGATTTCATACGAGCCGTGAGATTTTTTTCGATATTCGTCGTCTCTTTTTTGAATTGCTCATCTTCGTCATCCCCGAACGTCAATTCCTTGAGAATTTTCGATAATGCACCCCTTTTCCAACGCCGAACCGAAAAAAAGCTGAGCTCTTTCAATTTCTCGATTGTGCCACTAGACAATGAAGTATTAAGAAATCCCTCATAATTGATACATCGATATAATTTATCACTTTTTTCATAGACGCTGCAAATTAGCTTATAACAATATAAATTAGCTTAAAAATATTACCAGCCGTCGCCTTGTGGCAATAAAATGTAAGCTCCACGCACAACGAGCAATTGGAGAAGCAGCAAAAGAAAATTCATTCTGAATTATAGAGTAGTTTAGTTGGTTAAATTAAATAGAATGCAAAGAATTTGGTCAACGAATGTTGCAACGTAATAAACGAACGGAATGTGTGTAGAATATGAATATGAGCGTGGTGGTGTGTTAGGTGCTGAGTATCACCTCTGCACGTTAGTACCATTAAACACCACGCCTTCTATTGTTGATTGTTCCCCCTTCTCAGAGATCAAAGAAAAAACCGCATTCGAAGAGCACTTGGGGTTGCTCAGAACACAGCATGATATCATTCCGACAACAATAAATATCTATATTTAACAATTACCATCCCTAAGGAAATTTTTCGCAATTGATGGATAAATTCTCGATAAATTGTAAAATATCGTATTACGAATCAATAAGAAATATGTTCTCTCATTGACTTTTGGCACATTCTCAGGGAGATTTTGCGCAGGCCTGCGCGTGTTTTGGGGCACGCCTGCTCGTCATTTTGGGCAGGCGTGTGCCGGGCATGTGGCAGGCCTGCCCCAAAACACGCGCAGGCCTGCGATTGACGCGGGAGATTCACGGGATTGTTACGGGATATTCAAAGGCTATAACCAATTCGCAGCATATATCGCTTCACTTTTAACAGATTTCAACATAATATTCATTGTATTAATACATATATCATCAGTTTTAAGCGTAAAAACATCGTTTATTTAGAAAAGAAAGCTCAAAATATAACAATACAAAACATTTAAATAATTATAATTATCATAGAAAAAAATCGGTACCAATTCATTGAATCAAGCGCTGTCCATTTTGGAATGCCTCTAAAAGGAAAAAAAAGAGTTTTATATATATAAAACGTCAAATTTGAAGAATTTTAAACGTTTTCATAGAATAAAAGTATCAAATTCGACAATTTTGTTTTATGTAAGAATGAAAGAAAATGCTCACACTTCTCTTTTTTAGGAATGTATTCCCGTTTTCCCCAATTGCAATCTTTGCCAGTCGAATTTCTGTCTTAAAAATTGATATATTTCTATGTATTTAAATTGAGTAGAATCTTACATTGCCGCTTTCAACTTCGCCGGCAAGATTACATTTTGCAATCGATAATGCATGGCTCGACGAACGTGGAGTATTTCTTTTCTTTCGTTTTAGTTTACTCAAAACGTCATGTAGTCCCTTAAAGAATAACTTGTTATAGTTGTCTAATTAATACCGCTTACGAATTATCCTTCAATTCAATGTCGGTCAAGCAAAGATTTGAATAAATGTTCGAATTCAATCCGAACAATTGAATGAAAAATCCTGAAAACATTCGATTAGTATTTTTTTCAATTGTCAGTTTTTTACTTTTTATTACATCCACGATTGGTTGCGGCAAGTTTTCCAGTGTCGCATTTTTACTTTCTTGACGATCGCGAACTGTAAATTTCTGAATTTTGTGCCGCAAATCATTTCCCACGTTATCTTAGACGATGTCCTCGACCTCTTATTTCTCTTCAATGAATGTGCTGAAAGAATATTTTTTTTAATTAATTAATTTTTAATATTGCTTATCCCTATTTAGATATGCGTAGCCTTTTTTAAGTATCACAAATATAGATATCCAGAAATTGTTTAGATCTTACCTAGAGTTTTGGTTCGTCGATCCACTTTGGTCACGGTCAATAACCTGGAAGTAAATGTAATCTTAATGCAACGATGAAAATAGAGAAATTATTAAAAGGAAAAAAAAAATTTATAAAAAATCGATTAAAAAAAATTAATTCAATTAAAATTTAAACGTTTAACTTGCGTTAAAAAGCGCGTGGAATTTAAAAATCGTTTAAATGATTAGAGCGGATATCCCCTCACTGTCTGCGTCTCCAACCTGCCCACCTAATGCGCTTCCTGCGGGCAACATGCGATATCCACGGGCAGCATACCCGTAACAATCCCGCGATTATGGCACCTCGCGCATTTCTTCCGCAGCTTGCCACGTCTTTGCGCAGCCTGCCGTTTACATGCCACCCCCTTCCCGTGCTGCGCAAGTCATGGGAAAAAACGCCCTGAGTTTGATCCATTTGCGAAAAAAAAACGGTGGCGGTTTTTTTTTAATTTTGGAAAATTATTCTATCAATGTGGTATGTCATAAAAGATTGTTGAATGGGGGGGGGCTAGGTGATCCGAATTCGTTTTTTTAAGTTTCAAAAAATGATCCTAGCAGAAAATTTAAACATGGCTTAAGTGTTGAAATGAGTCCAAATTTACGAAAATTACAAAAAAATCCAGATTTCTTTTTTACAGAATTGATTCACTTGGAGTTTCAATAGTGATTTTTATCTAGCAATCTAGTATGTCAGAAAATGATATTAAACCGAATCAACACATGGTTGCAATGGGAAAATTTTCTATTTAAGAAATTAATATGCAAAAAAAAGTTATTCGACACGAGACCATGTGAAAGGCGCGTGTAATCATCTAAATTTGTCAATGTCGTCTTCGACAGTATAATCTTCAGTATTTTTAAAACCTTCGGCAATATAATTTTTTAGAACGGTAAGAATAAAAAAAAACAATGCCAGGGACGAAATTTTAATATTTTCAATTCTCAACCTTTCTCTAAAATCCGGGCCAATGATTCCTCACTACCGATTTCTCACTCCACTACGGATTTTTCACTACCAAATTTTCACTACCAAAATTATAGTTTTTTTCACTACCAATTTTGCACTACCGTTTTTTCACTTTCGATTTTTCGCTACCGTTTTTTCACTACGAAATTTTCTTATAGTCATTCTTCTTGACTTGTGTGATTAACAACGTTATTTCTAACAATATTTTATAGATATTGTTCACATTATTAGCTATTTTCTTAATATTTAATAAAAAAAAGATTTTCTTTAAACTCGTTTTTTCTGAAATGAAGTGGATTATTGATAAAGTCAAGAAGAATGACTATAAGAAAATTTCGTAGTGAAAAAACGGTAGCGAAAAATCGAAAGTGAAAAAAACGGTAGTGCAAAATCGGTAGTGAAAAAACTATAATTTCGGTAGTGAAATTTTGGTAGTGAAAAATCGGTAGTGGAGTGAGAAATCGGTAGTGAGGAATCGTTTGCCAAAATCCGAAACAACAATTTCGAAGTAGCTGAAATGAACACGTCGTCACAAATACTGTTAATGCGTCTAAAGCAGAATTGGTACGCATCAGGGCTGTGCGGCAATCGAATTGCCGATTGCCGAAATTGCCGAAATTGCCGATTTTTCAAATTGTCGAATTGCCGAATTGCCGAAACGAACGTTCGATCGGCAAATTGCCGAATTGCCGGATTGCCGAAATTTTGATTTTCGGCAATTTGATATCAAAAAAAATCGGCGAAACAAAAATTCAATGTCCATTTAATAATTTGGGATACCGTGAAAATTCGGTATTTATATTTCGAATTATCGTTGAAAACATTTAATAGCCGAAATTTTTATTTTCGGCAAATTGCCGAATTGCCGGATTGCCGAAATTTTTATTTTCGGCAAATTGCCGAATTGCCGGATTGCCGAAATTTTGATTTTCGGCAATTTGCCGAATTGCCGAATTGCCGATATTTCCGATTGCCGCACAGCCCTGGTACGCATCCCTTCTTTGTTAAATGATTTTTAATCGCACAAGAAGATTATTTTGACAATTTTGCACAATAATATCATTACAATTACAATCCATTTGCCAAAGTTCACAATATTAATTATTACCGTCGCAAAAAAACGAGCGTCTTGCATAAGTGTGGACCATCACACTTTTTCGAGGCGGCAATTCAATTTCAGAACGATTTGACATAGTACTTTGGCTATATGTATGTTAGCTTCAACTGTAGCTAAATATTGTTGGAGCGCTTAAAATATTCTCTGACTGGAGCACAACTTGCTATCGGAAAAGCCGGGACTCGCGAGTGGTATTCGAGAACAAAAATCTGAAAAAAATGAAATAATTAAGGACAATGCAATTTTATTTGCCGAAAATACACATGTTGACTTTGCGATCGTTTTTCTCAGCAACGATCTACCGTCGATTTTTCGTTCGTTTTTAATTTGTTTTTTTTTTTTTTAATAATTTTGTACTTTTAAAGGTGACCTCTCTCCCTTTTAATTAGCTGATTCGTTTCTTCAAGAACAACTCTTACAACCAATTTACAATTATGAAATATTTAGCAAATTCATAAAATTGTTCGACTTCATCGTTTTAAGGAACTATGCAAATTTTGCAACAAAAAACTCACACCATATAAAGGGGTAATTGTATTTTTGGTTTCTTTTTATGAGAAATATGAAAGATCAAAATAAAGTATTATGAAGTCAATTATTCATTTACGGCATTCGTAGTGTCAATAAAATTAGAATCACGTTTGCTCCTTTCTTATTGCGGCACCGCCAGTTCTTCATAATTTCCATCCTGAAAACACACTTCAAAGAAGCAACATATTTGTGAAAATAACAACCTCAGCCGAGGGTTTCACAATTTTACTATTTGATTGAGTTCCACTCCCCGAAGTAGCCCCACCAATGCGGGCTGGAGCAGAGCCTGGAGTTGCTCCAGTGGTTTTCGGTGCGTCAGCACCAGCAGGTGGGGTTTTTGGCTCTAAAAATGATGATTTCGAAATTATCCTTTTTCGACTCACTTTTCTTTCCACTGCAACAACACTTGGGCAAAATGTGCAGCGAAATGAAGAGAATTAAAATAATGTTAGACAAGTGCTGTAATCATCTGAATACCAAAAAGGAAAAAAAGGAAATTACCTGAACAAACAGAAGCATATACATATACTTGTTTTACCGAATTTTTCAACAATGATTTAATATGCGCCTTCTTTTTCTGAAATGAAAAAGTGAAGTTAAAATAAATGAAATAAGTGAAGTCGAGTCAAGTATTTATTATCAATTTTAAATAATCAATTTGCATTTTTACACGGTTTTAAGCGAGAAGGATCCATATCAGTGACAATTTGAATCTCCTGCGCGGTTTTGTTTGAAATCGCCGCTCGTTTTGCAGTCTTCCCTTTGGTTTTAGGGAGAAGCGCTGAGCCAGACACCGGTTTCGGCGCTTTGCTCTTCAGAGCTTCAATCTATAATTAGCCCAATTAAAAGTGTGCCCATTTCTCTCTCTCTATCTCTCTTTTATGCGACCTCTTTTTCGGCTATTTTCACAACATCCTCGCTAATTTCAATATGATCCCGATTTATATCTCCAATAGGCGATTCGATAAGCAATGTTACCTAAAACAAAATTGATTTGTTGTTTTTCTCCGATATCTCACATACATGCTCATTATTGGCAATGCTGCTTGCAATCAAAAATGCCAGAATTGCTTTACTACAAAGTGGCTGATTATTGCATTCTCTGATTACATCGCCCGGCCTTAAATGAACAGCAGACATACTATTCGGAGCCACAGAAGCTATCTAAACCACCGAAATCCGACAAAAATGCGCGCGAATTGCTCACTTGTAGTCGATCTCGATTGTCGTATTGCACAAATAATCCGAAATTCGTGTATGCCACTTCTGTCGTTTTCGTCATTTTTATCATCACATAGTATAAATTGATGGGTTTTGCACTGATTTTCTCCGTGTCGCGATCAATTTGAATTTTCTCGACGGTCGTTCGAACATGAAAACACCACGACCATGAGCTGTGACGAATTTTGACACATACTGTCTGAAAATATAAAATAGCTCGCATAGAATTTTTTTTTAGTAATTTTTAAGGCGGTAATTCAAATTTGAATGTGAACTGTGCCAATTCGGGTACCCTACAACGGATAACTTGCGATTCAAAATCACCATAAATAGGCGAATGGTGTTCGGATTGTGTTGAGAATGTAATAGCAAGCTTGCTAGAAATGTAAGATAAAAATAGTGAAGTAGAGAAGATAATTAAACGAAGTCTTAACGAAACATAAAAACCTCTATAAAGTATTCCTGCCAATCAATTGTTCTCCAAATCTCAATATCAAAAATTGTGAAAAAAAAAATCGACGTAATTGTAATTGTTGTAGTTCATTTCATTCAAATTTGTTGATTTTAAAATCGATAAGTCGGTCGGTGTTAGTACTCAAAAAATGTTGTCAGTTTCCAAAATTTTCTGTGTATTCACGGAACGAGCGAACAACCAACCCGATAAGAATCAGTTCTTGAATTCAAATTTTACGCGCCATATTTGGTTTGAAATTTTCAAAAGAAAACCTCTTCTTTGTCTTGCAATAACTTGTATAATTCGTCGCCATTCGCTATCGATTTATCTCCAATAGCAACAATGACGTCACCAACGAACGCCTTCCCAATAAGCGTTGATTCAGGCAAGACATGGGTTATCTGCAAATAAGGCGATTTGCATAATAGAAGCTTATTACAATGAACTTGGCAATTTTGCTTTAAAACTCGCACTCCAATCGGTTTTTTCACTGTATAACTCTCGATGAATTCCTTTGGCGCATACTCGTTTATATCCAATTCTTTAGGTAAAGCCGACTAAAAAATGTAGCAATTTTTATTATGATAAACTTTATGTCGCATTGGCACATGCCCTATTATGAAACTTTATAGCCAATGGTGTTGCCGACCCATCTTTTACTTCTTCTTTTTCCATCACGCGCCTTTATTGAAAATGCCGGCATTAATTAGTACGCAAATTTCGTTGAAGAGAGGATTTGCGCGTGACCACGAAATGCGTCAACACAGCTCTACACTGGCGCAGATCGCGTGACATGACGCATTACTCGGTTTGTTTTCGGCTTTTCACACGCGTTTGGGCGATTTTCGCAATTTTCTTTTTTTAAACGCCATTAATTCGAGTTTCATGACTTCTATAATTTTTCAACGCTTCCGCTGCCGTCGCGAAGCCATCAATTTCAAGAATCGATCGATAATTTTAGTTGGGAAACAATGAAATTATAGGTTTCGCCATCGACACCAAAACGCCCCCTATTTTTACGCTCACCTCCATCTTTCGTTTCCCAATTTTGTTTTGAATGTGTTCAATATCAAACGAATCAAGTATCGTAATGGTTTTTATTGTCGTTGAATGAAACCATTTATGCAGCGTCGTTCCGCCTCACTTTCTCATCGATTTTCTTGTTTCAGCATCTATTGAGCGCGGTTTTTCCTTTCGTTTAACGTGAAATGACCGAAGAAAACGCGACGCCCGTTGATGTAATGTCGCTAGACAAAAACAGTGAGGTAATCCATTATATTTTGATTTCGGAAATTGCTTTTCTTTTTTGCAGTTAGCTGCTCGCCTCCAAGCGGACCCATCCGGTGATGCGGCTAAACACCGGGCGACGTCGTCGTCGCCGGTTAGCGTAAGTCAACTTGAGATTATGCTTGATAAATGTATTTAATTTAGCTGCGCTACGGCAAACCAGGAAAACGCCGACCAACTGCGAACCGAACCAAAAATCTTATCCTTTTTGAGAATATGATACCGTTCGAAGTTAACTTTGCTCTATTGACGGAAGAAGACTGGGATCGTATTTTTGATATTCTTTACGATCATGGCTGCAAGGTATATTGATATTTTTTAAATTTTGAACCGCACAGATGGCCTACGAAACATCTGCTGGGTATCAAATCTAATTTTTCGATGAAAGTAGCGAAAATTAAAGCAGTGCTCCGTGTGGAGACTTTAAACATGTAATTATGGATTTTCTTTCAGGTTTACGCGCTCCTTCAGCGTATTGCCTTTGGCGGAACTCATTTAAAACCATCGGACGTTCCAACCGCCAAGTCGACGATTGCGAAAATTGCGAAAACCCTTGGTTTCTCATCGAACCACAACGATGTGTGTTTTCCAACGATTGAAAACCTGATAACCTCCCTTGATGTACGACATCAATTTCTTTCTTTTTTTTTAAAATTCATTAGTTTTGCAGAAACTAGGGTATAATGAACGGCAAGTGATTGCGAAAATCCGCGAGTACGTTGCGGCTGGCGCCGTCAGCAGCCGCTACACCATCGAAGAAGGATCGACCGATTCTACAAAACTCCCTCCACGTTTAGCCGCCGAAGCATTGCTTTATGTCATCAACATGCTTTTTAGGTTCGTTTTCATTTCGAGAAAATGTATGCATAAAATAATTGGTTGGTCCTCATTTTTGCGAATTTTAATTATAACCAAATAAGAAATTCGCACTATTCTGAATTTTTAAGCACAAATGATAATTAGTAATCAAATTTTATTCAGCAATATTTAATTTGAAAATTTTTTTTTCTCGAAACAATCTATGGTTCGATAATTTTGTACTTTTTCGATTTTAAGTCTTAAAATTAACATTGCTTTGATTTTAGAAACCGCGCTAGTCGCCATGTCGAGAGACAAATGCCTCTTGCTCAAGATGATGTTGGAACTGAATTGGATGATGAAGATGAATCCGAGGCCAGCGACGACGATGGTAAGAATTTTCAATAATTTCAAAAATGTTCGCATTCTCCAAGAATAGTTGCATTTGGACGCACAATTAATTCAATTCTCGAATGCATTCTTTTTTGTTGTTGTTTTTTGTTCCCATCTGTTCGCTGGCTCGCGCGGCACCGCCCCATTCGCTGCTTAAGCGCACCTCTCACTCATTTCGAATTGTTCGACAATCTCACGAGTAGCTGCTGCTGCTAGCTATCAAATCGCTCAAAATTTCGATTCTTTCGCGTCTCGGCGTTTTATTCCATGAGTTTGCACTCCTTATTTGGGCTATTATTCGATATTATTATCGAAAACTATGTCCCCAATTGCGACGATGTCGAGAATGCGAACGATTTGTACATCGTTGAGTTTTAATTTAGTTTAATATTAAGTTCTTCTTGAATCAACCGTTAGATTTGAGAGAAAAATCGAAACTTTTTTATTCTAAGATTTAAATGGATTATATTACGCTAACCTACAAATGGGATCGTATTTAAGATTTCATGTATTGTGAGAGATTTAAATTATGTGTTTTTTAAAGTACATAGAATGCTAAAAATCACAGCAAATTTGTAATTTTTACGTGAAGTTTTTTTTTTTCATAACTCTCGAATATGAGCTGAACGAACAATTTAAAATTCCGTAAATACGGAGAGATGCAAATTAGATCTTTAAAATAATGATTATATTTATTCAAATTAACCCAAAAATTTATTATTTTTGATGCTTATAATAATTTATGCCCAAATTTGGGCGTTGTTTACTTATTATCATTGGCTACAAATTTGTCGACACAATTACTTGTATTATTTGATAAATTGTAGTCCTATTATGTATGGAAATCAATCATTGAGAAATAACAACAACAAGACGAAAAATGAACAATTTCTATTTTGAGCTCGCTCATTTTTTCAGGTGCGAATGCCAACCCCGAACTATCTCTTCCAATTGATATTGACGTGCTGAAACCGCATGTTGAAACCAATGAAAATGGTGAAGAAGAGTTTTTCGTGACATCCGCCCATTTGAACGGTTTTTTGGAAGCTGCTTGCCAACTTGGTGTATGTTTTTTAAATCATCAATGATAAAATTGAAAGAATTTATCGATTTATTGATTTCAGTTCCTCGAACTCCTTGATTTGCACGTTGAATTCCGAAAAACTCTTGAATTCGAAGGCAATGAAGCGGATACCACGCCACTTATTGAAGCAGCCGCGGCTGGAACAGCGAACATCGTCAAGAGTCTCATTCAACGCGGTGTTGATCTTAACGCGATGTCGAAAATGAACAACTCGTCGGCGTTGATGTATGCCTCGTGCGCTGGTAACACCGAATGTGCCAGGCTTCTTCTTGAAACCGGCAAGTGTGCCTTGACAGGCAGCAACGTGCACGGACACGATGCTCTGATGGAGGCGGCGAGCGCCGGAAGAGCCGACATTGTGAAAATGTTGCTCAAATGTGGAGCGAGCTCAATTTTCTTGAACTTGACTGCGGACTTTAAGGTAAGAAATATGATATTTTTATTCGCAAATATCCATTTTATTCTAATATTTTGCAATTTTCTTTGATCGTTGATCATTTTCTCGGAATTGCAGTCGATTTCTGTTTTTTTTTTCTGACTCATTAATTAAATAATAATAATGACTGAAATTCAATATTAAATTATCACGTTTTTTTGCAGGAGTCGGCGCTCACATTGGCTGCGTATCGCGGGCATTTGGATGTGTTGTACCTTCTGCTCGACAATCTTAAAGAGAATCCGCCCATGAACGAGGAGCTGCGATTGGAGCGCGAGGAGGAGCTGCACACGGCTCTTATGGAGGCCAGCATGGGCGGACTCGTCGATATCGCCAAGGCGCTCATCGCCTATGACGCGCCGGTCAATCTCTACACCGAGACGTTTGAAAGTCCGCTGACACTGGCGTGCTGCGGCGGTTTTCCCGAACTCGTTGAAGTTCTCCTGAATGCTGGTGCGCACGTTGAGGAGAAGAACGATGAGAACTATACGCCATTAATGGAAGCTGCGCGCGAAGGCCATTTGGAAGTCGTTAAAGTGCTTCTGGAGCATGACGCCAAAGTGAATGTGCAAGCCGATGATAATGGAGATACACCATTGTCGGTGGCAGCTTGTGGTGGATTCACGTGAGTATTCGGGGGACTTTGAAGCCGATCTGGAAATTGTTCAAATATCAAAAAGAAAACCTTAAAAAAAATAAATGCAAGCAAAAAAGAAAAAATGTCAAAAAATCGAGTAACGTCACGTTAAAATGTATAGGTTTCGAAGCTGAAAATCGTTATTTTCAATTATGAGAAAATCTAGAAATGATGAGAATTAACGGATTTGTAGTTGGCGTCCGGCGGATTTATAGTCGGCGTCCACTGTTGTACGCGGATGCGCCTTGAAAAGGTCTCAACACGCGTGAATGCTTATTTTGTTTTCATTTTTCTTGATGAGTTTCACATTTCCTTGAATTTTCAACGATATTCGATTGAAAAATTATCGAACTGGTCCATAAAATTTGAAATAACCTGCTAGTCCTTGCGAGATCATTTCGAAAGACGCATTCCCGTAAATCTACCCGCATACAGCAATCGCCGGACGCCGACTATATGTGTTTGCGAAATTGTAGAATTTACCATTTTTACCCAATGCAATCACGTAAAATTTGTCAGTCTTGACGCCAAAATTGACTATTTCGACTATTTTACATTACGCCGAATGGGCCGATAAAATCAGCAATTCATCCGAAAATTTAATTATTATTTTTTTCAGCGAAATCATGGAATTGCTGGTGAAATATGGGGGCGATTTGACTGCTGGCCAAACGCCGCCTATCGTTGAAGCTTCGCAAGAAGGGAATAAGGATACTGTCGACTTCATTCTTGCCAACTGCAAGACGATACCGAAAGACCAGCTGAATCAAGCACTTGTCTTTGCTGCTGATAGTGGGCATGGTACCATTGTGAAAACGCTTCTTAAAGCTGGTGCTGAAGTCGATTCGGAGATCGATGGACGAACTGCGTTGATGAGAGCCGCCAAGAATGACTTCCTCGAGGTTGTTCAGGATTTGATTGCTGCTGGAGCACAGGTAGTTTCAAAAAAACTTTCTTTTTTTCAACAATGCATGATTTCAAGGTGAACTATCGGCCTGATGCGTATGAAGCAACTGCGATTTCATTGGCTTGCGGTGAAGGAAACACGGCAGTTGTACAATGCCTTTTGAAAAATGGCGCCGATCCTTATATAGAATTCAAAGAAGGCTTGACATGCTTTTTCGAAGCTTCGCGGAATGGAAATGCGGACCTTGTTAATTTATTAATACAATTCTCTAAAAAGCATTGTATAACGAAGGAAATGGAATTGGTTGGAAAGAACGCGACGCCAAAAGTGAAACCGCCTTCGATGAAGGGTTACTTCAAGAAGAGTTCGCAACGGAAGACGGTTTCAACGGTGACAAATCCTCTTGTAGGGATTAAGCTTCTTCATGTTGCCAATAAGTATTTTCTTGTGTTTCAGTCGCTGACCGAAATGATGGCGCTTTTCCAGTCGGGATGCAAAAGGAAAGGGATTGGTAAATATTCGTTTGGCGGAGATTTTCCAGTATCAAGCCATGAAATCGACCTGTTGCAGCACCTATTCCGACTTCAACAGTATTAATTTTATTAAAACATAAAATCAACTATGACGTTGCAGACAAATGGCTTCTTTCTATAATCATCTATCGATTGATGCCAACAAGGAGAAGAAAAAGGAGATCTCCGATGCGATCAAAGCCCTTGCGATTGTCTACGGAACCACTCCTGATGGAAAAATCAATTTCCCGCAAGCGCCAACTAAAGCGGAAATTGATCGAATGTACATGGGTGAAGTGGTAGGTTTTGAATGAATTATTATTGGATTCAAACGACCGAAGTTGATTCGAGGCGCTTTACCGATATTTGTTTGGAATTTAGATAATTCTTTCAAAATCAATAACAATTGAATTAATAATAATTAAAATTAATTTAGGTGCCCAGTATAAAACATTGGGCTGAGCTTGTTGCTCATGGTTGGCTTGAAATGGAGAGATACTGTGGTCATCCCATCGAATTCCCGTCGTTTCATCACAATGAGGGACACACGACGAGTGCGGTGGCGGCGATGTCAGCAGCATCCGCGGTTGCCACTGGAATGGATGGCCAAACTTATTTGGCTTCGGTTTTCGCCAAGGTAAATTGATTTTTTGTCTGTTTTGCTAATTTTTATTGGTTTTTTGCCTAATTTGAATGCTTTGAGTTTTGTAATATACCTTGAGATGTATTGAAAATGTGGAAAATATGATTTTTTTCGCGCTAACAAAGATCAAAAGTGGCAAACGCGTTTGCTAACTTGAAATTTTTCGAATTTGTCCGTCTCTGACAATAATTTCCTTTTTGTTATCTTATCATTCTTTCAAAAACAGCGCAAGCGCGCTCTAAAGAACCAAACGGCCCTTTTTGGAAAAAAATTTACCACGAGATTTATTGATTCCAAAATAACAGGTTGTGTTCTCCAAAAAATATTGATTGAAATGGCTTTTGATTTAATTTAAAAAATAATGAAACCTCATAATTAATTAAAAAATGACTTGTTATCATTTTTGCAAATTTCAATTAAAATTTTCGAAATGTTTCAGATGAATAATGGTGAGGAGATGCCACGTGTGCCCGCAACTGTCGGCAGCTTGAATGCCGCGAGTGCTGCAATGAATGGCCTCAACTTTCAATGTGATGATGCTATGCGCTTTTTCAGTCACATGCAATACCTTACCACTGTTAAGGGTTATTTTGAATATCTTTAATGGAATTTTTGAAACAATATTATTTATAGAAAAGCAACGTGGTTGTTCACATATGCACACTGCGCCGGCTCATTCGGAGATGGCATTTAGAGCAGCGCTGCAACGAATGGGATCATCTTTGCGCGATCGACAGCGCAAGGAGGGTTGCATGGGTGGATGCGATGGCAAACACAGCAAGATGTCGCATAGTTCGCAATCGACGCAAACTACGGTATTAGCTGAAAAATTGTTACACTGTATTGATATCAACTGTTGTTACAGCAGCCGACGCCACGAGTTTCATCGAAAATGTACCCGGGCATCTCGAAGCTGGCGATCGAGCTCGAAGCCAAATATCAAGCAAATAAGACGGATGAGAACAAGGAATTGGCGATAATCACCGCCTTCATTGCCAACAATTTGCCAAAAGGCGAACAGAATCGAAAAGATATTGAAGGTATGGGAATTGGAATCAATTTCGATGATTTATCGTGTATAATTTCAGTTGGCGAACGATTGTTGAAAAAGCTGATGACCGGACATACGAAAGACGAAGTTCGAGAATTTATGAATCGTGCGAGACATGTGGTTAACAGTGCAAACGGTGAGTGTAAGTGTTTTCATTTTTGGAATTTCTGAAATTTTGCACGTCAAAAGCATGGAGTGTTGAAATGCCATACCGCATCAAGACTACCTCCTTTTAAAAAATGTTCAAAAACTTGTTTTTTTTATCAAGGCATATAATTGAATTAAAAAGGGTGACATAAAAAAATTAAAATTAATGTTAGACCATTTAAATCGGGCAAATTTTGCATTGTTGACATCATTCTGCCAACATGAGAACGTATTTGAAGCCAATAATTAGGAAAATGAAATGTAAGCGATTTTTGTTCCTCAAACTCGAACGTCTTCAATCAATTTGTAATCGGAATCGGCGAATCGGTAGGAATTGCTTTGTACGTCTCGGATATACATACTCATTGGACAAGTTAAAAAATTGAAGATCTGTTGCCTCGTTGTTTCCCATCACCTTTTTTTGTCAAGTTTGTCTCGTTTTCGGTGCATGATTGAATTGAATGAGGAATTGGAATGTTTGACACACTTTTCATTTCAGCATGTCACTCATATCATGGATACGTTCGCAGATTCCGGAGTCAGGCTTTCCCCTTTTTCCTTTATATTGATGTTGTCGTGATTTTGAAATTAATTATGATTGGTGTTTTACTTGCGAATCGCCGCCGTTCCATCTACATTCGCGAGACACACTGCGAAGCACACTCGCCAGAAATGAATTATTTTAATATATTTATTTTTGAATAGTTTGCTCATATTTTGGGTCTGGTAGCGATCACTGGCACAATATTTTTTATTCAAACAAACATTTAATTATTTCATTTAAATTGAAGAGCTTGCTTCAACTTTTGCAAGTTCATTATCGATTTCAGACAATCCGATCGATCGGAGGCTTCGTGAAGAGTATTTGCGTATTATGGAAAATTCGGGAAGCGCTCTGTACGAGGATATTTGTAAGGAGACGCGGCGCAAGACCGATTCGTGCGATCATTTCCATGGTCCAGTGCGCAGTTCGACATCGAGCACAGGTTCGGGACAGACTGCGGCGAATGGCGGCAAAGGACGACTGAAGAAGGATATGCGATTCCAGCAACAGGCCGGGCCGTTGCGTAGAACTCATTCGGAAGGAGACGGCTCCGAACGGTAGCTATTTCTAGTTTCTATAAATATTGAAAATACTGTTTTACGTTTTTTTTTTCAGATCCAATAAGAAGAACCATGTGATTGATAAACCGATCGAATCATCCCTTGAGACACCTTTGTCAATTGCTTGCGCCAATGGACATAAGGAGGTTGTTGAACTTCTTCTCAAAGAGGGAGCTAACATCGAGCATCGCGACAAGAAGGGTTTCACACCGTTGATTGTTGCTGCCACCGCCGGACACTTCGCCGTTGTTGAGATTCTTCTTAAGAATCACGCCGCGATCGAAGCCCAATCCGATCGAACCAAGGATACCGCTCTCTCTCTTGCATGCTCGGGAGGACGCAAGGAAGTTGTTGAGCTTTTGCTTCAGCATAACGCGAATAAGGAGCATCGCAATGTCAGCGACTACACACCGCTGTCGTTGGCAGCTTCTGGAGGCTATCTTGATATTGTTACGATGTTGTTGAATGCTGGTGCTGAGATCAATTCGAGAACTGGTAGTAAACTCGGAATATCGCCGCTTATGCTTTCGGCGATGAACGGACACAAAGAAGTGACGAAGATTCTGCTCGAGAGGGGAAGTGACATCAATGCACAAATTGAGACGAATCGAAATACCGCGCTCACTTTGGCTTGCTTCCAAGGACGGCCTGAAGTTGTCAAGATGCTTCTCCAGTATCATGCGAATGTCGAGCATCGAGCAAAGGTAAGTGAAATCTAGAAGCTATCTTCACCGATTTAATTCAGACTGGGTTGACACCGCTTATGGAAGCTGCAAATGGTGGATATACAGAAGTTGGCTCATTAATACTAAGCGCCGGCGCTGATCCGAACGCGTCTCCGGTGCCCGCGTCACGTGACACGGCATTAACTATAGCAGCCGACAAGGGTCATGATAAATTCGTTGAATTACTACTATATCATATGGCACAGATTGATGCGAAAAATAAGAAGGTACTTTTTTCATTTTTTTCACAATATATTATCATTGCCTTTTAGGGATGTACTGCTATATGGTTAGCTTGTAATAATGGGCATCTGTCAACAGTCGAAGTTTTATTGAATTATCACGCTGATCCGGATGCTATGGATAATCGAAAAATCACACCAATGATGGCTGCGTTCAAAAAGGGACATGTTGATGTTGTGAAGCTGATGGTGAAACACGCCAAACAGTTTCCTTCCGATCAGGATCGCGACCGAATTGTCGAGGCGGCTGATTCGCCTGAATTGAAGAAAAAGTGTCAAGAGTGTGCGGTGATCATTGATTCGGCGAAGACGACTCAAGCAAAGTCTGCTGAAAAGGCTGCTGCCGATTTGTTGGCTGAACTTGAGGAAGAGGAAGAGCTGGCGAGATCGAAAAAGCAGAAGCAGCAGGAGAAGAAGAAGAAGAAGAAGGAAAAAAAGAATAAGAAGGGCGGAGATGGCGTCGATGACAAAAAGGACGCTGAGCAGGAAGATCCCGAGCCAGAACCTGAACCGGAGCCGGAGCCTGAGCAGGAGCCTGAGCCCGAGCCCGAGCCAGAACCTCAACCGGAGCTTCAACCTACATTCGTTGAACCCGAGAAACCGAAAATGAGCAAAAAACAGATTAAAGCTCTTGCTCGTGCTGAAGCGAAAGCTTTGAAGGAGGCGAAAGCTGCTGAAGATGCTCGAAGAGCCCGCGAAGCGATGGAAGCCGCGAGAAGAGCTGCTGCTGAAGAAGCTGCTACGAAAGAGAATGCCCGTCATGTCTCATTGTCGCCAATCCCGTCACCACGCAACTCTGATGATGAATGGGTGAAAGCTGTCGGAAAGAAGCAAAAGTCTGTTAAGAAAACTGCCTCGGCAACTGCGGTCAACTCGCAAAATCAATCTTCGGCCACATCGTCTGTTGCTTCTGAGTTCACGGTTCTACACGAGATCGAGGGCCCAGGCAACAGGAGAAACGGCCGGAAATTGGCGGTTAGCACTTCGGTGATCGCAAGAGTCATCGGAAGAGGTGGAGCCAACATTAATGCAGTTCGTGAAGCGACTGGAGCCGGAATAGAGGTAATTGGTTGAAATTTAATGGAAATTCTGAGAATTAATTATGTATGTTGTAGGTGGAAAAGCAAGGGATCCGAAAAGAAACTGCTGATCGCACAATAACAGTTCGTGGTACACCGGAAGCTGTTAAAAGTGCTGTGCAGATGATTCAGTTGATGATTGCTGATACAGACGCGCAAATCAACGATGTTATCAGAAATGTGAGACTATTTAATTTTGGCATTCAATAATGAACATGAAATGTAGGTTCTTCGTGGAAATGCTTCTGTCGCATCTTCGATCTCATCGGATGGGGCGAACTCGCGAAACGGCGCTGATCATCACAACGCCTCACAATCGCAATTCAATTTAAGTAAGCTGATCCCTCCACCGGCACCGGCTCCAATCGAGAAAACATCTTCGACTGGAAATGTCTGGCAGCAACGAATGGCAGCGAGACAACAGGAGATGGCGAAAGCAACTCCGTCTGAAGAAGCCCTTCGCTCTCATGAAGATTCGTCAATTGTTTCGGCGCAACCGCACATGTCTCTCGACAAGAAGAAGCTGAAGTCGACGGTGCTGCCCGCTGCGCTTTCGACTACCACGGAGCCTCTCGTCAAGCCAACGATGCAGCAATTGCAGCAAACTCAGAAGCCAGTGAAACGAGAGCCTCCGGTTGCTGCCTACATTCAGCCGATTCAGAAGCCGCAGGAATCGCTTCCAACGCCGATCGGCCGTCCAAGCAAAAATGTGGCACCGACTCCGCCATTCATGAAGCCAGTCGCAGCCGCCGCTCCTCGTTCTGAGATGTCGGAGAAGGCCGCGTTCGGACAATACGTTCCTTCGAAACCAACACCGCCAATCAATCCATTGTTTGCGCCGATTCAACAGCCGGTCAGCTCAATTTTCTCGAACGACACTTCTGACGGAAGTGCTGAAGAGATGGCGAAGCTGAAGTTGTTCGATGATGCGAAACTCGCCGAGATATGGGGAAAACCCGAGGAAACGTCGACAAACGGAGAAACTGGCTGGGGATCGCAGTTGTTCACATCGCTCTCCTCGAATCCATTGGGCGATCTTGAATGGTCATCGAGTTTGTTCTCGTCGACGCGTCCATCGAGCACTACGACGGCGGTGGCGCCAACAACAGCAACCACACTAACGGCAGGATTGTCGGATCCATGGGCCAGTTCGACAAGAGAACGCGAGGCGAACAAATCAGTTCCACTATTTGCACGAACCCATTCACAAGCTTCATCGTCTAGTCAGCCAACACAAATGTCGTCGCAATCGCAGCATCATCATCAACAGCAGCAGCAGCAGCAGCAGCAAACTCTCCAGTTGAATGCTATTCAACAAATGCAGCAGCAGCGTTTGGCCATAATGCAGCAGCGCCAGCAAACCATCCAGCAACAACAGTCGATTCTCAGTCAGCTTCAATCAAGTCTCACAGAGCAGGTTTCTAGCACGAACAATTTTTACAATCAGGTATTCATTCGTTTTTTTGCTTTAGAAAAAATTTCCCAATTCTTTTATTTTTAGCTTGCTGCTCAATTGCTGACGCATCAAGAGTCGTCGTCGGGAGTTCCCAATCAACAGAATTCATCATCATCGAGCGCCAACCCGATATCTTCTAACTATTATCCATCGCCGTCGTACACCGACACGTCGTTGTTCAGCAATCTCAACTCAGGCTTGAATCCGAGCACCAGCCAGCAACAACAGCAGCAGCAGCAGAGATTGAAAAGCCTAGCTGGACTCGCGGCGGTTTGTGAACATATTAAATAACCTTGAATATTTCAAATGGTTTCAGAGCGAAGGAATCACCAGTCCTGAAGATATTCGGGCATTGTCGGCGCTTCTCTCGAATCCGTTGAACACGACCTCGCCGAACCTTCAGAACTCGTCGTTGTATTCCCAACAGCCACAAGCCCGTCCAATGTCGTCGAGGACCACCACTTCGGCACCAACGCAATCGTTTGGGGTAAATCACGCCCAACCGCCGCCAGGTATCAATTCGTTGAACGGTGTCGGTTTAAGTCCAAATTTTTTCGTTTGAAGGTTTCTCAACCATTGGCTCGAACAGTGTCTCTCAAAGCCCAGCGCAACGGCAGTTTTATCCGTATTCTCAGTCAAGCTCGCAGAGCCAATCTCAGCAGCAACAAAGCATGTTCAGTCAGTATTCTGGGTATGTTGAATTAAACATTGAATAGTTATGTCTGTGAGATAAAAAAAACTTTCACGAATATTTTCGTATTTTTAAAAATCATTTTTGGCAATCAATATTCAATGTTTCTATACGCTATCATTAAAAACTTTCGTTGAAAACGCGGTTCGAAGTTTTCCCGTTGGGGAGTTGCAGATTTCTTTCTTCTTTCAATGTTGGTGAAATTCAATTTGTAAATTAAAAATGATTTCAGACAAAATTGGGGTGCTCAATTAAGCGCACAACAGCAGCATCAGCAGCAGAATCCATCGTCAAACAAACCGAGCAGTTTGTGGGGCAACTCGACATGGAATTAATACTCGTATATAGTAGATTCACCTACCCACTTCTTGTCTGATGATAATTTGCCATTTATTGTGTGTTTTTGTCGCCTGCTCTCATCATGACCCAGCCGAATCATTAGTCTTTTTTTTTCTTCTTCCCTCAGTAGTATTCTTGTTTGTTTCCGACCGGGTTCTGTTGATGTTCCTATCTGAAATATACTTTCCTACAAGTCGCACACAATCATCTCTTCTCGAAATGGGGTTTCATTCTAATCTCTACGACTGCTAAAATTTGATATAAGACCGATTTCTCTCATATCAACGTTCTCAACCGCCTCCTTTTCCGTTTTTCAGCTTTTCCCATTATTTATATAAGTGTATTTATTATATATTTATTGTGAAAAAGCTTTTGTTTTGTCTGTCAGTCCATTCTTCAATTTTTGTCGTTGTGCCCCCGTAATTCAATTTCGTTTTTTTTGTCGTTTTTTTTTTGACAATTTACCATATATATTTGTACCTATTATGATTTTTGCCCCAATTTAGTCCTCTTTCCACATAATTGCGATATTTCTTCAGAACCGATCCACAATCATGCGTTTATCTTGTTTCTTTTTCGTTTCTTCAATGCTTTATTTTGAGTCATAAGCAATGAATGTGCAAATTTTCGCGTCAATCAATTTATTTGACTTAATTGGACAATAATGTCGAAGCGATACGTATTAATATTTGAAATGAAGTGAACAATAAGATAAACAAATAGCGAGTAATTTTAGAATGATCGGCCGCGCTTTGATTTTGTCGAGACTTTCGTCAAGAATTGTCTCAAATTCAAGTAATTGTCGAAATTTTCTCATCAAATCATCTTTATCCTCGAATTTTTAGCTCGAAGTTTATACATTCAAGTTCAAGAGACGCCGAATCCGTTGTCTCTTAAATTTCTACCAGGTATTTATTTTCCTTTTTTTAAAATAATTTCCCTTTTTTTTTGAATTTTTGAAAAACAACTGTAGAAAAATTATCTAGAAAAGAGCCATATTATTTTTCTTTTAAGTCATCTGAACCATATTTGAGAATTTTAAAATTTTAAATATAAAAATAAAACATTATTTTTAATATATCAACTCTGGATTCCTGCGAATCAAACTCACCCTTGATCGGCGCAGTTTTTTTTTCGAATGCAATATATATATATTTTTTTTTTAATATCACATATTCATCCAAAAAAAATAAATCGTCATTTTTATAAACTGAATTTGTTTATTTGCGTATTCTTTCAGGACAAACAATTCTTCCGGATGCTTCGAAAACCTATGATTTCAGTTCGACAACTGCCGCCAAACAGAGTCCGCTGGCTTTGTACGTCGTTTTTTTTTTTCAAATTTCAAACCCTTTCCGTTTTATTTTTTGCTTAGCGAGTTATGCAAAATGTCAAATATTTGAAGAATCAAAATTTTAAGCATGAAGATTAAAATTGTATACGCGTAACCTGGAGCAGTGTCCGCGGATTAATAGTGTTGAACAATAACCAGGCATAAAATGGATGGTTTTACCTAGATCTACATGTTATTTTGTTTGATTAAAAAAAATATTTGAAACGTGTAAAATTTCAGAAAATTGATGCGGATTGATGGCGTAAAACGCGTATTCTTGGGCGAAGACTTCGTAACAGTAACGAAATCCGACGAAAAAACCGATTGGGCAATCATTCGACCTGAAATATTCTCGCTCATCGCCGATCACATTCAATCCGGAAAACCGGTCGTCAATGAAGATACGGGAGCTGCTGCCGAGGAAGAAGGTAAAAATGATAACGGAATGAATTGTTGGAACTCGAGTTCAGATGACGATGAGGTTGTGATGATGATCAAAGAGATTCTGGAAACTCGAATACGGCCGATGGTTCAGGAGGACGGCGGTGATATCGTGTATGTCGGATTCGAAAACGGAACGGTTAAGCTAAAAATGCAGGTAAAACATTGAGATTCGAAGGCGCTGATCCAAATTGGCCAATTTCCAGGGTTCATGCACAGGATGTCCAAGTTCGGGTGTGACATTGAAGAATGGAATCGAGAACATGCTGACATTCTATGTTCCCGAAGTCAAACAAGTCGTTGAAGTCAAAGATGAGTCTGACGATCTCGTCGAGAGAGAATTGAAAAAATTCGAGCAATCTCGAGGAATCACCGAATAATCGTCGTGTACAATAATTAATTTCTAGAAGATTTTGTTTAGAATATAAATTTTAGAAAGAAAGAGTTTATTGAAATGAACAATTCTAATCGTAATCATCTTCATTTCGTATACTCACTGCGCAGACGTCTTCAAAGTAAGCTTTCACAACCTGAAAAATTAATCCTTTCATACTGTCAAAGTCGCTTGACTGCGAAAAATTGGCAAAATTCCAAAAAAAAAAACAATAAGAGTGGTGTTGGCGCAAAACTAAAATTACGGGCCTAAGCCTAAGGATTAAAGGCACACACCATGTTGACAATACTAAAATGTTAAAAAAAACATTTCAGAGAGAATTAGTTGTGAAATAACCAAATGGTATACCTCATCAGTCACCGGCAACTTCACAGTCACTTTTTCTTTTTCCTTGTCTTTATCTAGCATAACTCCGAGTTTTCCTTTCCGTTTACCACCAACAATCATTATCTTGTCGCCAATATTCCTCGGAATCACCGTTTCAAGCCAGGATTGCCTGATCTCTAAAACAAATCGAATAATAATTTTTTTTTCAATAATTATAAGTTACGGTAGTAAGTGTTTCGTCGATCGTCTTCAATTGTGATATCTCGTCGACCAGCGACATCGACAATTCTCACTTTTTGTTTGAACAATTTTCCGTGCTTATAATCAGGATCAACGAAACGGACGAGTAAATCGGTTCGAGCCCACAATTCTTCGCTCCTTTTCGGCTCATCCTCATACTTTTTCGATGATGAAGCTTTACTCTGATATTTTTCAGTTTTCGATTCATATTTGCTATTTCGTTCCTCGATTTTCTGCCTCTCCCGATCATAATTTGCCTTATCTGAAATTCAAAACTTAATTATTTTAGGCTCAAATATAATTCCTACTTAGACACTTTGAATCTCGTTCATATTCTTTGGAGGTGACGGCTTCAACCACAAATTGACTAACCTTAAAAATTCGAATTTTGTTTATAAATAATAAAATCAAGAAAAATTACTTTAATGGATTTCGAACCAATTGCAGTTCGTATGAAAAAACTATTGCTGTCATCATCGCGAGCTTCAACTTTTCCATAAGTTCCCTTATGTCTTCCATCGATGATTTTGATGCAACTCCCCGCATTGATCTCTCCAACAGCTTCCTCTTTTTTCGAATCGCCTGCTTTCGCTTTTCCATTCGATGGAGCTTTTGGAGTCGCGCCGAGACCCAAACCATGTGGTCGCCGCGCAGGAAGTTTAACAGTCACTTTCTAAAATCATAAAAATTCGAATTAGTTTCGTGGCATTTTGTTTGAAATTACCTGAGGATTTTTGCCGATTCCGTCGCCGTCTTTCCAATTGCAGCCCCTCAAAATCGCGAGACCAAATTGTTCGATAGAAACTGCTGAATAATCGGCATCTTCTACATTGGGTTTTTCTGAATTCTCGTCAACTACGATTTTGGCGGCACCATTTGCTGATTCTCCAACTTCATCGGAACTCGACAAATTTAACAAAGCGAGTTTCGCACGTTCTTCGTCGGTTAAAGTTCCTTCTTTTTCCTTATCAAGTAATTTTTGAGTTCTCCAATCATGTTCGACGACCATTGGAATAACGACAACTTCTTTTTTCCTATCTTCCTCGCCACTGAAAACTAATCTTAAAAATGATATTTAAAAAAAATAATTACACAATAGCCCCATCATCGAAATGGGTGAGTTTTCGGCGTTTTGCTTCGCGTTCAGCTTCATCTCTTTCTCGTTCTTCGTCACTGTCAACTTCAACTGCAAAAATCGGACTAGGTTACAGTTTTTCTAAAAAAAAGTAAATTTGAACCGTCAATTACTGCTTTCGGAGCTGTTTGAAGTTTTTTCTCTTCTTTTCTTTTGACACCAAATGAAATTTTTGGAGCTTCAATTGGTTTTGTATTTTTAAGATCTCCGTCTGTGACCCGTTGTTCCACCATTCCCTGAAAAATATTGATTCGTTTTTTGGAGAAGTATAAACATCAGATTGGATGAAACAAGGAAGAAAATTCAAATTTATATTTTCGAAAATCTTAATATCAAAAAATACGCCAAACGATTAAGGCTGGCGCTTTTAGAGTGCAATGGATAATGTCTTCGAATGTTGATTAAAAACGAGTGGGTTCCTGGATCTAGAATAGAAACTGAATAAAAGATATTTAAAAATTTAAAATTTAAGAAAAATCAAAGTTTGAAAATTGGATTTTCTGAAAAAAAAAACGTCGAGGAAAACAGTCAAAAAAAGTTCATAATAAAATATTTAAATTAAGTATATGTTTGAAACATAAAAAAAAACATTGTCGGTATAAAATATATTAATAATTAAATTCAAAAATTAAAAAAGAAGCAAATGAAAATATTTGGAAAACCAGGTTTCATACTTTTTTAAATGAGTACGGTGGGTCAAAGCGGTTACTGTTGTTCCGCAATATTTTTGCCCTCGAATTTTCAATTTTAAAATTTTCATCATTTTTTCAAAATTATATTTTGTATGCTTCTGTAGAAAGCTTAGGCATAATCAAGAATATTTTCGAAATTAGAGAACTCCTCAGGCTAGCCAACTTGCCGTAAAATCACTTATTACAATCTTCTTGATCATTTTTCAATTTTTTAAAACGTTTTTTTTTAGGAAGAGACTATTAATTTCAATATTTGACGTAAATATTTGGAAAATAATTTAGAGCACGTAAATGTCCATAGAGTAATTCATAATTATACAATAATCAGTTTGGACGCAATTTATCGGGATTTCAGTCAAGCTTCTTTTTTATTATTCGATATCCTTAAAATTGTGTGTGGTTTTCTTTAATATTTCGAAAAAATTATATTACAGAAACTCAAACATGGGTAAATACAAACCGTTGCTAAATGTGTATCCAGAACGTAAGAATCAAGATTTTGCCAATGCCTATCAAATGATACTTACGAAGTAACGGACGAATCTATGATTATTTAAAATTGGTATCTTCAGACGGTCAACAAGATCTCAAGGAGGTCCACAGTTTGCCGTAGATTCTTACACAGGAAATGTCATTACGTATGAATCTGATCTAAAAACTGAAGAAAAATATAGTCAAGCATCAAATGTGAAACAAACAAAACGAAAAATAAGTTTATCAATTAATTCAAATGTAAAAATTGGAATTTTCGAAAAATTTATATTTAAATCAAATGTTTCAGAGTAAAATTCGAGTTTCAAAAACGCCTAAAATGGAAAATGCAAGCTCAAATAGTGCTTCATTAAAAGTATTTCAATTTTTTGAATTTTAAAATTGAATTCTTGTATTTTCAGAGAACTTCTACTACCAATCAACTATCAAAAAAATTAAAGACAATTAAGAAAAATGTAAACTAAAAGTTTCCAAATGTTCAATATTATCACAATTCACAATTTAGACTCATGGTGCCAAAAGTGTTTCGAAAATTGAAGAATCATCGAAAAAATCCAAGATTATTGTTGTCTTATTCAACATATTTTTTTTAGCAATTTATTTTTGCAGAAAATCTCATCAAATCGAAAAAATAAGAAAAAGACGACGCTTAAATCGGTATTGTTTATTTTTCGGTTCCTTCCTAATTTCATATCGAATTTTCAGAGTAGTTCTAGCGAGAATATTTCTGAAAATCCGACAAGAGAAACGGTAGTGAAAACCGCAGAAGATTCGTTGGAACCAAAAGCCAAAAGGCCAAATTATAATAATATCATAACAGATGAAAAAAATGAGCGGATTTCTATAAAAGTGCCATTTTTCTTTCTTTTTTAATCATTACATTTCTGACAATTTCAGAGCGGTCCTTCACCTGTTTCCGATCAACCAAACTTGTTGGAATATCCAATGCAAAAGAATCTCGTCGATCTTTTCGCGGAGCTCGTCGACAATCGAAATCTCGCTGAAATGTTCCAGAATCCCGGTCAACTACGCACATTCTTCGTTGATCACTTCATTCCAGCTGTTGATTCGACAGGGACGCCGATTCCCGACGATGAGCTTCCGAGACAGAACTCGTCTCCGAATGTGCCATTAAACGGTTAAGCTGACAACTATAGATAACAAAAGTATTTTAATTATGTTTATTTGCAGGTAATCTCCCATTTGTTACAGTGAACAACGATTTTCCCAACTCGTTTTTCCAACTATTAAAGTATGATGTATGATTTGCAATTTCTAACAATAAGCGTTCGTTTCAGTCAGCAGCAGCCGTCTCCGCTTCAGAATTCGCCGTCATTTAATGCTCTACCCCAATATTTTCCCCATCCGGCTCAATTTCCCGCCAACTTTTATAGTCATTTCGCATTTCCAATGTATTATAAAATGTAGGATGTGAGTAAATTGTTTATCGTTGCTGATTTTTATAAAATAAAAGACTACTACCATTTGATGCGCTCCTTGTACTCTTCTTTGACGCACAATCGCTTCACAATTTCGTAGCCGACAACGACGAGACCCGAATAGATGGAGTTGGCGATGAGACGCGGTGTGAGGCCTTTCGTGAAAATTGCCATCTTCTCGTCGGTCAGCATTGTTTTCAATGTCTTCGGATAGCTGCTTCGATGGACTTGGACTCGGATGCGGAACAATTCCATCGGATTGGTTGCGATCGTCGAAACAGCGCCACCAGCAAAAGCGGCAACCGCTTGATCAATGAGTAAACTGCGCTGAGTCGCAGGATGAAGCTGAACAAAAATATATATTTGTTTAAAAAAAAAAGAGAGCCGGAATTGAAGAGAAACCTTATTAAAAGCATTTTGAAGCCAGTAATAAGTGGGCCAGAAAAGGAGCATTTGTGGCACGTAGACGACAGCAGATGCCCAGAAGCCGCGATAGAACCCGAAGATGCCGTCGGACGCGTAAATAGCCTTCGTCACACTCTTGCCGAGACCATTACCGTTTTTCACATACACCCTTTAATGTGTGTTTGATTGAATTATATCGAAATTGACAGAACTTACGCGACTTTGTCGATCACGGCCTTATCATGCCCCGCTGTCAATTTGTCAGTATTTTTGTAAATCATCATGTACTGCGCAATAATATCAGTTGGCACGAAAATCGCCTAAATCGGAGCTGTTCACTTATCTCATCCGATTTGCGTTCCAATCGCTCACTTGACTCGCCAAACTCGCCCATCCGCCCGCAAAAGCCGCACACCCCGCCACCGATTGATAGCCGTTCTCGTGCATCACAGCTCGGCATTTCTCGAATATCGTCGAGTAAATAAATGAGCATCCGATTTGTGGAACTGTGATCCAAAAACCCTTTAAAATATTATTTTAAAATAACATTTAGTTATATCTAGAATATGTGTTCATACTCGGTAGAGTCCGCGGAATCCTTCGCGACGGGAGATGTCCGAATACGCGTGCAGTGTGCTTCGATATACGGTGTTCTGCTTCTGGAGTTGCAATTGACTTCGCAGCACGGCCAATGGATAAAGTGCGGTTCGAATACTCCATGTACTGCAAAAAATTGTGGCTAATTTTCAGCATAAAAAAAACCAAATTTTATTTTTTCAAAGAGTGACCGAATTTTTTGAAAATTTCTCGGCCAAATTTTCTCGTCCATACCTAAACAATGCCGACGGATAGAAGAGCTTCAAATCCATGTGCTCCCATCCAACAACCGTCAGCGGATCAGACGCACTTCCCGGTCGGCCCGGTTTTGCGTAGCAATCGCGCGGCGCCGCCGGAAACTGCGGCTTACCCTCCAACATTTGCGGCATCTCGAGACTGAACGACATGATGGTGTTGACGAGCGACTCTTCGACTTTCTTCTTATTTCGACTAACAAAAATTTGGGAATAATTGCAAAAAATAATTACGAATGGCGTTTCGACGGCAACGACGTGAAGATCTCGAATTCAAGACGGATTCGAGCTCGACAAGTTATTTTTTTTTTATCTTTGAGCTATCGACGTGTTGTAAAGTCTTTTCTGTTACACAATGCTCATGAGTTAAAAATGCCCGGAAGTGAAAACAAAGCATTGACGAAATCCAAAATAATCTAGATTTCGAGTTATTTTATTCCCTTTTCAACGAATTATTACACTTATAGAATCCACAAAAAACAATAAATATACCAGTAGCGATCATAAACCCAAATTTGCCTCCCTTTTCCCCCCGAAATCGAACGCTCCTTATTCATCGCAAGTCGTAAATCAGTATATTATTCTGACCTTTTCATCCTTCCGGACGAAATCTCATAAAACTTGTGCGAGACGCAGCCGATTGTCGACGCGAACACATTCTTCGCGAATTATGCAGAAAGCATTTTGAATATAATTTCGTTCCCAAATTTGGCAACAACCCGCTCGATGACGATGAGAAGTGGCCTAAAATGGATCAAGTACACTAGTCAAGTTGTTCGACGAATCCGATCACTTTTACCCTGAATTTTATTGTTGCAAATATCGTTTTCGATTTTTCTTCTAGGCAACGAATATCGGTTATGCAGTCTATTTGACAAAAATGAGTGGAGCAAGCGTTTTCATTTTTTTTAATCATTTCGTTTGATAAATTTAATCTAAAAATTTTTTTTACTTTTTCTATTGTCAAACGATCTATCGATGGCGGGAAATTCAATTTCGTGAAATCTGTGTAGATTGACGAATTTGGAGATTTAATTTAATGCGCGTACGCTAAAATGCAGAGTACGCAGACACGTGCACGTCTCTTTGCGTCGAGACCTAGCCAAATTTATTTCAAATATGGAATATTTCAGTCGATTCTTAAATTTTTAAATTTTCAATTCTACTATTTTTTTCATTTTCGTCGTTGATTTTATGATGTTCTACTGAAAGCAGAATTTATAACACAATCCGTGGTAGAATTGACATAACATTTGCTAACAATTGAGGTCTTCTTGCTGTCCGTCTTAAATTTTTTTAATTTTTTGCATGCAGATTCTTTAGAAAATTTCCAATCGAATGAATTAGGTCCCTAGTTATCGAGATATGTCCCTTCAAAGTTTTAGCCCCTCCCCACTTGAATACAAATGTGCGGAAACTCGATATAAGCGCGACATTCCAATATTCTATTTCGAGTCCACATCTCGATAACTAGAAGTTTGAGCAGGTAGGACCATATATTAAAAAATTAACATACTTCCGCAATTAATTAGCTCGAATAAAATGAAACAGTTTATAAAATCCATATTTTATTTTCACCGGCTGATGGGTCGGCTTTTTAAAAAAGAATTGAAAAAAGCCGAGTCGGCTCGGCTCCTGAATTGACAGCGAAAATAGTAAACGATCATTTAGACTTGCCAGATTCGACCGTCTCTGATGATATACATACATACCATTTGTTTGGGTTCATCTTTGATTTTCCAATTCGCCGCTCATTGATGCCCTTCGTGCAGTCCATTCGACTTGTCGCCACGAGACAATGACATAGGCAATTACTATTAGAAATTGTTTCCACATCGCGTCACAATTCGATTTGTCTTCGTAATTCTTCCATGAAAATATCTGTTTGGAATCCTTCTCGTGATCTGTTCATAGTTTGTTCTTTTGGACCCCGTTTTTTTGATTACACTGATTCCTCGAAAGATAAGAATCGAAGGAACGTTTCATTGGAGTCAAGTCAAGTTAGAAAACGTTGGAGAATTGCTTTTTTGGTCTCGCCGCGAACCAATCCAGCTCAACAATAATTCAATCGGTTCACAAAAAAAAAGGCTCGTCGACTTTTGACCTATATGAATCGCGTGAAACCGCAATGACGATGAACGAATAAACACTCATAATCTTGACGGTTTTCACTTCGACTTTCACCGTTTCTGCTGCCTTCTGCTGCAGTCCATCGAGCAATTATTCAAGGGTTTCCTCACGAACACTACGTCCAATTATCGAGAAAGCGCATACGGTTTCTATTGTTCAACACAATCTTCATGCTTCTGCGTCTACGGCTGGCTTCGTCGTATCTAATTTGTGATCTCCTATCGTTACCAACTCATCGCCCGCCACATGTTTCATTCGTTTGACCTTGTTTTCGACATCCCTAATTTTTTTCTGCACTTTCACGATTTTATGTGTACATGGATGGTCTTTTTTTGATTCGCAGTAGTTTTCTATTAATAAAACGATCATTAGGATAACCTCGCTTCGTCCTAAAAAAAAACACTTTTGCGAGTTTTATGATTATTATCCGATCCGAGTTTTTGCATCAGTTCACATCTCGATTATAATTAATTATTGCTGAGAAAGTTCATTATCATCGTTCGAACCCAGAAAAAAAAAACACTAAAATGTAGGTCATTCTTATCATTTGTTATAAAAGATAAAATCGGGATCATTCGTCCGTTTTGGGTCATTTATCTGAACTCCTCCTCCCCCTGCTTAGACAATTTTGTTCTTGTTTCGAACCGAATCGAATGCACATCATCATTTAACGTCTCCTCCCAAATTGTTGCAGCTTCTTCCCAATTGTTTGTGTATTGTGGCGACAATTATACGGACTGTCTGGTGCGTATTGCCGTGTTGACCTCTTTGCAACATTCGCGATTCATTTGAGGATTTCGAAAAGGCACTCAAAAATTGCTTTCGCAAAATTTGCACGCTTCGTTTGGACATTCTTCCAAATGTGGCAGACACTTGCGAGAATTGCTCTTCATTTCTATAGAGTTTCTTGTTTGTTGAATGTTCGAACATCTCGATTTCAATTATTTATTATCCCGTTAATTTCTGATCATCTTGCGCAATCCCGACGCGATGACCAAAACGCCATTTTCTTCTTCTCACACCCCCCCCCCAAAACCCAAAGCTAAAAAAAAATGAGACCCTTGTGATATTAAGGACCAAAATTTTTTATTGCCTTTTTAAAATATCTCTTTATATTGAATTCGCAAAAAAAAAACGAGTACCTCTCGCTGATTTGCGATGAGTTTGATTCGCAGGTATATCCGTAGCAGGGCTGTGCGGCAATGGAATTGCCGATTGCCGAAATTGCCGAAATTGCCGATTTTTCAAATTGCCGAATTGCCGAATTGCCGAAATATTGATTTTCGGCAATTTGATATCAAAAAAATCGGCGAAACCAAAATCAATATCCATTGAATAATTTGGGATACCGTGAAAATTCGGTATTTTTATTTCGAATTATCGTTGAAAACATTTAATAGCCGAAATTTTTATTTTCGGCAAATTGCCGAATTGCCGAATTGCCGAAATTTTTATTTTCGGCAATTTGCCGAATTGCCGGATTGCCGAAATTTTGATTTTCGGCAATTTACCGAATTGCCGAATTGCCGAATTGCCGAAATTTCCGATTGCCGCACAGCCCTGATCCGTAGTACGGTATCCCTTACACGTTTTTACTTAGTCACTTAGTCGGTTCGTCCTTCGCCTGTTGAGGCGCGAACCAGAGCTTTCCAAGCTTTTCGGTCCTTGGCTTGGGTGGACCACGGGGTGATAACGGCTCCTTCAGCTGTTCTTGTTGTGATCTCCTTCCGAAGCGAGTCCGACCATCTCATGGGAAGCCTTCCTCTTGGCCGGGTCCAATTCCACGGCCGCCACTCCTTTAGAAGCGAAGTCCATCTTCCATCTGTTCTTCTAGCAACGTGTCTGTTTCTTCTAGCAACGTGTCCAGCCCAGGTCATCTTCCTCTTCGTGATGTGGTGTAGGGGGTCCCGAACTTCATGCGGATGTCCTCTCGATGAAGATCTTGTTCACGTTGTTGTGATAACGTGAGGCCAACCAATCTTCGCTCAAGCGCAGCGTGACTAATTCGGACTCTCTCGGCAAGAGCTTTGGTGAAGGTCCAAGTCTCTGATCCGTAAGTCAGAACGATCCGTAGTACGGTATCACTAGTTTAAACTCAAATTTGATTTACCCCCTCGATAAAGTCTGAAATTACTCAAGTTGCTCTTTTTTTTGTAAATGTGAACTGAATCGAATTATGTAGCGGAAAATTGTGATAGCGGGGGGTTGTGATTGAAATTTTCTCGTGATGGTCTTATAAATATCACCATTAAACGGTGCATCTTGAACAATTGTGGACCATCATATTTTTTCATTTCAATTTGTTCTATTTTCGCAAAAACGAACGAGCATCAGGATATTCAGAGTACGGTATCCGAATTTGCACTGTTTAAATTCGAATTTGAATTACCGCCTCGAAATAGGTGCGATGGTCCACAATTTGTCAAAGTGCTCGTTTTTTTTGCGATGGTAATGTTTGAAGTGAATTGAAAACTCTATTTGATATGGAATGCAAAAATGTTAAACGCGTAAGGACCATTCAAAATTTGCCAAATTCGTACAATAGGCTTAGTCTCGTTTTTCACATATTTTTTTCTACACTGAGTTTGTGAGCGAGAAGATTCAGATAGAAGTAGTAATCTCCGAAATTTTCAGAATCCCAGATATTTCATTTTTTGGAAATCTTTAAAAGGATCAATTTTGGCTTTAAATTTCAAGAACAGACGAGAAAGAGAAAGAAATATATTTCAAAAAAAAAATTGAGTTTGATTGTTTGCCGAAAATTTCTGGATCGTCTCGCCTCGATTACACTAATAGCCATTCATCGTGCAATTCTGTTGTTCCGCCCGTTGCACCAATTGTTCGACACAACAAAACCAAACTGACTAACTAATAACGAAAATGGCGCTTTCGATTTCACACCAATTCGTGTCGAGAAGCCGCAAGGCACTGTTTGGACAACACGAAAAAATTTCGAAAGAGGAGGTCATTTCGATTGTTGTTTTCTGTGTGATCAGCGCAATTAGCCGGGCGGCGAATCGGCGACGGAAGCAAATTCATTAGAATACAATATCATTTAATTCGAAACGGATTTGTTTTGTGGTTTTGGTGGGTGGCGCGGCGCGAAAGGGCGGAGCATTGGCTTCGACGCGTTTGCCCTTTTGCGTTCCTCATTCATTCTGGGGAAATCCGCGCTCGCTTTCGACGAAGCCGTGTTCGCTTTCAAGCTTATTCCTCGTGCTTACCTTCTAATCCCTGTCTGGCCCCCGTTCAATCAACTCGTCGCTGGTTTACAGACAATGCGCCGCGCAATTATTATAATACTGTCCGTCTGGATCAGTGTTGAGGCGCACACGTCGGTTCTGCAGAATTATGAAGAACGACTCAATTCGGCGTTCAGGAAATCCGGATCGAAAACTATTAAGAGGTAAATATTCATTTTGCGAAAAATTTAAATCGCGAACAATTTTGGAGAAATTTAATTTTTTTATTCTCTAATATAAGACTCTTAGAACTAGATTCGAATATGTACTGTAATACACCAATTATATTTTTTAAAAACTATCTGTAAACACGGCGACGACAATCTGCAGTATTCAGAGTATACGGTATATTTTTGATGTCGGTTTATGACCAAAAAAGGCTACCGGAATCGGACGCTCTACCCAAATTCGTAGAACACTCGCGCATTTTAATTACCGTAACAAAAAAGTACGAAAACCCTTTCTATTGTTAGAAAACCCGCGTCTTGCTTCCAGTTTTCATTTATTTTAATTTTTTTGATATTTGAATTTTTCACAAAACTGTGAAAAAAAAACTAAATTCAGTCCCGAAATTTTAAGTCTTTTAATTATGTGTCGAATAGTTTTGTGAAAATAGGTATAAAAATCTTCTAAAAAAATTTAACTCTGCTGAATTGAAAAAATTATTCCAATGAGACGAATGTTTTTTTGTGTGTGACAATTGCGTCGCGGTGTTTGCACACATTTTAGCGTGCTACCATTTATTTCATTTTTTCTCTGATCTTTTAAACCTCAAATATTTATAAAATAAGATCAAAGACGAAAAGAGAAATGTTTGCGAGAAAATCCACAAAATATCTCAAGTCCGCAAACACCGCGTTATCGGCGGCAATTCAAAATTCCCATTTTCGGAATGTGAATGCGTGTTTATTATTTCATTATTATTTGGTATATATAATTCAAACCAAAAGATTAGAATTTTAAAATTCAATCTTTATGGATCGATGCATTATTATTAGAATCAATTAGTCGGGATATTAATTAGTACGGTTCAGTTCTTTCGGTATCTATAGATTCATTGATCATCGTTAGATCGAGAATCAACAAATTGTTTCGATTTTCAGATATAAATGCGTAGAGGAATATGTGACATACGACATGCATGGTAAGCAAATCGACGCCGTCAAAGGTCCAAAGTTCACAACGACAGTGGCGCCGCCGGTAAGTGTTGGCCATAATTCGTCAATCCATTCAATTTTCAGCTCTCAATTAACCGCGAGCACGAGATTCTTCGAAAACCCGTGAAAAAGGTGACGATAGCGATCAATCGTGAACATCTGAATCATGAATTGACGACGACGACGACGACGACAAAAAAGCCTGAAACGGAAGCGCCGAGAAAATCGCTGGAAGAGCTGGACGACGCTGAAGCGGATCGGATCATCGAAGAAATGTATTTGAATAAAAGAAATGTGAGCGAAAATCGATTGGCTCCACTTGATTCAATTGGCATTTTCAGAAGAATCAAAAGCAAACAACTGTTGAGCCGCCGATACCGACTACACCGAAACCGGACGAAATTAGAGAAGACCGGCGAAAACCGGTTATAATGCATGGAGTGTAAGCACAACTTTGTGACATATTTAGAGAAATCGCTGCTTGTTTTTTCAGCACTGATTCAGAGGACTATTATTCCAATGAGCGAATTGATGATTTTCCGCGTCAGCGAAATCGCAATCTCGAAATCGAAGGATTCGATCCATATGATGACATGATATTCTACAGGAAAATGAGAAGAGGTTTGTCAATTAAAATGCAACAATTTGAATTTGCCAATTTGTCAGAGCACCGTAGAAGACGTCCAATGTTATATGACGATGAAGAGGATCTCGCCGAGTTTCGCCGATCGCCGCCTCATCGTCAACGGACCAATGAGCTCTCGCCGCTTCGCTCGATGAAACGCCTTCGGCCATTTACCAATTATCCAGTGAGAATGCTGCCAGTCGATGGATCAACTCAGCCCATGCGAGCGCCACCAGGTCCGATGCCTTTGGCTCAACCTCCGGGCACTCTTCCAGCGTCTTTGGCGCCTTTGCCAGGCGCGATGAACGCTATAAGGCCGGCAGCATATGCTCCACACTATGGGGCTCCGTCGTTTCGGCCTCAACCTCCGCCAACTCCAACGCCGGAGACGCTTAAAATGAAGCCATTGTTGCAATCAAGCACCCAGGTATTTAATATCGAGGCGTAAATATGAAACGAATTGAATTTAGGAGATGCAAGAAGCGACTCTGGAAAGCTGCTCGAAAATCGCGAAACTCGGCAAACAATTCGGAATCAATGATGTTTCGAGTTGGGCTCGAAGCAATTGCTCATTCCTCCAAATGTACGCGCCAACCGCCAGCTGCGAGCTCATCTATCACTTCATCGACTCGTGCAAAAACAAGCACTTCTTCTAATTCCTTAACACATTTATTCAATGTTGCTCAGCGCCCTTTAATTTCCATACGGGACCCAAAAATTCATTCCAAATATGTATATGTACATTATCATTCGCAAAATTAAATACGATTCATTCCATTTCAATGTGTATTATAATATCAATTGGCACAGAATTTGTCGCGATCATCGATCATCAGCGAATCGAAATCAAACACTGCCATTCTTACGCGATCATAAGAGACCAAATCGAGATTCCATCCGCCGGAGTTTGTTCCTGTCGTGGTTTTCATAGCGATTCCAAGCTCTTTTACTCTCGAGAAGTTCCTAACAATTTCGAACTGATTTTTTTGGGCAATTAAATTCATCTTACTTAATTGAACATGAATCGCCAAGACTGTTCGAATCCAATAGTGCTCCATTCAAATTGTTTCCACAACTTCCATACCACCATCCACTAAAGCAATTTTTTCCAATTTTTTTAAATCGAATTCCTCTTACCCATATTTCTGTACTTTATTACCATCATCTTCATATTCAAGAATATCGCAACTAGCACTGAAATATATGAGAAATTAGTTTCAGATTACAAAAATATTACCATCACCAAAAAAAAACCGAGGACCCCTCGTTAACGTAATTTAATAATAAGAGCGGGGTTTGATGCGCGTATCCAAATTTCCAGTTTAAATCGAAATTTCGATTTTCGCCCAGAAAAAAAAACAATTGGATTGTCCGTAAAAGGCAATATTATTGCGAGTTTCCGCAATTTTTTTTTCAATATCAAGAAATTTTCATGAATTTTCAGTCACACAATTAAAATAATCAAATAATCGAATTGAACGGTCGGAGTCATATTTGTTAAAATATAAATCTTGAACAGATATTGAAGGAATTCTATCTATTAAATTTTCAAAAAAGGACAATTTTATGATCTCATTTTCAATAACGATGTTTTTTTTTACTGGAATCCTATCTTTTCATTTTTTTTTTGCATTTTTATTTGAAACCGACGCCGACCGCGACGCATACGCAACGCGACCGATTCTGATCGAGCATAGCCGGGCTCGGCTTCGAAATGACTAATCTGCAGTGAATAAAATGCGAATGGGGGACATTTTGAAGAAAAACCGAACAATGTGGGTCTCATAACGCCAAACTATTCGAGTTTTCTATAGTCTGTTGTAAGCGTGTAGATTTACGCGCATGCGCCTTGAAAAGGGGCCATTTATTTAGCTGTTTTCACGTGAACTCTTTATTTTTTTTTTCTTTATGAGTTTGGCATTTCTTTGAATTTCCAACGTCATTCGAATTTAGAACTATCGAACGCACAAATAAAATACAAAATTACCATCTAGTCCAGGTGAGACCAAGAGAAAAATGAATGTCCGTAAATCTACCCAGTCTCCGGACGCCGGCTATATTTATTTCATATCTTGACGGCAATTTTATTCATTTTGAAAGATTAACGTTCTATTCTCAATCTCCTTTTTTAACAAAATAAAATGTTTGATTTGTATTTTTTGTCTCCTCCCAAAATTCTTATTCTGTTACTGAGCCTCTTCGTGGCGAAGAAGATAAACTGTTCATGCTCCTCTACATAACTGGGGATTTCGTCACCCCAGTGGAACATGCTCAGGCTAATCAGTACACTGTCCCACGCAGGCCGAGGGTAGAGTCGAATACTCCTCATCCGGGCGGCTTCGATTCGGCCTAGCAAGCCGGAAGAAGTAAACAGGGACCCAGTCCGCTAAAAACAGTATAAAGCGAAGAAATGTCCCGGACCCGAGCTCTGCCCCTGGATTGACAGTTACAGGACAAGCAGAACGGGAGCAACCCGGGCCTGATGGCAACTGTCTGGTCTCGGTTAATGGAAAATCGCCCCCAAAAACACGAAAAGTTCACTTCAGAATTGGCACATTCAACTGTAGATCGCTCGCTACAGAAACCAGACTCTCTGAGCTCCTCAATGAACTCAATCGAATCAAATTCGATATCATTGGACTCAGTGAGACGAAAAGGCCAACTGAAGAGCATATGAAACACGTTGATGGGACAGCGATTTTCCTAGGCAAACGTCATGACACTTCTGTTGTTGGAGGGGTCGGCTTTGTAGTTCATAGCACCCTCGCTCCCCGTATAGAAGAAGTAAGATTTCTTAGCCACAGGATCGGCATGCTAACATTCAAGGTCGGAAATAAGCTTAAATGCACAGTCATGCAAGTTTATGCTCCAACCGCCGACGCCGATCCTGAAGAAATTGAACAATTCTATGACGCTGTGGAAGAAGCTTACCGTTCTTGTAGGAGCGACTACAAGCTAGTCATCGGTGACTTCAACGCACGCGTAGGGGCCAGAAGTAATGAGAATGAGCGGTTCATCGGAGTCAATTCGATGGAACCGCGCAATGACGCTGGTGAACTCCTCGCGACCTTCTGTGAAACAAACCGCTTATGGCACACAAACTCGCTTTTCCAAAAGCCAGCTCATAAGCGTTGGACTTTCATAAGTCCAGATGGCCTCTTCAAGCACGAAATCGATCACATCCTCGCCAACGGGAGGTTTGTAACAGATACTTCGGTGCTGCCATCATTCACAGTAGGAAGCGACCACCGCCTTCTCCGTGCGAACATCCACTTCAACATAAATTGGCTGAAGTACGATAAAAGCAGAAAGAGAAAGGCGCCGAAGAAAGTATTGGACCCGGAGATGGCTAAAACAATAAGCTCGATTGTTAGTCTTCCAGTAGCCAACAGCGTTGACGAAGATTACTCTAATCTAACAACGCTACTCAGGAAACTACAAGACCAAGCCATTGTTAAACCATCAAACCACCGGACCAATAGGATCTCTGTCGAAACACAACAATTGCTCTCGCGCAGACGAAACATGAGCAGGTCCGATCCCAATTTCAAGAACCTCTCAAAACAGTGCCGAGAAGCAATCGAAAGAGATTACAAGGAGTTCACCAATTCCCGGTTACTAGGAGCAGCCGATCAACGCAAAAGCTTGAAGAGAGTAGCGCGAGACATGAACGAATACAAGTCACTGATTCCATGCCTCAAATGCTCTACTACAGGCAGAACTCTCACCTCTAGAACAGAAATGGAGAAGGAAGTGGAATCGTTCTACACGAAGCTCTTTGCGAGTAGAGCCCCACAAGCGCCTACGCCTACGACAGCGCAAGTCAAGGATAGGCCCCTTCCATTTCTACGAGAGGAGATCGTTTCGGCACTTCGGTCCTTCCCAAATGGGAAATCAGCTGGTAGTGATAAAATAAGCGCAGACTTCCTCAAATGCTGCCACGAAAACACTATCGCGCTGATAACGGACCGATTTAACCGCTACCTAGAAACCGGATCAATACCGAGACTGTGGACCAAGTCAGAGACAACTATCATCTTCAAGAAAGGTGATAGATACTCCCTGGAGAACTACAGGCCAATCACGGTACTCCCTGTTCTATACAAGGTTTTCACAAAAGGCATCTTGAATAGAATCAGGAGTAAACTAGAATCCAACCAACCTGTAGAACAAGCTGGGTTCCGCAAGGGCTTCTCAACAGTGGATCACATCCACTCTGTCCAAAGACTGCTAGAAGTGGGACGAGAATATCAAATCCCACTCACACTTGTCTTCGTTGATTTCAAGAAGGCGTTCGACAGTGTTGAGCATTCAGCAGTGTGGCAGAGCCTAAGAGACCAAGGCGTTGAAGAAGCGTATATCCAGCTACTCCAAAGTTGTTACTCTGATTGTTCCACAAGCATCACGCCATTCCATCGACAGGTAGAGATACCTGTTCGAAGAGGAGTAAGGCAAGGTGACCCAATCTCGCCGAACCTTTTCTCCGCGTGCCTGGAGCAAGTTTTCCGTGAATTGTCTTGGAGTCAATTCAAAAACGACTCAGAAGACAATACGAACACTCCAGGATTACGAGTGAATGGCCGCAACCTCACACACCTGCGGTTTGCAGACGACGTCGTGCTCATAGCGCAGTCCGCAAGCGGCATCCGAGATGCTAAGTGAGATGGTTGCGAGATGCGAACAAGTAGGGCTCCAGATTAACGCTGGAAAGACCAAAGTCCTACGTAACCCGTTCGCAGACTCCGCCAAGGTTACCCTAACGCACCAGAATTCGGTCAGTATCATTGACGATGTTGACGAATACGTGTACCTTGGAAGACTACTCACCCCCAAAAACGAGCTAGTCAAGGAGATCTTCCGAAGGAGAAGAGCAGCTTGGGCAGCGTTTAATGGAATCAAGAACACCACCGATTTGATTTCCTGTAACAAAACCCGCGCACAGCTCTTCGATTCCATCGTTCTCCCAGCGCTGACTTACGGATCAGAGACTTGGACCTTCACCAAAGCTCTTGCCGAGAGAGTCCGAATTAGTCACGCTGCGCTTGAGCGAAGATTGGTTGGCCTCACGTTATGACAACAACGTGAACAAGATCTTCATCGAGAGGACATCCGCATCATGTCTAAAGTTCGGGACCCCCTACACCATATCACGAAGAGGAAAATGACCTGGGCTGGACACGTTGCTAGAAGAACAGATGGAAGATGGACTTCGCTTCTAAAGGAGTGGCGGCCGTGGAACTGGACCCGGCCAAGAGGAAGGCCTCCCATGAGATGGTCGGACTCGCTTCGGAAGGAGATCACTACAAGAACAGCTGAAGGAGCCGTTATCACCCCCTGGTCCACCCAAGCCAAGGACCGAAAAGCTTGGAAAGCTGTGGTTCGCGCCTCAACAGGCGAAGGACGAACCGACTAAGTGACTAAGTGACTAAGTCTCCTCCCAAAATTCCAAATACGGACCCTAACAAACTTACATAGAGTTCGGACGAATATATCTGTCAGGGGTAGCGAATGGAGCATTAATATCTTTCGCTGAAAGAGTATTTCAAGTCAATACTAATAATTAATTTGTTTTTTTTTACCTCCTGAGCTAAAGTCCAATCCAATACCTGAAATATCAGCAGTGGCTCTTAATGTATAGTTTGAAGATTCATCGTCAATCTGCAACAAATGCCTCATCATATGATTAAGCGCTCTCCGAACACACATTTTGATTTTCAATTTTCAAAAAAGAGAGACAATTGTACCTGAGCAAAATGACAAGTTTTTAAATTTTACAATGTGATTTCACAAAATACTCCAAAAACCTAGGCCACGGCCACATTTTTCGAAGCCTTCCACTCCACAATTGTTCGTCAAATCGCTGCAAGAATCATGAAAAACTTGCATATAAAATAGAAACCGTAATAGAAAAACATGGATTAAAAATCAAATCTTTACGATTTAAGACGAGATTTCATGATTCTTGCAGCGATTTCATAAAAAAAAAAGCTGTGATACTGCCGGCTTCGGAAAACCTGGCCGTGGCCGAAGTTTTTGAAGTTTTTTTTTCTGCAATTTTCATATCGATTTTTAGGGCTTTCTATCGATTTGTTTCATTTCTTTTGAAAAAGTGTAATAATTTTTAAATTATATTTTTTAAAATATGTGATTTTTATTGAACTTTTGAAGACCCACAAGTTCACGAAACAAAATTCTTCGTTTTATGCGTCGAAATTTATAATTTTTGTGCAGCTGACAAATCTGGTTATTACTTTTTTTTTAGATTATTTTTTTTTGCATTGCCTTTCAACAGAAATTACTTGTAGCAAACTTCTTTTTTTGTTTCCAGTTTCGAACCTTGAATTGGTGATAAATGAGTGTTTGCACGGGCTTCTTTTTGCAGCACAAATCGATACGCAGTGCGTAATCCTTGCCAGAATTGGTGAGATTATGCATCGCGTTGAGACCCATCCAGTAATTGCCATCGCCGTGATCCGAGCATCCCAGTGCTGATTTGTACTCATCGAATGTCGCATTGAAGTTTGTTTCGACACAGCTCGGACCACGACTGAAAGTTTCAGCGATTGAAAGCTACAAATGGGATTCGCGGATGCCTTTGAATTGTTGTGTAAGCACCGTATGGTTTGAATTGGCAATACACTTTAATTGGTGTGACACCATCGGGATAGATGGTCTTCTCGCCATCCGTCCGATCGTCTTGCTCGATGTCATTGCAATCAATTGGCAGTTTTGGAGCTGAAGTTAATTTTGCGAGAGTTTTCAAACATTCGCTTATTGAAGCAAAAATGAACTATTTTTTGGGAAATACAAGATGCGCCTTGAAATCAATTAATATCCGCTCGAGACCTCTTTAAAGGTGCATGTCTGTTGAATTATTCAAACCTCTCGTTTCCGATTCATTTTTGACGGCGTCGTTTTTTTGCGAGATTTTACCTGTAGTCGTTGACGGTGGAGAAGTTGGCGACACAGTCGATCCTTGTGTGGTGGATGGTGCGAAAGTAGTCGTCGCTGGTGGCGGAAGATTCGATGCCCAGGCAATTGAGACGCTGAAATTATAGGCGATAAATTAATTCTCGCCATCTTAATTATTACAATGTTGGTTTGGCAGCGTCTCGCGAATTCGAATAAGAAGCGAATCCTGTTGGATCGGACGTTGAAACATTGAACACATAGTCGTCGATTAGATTGCTTCCGGACTTGAGAACAATGTGAACAGAGAAACCCTATGTGCAAGAAAAATGGTATTGGGAATCACAGGATGTCTTACAGTCAATTCACTGGCAGGACTTGAATCAGCCACTATCAGATTAAGACCGACAGCTTTGTTGGATCCGGTTGTGATTGCGATTGCTTCACTCAATGTGATGGAATGGGCAGTGGTACTGAAAATTTATAATTATCCGGAAAATTATATTTTGAAATGTAATCATATATAGGCAAAAAGAGCTTGGAATTTTGGTTTTTTGGTTTCCAAGCAATTTTTTGGATTTGGTATAATTACTCCGATTGGTTTGATCATACGTTGAAACTCCCGCTTGAAGGGTCATATTGCATCCAACTCCAGCGAACTCAAAACTCGAACACAAGCTTCCATCGTTGAGCTGTCCCGATGGATTATCAATATCTCGAATGAGAAGTTTGAAGTATGTCGGATCATCAGCTTTTATCTGAAATTTTTAATTTCGAAAACTTAAAAAGCAAATAAAAGTTCATTTTGCAAACTGAAATTACCACATGATTTGTCTGATATTATAAAAAATATATCTGAAAATTGAATGAAATCACGATTCCAAAATGAATGACATAATATATAGAAATTGATAAATAAATATTGTCATGTGACAAAGTAATAAAATCAAATTGCAAAAGGTAATAAAATTGATAAAATCGTTTCAATTATTCGCTAAAATTTGAATTATGATTGCTTAGTGCAATTTTATTGCAAATATTTGAAATTTTTTAATTTTGCAAAGTAAAATGAATGGTATTTGGTTAAGGAGATTCCAATAATTAGTCATACAATATATTGAGGTGTTTCTGAATATAAAATGTTCAGAAAAACGAGCACCCCGGGTATTTTCATCAATGCATTCATCCAAATTTAAAATGACATTGAGTGCTTGGTTAGACTGCTGTGAGGCTACGTGGTCCAACCAACCATGTTGAACGGGGGGAACTAATAATTTGGGATTTAGAGAACTTCTAGAAGCATTCGAAACAGTCGGTTTCTAGCAACAAATAAAAAACAACTCACAGAATCGGTCGCTGCGAGACTCAGCGCAAAAACTGCATGCGGCATTCACTTCCGTATTAATCAAAAATTCGAAATATTTTCAGCATCCCAAGGGAAGCAGGGCCTTCGAATTCGCGAAATTTCAGGTGAACGAAAATCAGTCAGATTCAAAAAAATAATTAAAATTCGATTAAAAAACATTTGAATTTAATTTGAAATCTTTGTTTCAAAAAATTGCTCATTTTCAATTTTGAAATCGTATTCGAATGAAATTTTCGAATAATTCGAAACAAATTAATTTATTTTGATTGAACACTGAATTATTTTCGAAGCCGATTGATTTTCCTTTGCCAGAGATCAATTTATCGTTGACTGAATACAGTGCGTTTCACATTTATAATGCCACCCCTGTTTTTGGGTGTAACTTTTCGGCATCGGTGAGCAAAAATCCCCGGGACATGTCCAAATGTTGGTTAAAATACGCGGAAAAAAAGAAAAATATCTTACAGTACTCTATTTATAACCACACTGCTCATTCTTCTTCAGGTCTCCACAATTTCAGACCTTTCACTGGGGTGGCTTTATAAATGTGAAACGGTTGCAAGTGACCAATTTTCAGTTTTTTTCAATCCCACTCCTCCAATTTTTCAGATATCATTATGAAAATTGATAGATATACGTATTTTTAAGCCCTGAATTTAATTTTGAAAACAGAATTTAAAAATGTTTACAATTGACAAAGTTACACCTAAAAACAGGGATGGCTTTATAAATGTGAAACGCACTGTATTAAATGCGCGTACGCTATAATGCAATGTACGCAGTCTCTCGTACATCTCGTTGTTTCTAGACTCATTGGCACATTGCCAATCATTTTTTAGAACATTTTTTTCAGTCGTTTGATGCAGATAATAAGTTTTCTTAAAGAGCCGTCCGACTTTTTCTGTTTAATTTTTTCTTTTTTTATATTCCAATATCAAGAAGTTTCCATGAAAATTGTGGCTATACTCAATTCAGTCACGCAATTAAAAAATAAAATAATCGATTAAAGGCTGGGTTGGGTCTTGTGGCGACCGAATCCGATTGCCGCTTTTTTTTCTGAATCGGACTATTCATAAACAGGTGTTGGTTCAAAAATTCAACTTTTCATGATTTCATTTTTTTTTTTGAGTGCTGAGGAACTACCCCCCCCCATTTTTAATAAAATATTTAAGTTTTAAAAAAATTGCATAGAAACGAACCAGCGCGAAAAAGCTCGATAGAATGAGCACCGCACTTATCGAACGGAGCATTCTGTTGAAGAAGGTGCTGAAATTGATTACAGTAATAAATGGAATTGAAATGTTTTTGGGGCGTTGTTGGACAACCAATTCCGGACGTCATAATTAGTCGCGATAAAAAACGCATAAAACGAATCATTAAAATTTTTTGATAATAAGGAGGAGGAGAAGAGCCAAATGAGCGGGTTGAACGCGATTTTCGGCGCATGTATGGCACACACACAAACATATAATTCATCGGGGCGTTGTCGCCATCTGAGCCGTCCCATCTGATAACCGTACTTTATATCAGTGTGTTGGTTTAGCGCCTCTTAAATCGGCTTAAACCGTTTGGAATTCAAGTTTCAATTTTTCATTCATTCGATGATGATTCCTTTCAAATTTGTTTAGTCGATCACTAACAAAATAATTGCATAAAATATAAGGAAGATTGAGTAGGAAAGAGCAACGCAGAGAAGCGCGGTCCGCTTCCGATTGCCCAGCATGGCGGTGGTGATTTGGCGCTGAATTGGCGTCTGAACTCAATCAATGTCTGCTTTTTGCGAATTTCCTATACGCTTTTACCGGCCCTGGTCTCGCAGTGACAACTGTTGTTTTCGGAGTGCTCTCCTGCTTCATTAAAAAATCGATGACGTGATTGACGAATCGGAAGGGGCCGGTGTGCTCGGCGACACCTGAATTCGGCGTGAATCATTCGTTTATTTACCAAAACCAACTTTTGCTCATTATTTGCACCGGACTCGCTTTTTTCGTGTTCTCATCAACGTGCACCATCAATGTGTACCGTACTCGACGAGCTGGAAGTGTCAGATCGATGAGCACAAGAAATATTGAATGGATGAATGTCGAGCATAGCCAGAGATCCATCAGAGTTGCCGCTGTGTATGGTCGTTGAGAGCACAGCTGAAAACCCGCAAAAATGTCCGCAGATCATTTTTAACATAATAAAACGCGAATCCCCTCAATTTCTCTAATTTTTTAAAAAATAAATTGGGGATTTTATTTTATTTTATTTTTTACCATAATTAGTGTTCCGATCATTGCCGAGAGCGAGACCAATACCTGCAATTAACACGGTTTGATGGCAATTCTCACTTGAAGCGATTTACTTGTATTTTTCGTCGTTTCCATTGCGCGAAGAACACCGCAGCCATCATTAGAATGGACGGAAGGAATGCGGAAAGAACCGCTCGCGGCCATTCAGCTTTGAATGTTAGCTCAATTTGGCACAATGGATAATCGGCTGAAATCGAGATGTCAATTCATTTGGACGAACCCAATCTGTCAACTTGCCAATTGTGGTTCGGACCATTAATTGCTGGGCGATTCCGCGAAGATCGGTGAAGCTCGTCAATGTGAGCATCTCATCTAAATGGCTCATCACAAAATGTTCGAATAGTCAATTGTACCGCTTTCCGAAGCAACCGCCACAACACACGTGAACGTCTCGAATGGATATTTCCACGCGTCCGCCGTACATTCCATATTCTGTTTGATCGTGTGATAGCTTGAAATTGTTCCGGTCGTCGGCGCCAGTGTGACATATCTTTAAGTAAAAAAAAAAATGACTATCGTAATTCTTACACTTCGCTACTTGGATGAGAAATTGGGCGAGAAGATGAGCTGCGGTTGCCATGCGGTGTATTCCGAAGGCATTGTGAAGCGATCGCTCAACTCACGAAGAACGAGACGTTCGTCGATCCACGTCATCAAGATGATCAATTCCAAATAAAGCGCTCTCTTTAAAATGAATCGAGTTTTTTTTTTCAAATAATTATCTCGCCACATTTACATTATTAATTCGAGTATTCATGAGATGCATTTCAACGGGAATATTGAAGAATGTGCCATTCTGATTCGACACGAAATTCTCGGGTGCCGACGGTCGAACAGCCGAATGGTAATATTTGAATTTGCGCGCCAATTCGTTCAGCTCGTTTTGTGAAATGCTGCAAAAAGAAACCATGCGGTGGAAGCCTTAAAATTAATCTCGGGCCCACAAGGTCCGTCTCGGTGCCGGTCGGGACCCACAGATTTGTAGAAATTCAACAAGATGAGACCATTTAACATCGAGACTTTTGCCCTCAATTGAAAAATTTCCAGATATTCAAATTCGCGAGTTTTGCCGCGTAATTCAAATCATTCAAAGTTGGTTTAAAGGCGCAATCATCACTTTAATTACCTACCTGTGTACAATTCGAATATTGGCAAAACTGAAAAATAGCAAAAAAATGAATGAAAGGCATTTGTTGGGCATCGTTTTGCATGGCTCGTCGCCTTGATTTGATATTCTCCTCACTTTTTTCGTCGCATTGACTTCTGACTTTCTATATTTCCAATTCGGGTCTGCAAAAACTAATCATCAATTCTCATCTGCGGACAATATCATTCTAGTTTCGAACAACCTAAAATCGGGCCAAACAGTCTAATTTTGAAGAAGGCGACTTTTCGGAATGCAACCTGAGTTTGAGTATTCGACAAATCTGAAATTCAAGACTCTTGGGAACCATTTCAAAGAAATGACGTGAAGGGTAAATATTGAAGAGAAAATATGAATCATTTCATGGTCTCATGTGGAAGTTTAAAGGAGCACAGTTGAAATTGGATTTTTTTTCGATGATCAAACAATAAATTCAGGTTTTTTGGAAAATTCGTAGCATTTATATTTGAACAACCTTTTAAAAATTTGGAAAAAAAAAAACTGAAACGACCAAAATTTTATTAGTTGAATTTTTTTTGGATTTGCATTAAATTAAGTGAACAGTAATTGCGGGTCTCAACACGAAAACCATAGTTTCATCGAAAGCAAATTCACATTTTATTTTGCTCCGCGAGAAGAAGTGCAATAAAAAAACCATATGTTTTGGGTTTCGTTTTGTCATTTCAAACTACATTTTTGTGGGCGTGTAGCTGAAAACCTTGAACACAACGAGAAACCCACAAACACTCGCACATAATTATGGTCTTTTCGTCAAACAAAATGCCCAATTTTTCCGGAACCTAGCCGATTACGGTGCACTCTTATCAATGAGCGCATGTCTGTTGAATGAATACAAATTCAATTCCGATTTTTTTTGTGTTCAAGTGGCCGAATGACTCATTCGTTTGTTCGAAATATGGCAAAAACCTCATCGACGAATCATTGGCAATTAAATGATTAGCCAATTAATCATTTTTTGATTAACACATTTCATATTATTCATCATGAAATTAATCTTTTTTGAATCTGAAAAAAAATTCTTCTGAAACGATTTCTATTGATTTGAATTTGAAGGATTCGAAACAAAAATCGAATATTAGTTTTTTTTGTTTTTCTTAAAATCCAATAAAAAATAAAACTGGCAGGAAAATTACAAATGAAAAAAAAATGATTTAATCGTCAGGTTTCTATTGATGAAAATTTGAGGTTTAAAAAAACGGCATAATAGAAATAAGAGGTTATTCTATGTATTAATTTTTTTAGAAAAAAAAAATGCAATTCTAGAATTAGTTTTGCTAAATTAAGAGTTTTTGCAACAGAAAAAGAGATGTTTTCTTTTTTCTACATTAAAGATGACCCTAGTTATATCTTATAGCTATCTATTCGATTTTAAACCAATTTTTCAAAATTTAACTTCAAAACGTCAAAAAAAGGAAAATTTTAAAAAGCCATGAAATCAAATTCGAATATAGTTATATATAGTAATAATAATAAATTAATATTCACATGATTGATTCTAAATAAGGGAATACCGGGTTAGTGTCACTAATTGCGGGATGTACTGTCGCAATCGTGTCTCCGCATAACCAACAAAAACTTTTTTTGTCGAGGGCCGTTTATGTTACGTTTCAATGGGTTTTATTTATTACGCGATTTGTTTTTGTTTGAGAACAACAAATAGTTTCTAGTTGGGGGAAACGAAAAAAATGGGGAAAATGAAATGAAGTAATTATCGGGTAATTATGCGGGCCAAATAGGAACAGTGGCGTTTGAAGCTATCGGCTCTGGTAATCATTCTCGACAGGCCAAATTTGGAGAAATCTTCGGCTGGCATTCAAAAATTTTCATTAAAATCGCGAAAAATCGATCGAGCACCCTTATTTTTGTAATTTGTCCTGTGTCAACTCAAAATCAAACGGCATTCGTCGGCTCCGGAATCAACCTGATCCGATCGCTAATTCTACTGATAACATTGTGAAATTGCCGAATCCGATTTGTAACTTATTGGATTCGACTTGGTTCGAATCCGATTTGAATTGAAAAATTAAAACAGATCGGATCCGAAAATCCAAAAAAAAAAAACCAATTGGTTGATTCCGACGCCTAATTTTATCGGTCGGATTCGATTGGTTTTGAATTAGTAGAGCGAATTGGAAGAAACTGACAAGCTTCTAGCGGTTTGGAACATTTTCAATGAACCACCTAAACTCATTTTTTTTGTCCGCAGCTGCAACATCAGTTAGAAGCAACAAAAAAGCAAAGAAGTGATAGACCGCACTAACTCGGAACAATTATACAGGGACCAACCTAAAATGAAGGTTTGAAAATTAATTTGTCAAAAATAAAATACTACGAATTACAGATTGGTTTTGAGAGAAAGTACCGGAAGCGAGTCATTTTGAGATTAATGCAGCCATTTTGTCTCAATTAACCGACTATTTCGAACTTGTTTCAAGTAGAATATCCAAAATTTGAAGAAAAAAAAAGAATTCTGATATGAGAGGATTAAAAATGAAAACTGCGGTTCAGAGATGCCGAAACTCGAATACTCGCACGATTGTCTTCTTTTCTTTGCTTTCCACACGCAGATTTTATTGTCGGCGTCGAAAAGGCTGAACGAAATTGAAAAAAAAAAAACAATATATATTCCCAATTTTTGGTTAAGAATATTTTGTAAAATCAAAATAACGTAATTTTCAAAATTATAATTCACAATTAATTGAACGCTTTTCAAGTTAATTGTGAAAGGAATGTTTTAAATTTCGCTATATTCGGTTAAAGTTGTTCAAATGTGCTGAAAATATGGGCGGTCGAGATCAGAGAGCAATGGAAGATAAAATTTGGAATCGAATCTCTGAATAGACGTGTCCTTCTCAATTTTTGACCAAAAATGGTGGGAATTAAAGTGGAAAATGTGTTGTCAATGTATAACGGAAGAGTGTGTGAAATAGGTGAGAAAAATGGGCGTCTTGAGGAACACAACTTGGGTTCTTGATTATAATATATAATTAATAAAACGCCCAAAACTGGTTTTTTCGGGAAAGAATGACGAAACAAGCGGATTTTTTGAATTCTCATTTCAAAATCAATATATTGTTCTTTAAGAATGAGAGGAATTGGAAAATTGACGAAATTGAAAAGAATAAAGACCACTGATTGCATAAGTAGTCAAGTAAGTAGTATAAGAACTGTTGATGCTAACGCACCCTTTCACCAATTTTTCCAAATTCGGCGGACGGTGGGTGGGCCAATAATAAAATTGTCTAAGTGGCAATGGGCTGCGCGACTAGTCGCATTCAGACATCGCAGGTAATAAAATGCTAATCATAGATTTTCCTCGTTTCGAGACCTATCTTCAATTAATTTATTAATGCGCGTTCCAATCACAAATAGTCACTCATTTCCTTTTTTGTTTGATGCCGCTAATTGTCAAATGAAAAAACAACAACTTCCAAATGAAGAATATACTTGAGTAGTATAACAACTGTCGCTTCCAACCCACCCTTTCAACCGCTTTCCAAATTCTTGCATTTCAGCCATTTATTCATCTAAATCACAACTATCTTTTAAATTATTGCAACATTGATTATCAAAAATTTTTTGAGAACGATAGAAATATGAAGAAGATGGCAGGAAAACTGATTGAATGCCTAAAACAGCGCCACCTTTCCGAAATTGCTAAAAGCAGCCAATTCTACGCACAATTGCAGACAACCGTACATTTTCCCACGAAAATATTTCACGCCTAAAATTTAATTTATTTTTCAAAATTGTAAACAGAATTACAAATATGCGAGTCAGTGGTCTTAAATTTGAAATTTGATTCAAGAATGCACCCAACCAACAGAAAATTCAAAATTACTAACAATTCTGGAATCACGACAACATTTCGTTCCTTTTTTGGTGTCGCTCGATTACATTTGCAGAAAACGGCATAACACACTCGATAGGGAATTTCAGTTTGTGTGCAAAATGAAAAAAATTCGAAACCACCAAGTAAAAACACCTTCCTTGTAAATGGCGTCCGCAAGCGGCATCCGAGATGCTAAGTGAGAGATTGTTGCGAGATGCGAACAAGTAGGACTCCAGATTAACGCTGGAAAGACCAGAGTCCTACGTAATTCCTTGACAGACTCCACCAAGCACCAATTCAAACTATTGTCATATTTCAAAACATTTATTGTATTTTTAGGGTATTCGCGGCAGACGTGGAATAATTTATTGCAAAAGAAATAAAAAAAACAAATCATTTAGCATTTTGGCTGGAAATATTTCCACCGCTAGCAGTCGAGCTTTGTTTATAACCTTCCTCGAAAAATGTATTTATTAATATATATTTTTTTTTCTTTGAACATATCTTTGAATATATATATATTTTTAAAATTATTGACCACTCTCTCTTTTTCTTTTTTTAATGCATAAATTGAGTTGCTTCATAAAATTGTTGACTTTCAGATCGTGAGATGTGAACGCTCAACTATTGCCACATGGATTATTCAGAACAAGGTAGAATCCACTGTCTTACTTATTTCATCCGCCTATTCAATTAGGCGGATATTTTATCCGCCTAATTGAATTTCAGTTAGAACGGCTCTTCTTCACACTGATTAAGCGCGACGCAAGCATAATGGAAGCATTGTGGGAAATCTGTGGAACGGAAGCATAATGCTTCCATATAGGAAGCATAATGTAATTCTTAGTGGCTGTGGATGAAATATGGGACGAATATGGATGGAATGAAAACGGGATGAATATGCTTCCGGTGTTTGCGAGCCGTGGAACAAATATGGATGGAATATGGATAAAATAATCATATATCATTACACATTATACAATTGGCGTCTGGACGGCAGACCAAGACAATTTCTAGAAAAATCAATACAAAAAACTTATGCTATCATATAAACAATGAAAATTTGAAAATTACATGATACACAACATACGAAATTTAGCTTCTACCATTTAATGACTTATGCTACTCAGATTTATGTTAATTCAGTCAACTGTTCCTTACTTTGTTTAAAGATTGCCAACTACAATTTAGTCGTATTAATATATTTTTGCCGGTTTTTCCGAAATTGGCATCGCAAACTACTCACAATTTGCTCCAAACTGGTAGCAGACGCGCGTAGAAGAGGCGTGCCGCAGCATTGCAAAACCGTGCGCCGCTTTGCACAATGCGGCCACGCCTCACATTTTCGAAATTCGTTTTCAAAATTTTTGTCCTTTTGCTTTTTCTCAATGAATTTTCAAGATTTTTTGTGTTTTTTTTTTGTCAAAAATTAATGAATTTTTTCAAAATTAAAGGAAAAATGTTTTTAAAAAATAAAGGAAAAATTTTCATGTTTATCATTTTCATGTTTATCATCATTCGAAAATTTTAAAATCGATACGATGTTTTCAAATCGTTTCCGACACTTTTAAAATCGAATTTAAATATTTTCTCAATCGAATTGTGTTTAATTTCTCATCGAATCCGTTTTATTTTTATTTACTTTAACATATTTTTTATTATCGCTCGCTTTTTTCTTTTAATAAAACATAATGTTTTGAAATTTTTTACAGATGAAGACAAGATCGAGAGTGTTGTCAGATATAACTGAAACTGCTCTAGAAGTCAATAACAAAGAACCAGAAGTCCCTAACATGGAACCAAATTCGCTCGACACTTCAGATCCAGATAGTCCAATTTACTCGCCAACTCAGCAAAAAATTTTTCTCCACAGTCCTCACAAACAACAAAATCAACGCCAATTCCTAAACCTTCGTACGCGCAATTTGTAAGTTGTTATCATCAAAAATTGGCCTGTTCGACTCCAGAAATGGTTTCAATTAGAAAAATATGCGCAATGAAGTCTTTATAAAGTACTTCCTAAGTTTAAAGCTTGTTGATTATTTGGTTCCCATCAGGGCTGTGCGGCAATGGAATTGCCGATTGCCGAAATTGCCGGTTTTTCAAATTGCCGAAGAAAATTTCGATCGGTAATTTGCCATTAGCCGAATCGCCGAAATTTCCGATTGCCGTACAGCCTTCGTACCAATATCATTCAGTGGCATTTATCTTTTTAAGTGGGGCTCTAGTACAGAAGTCGCCAGACGCCGACTATATAAAGATCCTATATTTTATTGCAAATATCTATATTACAGATGTTCTTATCCATGGCTTTGGGCAACAACCGACAAATGACTTCAAAGCGAAAGCATTACGCATGGTTCGAGAAGTCATGGATAATCTTCTGTAAGATTTTGAGCTATGACTATTAATTTATTTATTTGATTAAGCGATAGAATGCGCCAACGACTTTAAAGGAAATTTGGTGTAGCGCCGGAAGCGCTCGCGGCGCAATTAAGGAAGCTGCTTGATTCTACCAGCAACCCTCAGATGTGAGTATTCATATGTCTTTGAAATTTTAACCAAAATGCCTTTTTGCTTCAAATTTTGGAGTTGTTCTTTCTTCCGCCAATTCACTTTTTATTTTGTGCACTAAAGGGTTTCCAAAAATGCAATAAAAATAAATTATTTTTATTTTTAAGAAAATTATTGATGTAAAAAAAACTGATTGTATTTTCTCGAAAAATTTAGTTTACGTAACAATGGTTTACAAGTTTTTCAAATTAATAGGCCCATTATAATCGAAGTGTAGCGACTAGGAAAAGTGGAGAAAAGGTAAAAATTCGATAACGGTTTCTTTCTACAAGCGTATATTTGCGAAAAAAGGATAGGTTAAATGTGCATTAGGACTTTTGCCTAATTTCTTAGCAATAGTTGTTGTTTTTAAAAATATCATAACACGGCTTTTTAACCAAGTGTGAACGATATGAATTCTACTTATTACAGCGTCCCGCTCGATGTCAGTACTGACAATGATTCGAATAGTTCGGCAGTTGCCAGTAACTAATGGTTTGATTATATCTTAATTGAAATTCATTTCATTGTTGTTTTTTTTTATTTTAAATTAAATAAATGTGTTAATATGAAATAAATTTTGAATACAGCAATCAAATTGTTTTCTTATTTGCCCATATGGAAGGCATACGGCTCATTCCATATACGAAACACGCGGTTCCGCAAAAAAATGCTTCCATTATGCTTCCATATAACTTGCATATAAGATTCCTATGATATCCACAGCCGTTCCATTATGCTTCCATTGTGCCTATGCTGCCGTTTATCTGTGCAAGCGGAGCAGATAGTTCGTTTGGGTGATGCCTTATGAAGAGTTCGATACCACACTCAAGGATATCGATGAAAAGGAGTTGGAAAAGGTGCTCATTTTTATTTTAAAGCTTTCAAAAGTTATTGAAGATCCGCGATGAGGAAGGTGTGAAACATTTGAGCAAAAGGACATGCTCTGACCCCGCTTTTCCTGTGCTAGGAAACGTACATGGTCCGAACCTCAGGTTGTCTTTGTTCTTTCAGTGAACCTAGAATCCGAAATTCTCAACGTATTGTGTCTGATTGACACCGGTAGTGCGTTTACGTGCCTGACTGTGAAGATCTTAGAGGCATTTGTTGGTACTGGAAACGACGGGAACTATTATGCTTTTGCCATCCAGGTTTGTTTGTTATACTATTGTTATTTGGAAATCAAATTGTATGAAATTCAGGACCAGTCGACTCGAATCGAGTGTCAAGTCAGCAAAGTTGGTCCCCATTTTGAGCATGGGAGACTATGAACTGGATTTCCACCACGTTCTCTCTTATTCGAATCTAGTATTCGAATGTGTTTCCTTTTCCACTTGCTTCCTCCGTTTTTAATAGTTTATTATTCTCATAATTGTAAATGTGTATGTTATTCACGTAATAGAGTCTTCTTTTTTTTTCTTTCATTCCTTCACTTGGTAATTTGTCTCTCATAAAGACTCCCCGGAAATTTTTTATCTTTAATAATTCTACTAATTCTAAGAAATCTATAGATTCGTTAATGGTTTCAAATTATTATCGAATTCCATCGAACATTTTTATAAGAAAAAAGAGGCGAGTGTAGCGCAAAATATGACTTACACCCATTCATGTCTTGATTATCTGAATTTCATACATTTCTGTAAACTTATAACACTTTAAGAACAATAAATAATCAAAAATACACTAAAAGTGATGAAAACTGTTGGAAAACGAAAATTCAAGGTGACCACAGAAGGCGCAAAATCACATTTGGAAAATGGGTGAAAGGGTGGGTTGGAAGCGACAGTTGTTATACTACTCAAGTATATTCTTCATTTGGAAGTTGTTGTTTTTTCATTTGACAATTAGCGGCATCGAACAAAAAAGGAAATGAGTGACTATTTGTGATTGGAACGCGCATTAATAAATTAATTGAAGATAGGTCTCGAAACGAGGAAAATCTATGATTAGCATTTTATTACCTGCGATGTCTGAATGCGACTAGTCGCGCAGCCCATTGCCACTTAGACAATTTTATTATTGGCCCCACTCTCGTCCTCCGTTTCGCTATTTTACGGTCGGCAAATCATGCAAATCAACTTATTTCGATGAAAAACATACTAATGTAATCGAGCGACACCAAAAAAGGAACGAAATGTTGTCGTGATTCCAGAATTGTTAGTAATTTTGATTTTTTTGTTGGTTGGGTGCGTTCTTGATTCAAATTTTGACTTTTTTTTTAAGAACACAGACTCGCATATTTTCAATTCTGTTTACAATTTTGAAAAATAAATTAAATTTTAGGCGTGAAATATTTTCGTGGGAAAATGTACGGTTGTCTGCAATTGTGCGTAGAATTGGCTGCTTTCAGCAATTTCGGAAAGGCGGCGCTGTTTTGGTCATTCAATCAGTTTTCCTACCTTCTTCGCCGTTTTTGGTATTTTTAAAGTTAAAAAATTTTTTTTTGATATTTAATGTTGCAATTATTTAAAAGTTAAATGCCGAGAAATGCAATGAAGCTCTCCTAATTAGAAAATTTCTTCAAGAAATCCTAAATTCCTCGGTTGTATTTTTAAAAGAATTGTCGATAAACTTATTGAAATTTGTAAATAATTAAAATTAGAAATAATTTTTTAAATTTAAACTATTACTTTTAGGTCTGCAACACATGAAAATGAGTGAGCAAACGTATTACTATTCACGCTACACATCGAATACAAAACCAGCGTCTTACACGTCGCTCACGTCGCCACTAACAAGTTCGCAGGTACTGATCGAACGAACATTTCATCGAGTACAAAAACCAAATTCCAGTTCCGAACGCCGAATCGCTCATCATCGGATCGTCGTTTTTCCGACGAAAACGACGTTGATTCACCTCATGTTTTCGGCGACATTCCAAAACCGCCTACAGGCAGCTCGGAAAAGATGACGCATCGCGAGAGATTCGGCCCGCCGCCGTCATTGTGAGTTTCACCCTCCCACGATCGATCAAGCATCAGCTGGTTGTGGTCCGAAGAGGCAGAACAAAAAATGCGGGGCGACACCTGCTGTGAGGCGGGGCCCGAGCACCCGCACACCAGCATCATTATTTTTCACTTTTGGATTCATTCGAAACCCGCCGCCAGTTTGTTCCGGTTTTTTTTCGCTCAACAAATCCTGAAATTTACATAATCCTATAAACTGAAAATGAAAACGCAATTTTTAAGCTGTCGAATTTCAAAACCAATATTTCATGTGATGCTGTTGGCTTCGAGAATTTTCCACTATAAAATGTTGCCATCACAAATTTGAGTCATATCTTATCCACCCACTCATTTTTCGAAGAAAACTAAAAAAAAAACGACAAGGTGCAAACATTGTAAAGTGCTTTCCGCGCTTTGTCTTTCATTTCGCAATTTCTAATTTCTTTTTTTTTTCTCTAACAAATTTGAAATTATTTTTTGTTTGAAATGCATACTGTGTAAACCCGTCTGTTTACCAGATGTTCTTACCCATCGGCGATTTTATGTGATTTTTTACGGGGAGCTCGACGAAATGAAAAAAGTTTTCGTATTTAAATGAGCGAACATCGTTCGAGTTGAGCAAACAGATCTATTCGCTTCGCGCCATTCTCATTATTATTTCTCAAAATGTCCTCTTCGCCGATCTCAGCTGCCGATTCTTCGACAACTTCTGACCGATTTCAAAAATTGAGGTTGCGCAACAACATGGCTACTTTCAATTCGTCGTCATCCTATAATCGTACCTACGAGAAAAAGGTTTGCTTGATTTTCTATTGAAATACTCGCGAAAATTGCACTTGAGCTATTATTATTATTTGTATGTTCATGAAGGAAATGACCGATTTCATAAAAAAAGAACTATAAATTTCGAATTTAAATATATCAAACTAATTATAGGTGATCGAAGAAGGAGCACCGCGTGTTCGCGTCACCACCCAAACTCATGCTGCTCCAATCGGAGGTGTTATCCCGGTAATTCATGTCCTTGAGAAAAATTTGCCTTTATTTTTGTATTTTAGGATATCAGCAGCCTTCATCAAAACATGCTCTCCCACTTTCCAAACCTCTCGGTTTCGCCGTCAGCTGTCAATTTTGCCAATGCTGGTAACTTGTTTTGAAAACTAAAAAGAAACAAAACAAAAACCGGTTCCAGCTGGTTGTGTGACGTCTCTTCGTACCACTGATACCTCGTTCAATGCGACATTGGATGTGAGCATGTACGACTCAGACACTCTCAAGGTCAGAAATACTACTTTTAAAAAATGATAGGAATTAACATGAATTTCTATATTAGATAATCACCTTTTCGGTTGAACTTATAAGCTTTAGATGTTTTTGTATAGGACCAATCAATTCGTTTTAGGTGTCGGTTGTCGACCAATTCATTGTGATCGAGGGAAGTCATGGCGAGAAGGAAGACACGTTCGGAACCATCGAGCGCACGTTCAAACGCAAATTCGCATTGCCAAAGAACATTCCAGCCAAATCGGTGACCAGCCAATTGACAGCCGATGGAATGCTCACCATTGAAGCGAAGGCTCCGGAGCCGAAACTCGACGGAGCGCGAGCCATACCGATCAAAGTCGTCACCACTGCCAATGGTGGAGCCTCCGGTGATCAAAAGTAATTCGCATAATTATGCTAAAGTGTTTGTAATATTTCCCCGCGCCGAGACCCGATTAAGTAATAGTCGCTTGTAATACTGGTTCAAGCTTCCAATGTCTCCTTTTAAGGTAAGATTGCTCCCACTTCTACTATGTTTTTTTTAAATTCCGTTATTTTAAATAATGATTAATTAATTCGCCTTCTCCTTCATCATTTTAATAATCGCGTTGTTTGCTTTATTGCATAATGAATATTCATTCAACAAAACAAAATGGTAAAACAATAATGTACACGTATTTAATTGGAGGGACCCTATTTTTCAAAGGCAAATATTAAAAATGTCACAAGGATGGTGTCTGAGGAAAGAAACACAAAATACATGGGTAGGAATCACTAGTTGCCGTTCGGCGCGATATTATGGCCATTAATTAATTGTATGGTACATTGAATTTTTTTAACGCTTCTTTAGAGAAGCTTTTTGCAAAAGTTTCGAGGTGTTCGGAATCGCCGCCTTCAGATCTTTGAGGCAGGCGTCGCTTCGGAGCAATGGGAGAACAAGTCGGGTGCTCAACGAGAAATTGCCTTCGCCTAGAATTGTCGAATATTTCTGATGTCTCGAATATTTCTGCTTTGGTCTTGCACCGAATACTAGCGATGATTTTCGCGCCAAAACCAGATCACCAACTCACCAATTTCGATATGCGCATTTTTGGGATCAATTCCGCAATTCTTGCTGATCTTCAATCCTTTTCCATACGTCAGATCCTCAATGGCGCTTTTCAATTCGGGCCACATCATGTCCATGATCATTCCGCGAATCAAATCTTCCATGAACAGACCCCAAGCTTTCGGAAATGCTCCTTTCTTCATTGCGATTTTCGTATCAAGAAGTTCAACGCCAGTTCTAAAAAGACATTTTTTTTTCGAAGAATCTCTCGAATAGAAAAACCTCAACGTTCCATTATCAAACGACGGCGTCAATCCCGCTTGAATTGTCAGCACAAGCGACACAAACACTGAAGTGACGTTTCGATGAGGATTCACAACTTGTAGATGGATTCGATCAGTTCTAGAAAATTTGGAATAATTATAGAAACAAAAAATCCAACAAACTTTGTTAAGACTAGAGAATCATTAGTAGCTGAAATCGTGGGTGTTCCTTCGGCATTGACATTCACTTGAAAATAGCATTCGGTGCACAAAGTGAACAAGAATTCGCGTGAATCTGGTGGAATTATTGGACTTGACACCGGTATTTGCTCATTCATCCATTCAAAATTCCAATCAATCTTAATATTTCAAAAATTAGAATGAAGAATTCTTATAGCGCAACCTGATCGAGTATTTCATTTAAAATACTATCCTCTAGCCAAATTGTCACCAAATTGCCATCTTTCATCTCCATATCCAATAACTTTGTGCTCGAATTTGCGATTTCTTCACCAGAGAGAAGTTTCGAAGCCTCATCATTCGGCTCAGGTGACTAAAAACAAAAAAGTGAAGTTATTTCAAAACGCCGGCATAGTCGAGCTCACCAATGTCTGCCACTCGATTTGAGCGCGAACTTTGAGTTGATGCTTGTCGGCTTCAATCGAGTTCACTCTGAAAAAAGCGTTTCATGAGAATTTCGAAAATAATATCGGACACCCATACTTATAAAATAGAGTTGTATTCCTCGCCGCCATATGCTCCTGAATCTTTTTCGGCAGAAATTCGTATATCGGGAATTTGCTTTCCTTATTGTGCTTGAGATCTGACGTCGAAGAATCAATAATGGAACAAATCGCCGATTCGAAAAGTGACGAGACCACTGAGCCAAGAGCAGACATTCCCTGAACAACGATTTATGAATAAAAAATATCATTTTAAAAAAATATTATTCGAAGTGGGACCTAATCAATAATTAACGTTTAAACTTTCTACATGTCATCTACCTATTCTGCTAAAGTTCAATGCAAAAAAATAAAAAACATTGCATTTTCCTGACCTTTTTTATTTCTTAAAATTTTTTTCTGCAAAATCATTAACTTTTCTCAATATGCTGACCAGAAATTTTAAAACTTTCTCTGGCAATTCAAAATGTTCGCGAATATGTTGATGAATGAGCGAATTGCGTTCGAAAATCTCATAATCCATAAAATTTAAATATCTTTTTCCCGAGAATGCGATGTATTCTCGTCTCAAGTTGTCCCCCGTCTGTCAAAACGGTGTATTCGCTCGATCATAATCGTCGTCGACACGTTTCAATTCATAACACTCAAAATCGAGGACGATAACTATTCACAAAAGATATAATTATCATGCGCGAGGCCAGCTTTTCAATGTTGGATGGCGGCAAAAAAAACATAGCGGAACGATGTGCACTCATAAAACCGCTAATTTCGCAAAGCCCAATCATCGACGCATCAATAATATGAAAATGGCGTTTATTAATGGCAATATCGCGCAATTCATTCGTCCGTTCCACTCCATATCCATATAATGACACGTTTTGTGCGCAAAACGATTACAAAAATAAAGTTCCTACTCAATATTGAAAGAAAAATTCTTGAAACTTTCATTTTCCGCAATTTTCTCTTTCAACTATGACCGAGATTCTCGAAAATTTGCCTTTACCTTATTCACTAGCCAGCTGTCGCGTAGGCGAAACGAAATGTCTGGGTTGTAGAGGGCACACGTCGAGAGAGTGAGTTTCTCGTCTTCAACGATAAATCGCAGATGACCGCGAGGAACCTAAAACAGAAGGAAAATATTGCAAAACCACCGAGTGAGGACAACAGGGAACCTTTACGTGAGAATCGATGAAGCTGTCGGAAAAGGCGATCGGCCAGAGGACATCTGATAGATTCGCATGAGAGATGACATTGAGCCTAAATTAAATGTTAGAAATAATTTTCGATTGAATTAAATATAAAAAATGAATGTATTTGGTGACCCTTTTCAGTAGCTCGGCGATAGGTAAAAAAATCGAAAACGATTTTCCTTGAAAAGAAAGTTGGGTGACTGAAAACCACGTGGATGTCACAATCTGCCCCATGAATTTCATTATTTTAGAAAAGACGAATTTAATAAATTTTAATTTGAAACTCTAGGAAAATTAATTGGTCCGCTAAAACCAAAGGTGCCAACACTTCTGTTTTCATCTTTTAAATTATGCAATATGATGGTTGAATCAAACAAAACTCGCTCCAAAGAGTTTTCCCATACGCAAGCCTAAGGCGGAAATTCAAATGATAAATAAATGACATACCAAATTCGTACGTCCACCACTATATTACAAAGATAAATTTACTTTTAGAGGTTCATACAGTAATCCTTTGCTATTTCGAGGCAAAAACATTGACATTATTCTGTCTAAACTTTTTTCGCCCAAAAGTTTCAATGCCGCCCATTAAAATTTATCGAATATGCCACTTTTTGTATTCTCCCCCCAATTCAGCAAAGCGGACAGTAAGGTCGCCGTCGCCGATTGTTGGCAGCCAAAAAGCGACACAAGGTCAAACTTGTGAATTCATTTAGTTTGAAACTGTTGGAAACGGACCGTTCGAAGAAGACGTGCACGATTTTCGGATGGAATTGCACCGAAACATTACGATATGAGACAGTATTGAACAACTTCAAATGAGCCAAGGGTCCGAATGCTGGCGTTTCCTTGGTCTTGAGCAGAATCTGAAACAATGCGAATTTTCGAATTATGATTGGATAATAGACGTGGTTGTCGGCATCCACGAGAAAAACAAAACTGGATTTTTATTATTGCGCAATCGGCAATTGGTTCAAATTACACACAACTAGGGCAAGACATGCCTAATCCCGTATTTGTGAATTGGGCGAATTTTGAAATAAGGCGAGATTTGCGGAATTCAAATTGCCCAAGAAGTTTGGTGAACATTTCAGAGAAATTCAAAGAATGTTTTTTTTTTCAGATAAGTAAATCGTTTATTCTTTGAAAAAAAATAAACAGAACAAAATTTTGAGATTTTGTCGCCTATTTTTCAATTTTCCCCCTCCTCTTCTAACCTATCAAATTGTGTTTTCACCCCTTTCGAAAAATTTCGAGCCTTAATTTCAAAAGAAGACGAAAAAAAATGTTTCAAGTGTTTTCGACACACACCGCAATAACCGGTTTTCTTCAACGCCAACTAAATTAATTCGAATTTTTTGAGACGGTCGACACCCCCTCCCCCCTTAACCAACCACTGTCCGACGACCGCACATTCATTCATCAACGTGATTAATGCCAACCCAAATTTGGAATAATCTCTCTTCTCATCGTGTTGATTGGCCAGAAACAACACGGCGCGGCAGTTCGTAAACTTTATCGCGATATCTGTCAGCAGCAAAGATCCCGACGCGATCAGCGCAGTATGTGAGGAGACAATAAAATGCGGCAGCGTTCGCAAGATCCTGTTGGAAGATTGCTGTCGAGTGAGTTCATAGGTAAAAGTTCGATTGCAATATTTCTACGACTTCTTCTACTTTGGCAATTATGCCTACATAATTATACCCAAATATTATACAACAAATTTGTCAAGTGAGAACACTTCGCAATGGTAATTATTTGTGGCGAAACACTTCCGGAAAACTTTTCTAATGGGGTTAGAGACAATCGTATTGTGGTGAAAGTTTGGGGCACGATTGCCTCTGAAAATTTGCGCCTCAAAGATTGTTATCAAATTGGATGGCAGCAGATCAAAATCGATGGTAACCCGACATAGTTAAACAATTTGAAGACGCATCAAAAAGTGGTATTTCTTCTCGAAGAATGTTATTGCCCACCTTTGAAAAAAGTGGATTAAGAATGTTGAGATTCTCTTCTAAAAATTGTCCGTTATAATACAGTTTTCGTGTGACATTTTTTGAAAACAAAACTTGTTTTTTTTTGCTATTGTCATTGTTTTCGTGGTATTGCAAAAAGCAGTACAATAACTTTTTGTTTCTACATACCAAGTGCACTTTGTTGATTTTTATCGCGGACAGAACCAGTCAAAATCCGTCATCGCGCCTATCCAATCAAAAACTTTCGCTTTAGTATTTCAACTCTTTTCCTCCCGGCCGTCGGATCTCCGGACGCTTTCAGGACGACGGCAGTAAAAGTAGGTCAAACGTTTCATGCGCAATACTCGACAGTATCCGTGCGCGCGAGGATCCCCCGTGCAAACAACACAACAACACCCAGCTGATTCATTAGCCGGTATGGTGTCGAAGGCGAAGGCGCCGCGCGCGCACACCCCACAACATGCAAATGAGTCATTAATGAGGAAAATCGGTCGGCGTTTATATGGTGAGAATACGGCGCATTTCGACAATTTTTCGCAACTCACATCAGCAACTCGCGTCTCTTCGAGAAATTTGGAAGCGGTATGACGAAGGAGTTGTGAAATTGCCGAATCGCCCAGCGTCACTCCAATGTCTGAGGATTCCAGTAGGCATGGTTGTGAGAGTATTGATAAAGCTGTTAGAAGGAATCTGGAACATATTCTCTAACCAAACACAACAAAAAATAACGATGACTTACGCATAGAACATGACTCGAATAGCCGAGCACGACGAATGATAAAACTATATGGCACAAGATTATCAATATATAACAGTCCTTCCGGCCGAGAGATAGTTGTAAAGTAGCACAAAATTGTTCGCCCACCTAGTTATCGCAATGTTTTGGCTCGCGCATTTGGGGTCCTGAAACGAATTAGATGACTCATCATAAACAAAATTATGTTTCATCATTTTTTCGATTAAATTTTTATGAAGAAATGGTCAGAGAAATGTGAAGAACGCTGGTTTTTAGGACATTTTGTGAAATTTTGAATGCGAAGAGACTGACTGCGATAAGTGCGCCTGCGCGAGGCACGGTGCGCAAGCGTGGGTAAAAAAGTGGGCGTGGCCAGAAATTCATGGCTACATTCAGGGGTTTTATGAGGCGAAAGAAAGAAAAATTATGATAGAAAGATTAAGACGAAGATATACTGGGAAAATTAAAAAGAATACAACTTCTAAAGTGACTGAACAATAATAAATAAAAATAAGAAAAATTTAAATGGAAGAAATGCCTAAAATTCTCGGAAAAAGTGAAAACAAAAATGGAAAAAATCAGGTGAAAACTTGAAAAAAATGGATTTGTGCGTACACCGTGACGAAAAAAGGAACGCATTAGCAATACAGTACTGTCACAAAAAATTCTTGAATTTTTCTATTATTTTATTTGTGAAATAAAAATTTGCCAATTATTCAAAAAATTTCCTTTTTGTTATGAACCTATTCATGAATTTTAAAAATGAAACAAATTACATTCAATTTGCATTTTTTATTCCGTATTGGAATATAATTTTTGTATGAATAGGTCCATTATCAGAATGAACAACTCAACAACCAACTTTCATCACACGAACGAAATATTAAAAAAAATCAGACTAAATTTATAAATTTATAAATTTATCATTGTGAAACGTCTCATTTTTTATTGGTCTAAATCTGTTGTGATTTCCATCAAAATTTCTTGTAAATCAATCATCAGTAGTTCGTCATTTTCTATTATCGATCATGCCTTCTTGATCAAGGTATAAGATTTCAAAATCAATTCAATTTCTTGTTATGGTTAGGAACGAACAGCGATCGAAAGAAAAAGTGTGACACGAGGGTGAAGCGATTGTTTTCAAGTAGCAACTAAATGTATATATTATATTGTAAAAACCATATAACCGAGGATGAAAGATGACGCAGAAAACGAAAAGAACAAACGCGGCGAACTGGAGACCCCCGCGCAGGACATTTGAGAGGTTGAGAGAACCACGACGTCGATGCAGATAAAAGACTTCTTCATCTTCGTCGCGCTTCCGTACAATCAACAATCATCTGAAGAAAGCGACGAAAAAGGAAAAGCTTGCCATTTCGGACATCATGTTGATATTCGTGCTGTTGGTTGCCATCCTACTCCCATCATCGATTTGCATCGAGTCCGAAGAATCGTTCCATCCCTTATTGGCGGCACCGAAGGACCAGCCTGGTGTAAGGGTTCGCATTCTTCCAAGAGGCCTTAGTTATCTTAATTATGTAAGTCAAGATTCTTATTGATATTACATGTTTCAATACTCATTCTCAAATGATTATCATTCAGTTGTTGGCGAATGTGTTAGCAGACCAGTTACCTCGCCTCATAATTCCTGATGTCGAACACATTCTTCCCAGTAATCAAGGCAATATTTATATATCACATATTCGATTGTCAAGGTGAACTCGAAGACTGTTGAAATTTTGTTAAACTGAATAATTATAGGTTTCGAAGGGCTGAAAATCAGTACCTGAATGCGACAGCTCCGAATAAATTATCCTGGGCAATGAAAAATTTGGACATAGGGTAATTGATTTGCTCATAATTGTTCAAAAATTATTTTTAAATTTTCATTTTGTTTTGTTCTAGGCTTCTTGGAGATCTGAGCGGCTCCGTGAACATTGTAGTTCCTCTGAATCTAACCGGTCAAGTCGAAATCCTAGCTCAAGGTCTCACGTTTCATCTGGAATCGTCGGTAAGCTTGGTTCGAACGGGTTCCATGTGTAAACGCCTGCATAATTGAACGAATCCCATCAGACAACCGAATCCAATATTTTTCTGCAGCCCTCCCCCAAACTTTTGCCACCATGCAAATTGTGTCAATCAGGTTTATTTGTGTTCTTTTCCAACAAAGATCATTGAAAGTGTTTCGGTCTGAATCAAAATGCAATTGGCTAAATTTCTGCGCATATTAAAACCAGCATATATAGGCATGTGTAGAACATAATGTAATAACGGGAGGAGAGTGAATATATGTATTTTGTAAAAATACATCATAATTACAGCTATAACAGGCCCGTCATCTACACAAAAATGCTGTTTATGTTCTGATAAATAATCTTAATCGTAATTCGTCGTCATTTCTCACTGAAAAAAAAAATTGCAGATTGAAAAAGGGATAAATGGGTCAGCAAGAGTTTCGTCACTCTCATGCACTGCCACCATTCGCGATGTTCAAGTCACCAATCACAATGGTGGACTTTTTGGTCTTGCTGTCTCTGTATTCAAGGTTTTTTTTTGCATTTTTTTCCAAAAACCCGTTTTAAAACTTCTTTTTAGCAAGGCGTTTCGGACAATGTTCGACATATGCTGCAAGGCATTATTTGCCAAAAAGTGATATTTTCCTATCTTCTGGTTTTTTTTTTTCAATATCAAATTCGTTAAGGTTCGAAAATATATTGATGAAGACGCTAATCGGAAACTTGCCGAAGTTCAAACCTCTAGTAAACTAGGTGACGCTATTGAAGCAAATGCTTTGAGAATGATCGGAAATCAGAAAAATCACATCGATGTGACGAGTATTTTTGATCCAGCAATGGCGAGAAACTTCTTCATCGATTTTAGGTAAATTTTGGGAATTGTGTTGTGGTTTTTCTGAAAAAGCAATCTCTAAATTTAGGCTTAAAGAGCACCCAATTTGCCTTGATAATATGGTGGAGCTCGCCTCTTCAGGAGAGATTTCCTATAACGGTAACGACATTCTTTTAATTCGATATTACTGTTCTCTCTCAGGACTTGGTGATACCCCATTTGGACCAGTTGACTCCTCGTGGCCAACCAGAACCCCATTCCGGCCGTTTGTTGACTCGATGACTAACAAGGATTCCATGATTGAACTAATGGTGTCTGATTTCCTTCCGAATTCCATGTTGTACCATGCATATAGGCAGGATAAAGCAAATAGAAACGGAAAATGATTGAAGAATAATTTTTTTTCAGACATCGTCTTATTAAAGTGCTTCTCACACCGAAAATGGAAAGCGTTTCCGCGTTTCTGCGTACAACTTGCGAGGGATCTTTTTGTATTTCGGATTTGGCTCCGCAACTCGCCGAACAGTATCCGAATTCTACTGTCGAATTGGCTATTTCAGCAACTAGGGCGCCTGCAATTCTGTTCAGTGAACGAAATGGAGGTACAATTTAATTCGGCTACATGTATTTTTTTTAGAAATCAAAAATACTATTCAATTTTCATTCAAATTTCCGTTTTCAGGAACTATTTCAATTTCCATGGGTGGAATCGTCGTAGTTTTTGCCATAAATGGTTCTAAGAAGCGTCAAGTCATCGTAGTTGATCTCGACGTCGTCGCAGATGCCAAACTTTCTATTCAAAATCATAGTATTAGTGGTTCTGTAGAATTAAGGAAGTTTGATCTGAAAAAGAGGACTGGAACTGTTGATATCACCGATTCTGAGGTTCTTTTTGTATTTATTTTATATTTTGTGGGATAGTGATTTTATTTCTTTTGAGATTGATGATATCGCTCTTCTTGTTAGCCAACTTTCCGAGAATTTGCTGAACGGATTGCTTGTGAATGGAATGCCGATCCCAATTCCAAAAGTCTTACGAATCAAGGATACTAAAATAAACGTTTTGAGTCGAAGAATGCATATTCAACTTGATGTTGATGTCGATGAACGAAGATTGTCTCGATTGGCTTCTGAGAAATTCTTCAAAAGTCCTCAGTTCTCCGATCCTCCAATGAGTAAGACGACTACTATATTATTATCTTCAGATTTCAATTATTTTTTTAGACCCAATGAGACGACTTGTTAGACCAACAATGTTCCTTGACAATCGTCGACGAATTCCACCACAAATGTTTACAAACTGGTCGCCTGATATTGCTTAATTTGTTCATTTTGACTAATTATATACTACGGGAACTGTTTTTAAGATTCTGTATATTATTTTGAGCTAGTCAAGAAATTACTGTATTTAATTTACGGGTGTTTTCTCGATGTTTTTGATTTTTGATGGCAAAATCCGAAATAAACAATTTGCAAACATGTGTGATACTAGAGAGTGTGTGAAATGAGGAGAGTGAGAGCCGAACGCGCGCGGTCTCGCAACGACACACGTAAATCTACAATAGGCGACGCCGCGAGTTTGAATGCAGTGCCATCAATACATTTTGTACATCGAAAAACGCGCCTTGTTATTTCATTTCAACAAATATTTCTCAATATTCAGTAAAAATGCTATAAACTGACTTATATGCTTCTTCATAACCCTATAAAAATTTACATTTTCTAAAATTCCGTCTCAACTTATATTTTGTGTATTATTATAAGCTATCTCGTTATTTTTTTTACAGAATGCCACCTAGAAAACGAAATATTACACCGTCTAGAGATGGAGCAATTCGTCGAAAAACGTCAAATGAAGAAACTGAGAGTATAGAAGTTGTATGCCGTTTATGCCCTTATTCGGGGCAAAACCCATGCATCGTTCCAATCGATGACAACAGAGTTCAAACTGTTGTGCCACCGCCGCAGTACCGGAGAGAAAATGCTCCAACGGTAAGAACTGAAATGTCAAAATGCTTTTCAGTAAATATTTCTCTTAGGTGGAGAAAATCTTCTCATTTGGTCGCGTTTTCGATGAGAATGATGGTCAAGCGACTGTTTTCGAAAGGACTTCAATAGATTTGATATTGAATTTGATGCGAGGCCAGAATTCTCTATTGTTCACCTATGGCGTCACTGGAAGTGGAAAGACTTTCACAATGACAGGCAAACCGACGGAAAATGAAACCGGTCTATTGCCGAGAACGCTAGATGTTATATTTAATAGCATTCACAATAAGTAAGAATTTAATTTAAAACAAAAAATCATGAAATATGAAAATTCAGAGTTGATAAATGTGTTTTCTACCCGGCAGGGTTGAACACCTTCGAGATTCGTTCTAATCTCGATGCTCATTTGAAACGAAGGCAATTGGAGAATGAGAGGTACAATTCGAGTAAGGAAATGCTTGATCGCTATCATGAAGAAATCAAACTTGGCGGTTTTAACGAAAATTTCGTGTGCTCAGTGTTTGTGAGCTATGTTGAGATTTATAATAATTGTTGTTACGACTTGTTGGAAGATTCGAGAAATGGGTAATGCTGAGATAATCGTCGAACACACAAAAAACTGTAAAACTTCAGAAACATGACGAAACGCGAATTGCGGCATGACAGAAATCAACAAATTTTCGTCGATGGAGCCAAAGATGTCGAAGTTGAAAGCAGCGAAGAAGCTCTAGAAGTGTTTTGCTTAGGCGAAGAACGCCGGCGTGTTAGTTCCACGCTGCTTAATAAGGATTCCTCAAGATCCCATTCTGTATTTACAATCAAATTAGTAATGGCCCCTAGGGCGTATGATACCCAAACAATGAGCCCTGTACAAGACTCCTCGAAAATCGTTGTTTCGCAAATGTGTCTCATCGATTTGGCGGGAAGCGAGCGTGCAAAACGCACACAAAATGTCGGTGATCGTCTCGCTGAAGCCAGCAGCATCAATCAAAGTTTGATGGTTTTGCGCCAATGTATTGAAGTATTACGGTAAGTCGAAAAAACTTTGATAAGTTGAAAGCGTTATTGTCTCACAGAAGGAACCAAAGATCAATGCAAACGTTCCCTGAGCAGGTGCCATACCGACAATCAAAGTTAACACATTTGGTCAAAAACTATCTAGAAGGTGAAGGGATGATTCGAATGATCATTTGTGTGAATCCGCGACCGGAAGACTATGATGAGAACTTGGTTAGTAGATTTTATTCTGTTTGAATATTTCAAATGTCAATTATAGTCTGCTCTTGCGTTTGCCGAAGAAAGTCAAACAGTAGAAGTTAAAAAGAGCACAGCAGACCGATTGCAATCCGATCGGGTCCCACATTCGTTTTATACGGCTTGGAATTTGGAAATGGACGCTGCGCTTATTGATGTTCGAAGCGAAACTCCCGTCGCTCCAACATTTTGTATCAGGGTATGTTCATTACTTACTTTTTTTAAAAAATTGTATCTGCATATAATTAACGTGAGGTTTTCAGGATTATGACGATACCGAATCGATTGCTGCCATGAAATTGTATGTAAATCAACTTTCGAGCTACCGGAACAACGAAAATGGCGAGGTCGTGGACTGGGTGACAAGCCTTCGCGAATACATGATGACTGCTGACCATCTGCGCCTCGAAAATTTACGACTCAAGGATGAATTGGAGGCGAAGGACGCGGAAATTTCGAAACTTCGCGGATTCTGCAGTAAATATAAGGTATTATAGAAATCCCAAATAACGAGCACCCTCGTTACTGCAATTTATAAAAGTGAGCTGGTTGTATGGTACTACTGTCTCGCACTGTTTTAGTTGATATATGAATTATCGCGTCAAAACATGAAAATGGTCCGTGCACACCCAAAGTGTTTGTTTTTTTTTTGCAATAGAATAATAATTAATGAAGAATTCGACATATTGAAAGATGTTTTCAGAGGGAGAATCAGTCATTGAAGCAACGAGTTGTTGATTGTGAAAAAGAAGAGGAAGAGAATAAGGCGGCTATGGATAAACTTCGTGAGCAGAAGATGGAGGATAGAAAGATTATTCAGAATCAGAAGAAGGCTATGAAAAAGGTAATTATGACACTTCTCGGATAGTTTGCATGTTTTGTAACACTCTTTGCACTCGCTAACACGTTGTTTAGACATCACCAGAAGTGAGTCCGTGTCCATCAATTCGCTCGCCTTCGAGCGCCGTCTCATCGACAATTTATAGCAATTATGGATGGATTTCAGATGAGAATCCTGAAGATTGAAGATACCCCACTATTTTCTTTTTCGTGCACGCCCTTGTTCTTTTTTGCATAAATATTGTCATTCGATTGAATCAACTTTAGGTGCAAGGCCTTATCGAGAATCCGTCGCCGTCAGTGGCGCATCTTCGTTCGAGATTTGACAAAGAGAATGTGGCGCCGATTCAGACTCCTCCTCCGCCGTATCAGACGCCGGGGCGGCCGACTTATCGCAAGAGGAATGAGATGACAGCATCCGCGACTGGATTAGCCACAACTAATGGAGCTCCAGGAAGTGGAGGTGGGCAAGGATATGTGAATCCCAAATATCACAGAAGGTTTCTCTGTTATTTCCATTCATATATTTAACTAAGCCTATTGTAGATCAAAATCCGCTTCTCGTATTTTGGATCACCAACCGATTCACAGGATTCCCACCGGAAATATATTATCGTCACGTACACCGACAAACGCAATTCGCACCACGAAGCCGGATTTGAGTCAGTTGAACAAGTCCAGCGAATATCGGCTTACCCATCAGGAAGTTGATAATGAAGGAAATATAAGTACCAATATTGTAAAGGTGATTAAATGTCTTATTTCAAAATTTATTTGAATTTGTAAATTTTGCAGGGAGAATGTATCCCAACTGCTGGCGGTGGTACGTCGGTGTTTTTCAGTGACATCGAGAAGTTGACCCACGAAAATCCGGCGAAACGACAATAATGCAACGTTTTACATGTAATATATGGGCGAAATCTAATAGAAACAAAAAAGAATGAATATATTGTGTATAATTTTGTTTAACACGAAGGTTCTCGACGAGATTTCATAATCAATTCACCAACAAGATACTCTGTTCAAGCAACGTTCAAAATTGCAGTACTTGTGCCCATTTCTTAATTTTATTCCTTCTCATCTTCTTTCGTTTTTCATCATTATTATTATTTATTATTCCGATTGTATGATGATTGAACTGATAAACGTTTTTTGATTAAACACGCTGCCCGTCGTCATTATTTTATATTTGGATCGAGCAAATTTAACTATGAATTATAATCTATTCGGAATGATTTTAACTATTCTATTTTGCATGTATTACGTGCAATGTAAATCGGTGAGGAAATGCGAGAGTCTGAAATTCTAAAATTAAAAGAGTTTCTATTGTTTTAGAAAAATGAAACGAATATTGAAAAAATCGGTGAAACCGACGACTCGAGTAATTTTCGATAGTGTTGTCAAAGAGGATAGCAATTTCTTTTTATTGAAGATAAAACCTCTATTGCGGATCAGAGATGGAAAAAACATGATGGAAACTCAGATCATAACCGGAAAACGGAAAATAAAAAAGACACGACACGAAATCAAAAAAATGGAGGCTTGAAAGTGACCACAATACCTAAAACTACTAAACCCACAGAAACTACTACGAAAGTAAATATTATATTTACTAGAGTTTACTTAAAATGGTAGAATTTTAAAGAATCTAAATATCCTTATTCCGACGCAAAAATTGACGCCCAAAATTCCACCAAAAACTTCGCAACCGATTACAAAAACGAAGAAACAAACGACTATTCCAACAACTACGCCAACAACTACGCCAACAACTACGCCAACTACTACGCCAACTACTACGCCAACTACTACGACAACTACTACGACAACTACTACGACAACTACTACGACAACTACTACGACAACTACTACGACAACTACTACGACAACTACTACGCCAACTACTACAACAACCGTTACGCCAACCGCTATGGCAACCGAAACGTCAACATCTACGTCTACCACTACGTCAACCCCTACGCCAACCCCTACGCCAACTACTGTCACGTCCAAAGCGTCTTCCCTGATTATAGCATCTAAGCGAAGCGAATCCGCAACAACGCCGTCGATAACGATTAGGAATTCAACATCGAATTCGACGCTTGAACCATCCGAGTCGAGAAACGATACAAACGACACGAATAAGTTTTATGGGTCTGATTTTACATGCGCGGTAATGAGATATTGAAAGAGCATTTAATGATTTTTCATCAGCATGACAATAAAAACGCGAAATGCGCGAATTGGTGTCCAATGTTAGAGCGGTATTATTCTGAAATGAAAATGTGAGCTATAGGGTTTAAATTGCTGAAACATATTTGATTAAGTCAAGAGACCGCCCGGAAGGATGGAAGATCAATAGCAGCAATCGCCATATTTTGCGTTTTGCTGTTGTCCTTCGGCTTGTGTGTTGTGCTCTATTTGCATCGAAGAAATAAGAAACGTTAGGACTGTCACATTTGTTTAAAGAATATATTTCAATTTTCATATTATTCAACGTTGCCCACAAACGAAGAAGCTTATCGAGAACATTCACCAGGCTCTCGAGACGGAAAAGTGATGAAATTGTCGCAGCAATTGGAACGAAATCCCGTAATTGCGGAAAAACTTCGGAAGCATGTGTTAAAGAAACGAGTATTTATCAAATTATTTAGTCCGAATATTTTTCGTCTTTCAGTCTCAAGAAAGTGAAGATGCAAATTCCAAGAGGTTTGTTCATCGTGGAGCTATCAAAATTCCAAACAAAGTCGACGATATTGATGTTGCTTTACTTTATTTTTCTTTACATTTGAATAATCCTTTTTTAGTTACAACCAAACTTTCCTAGTAGTACTCCAAAACTTAGGAATGTTTTCTATGATCCTACTCAAAATGAAATGTTCGATATTGGCACGGATATCGATAACGTTGAGGTTTGAAATATTTGAAGCATTGAAATTTAAAGAAAAACTTCAGCTAGACCCGAGTACACGAATGGATACAGTTACGAAAACTGTTGGAAAATCGGAAGATAACAGTATAGATACGGTTAGAACTAGTACCGCGGTTTGTGATATCGAATTTGCTTCATTTCTTATGTGAATCTGACTTCAGAATAAAAAGATGAGAAGTTTTTGAACTTGGCGCCGCAGTTGTGTGGCCGAGTTTTTTGTTTTTAAAACTCGGCCGCCATGTCTTTTTTCAATTTAATACATTATTTTGCCTCAAATAAATAAATACACGTTTTCTATTGTTTTATCACTACAATAAGAATTTACAACTTTGGATTAATTTTCGAAATGCAGAAATAAAACTCAAATAACTTTTTTTAACGTCTCCATAATGAATAAAATGCTCTATCGGCAAATTAATAGGGTGAAGCGCGTTTTTTGGTTTCGCGAAACGTTTGCGAACTTTTGAAAAAAAAAACAGTGGAACAAACTTTTCGTGATCTGTTAAAACCCTTGCCAATCGATTTCACCGAGCTATTTTTTGCTTATTATTGATTTTTTCCTTCCAATTATTGTATATATAAGAAAATTTTTTTAAAGGTAAAAAAATGGCAAAAGGAAAAAATCGTGTGGTGAAACCACGAAGACGAGACAAAGCTCCAATTCCAACAAGAAATGTTGAAGAAGAAGAGGAAGATGAAGAGGCTGAAGATGGATCATCTGAAGCAGGTTCAGAAGAATCCGGTTCCGACGATCCGGAGATCGAACCTTTTGAGTTCCCATTCCGTCTTGCCATGTATGATTTCAATCAGTGCGATCCCAAACGATGCTCAGGTCGCCGTTTGGTCCGAGTCAAACTCATCAACGAAATTCGCCTTGGCCAGCGGTTTCCTGGACTAGTTCTGAGCCCAACGGGAACTCACACACTCGCACCAATTGATAGAGCGTTCGTCGAGCAGAATGGACTTTGTGTAGTTGATTGCTCTTGGAAAGAAGTGGAACGGACCCCATTGCATCGTGTCAAAGCGCCAGAACATCGACTTCTTCCATATTTGGTTGCTGCAAATTCCGTGAATTATGGAAGACCGTGCCATCTGAACTGCGCGGAAGCAATGGCTGCTGGCCTTTATATTCTCGGCTTCGTCGAAGCTGCTCAAGAACTCATGAAGCCGTTCTCTTGGGGCGCGCATTTCTTGGAGCTTAACAAGGAAATCCTGGACATCTACGCAGCGTGCAATACACCTGAAGAAGTCATCGCCGCGCAGAACGCTTATTTGGCAAGGATTGATGCCGAAAGAGCAACACAGAATCGAGATATTGATCTACCACCAACGGACAGCGACGAAGAATATGAAGATGAAGAGTTGGAAGAAGAAGAAGAATAACAACGCAATTTCCATTTTGTTTTGTTGTTATCCGTTTTCGTTGATATATTGTTATTTTTTTATTGTATCTCTTTTTAAAACAATAAATCGTTTCAGGAATGAGTGATCTGGAATCGGATGATGAAATCGACAGCGAATTAGCGAGTGGATTTGAATATTCCATCGATTTGGGTAGTATGAAGCAAGGCGCTGAAGCAAAAATTACCGAATGCATTTATCTTGGTCGAAAGGCGATCATGAAAGAAAGGTTTTTTTTATTTATCATAAAATTCACATTCAAATGTCTTCAGGTTTTCAAAAAGCTATAGACATCCTGTTATGGACACAAGATTGAATAAAGCTAGAACAAAAAGTGAACTTAAAGGAATCGTACGAGCCAAAGAGGTTCGAAGCTCTCGCTTTTCCCATTTTCCTTTTTTCTTTCAGCTCGCCGTTTCAACACCTGCAATTTATTTCGTTAATAGTGAAAAGAATATCATTATTATGGAGAGAATTGTTGGGCCGACAGCGAAAAATTGGATTGAAAGTCAACGCGAGAACAAAGAGCAATTCAACGAGATTTTGTACAGTTTTGGAAAAAATTTGGGAAATGCGATTGGACGATTGCACAACGGCGGAATGGTTCATGGGGATTTGACCACTTCGAATGTGATCGTTCGAAACTCCGATCCAAAAGATCTTGTATTCATCGATTTTGGACTTTGTTCTCAAGGAAAGGTAATTATATTTTAAAATTTATAAAATTCGAAATTAAATTAATAGGTTACGCCAGAGGAAAAAGCTGTGGATCTTTATGTTCTCGAACGAGCCATTTCGAGTACTCACATCGATTCTGAAAAGTTTTTTGAGGGAGTATTGGAAGGTTACAAAGAGCCAAGTCAGAAACAAGTAGAGATTCTTATAATTCGGATTAATCTAACTAATTATTCCGTTATAGGCAATTTCTGTTAACAAAAAGCTTGATGAAGTCCGTCTGAGAGGCCGCAAACGAGATATGACTGGTTAATTCGAGGATAATCACATTTTGTTATCTTGGTTGTTATTGTACATAAATAAGTAAAACAATAACGTCTTTATTAAAACTATTTTGTTAGAAACAATTAATATCGTGATTTTCTTGAAAATGGATTTTATTTTTTCTTCAGGAGCTGCATGAAGAGGCAAAAGCCTTCAAGCTCCACAGAAATCGATGAGGACGTGGTTTGTGAAAGGTTTTTGATCTTCTATCAATTTGTGCCGATAATTTTTGATTTCTTCATATTTTATTGTTAGCATGAAATTCATTCCTTCTAGGCTACAATTGAATTTTTTTAAATAAAAATTATGCGGTAAATAAAAACAATCGGATTCCAGTCGATCATCAAAATCGAAACGGGTTGAAAATGTTTCCCCTCTGGTTGACAGCACCGTTTACTTCACCAAGGTAAATTCGGTTTCTTTTTCAAAAATGTTGATTATTAAAAGAATTTTCAGCCGGATGCTGAAGAATTCGCACTACTCACCGTTCCACAAATGAGCCTGCCAGAGCTCATAAAGCACATTAACCCATTGCGCTCACTTCATTTTAATTTCATGATTGATACTAAATGGTTATTAAGGTTTGATATTTATTTTTTTCCAAGAATAGACTTTTTTCAGATGTTACCCGAAGGAAATTCGGAATAATCCTATCGAATTATGTGTTGGTGACAAGGATTTTGCCGATATGAAATTTGAAACGAAATCGTACACCAACATTCAAGTTTATAGCGCCAGTTTGCCTTTTCCTTATGGAACTCATCACACGAAATTATCGTTGTTCGAAACTCAATCTATGTTTCATGTGATTATTTCTACTGCAAACTTACTTCCGAATGATTGGCTCGACAAAACACAAATGTTCTATTATTCATGTGGGATTATTCAAAAGGAAGATGCTCCAGTGTAATATCTATTCGACGTCGCGCGACTGCGAAAAATTGACTAAATGCCAAAAAAATTGAAAAAAATATCCTTATACTCTTAGGACCGTAAATATACACTATTATTTTTGCGCCAAGACCACTGTCATTGTTCTTTTGTCATTGTGCCAATTTACGTAGTCGTGCGACTTCGACAGTATTTCATTTTAGTAATTTATTAAACCATTTTAGGAGCCCTTTCCAACAAGATCTTTTAACTTATTTAAACAGCTATTCATCGAAAATTGATTATTGGAGAGATCTGCTGAAAAGAGCGGATTTTTCGCATAATGTTGATCGTTTGATATTTTCAACACCGGGTTATCATAAGGACGAAAATTTTAAAAAGGTTGGTTATCCGAAATAAATGCGAATTTAATGTGTAGACTTCTAGTGGGGACACATTCGCCTGAGGAACCTTCTTTCGGAAACATCTGAAGAATGTGAGCCTTCGAGTGACAGCCCGCTGTATGTCCTTCAGTGCAGTTCTATAGGATCGCTGGGAAACAACAAAGATTCTTGGTGTGCTGGGCAGTTTCTCCGTAGTTTGGAACAGCCGAAACCGTCAAACTCGCCGAGGATATTTTTGGTCTATCCAACAGTCAACGAAGTTCGGAATTGTGTTGAAGGATACGATGGAGGCGGTTCTTTACCGTATTCAGCGAAAACGCACGGTATTCTTGAAAAATATGCAAACATTGTACATATATCTTTTATAGCGAAACAACCATGGCTTCGTGATATTATGTGCAAATTTCGTGGCAATTTCGGTAGAGAGCGATACATGCCCCATTGCAAGGTAAAACTAAAACAATATACACCATCTCTATTTGAAAATATCAATATTAGACGTATACGAAGATTGTCGATGGGAAGCCATTATATCAGGTGCTCACAAGTGCAAATCTCTCGAAAGCTGCATGGGGAGAACTGCAGGTGAAAACGTATTTTCTAATTCTTGTTAGAAATTGATAAATTTTCAGAAAAATTCAAAACAATTATTCATTCGATCCTATGAAGCTGGAGTTCTGATCAAAGATCCTCAACGAATTCGACTACCATATCAATATCCGATTGCCAAGTGAGTTCCATTGACATTTCTAATGGTACCATGCCTAGCTATATACATTTGAATATTATTTAAGGCGATTTCATTCTTGTTAGGATCACCCGGCGTGATTTTTGGCTCATATAATTTACATTAAACACCCTCTAGAATATATATCTAAAATTGTCTTTTTTTAGATATCAAAAAACTGACGATCCGTGGCTCTACGATCGTAGCTACTCCCAACCAGATTGTTTCGGAAGGAATTACACTTATAACTAACCCACTGATGCATGTAAATAATTTTTTTCCTAATCTTTTTCACGTTCCTGTGTATAACACTTAGTTGAATAAAAGCACAATGTTTCTTTCCGAAATTGGTTGAGTCACACACGGTCAAAATTGTCCCGGAAATGTCAATCCTTTTTTCCCTTTTTTTGTGTAATTTTCACCAGATTCAGATTCACAGATGTCCGCTGATGATCAAATTTTGTCTTACGGATGTGTGAATTTGACAAGAGGTGATCTTGGCTTGCTCGAGAAAGGTCAATGGATCAATGATCGGCTTCTTTCGTTTGCCGCTGAATGGCTCATGGATGATGCAGATGAGCATACGAAAAAAGTGGTAAAGCTTGTATAGGTTCCATAATTAGTATGGTTAATAATATTAAGGTATACATATTCGCGCCACCTGAATGCGAAATTTTGAAGATGATGGGCACTCCTGAAGCGGCAATTGAATGCTTCCAAGCGTTGGATCTCACTAATAAACAAATTGTATGCCTATTTATATATAACTAAATATTATAACTTTTTAGATTATGTTCATGCTGAATGACAATGTCGACGCAACGAATCAATGTGGAGGCTCGCATTGGACCTTGTTGGTCTACGAACGAGCTCAAGATCGGTTCTTGCATTTTAACTCAGCGCCGACTTCTACTCAAAACTCCTATTGGGCCAAAAAAATCGTGGACAATTGCACGGTATTGTTGGGAACACAGGCGAAGAAGGTGCATGAAACGACTTGTCCCACTCAGAAAAATGGTGCCGATTGCGGGATTTTTGTTATGGAATTTGCTAGAAGCATAGTTGAAGTGCTTAAATATATTTTTTTAAACTTCAAATGTTACTTTACAGAATCTAGGAATTGAATATATCGGGGAATCATCGTCGTCTTCGATTTCGAAACAAAGAGCGACTTGGAAGCAATTAATACTTGAGTTGGCCAATCGGTGATATAATAATTTGACTAATGCCGTTTTTGATTATTTTTGTATATTTGGTATACTGATTATGTATATGTATAATATTGTGATATGAAAGGAATCTAGTTTCAAATTGGTGTTTTGCAATTTATTAGAGTGTTTTGAGCCCTTGAATACCGAAACGTTGCTTTTTACATTTCTATTATGACATATTCGCCAGTGATGATCACTCCCATTTTTTCCTTGAGTCAGGATGATCAGTTCCTGAAAATTCGGATTCGCACACCTTATGCGAAAATTCAAGAAGCTGAGGTTGATTATGGCGATGACATGTTCATCTTCTCGTGTGCGCCGTACTATTTGAGGTGAAAAGAATCGGGCGTTTTAATTATTTTAAGTTATTCGTAGGCTGCATTTGAAACAAAGAGTTCGTGAAGTCGCTGAACGACAACCATCAATCGAATTCAACGATGAGAAAAGTATTTATTTTAATTGAACTGTTGGTTTATTTTCTAATTTTAGGCGAATTTATGATAACAATTGAAAAATTGCATCATGGCGAGAAATTTGAATGCCTTGACATGGTCACCGAATTGCTTCGACCGCAACGCGAAATTCATGGAAGGGAAATGGTTGAAGAAATTGAAGACGAAGAAAATCAAGAAATTGGTGACGATGAAGAAGATGATGAGAATGCATTTCTTCATCCGCAAGAGGTTCGAGATGTTGAGAAGGAGATCAGACTTAAAGAGCCGATGGCAAAAGACTTTGGATATGGATTCGCATGGAAGAAAATTGGAGTGATTGGTATTTAGAAATGAATTGTTAAAAAAATGAAACGACTATATTTTTAGAACGTTTACGTGACGAAATTGGAAATATTCTAGATTTGGAGAACCCGGAATGTTGCGAAATTTCAAATCGCCTGGAAAAATGCGCGCTATACGATATGGAAAATTTCGATGAAGAAAGATACTTGTAAGAATTCATTGCTAAAATTTTAAATAATATTATTTCAAAGAGCTGACACATTGGATCCTGACGATGAACTTTTGTCTATTTTAAATGCAGATTTTGAAATGGAACTGAAAATTTCTGATGATAATATTGCGAAATTAAAAGATTTGAAAGTGAAAAAATTGCCGAAACTTACCGAAAAAGAGCAAAAATGTGTTGCTCTTGGACTGATCGACATGATTTTTGCATTTTGCTATGAACAACGAGTAAATGGATGGGAAATGACGTGCGAATCCGGTTGGACGTTGAGAAAATTATCACCAACATTATCGTATTTGGTGAGATATGAGACTGCAAAGCAAGTAAGTTCGAATTGTGTTTTCTAGAAATTAACAAAGATTTTCAGGCACTTGCATTCGCTGTTCGCAGAAGCCTTTGCTATCCTCTATACCGAAATTTTGATTTGGCTCAGAAGATTGTAGAAGACCTCAAAATTGTATTTAAACATGGTAAAAAAATGTTTGAAAGTTAAAAAATTGTTTGCCATTTCAGGAAAAGGCGCATTGGTGCACATTCTCACGGAGATCCATAACGCGTTCGTCTCATCTGGTGAATTCCGATATATTTTCAATGATTTGTTCATCACGGATTACTTGATTTGGATTCAAGCTGTCGATGATGCAGTTATTGGAGACCTTGCAAAGGAAATTGAAAATATAGAAAAAGTTCGGTTCATTTTTGAGTATCGATTGAGAATGCCGAATATTCAGGTGGAAAAGCAGGATACGATGTTGCCTTTGGATATGCTTGAACTCGTTGGGAAAATCGAAGAAACCGAATTGGACAGTGATGACGAGCCCATCTCATAATCTTCTTTATTATTGTACACTTTTGTTATGTTTCCGTGTTGTTGATGTTATTGTTATTAATTCGAATAAATTGTTTTTAGAATGCTCGATTTTATATTTAGATAGGTTATTTCCTTTGTTTATCTCAAACTTCTTTCCATAATCCAAAATTGTACATAATTATTTTAGATGTCTAGGCACCTTTACAAGCAGTACCTTCGACTGATTTCAAAATGGCCCAAGGATCCTTTCAAAAGTCCGGAAAGGTTTGATGATATATAAAATTCAAATATAGCTTGATTATTTAGGGATTTTGCAAATTTTTTGAGTAAAGATGTGGAACGACAATTCAAAGAGGCAAAATCGATTCCATTCGATAGCGCATTGTGCGAAAAGAGGCTCAATGGTAGATTTTTATTGAAAAATTCATTGATAATTAAATATTTAGCCCTTGAACAGCTTTTGAATAACGAGGTTGTCAAAAAATATCCCAATAACTTCACATCTGGCGTATTCGGTTTAAAGCTTGAAGATTTGCAGGTATAATTAGATGATTAGATTTTTTTTTTTCATAATTAAAATTTCTTGTTTCAGCGAGCCAGTAGCGAGGAAAGCCGTAAACAAATGGGTCTCAAACCGAAACAAGGAATTCTGAAAAGAGTATGGCGCACGATAGTTCCAGAGAAGAAGGAATAAATATAATAAATTAGGTTTCATTTAAAAATAATGAATCAAAATTTGAGAAGAAGCTCGCGAATTTCACTCAAACACTCGCGATCCTTGTCAGAATCCGGTTCGATTGATAATGTTTCGGTTAGCACTTTTCTCGCGTTTTCCTGACAATTTCTAGAGTTCTGTCCACTTTTATGATTACCTTATCCTTCATAGCCAAATAGCATTTCCCGATGTATAAATGGTTTTCGATAGATTTTGGTTGGCACTTTTCAGCAGCAAGGAAATCGCATAAAGCGTCGTCATAAGTTGCTGTAGGAACAGAAGCGAAGAATGTCGAAGCCAACTGAAAAAGGAATACAAATTATATTTTACTATTTTTGAAACTTTTCTTTCAATCCACGAAAGACAGGCAACTTGATATCGAAATCGGCCACGAAGATGAAGCAAAGCATAATCGTGCGAAAGAACGGAAATTGCCTTATCGAGTAGTTCCTTTAAATAATTAGAATAAGCGGATTAAGCTGCTTATAATACTTTAATGCGATTTCCTGCTTCGATTTTCTTTTTCATTGTCATAAATTCAGTAGCTTGTCCCAATAGAATTGCTGTCCATTTCAATGCATTCGGATTATTTTTATCAAGTTTTAATGCTTCTTCAGCGTAGAAAATTCCTTCAAAATTGTATGTGGCAGCGGTCTTTTTGCGAAAAAAATACGAATTCCAACCTTCGTCAATAACAGCTTTTCGTTTTTCTTTCGGACGCTGACTCGACAATTCGTTACAAAATTGGGCCAATCGGTATAGAAGATCAACTGATCGTTCACCTTTTGAGTACCTCTATTATATTCGGTTGAATTCAAATGTGAAATCATTATACAGTTACTTCTTTTAATATTTGATAGCCTTTTTCACATTTGTCATTTGCGTAAAGCCTATCAACTTCATCAAAATCCTGCAAAAATCGTCAGAAACACGTTTTTTTTACTTCAAACCATATTTTCGAACCAATTTTGTTAGAAATAAACACACCGCCAATCGGCACGTCAAAATATTTATTCTTAAAATACACAGAAAGATATTTATGGGAGACTGGCAAGCTTTTCCTTGAGCTTCTCGACCAAGGCGTTGAAGGCAGTCTGAAATTGTTCAATTTGATTGAATCGCATTTGAGATTCGTACCGAATCAGTTCCTGGATGGGCCTTCAAGTACTCGGAAACCTCATGATGGTACTTTCCGAACAAGGCTTTCGCGGTTTCCTTGCTCTTCTTGGCCTCCTCGAGTTCCGGACGGAATTTGGCTCCGATTTCGACGACCTTCTCAGCATTTTCGGCCGACATGCCAGCGTCGATCAAGAACTTTTTGATGGCGTCACCAGTGATTTGAAGACCCTCAGACATTCTGTAAACACATTATGGAATAGAATAATGGTTGATTGCATCTGCGGACAACATATTTGAATTTTCAATTTGAATGGTTGCCTTTTAAAGCAACTTGCAAATGTTATCAAGTTTCTACGCTATAATCCTTTATCAAAACAAAGCACATGACATTCGATCATTGATTTTCATATGTAATTAATAGGCGTAGCCTAAAGTGACAATTTTCTTAGAAATTTTTGGAAAGTATCACTTCGATTAAAGAAAGAAAAGTGCCCAAAATCGATATTGAAGAGTCGATGCAGTGGTTAGGAAAAATTACAGAACTGGAATCTGTAATCTATTTAGCGTTAGCAAAATTGCCGAATTTTACGAAATTTCAAATTTGAAAACGACTAGATCCACAAACTGATAAACGGGAAGATTAATTTTTGCTGAGACAATGTTCTAGTGAAGATTCTCTAATTTTGCTTTCAAAACGCAAAGGAAAATCAGTGAATCTTCTCCAGAAACCATCATCACCTTCACGGCAAACTTTTCAGACTTTCAATGCGCTTTTATAAACAACTTCTCGCCTATTTGTGTCGTCATGCTCTTTCTAAAAACCATTCCTTATCGAGAATGTTTGCTCACACAAACGAACGTGACTCAATTATACGACGATTTTTTTTTCGTGTGCAGTTCAAAGTCACAACTGATAAAATGTCAAAAAATGATCATAAAGATGGGTCGTTTATGAACGCAACGTGGCTTTAATGACAATCTCAAATTTCCCTATTTGCAATTAAAATCAGTAATAATTTGAAAATGAGAAAGATGAGCTCAATGAACGCGACGATGGAGAGTCCAGCGAGTACTCCGCATAAGCCTCCGGTATAAGACATGAACTTGGAGAACTGAAAGCAGATTCCATGAAAGGCGAGATAATTCTCTAGTAGCTTACATCCATGGCAGGTTGCTCTTGGTAGATGAAATAAGTTAGTTTGGGAAGGCCGATTCGAATAAGGACCATATCATCAGAAGTATTGTAGCATTTCCTCTTGTTCACTGCCAAGAAATTCTGCTCACATTCATACATCTAAAAGAAGAAGTGAATATAATGACACAATAACTTGTGAATAACCTTTTTGGTAAATGTCAATCTTGTCAGTTTCGCAGTGTAGATTCTTTCGGAACATCGCAAAGGGCAATCGCACTCTTCCCACTGGGACGGGTCTCCTCGAGCCAGCAGCAGATCATCAATGCAGTTCTCTACAAATTTTATTATGAGCAGCATTCTTATGGAAACATCAAACAAGAATATTGCCAAATTCAAATGACTTGACGAAATTTAAAAAATTGTTGGCTATGTGCCAATTCGACTCGAGGCAGCGAGATTGCGTACATTGCATTATAGCGTACGCGCATTAAATATTCAATCAACGATTGACTTAAATCTACACTGATTTCGCGAATTTGAAGGCTCCGGCTCCCTTCACTCGTTTGACGCCGACAATATTTACATAAAACTAGCTTATGTATACTTTTAGTGATGTTGCATGAGCTCGCTCCGGCAGGCATCGGATATCTCGGATCCATACAAGTGCACGCGTTTTGTACAACATCCTGATAGCATGATCGCAAACATCCATCTGTAGTGTATTCGCCGGCATAGTAATAGGATCCAACGTCTTCAATAGATGATGCGCATTTGCCATATCTGCCGCCAAGACGAATATAATCTTTCTGGAATAATGCACATCTAGAATTGAGAGCATTTCAGAATCGATTACTCTATCAATCGCAATATTAGATTCAAATTTCGGCGGACAATTAACTCTGGGTGATTCCGAAGTGACTATTTCCTCAGTTGTACTCGTGAACACTTGGATTGCTGCTGTATCAATCCAAGGAAGGTATTCATCCTGTTTCACATTCATTTGAATCTCAAGTCCTGTAATCTAGTAATATAATTATATAGCTAATTGATTTTATCCATGCCTCCTGCATAGCCAGGACTTCTTGTTAAATATTGATAAGAAGCATTCAAATGATTGAAAGTGAAACAATTTCCTAATACCTTGTCGTTCCACGAATAGAAATTTTTCCTTAAATGAAAAAAAAAAACATCTCGAAAGAATTATGATATTTACTTCACGTCTATAAGCTCTTTCTCATAAGCAACCCAAAGGAACATGTCTTCAGCGGACCATGATAAACTTATTCGTGTTTCTTCGCTATAACCGCCAATTAGGAATGGCACAATATCTCGGACCAATGTTGGATCGTTTGTGAGCTCTTCGACCATCTGAATCCATCAAAAATACTCTATGTATGTACGATCGAAAAACCTGTTCCATTTCCGTTTCATTCATTCCTCCATACGTCGAATTAATAATCTCATAAATAATTTTGTCTGAAAAAAAAAAAACGGCACATAATGTTTTTGAACAATTCGCAAGCAATTAGCATACTATATGCACAGCCTGCTCCGAACATATTCGCACTGCAAACGCAGTAGTAGCTTCCGTTGGTGTTGACACACTGAGCTCCCGGATCCTTGGATTTGCATAACGTCACGTCCAATGCGCATTCATCGATGTCGCTTGTGCAATTGAATCCCTCCCATTGCGGTGTGCACGTGCAATTGTACGTGTTCGGAGGCCCGATAATGTCATTGCAGATTGCTCCGTTCTTACACGGCATCTCATCACATGCGAGTTTAACTGGAATCCTCAACTATGATGGATTCGGATTAGGCATTCACCTTCTTCGCAATAATCGCCCTTCCAATCCGACGTGCATTCGCAACTGATTTTGCTATCCAAAAGATTATACTCCGGCACACAGGTTCCTCCATTTTCGCACTGTTCTAATACGCAAGGCTCATAAACTTAATTAGCCGATTAATTAAACGTTCAATATAATTATTCAACTTTCACATCGATCGCCAGTATACAAATTGAGGCAGTCACATGTATAATTCCCATTTCCCAGATCGACGCAAGTACCGCCATAAAGGCATTCGCTATTCCCACAGGGGTCGGCTTCTAAATTTGGCAACATACGTTTTCTCAGCAATTCTCAATCGAATTAGCCACGAAAAATAGTATAAAACGTTTCGGCCGATTGGCGACGACGTCTTAAAAAAAATATGCCGTCAACTATTACTACTACTACTACTAAAGTGCTCGCTATCTTCTTCATCATCGTCCAATCGGCTTCATCGCTTCTCTGGGCTTATTGGCATCCTAGAGGCGACAAGGATTATCAATATGCTCAATGAATTGGCATGAATAAATCATTTAAAATGTAATTGTTATCTCAAAGAAAAAATCGGCCACCAACCGCAAGGTGTGAGTTTCTTAACATTGCTGCATTTGCAGTAGTGCCCAATTTGGTCATCGGTGACTTCACACGTTCCCGCACCGCAGTCGATCCCATCGCATGGCGTCAATGTCGCCACCATGCCACAATATGTACCGGTGTTTAATGGATTGCATTTGCACACTCGGCTCGTCGACGAGAGCTGAACACAATAGCCCTGGCCGACGTTTTCTCGGCAAGGATCCATTGCGCAGATGTCTGAAATATTCGCATCGAATCCCGCGGCGGAATCAAGAATTGCCGTTGAGTTCGTAAACCGAAGCCAAGCCAGCGTCCAGCGTTGAGTAGGCACAAGTGTTTAAGAGGGCGTTCAACAATCCGCCGAGCACTGAAATATTTCAATATGTCATATTTAAGAGGTTGCTTCTAAACATCCTCTAGGCTTCGGGGTCACTGTTAATTGATTGGTTGTCGAGAACAAACATTTCTGACGGGTTCCGCTCATCGCTAAACTATTGAGCATGTGAACATGTCAACAATGTTGCTTACTTGAAAACGCGTAATTCGATTCGGGGTTTGCTTTTCTGAAATCGATCAGAGCATCTCGACAATCAGTTCCCTTAGAAATCGCCAATGGATAGACGTAGTAATCAGTGAATGAAGCTGCTGAATCATCGAAACAATCGACGAACGATGTTTGAACTGAATCGAACTCGTTGCCTTCATTCATTGGCTTTGTAGTTCACCATTTCTTTTGGTTTCGCAATTCTCGCCAATGTACTCAAATGGGCATATGCAATGCGGTGTGGTTCCCTGGAACACCATCTCACAAGTTCCGCCATTTTGGCAATATCCACTGCACGGATCTCCTTCATCTTAATCGAATTTCGAAATAAAGTGCATTTTGAATTCAAAAAGAAGAGGAGAAAAAACCAACATTGACACTGAGTTCCATAGTAACCTGTTGGGCATGTGCAAGTGTAATCCGAGCCTATTGATGAGCATGCGCCTCCTTGAAGGCACGGCTCTTTGGAGCACGGATCGGTGGCCACTAAAATCTGGCGAATCTAAAATTTTTTGATGGAGTGTGTGTTACAGTAGCTGCAATCCGATCCAGTGTATCCTGGCAAGCATACGCATTTCGCGTTTCCAGCATCCACTTGGCATTCCTGATTCGCATTTGTGCACGGGTTCGGAACACACGACGAAGGAGCTGAATAAATTGGAGGCATAGTTTTTGCCAGATATGGTTTCGCAAGAAAACCTTGACATTCATTCGTTGACACTTGCACAGTTCCGTCGGGGCAATAGCATTGCGAGCACGAAACGCTTGAAATGAATTGAATGACAACGAGAAATGAGACAGAATTTTCGAATCAGACGCAATTTTTTTTTCATAAATTTCGTTGGCAAACCACTTATCTGAAGCTGTTGTTGTTCGATTTTCGGGAAAGCAATACCCATGAGCGCCGCAATCGAATGGAGTGTCACCCTAAAATCAGCGATTTCTATTAACGGTGTCGTGCGATTGCGGAAAATTGGCTAAACGCCAAAAAAAACAATTTGAGAGGTCAAACGAGAATAAGAATTGGTTAAAGGCGCATACCGCGCGCGCTGAGACCTTTTTCCAAATTTTTTGGCATTTCGCCGATTTTCCGAAATCGCGTCGACAATGTAGTATACATATCGTTTTTCAACCATTTCTTTTTTTTGCTCGAACCTGAACAATCCGAAAATATTGGAGAAGCAATAAGAAGAGCATGTTGTAGTACGGGAAGAATGTTTGCCTTTTCTGGGCAATCTTGCGCTCACAATGCGCAATTATTCAAATTTCATGTCAACTGAGAACAATGGTCCCAATATTTTAATCAATCTTTGCGAACAAAAAAAAACAAAGCGAGGACCAAATAGAAGTTTTGAAAATCTCGAGATCATCTTCTGAATCTATGAACTCAATATATTATAAGTAATTTAGGAGATTCCCTTCCCCTCCCCCCCCCTCCTCCCATTTTCTTCCAGTAAGTAATAACTCCCCATTTAATCAAATCGTCTGTTGATTTTCGCAATCTCGTTTTCGCCGATTCCGATGTTTGCAATGCTCTCAAATGTGCACCACCAGACACACTGTAGATGCCTACTATTTTCACGCAATTCGCCCCGCGCTTAACATCAAATCGAAACAAATATGAGAATCAAAAACGAGGACCCTCCCGGAATTGTCCGCAGATGGAAAATAGTTATTATTGCCGTAAAAATGGCGCTCCCCTCGTTTCTATAATGAGGTCAAATGTTTTTCGATAAATATTCCCAAAAAAATTTTTTTTCGTATCTATAATACTCGATTTTTGTAGCTGCTCTGTTATCAGACAACGACAAAACAAATCTACACATACGTTTAAGTCCTTTTCGCTATTTAAATACGCTTGAGCTGCAAGACCTTCTTTAAAGGCGCATACTTTTTTATGCAAAAAATCCACAGTTGTCAACACATTTTTGGTCGATTTTTCCAGATCTTGTCTTATTAAAATGCAACCCAAATTATGAGAAATTCCGAGATGCTCGGCCCCGCTGACCCGTCGACAACAACCCCATTAATCAAATCACATCGCTCGAATTGTTGATCCGCGCGCCTCCCTCACAAAGCACAAAGAGTTTCTGCGGCGGCCTCGATCGGCGAGTTGTTGCTTGATGGCTCATCGCAGTTGGGGGCGGATGGAATCGTTGTTCCTCTTCTTCTTCTTCTTCTTCTTCTTCTTCATCATCATCAAGGTTGTCGTCGGATCGTCGCGCGTCTCTCTGATGCCGATACTCTCTCGCCGACGCATATCTTGCAGCTTTGATTAGTGTTGATTGGTGATGGCAAGACGCAGGCGTCGAAGCGGAGCCTCGCACCGGGCACCGAATTACCACCAGCGAGCACACCTCCTGTGCGGCAGTTCTCTTATTCTCCATCGTCAACTCCTCATCCTTCTTCCAACTATTCAATACTCGATATTTATTAATCCATTTGTGGGCGGGATTTATTGATCTTCCCACTTTCCCGTACCCGATGATCTCCAAGCTTTCTACAGTAACCAACCTAACTAATACTATATAATTTATACCAACATAATTTGTTCTCCGTTGAAGGCTAATGAATGATGACGTAAATCTTCCAAAAATTGAGAGAAGATTAAAAAACGCCTCGTACTTCTTTCGAGATTATTGAGGCTCAAAAAAAGCGGAATTTTCTTTTTTCTGTCAAATTTTTTATCATGTCTCTTTTTATTATTCGGATATTTCTTTTTTCTTTTTTTTTGGGTTACTGTAGATCTACATAACAAAAAGTTGATTTTCTTTGTGAATATTTTGGAAATTTCGAATTTGTTATCACAATACAAATTTTGAATTATATCAATTTTTTATTCATTCCGATTCTTCAAAACAAAACCCTTTCACTAAATTTCATTTCCGCGTTGATCATCAGCTGATCAGTTCATTTGAGTCGGAGACTCCGATGTATGACACTTGACCTTATCATCGATATTTTGTGATTCTTCAGATTCACGCAGTCAATTCTCGCCATCCTTAACCTTTTCCATTCATCTCATTTAAACCAAACATCACATTTTGCTGACGAACTCGATAGAGAACAATGAAGGGCGCTTCCAAATCCAGAGAAAAATACCAAACCAGCGAGAACGGGGGAAAAAGAGCAGAAAAAAATTGGTGGGAGGCGAAGGAAAGAAAAAAAAAACGTCGCGCATATTGAAGGAACGCATATATTGTAAAATATATATTTATATATATCTCTATATATTCACTCGTCATACACACACACACAAGCGTATATCGGGCCAGAGCCGCTAACCGCCGCTGCTGAGGAAAAACGAAGCGGCGAGGAGAGAAGCTGGCGGCAGTAGAAGAAGAAGAAGAAGAAGAAGGCATTTCTAGGATGCAGCGCGGAGCGTATCGATTTTGCTCTAGTCAATGTATGTGTGTGTGCTTGCTTGCTAGTAGTAAGCTCTCGCGATGTGTGCTCTCTATTGGGTCGAGCTCGCGCGGCCGGCGATCCGCTCTCACTCTCGGTCGCAGCCAATTGAATAGTATGGCTGTTGGCGAGAGCACTTGCCTGGCTCTGTCGGGCTCTCGCCATAGGCGCTTTTCCTGCTAGTCTGTGTATAAGCGCGTGGATTTCGTTCGTTTGGTGAATTTGGTGACCCCTCAGCCACCCCCCCCCCGTCCATCCTCCTACCCTCACCACCCCGACGCGACGACGTCGTTTTGAGCTCTTTTGATCGTCGCCGTCGTCTCCACACTCATCGTATCTTCATCATCATCATCTTTTTTCTTCTTCCCTTTTCATTTCATTTTTTTTCATATCATACTTACTTTTTATTATTTTTGCTCTTTATTATTCACATCAGCAGCAGAAGCAGCAGCAGTAACAGCAAGCAGCCTCCTGCTGCTCCGCAGCTCCGCTATTACACTAGCTCTCGATTCCAATTCGTTTTTTTTTTCACTTTTTTTGTGGCCAGTTTTTCCCTTTTGGTCAAGGTTTAAATTCGTCCGTCGTCAAGATTTTTGATCCGCCACTTATTCACTTTTTTTTTCCTATGAGTGGCTGAGACCGAAACTGTCCAGTATGGGAATTTTTATAATTCGGAAATTCAACTAAAAATTCTTTTTTATGCAATTTGAAATAGTATATCATTTTTTAAAATTAAAAAAAAAGAAAAATGTCGGTAGGCGATTTGGTTGATAATGCTTATAGAGCAATGATTTGATAGTCTCATGTTCATTTTGCAGCCACCACATTACTGATTCTGTGTGATTTTGCGATTTTCGAGACCTTGTTGAAATGTCAAATTTCAGCATATTTACTTTCAAAGTACGAATTTTCATAGAAGAAAAGAAAAAAAAGATTTAGCCAACGCATTCGCATTCATTTAAGCTAAACCATCTGCTCATTATATCACATTTCCCTATTAGTCATTTCCTTCGTTTGCCTTTCCTTCCCATCGCCTCATTCCAACACAATATTTCGGTCTCAGAGCCTCCCCTCCCCCCCGAAATATCGAGTTTTGTTTATGTAAATAGCAAAAGCGCATTTTTTTCCTCCTACAAAATGGAAAAATCCGTGTTATTTGTTCGTCGCCACAACATTCCCACGTTTCAGATCTCAAACTCAGCTCACCCCGTCGTCTTATCTGCCGGCATCCGCTGACACCGCGATTCGATCCGACACGATCCGGGCGATCCACGTGCATTCAGCCGAATCGCCAGTAATCGAATCGGTCACATTCGAATCCATCGAAATCCTGCTGTACGACAACCAGGGAGCAGGAGGAGGAGTGCTGCCGACGACAAAGCTCGCATGAAGAGCATCACACGACAACCAACAACATGTCAGGTAACGTCTTTTTTTCCCCCAAAATCCCCCAAGAATGAGAAGAAGCGACCCAATATAATTTATATGCATTTCAATCTCTTCTTCTTCTATTTTTTTAAATATATATATATATATATATATATATATATATATATATATATATATATATATATGCCGTGGGAGGACACGTCGGAGGAGGGGAATGAGGAGGACGAGGAGGAGGCAGAGCCAATGGCTTTGTTTGAATAGTGGCATTCGACCACTCGAAAATCCCAAATAGTTTTTTTTAGTGGGGGCCCTTGTTTTGATTCCAAATTGTCCGCAGATCGATTGTTACTAGAAATATTGATTTCTATAAGAAAAAAGAAATGAAACGCGTTTTGGAATTTTTTATTTTCTGAGCCGACATTAAAAAAAAAGACGTCGTCATTTCTATGAATCCATTCATTCCTCTTTCATTCAAGATCTCAATTTAAAAAAAAAATCAAATTTCGAACTTTCAAAATTCATTGACTAATTTGTCATTGCTCAAACAATTAACTATTGTTTTCAAGTAGTCGGCTCTCTCTCTCTCTCTCTTTTTTTTCGCCACTCGAACTTCCGTCGCCGAATTGTCTCTTTTTTGCCCCCAACCCCCCCCCCCTCAGACACACATACACTACTCGTCGCCCTTCTTCTCCTTCTAATTTTCGCCTTTCCTCTTGCAAAAATCGCCATTCTCTCTCGCTCTTAAAAAAAAAACAAACGAAAAAAAATGAACAATTTTGGTGTTCGAATGAGTTCACGTCCCGCCTCTTCCTCCTCCACGTTCCTCGTTCCTTCCTCATTGCTACTAGTAATAATCAGCTACTCGACCAACATCTGGCACCAGCTTTCTCCAACTTTTTTGTTTGTTTATTTGTTTATTTGTTTATTTATTTGCCAGCTCTCTGAGATCTCGTTTTTCTCATGATTCTCACCTACCGTAATACATATTTTTCGTTGTCGCTGTCGATTAACAATCGCGATCTTCACCCCCGGTGAAAATTTATCCGGAAATTCAAATTCGCGATAATCCGCCCAGATTCTGTAATATCCTATTTTGTTCTCAGAAAACGATGTCGATTTATTCACGCATTACTGTTTTTAAAGGAAGGAGGCGTGGCTTACCACATCCGATTTTCACACAAAACCATGAAAAAGAAGGCCACGCCCACAACTCCTCCCTTTAATCCTTTGTCGTTGAATCGGGCTTTTGCACATAAATGTATCGGAGTCGCCTAATCCCGAAAAAACATCCAATTTCCGATTTGAAACGACTGATATTCAAATTCGAATAAATTGCAGTGTTAGCGAGTATGATGTCTTCGGGGGAAGACGAGGAGCAAGCGGCCGCCGATGAGCAGGAAAGAACCGACCTATGGCAGCAGACCCTACAGGTGAGTCGGTTTTTTTTTGTTCGACCCTTTTTTGTTCGAACAAAAAAAAAAAACGCGGGCATCCATGTTTTCGGTGGCGCAATTTTCAATTAAAATCCTCATCAATCACAACTCGCGGTTGTTTAATTTCGAATTTGGCTCACGAGAGAGCCCACCTTTTTTTTCATTAAATGTTTTCCTTCCATTTTCCGACTGATTTATGCGTTTCAATATGTATAAAATGGCCGAACGTGCCCTCGTATTGAATTCATTCTGCTGCTAGCAAGTCTGCCTATTTCGTGTGCTCTTCAACTATCATGAAGTCGGAAATGATGAACAAAATCAAGAAAAAGAAAGAAAAGCTGACTCTGTATCAGCGATTCATTGAGCCGATTCCGCCATTTCTCACGTATCGATGGATTCTGTTTCAAGTATGATCCAATCCAATGGATAATCATATCCACATTGTTTGCCATCATTTCCTATCCTTTCATCTTATTTTTTCATCTCAGAGAAAGAGAAGCTTCTGCTTGCAGATGGTGATTATCTGTTTTCGATGCATCCGTCGATTTTATGAATAAACATCATTTCTGCGCATAAAGATTATTCATACTTCAAAATTTTGCAAGCATGAATATTTTGATGCTATTAAATTCATCTGCGGACAATATTGCTTTGTCCGCAGCTCAATTTGGTCACAATGCCTCTTAGTTTAGCGCTCATTAATCATTTTTTAAATGTTTCAAAGGTATGTAAAATTCCATCTTCTAACATTTTTTGAATGACGCCAATGGGGTTTTTTATATTCGTAGCAAAATTATATAAATATAAATCGAAATTTGAATTACCGCGCCGAAATTGTTATTTTGTCCGCAAACACCTAGGCGCGAATATTTTTGATTGAATTGTCCGCAGCTGATCTTTCTTTAGAACTGAAATGATTGCAATATTTGCTTTTTCGAAATTATTAACGTGACAGTTGGAAAAAATGAATTTTCCTTTTTTCGAAGAATGTTATCTTACAACGAGACATTGTGCTTGTCACATTGCTGCCAATTATAAGCACAACGACAATGCAGTCATGACGTCCTCAGTAGTATCTCTCGGCTCACGCTCGCACACATATTTTTTTTTCTTGCTCATTTTATTTTGGAGCCGTCGCTTCGCTTCAATAGAAGGAAGGGATGCGAAAAGAAGAAAGAAAACACATGAATGCGTTGAGAACCACGAAAATTGTGGTGTGGGTGGTTTTTGGCAAAAAAAAAGGCGAGAAATGACAAATTTGACAGATCACTGCGGTTGTGATTTTTTTTCTTTTCATTTCATTCCAAAAAAGAAAAGCGAAGAACAGAACGAAAAAAAAACGTCTAGCCGGAAAAAATTCGGAAATCGGCATTCTTCAAATATTTATTCTCGTTGAAGTGAGAATTATAAATGAGTTTCGAACAAAAGAAGAAGGAGTTAATTTTGGGAGTACCAAATTAGGACGAGATGCATTTGAAGAGAGTACTGCGCGGATGACGACGGACCAAATGAAGTTGGCAAATGAATAATTAAACCGAACTTCTTCGCAATTTTTCCCTTTTGATCGGTTTTTGAGAGCTCTAGGGACCCGCGCGCGCAAATTCTAATTAATTAAGTCGCGTAAAGTTTTATGAGAATTATTGAAAAAAAAAAGACTTTACTGGGTCAGTATATATGCATCTATTTTCCAAGTTTGAATCCGATAAGTTATTAACTATTGTCTGCTGTTGATATGGATGCCCTCGTTGATAATAAGGTTTAGAATAAATTCGAAAGATTGAATGTAAATAAGAAAAAAATGGAATTTTCGTTGAAAGAACCCAATATTAAAAAATCAACGTGCCTTTAATTCAGTTACTGTAACTTCGTAATTAATTTTGATTAGCAATTTTTCGTTATATACTATAAAAAAATTTATAGATTTTTTAAAATGATGAAAGTATTAATAATTTTTATAAATTTTCGAATTTCAATATTTTCATCATATTTTCTGATATATTTTGAGAAACAGAGACGGTAAAAAAATTGAAAACAATCTAACGTGCCTCTATAATATTTTAGAGTTTTCTCAATCAACTTTAGAACTTATTATATGATTTTAGAATTAATTGAGATAATTTGAAATTTGCTCAATAAAATTTAGAAAATCTTTTAAGACTTTAAAAAGTATGTTTAAGTTTAGCGATTCTCAATAAGTTTCAGAAAGTATCAATAAACTTTAGAATTTTTCTTAATATTTTAGAGTTTATTATTTAATGTTTTTGGGAAAAAATCAAATGAAAATTGTCAATAAAAAACTGTTTTAACCTGATTTTTGATAGTTTAAAGTGTTTTACTTTGCAAAATCTGCATACTATCATCAAATAACCAAAATTTGCAGGCTGCTGTCGCTGCTTCATCAAACCAGGATCAGACCAAGAAGAGGCCTCAGCAGCGAAAACCCCTTAGGCAACAAAATGTCATAGAAAGGTTTAACACACTTCATATTAAGCTTTAACGTATTTTTAATCTTTTTTTAGATCTGAACGATCGTTGTTATGTTTATCATTATCAAATCCTATACGAAAATTATGCATAAGTATAGTTGAATGGAAGTGAGTTTCGCCCGCATCGATTCGAAATTCAGTTGTTCAATTATTGCAGGCCTTTCGAAATTTTAATCTTGTTAATGATATGTGCAAATTGTATCGCTCTAGCCGTATATCAACCATATCCAGCCCAGGATTCCGACTCGAAGAACACGATTCTCGAGAAAATCGAATACGTGTTCATCATCGTGTTCACAATAGAATGTGTGCTCAAAATCATCGCGATGGGGTTTATATTTCACCCGGGGGCCTATTTAAGGAACGCATGGAATATTCTCGATTTTATCATTGTCGTCATCGGGTAGGCATTTCGCATTTCAATCGATATTTGCTTTTTCTGTTCAGACTTGTGAGTACGATTTTGTCGAAAATGTCGATTCAAGGATTCGATGTGAAAGCTTTGCGAGCGTTTCGTGTGCTTCGACCCCTTAGGCTTGTCTCCGGAGTTCCTAGTATGCCGTTCGCTATAACATCTATTATATTATCTATCTCGTTCCAGGTTTACAAGTCGTGTTGAATGCTATCCTTCGCGCCATGATCCCTCTTCTCCATATTGCATTGCTTGTTCTTTTCGTCATCTTGATCTACGCTATTATTGGTTTAGAATTATTCTGTGGAAAACTGCACTCAACTTGGTAAGAATTTCATTAATAACGTCAACCGTGGATCTGTTCTATTTTAGTGTGGATCCCGCAACTGGACAACTCGCTCAAAAGAACCCAACGCCTTGTGGAACCGACGGGAGTGCTTTCAAATGCCGGCCGTCGGACTCCTTGACTAACATGGGCGTGAAATGGGAGTGCTCTAGCAACACTTCTTGGGCCGGTCCGAACAATGGGATAACCAATTTTGATAACTTCGGGCTCGCTATGCTCACTGTATTTCAGTGTGTTTCCCTTGAAGGTTGGACAGAAGTGATGTACTGGGTGAACGATGCCGTCGGTCGCGAATGGCCGTGGATCTATTTCGTCACTCTCGTCATCCTTGGATCATTCTTCGTCCTCAATCTCGTTTTGGGAGTGTTGTCCGGAGAGTTCTCCAAAGAACGAGAGAAGGCGCGTGCGAGGGGATTATTCCAAAAGTTTCGAGAAAAACAGCAGCTCGAGGAGGATCTCAAAGGCTATTTGGACTGGATCACACAGGCTGAGGATATTGAGCCGGTGAATGAAGATGAACAGGAGGACGAACCGACGCAACAGAGTGCGGTCGGTGAAGAAGCCGACGAGGAAGGAGAGGAACGTGTGGAAGATGTGAGGCCCAGTAAATGGGCGGCTAGGATGAAACGATTAGAAAAGATGAACCGAAGGTGTCGAAGAGCCTGCAGAAGACTTGTCAAAAGCCAGACATTCTACTGGCTTGTCATTCTTCTCGTGTTTTTGAACACTCTTGTACTGACCTCAGAACATTACGGTCAATCGGAATGGCTTGATCACTTCCAAAGTAATAATTTAAATGGTTCTTCATTTTCATCCGAAACTGATTTTCAGCGATGGCTAATCTGTTCTTCGTGGTTCTTTTCTCAATGGAAATGCTTCTGAAGATGTACTCTCTTGGATTCACCACCTATACCACATCACAGTTCAACCGATTCGATTGTTTTGTTGTCATCAGTTCAATCCTCGAGTTCGTCTTAGTCTACTTCGATTTGATGAAGCCTCTCGGTGTGTCTGTGTTGCGTTCGGCACGTCTTCTGAGAATCTTCAAAGTCACCAAGTAAGTAAATATTCCGAAGAATCCATTGTAACTTCCAAATTATAGATATTGGACTTCTCTTCGCAATCTCGTCTCATCGCTGTTGAATTCGCTTCGATCGATCATCTCCCTCTTGTTGCTTCTCTTCTTGTTCATCGTCATCTTCGCGTTGCTCGGAATGCAAGTGTTCGGAGGAAAATTCAATTTTGCCCCGCAACAGCCGAAACCACGTGCCAACTTCGACACGTTCGTCCAGTCGCTCCTCACCGTGTTCCAGATTCTCACCGGTGAAGATTGGAACACCGTCATGTACCATGGAATCGAATCATTCGGCGGAGTCGGAACCCTTGGAGTCGTTGTCTGCATCTACTATATCGTTCTATTCATCTGCGGTAACTACATTCTCCTAAATGTCTTCTTGGCTATCGCTGTCGATAATCTTGCCGATGCCGATAGTTTAACGAATGCCGAGAAGGAAGAAGAGCAACAAGAATTAGAAGGAGAAGAGGAGGAGTTCGATGAAGGAGAGGAAGAAGGTGATGAACATCTGGATGCTGATGAAGGGGAAGGAGACGAGGAAGTGTCGCCAAGGCCTAGGAGAATGAGTGAAATGCCGACGACGAATGTGATTAAACCGATTCCGAAAGCATCATCCTTGTTCATCTTGAGCCACACAAATCCATTCCGTGTGTTCTGCAATAAGGTCGTCAATCATTCCTACTTCACCAACTCGGTCCTCGTCTGCATTCTCGTCTCATCCGCCATGTTAGCCGCTGAAGATCCGCTGCAGGCAGATTCGGCAAGAAACAAGATTTTGAACTACTTTGATTATTTCTTCACAACTGTTTTCACTGTGGAGATCACGTTGAAGGTCATTGTGTTCGGATTGGTTTTCCATAAGGTAAGACATTTTGAAATTGTTTAATGTTAATGAAAAAAATGTGTCAGGGATCATTCTGTCGCAACGCGTTCAATCTGCTTGATATCCTTGTCGTCGCTGTCTCTCTTGCATCATTCGGTCTTCAAACTGAAGCGATTTCTGTCGTCAAAATTCTTCGGTGTGCACTTTAATAGTCTTTTATTATGGCAATATTTCGATTCCAGTGTGCTCCGTGTGCTCCGCCCACTTCGTGCCATCAATCGCGCCAAAGGTCTCAAGCACGTCGTGCAATGTGTGATTGTGGCTGTCAAGACTATCGGTAACATCATGTTGGTCACATTCATGCTACAGGTATTCCACACATCTTTTCGAAATAATACACGGATGATTTAAGTTCATGTTTGCGATTATTGGCGTCCAATTGTTCAAAGGAACATTCTTCCAATGCAATGATTTGTCGAAGATGACGGAAGCCGAGTGTCGCGGAGAATACATTCATTATGAAGATGGTGATCCAACGAAGCCTGTGTCGAAGAAAAGGGTCTGGTCGAACAATGACTTCAATTTTGACAATGTTGGAGATGCTATGGTTTCCCTTTTCGTCGTGTCCACTTTCGAAGGATGGCCACAGTAAGATTGAAGCGACCATCCTTAATTAAATGAGTATTCTTTCAGACTTCTGTACGTTGCCATCGATTCCAATGAAGAAGACGTCGGACCTGTGCACAATTCCCGCCAAGCTGTAGCCCTATTCTTCATCGCTTTCATCATCGTCATCGGTAAAAACTTTTCAATTCTTGTTCGAGATTATTCCATAATTGTCTCATTCAGCATTCTTCATGATGAACATCTTCGTCGGTTTCGTTATCGTTACTTTCCAAAACGAAGGAGAACGCGAATACGAGAACTGCGAGCTGGACAAGAATCAGAGGAAGTGCATCGAGTTCGCGCTCAAGGCAAAACCACATAGACGCTACATTCCACGGAATCGACTTCAATATCGTGTCTGGTGGTTTGTCACCTCTCGGGCGTTCGAATACGGCATATTCCTGATCATCGTGATGAATACGATATTTCTGGCGTGCAAGCATTATCCAAGTTCGAAAGGATTCGAAGAATTCCTCGATGTTTTCAATTTAATATTCACTGGAGTTTTCGCGTTCGAAGCGGTTCTCAAAATTGTCGGTAAGTGGATCATCAAATCATGATTTTTTGACAATCTTCTTTTTTTTCAGCGCTAAACCCAAAGAATTATATATCGGATCGTTGGAATGTGTTCGATCTTCTCGTTGTCGTCGGATCGTTTATTGATATTACCTACGGAAAGCTGAATCCAGGCGGAACAAACCTGATTTCGATCAACTTTTTCCGATTATTCCGTGTCATGAGATTAGTCAAACTGCTATCAAGAGGAGAAGGTATACGGACGCTTCTCTGGACCTTCATGAAATCCTTCCAAGTATGCTCGATCTTCTTGAGAACCTTCCGAATCGCTAGATTTAGGCTCTTCCATATGTCGCCCTTCTCATTGTGCTTCTTTTCTTCATCTACGCTGTAATCGGAATGCAATTCTTCGGAAAAGTCGCACTCGATGATTCAACGTCTATACACCGGAACAATAATTTCCATTCGTTTCCGGCGGCGATATTGGTGCTATTTAGGTATGCGAATTAGAATGATCTCGACAGAGTTGTGCATTAATTTGTTTCAGGAGTGCCACAGGAGAAGCCTGGCAAGAAATCATGCTCTCATGCTCGGACCGAGAAGATGTTCGGTGCGATCCGTTGTCCGATGAATACAAGAGGAATGAGAATCTAACGAGACTTCATAATGAGACGCGGTGCGGAAACAATTTCGCTTATCCATACTTCATCTCATTCTTCATGCTTTGCTCATTCCTGGTAATTCATTCATAATCTCATCCAAGCAACACTTATTTCTTGCAGGTTATTAACTTGTTCGTGGCCGTCATTATGGACAACTTCGATTATCTGACAAGAGATTGGTCGATTCTCGGACCGCACCATTTAGAGGAATTTGTGAGGCTATGGTCCGAATACGATCCAGACGCTAAGGGTAGAATCAAGCATTTGGATGTGGTAACGTTGCTACGGAAAATATCTCCGCCGCTTGGCTTCGGAAAATTGTGTCCGCATAGATTGGCTTGCAAGGTATCAACAATATAGTCGAAGAACTTTTGTCGTAGCTAGAAGTTTTCAGAGATTAGTGTCAATGAATATGCCATTGAATTCCGATGGAACTGTCTGCTTCAATGCCACACTGTTCGCGTTGGTTCGCACTAACCTCAAAATCTACACTGGTAACAATTTTTGTTTTTCGTCCTCCAATTGGGTTAAAACGAAACCAACTTCAGAGGGAAACATTGACGACGCGAATGAGCAACTACGATCTGCGATACGGCGAATTTGGAAGCGAACATCACTGAAAATGCTTGACGAAGTCGTACCGCCGGCTGGAAGTATGTTTATTTTTAATTGTATGCTTTGCTCTCGCCGCCTAATTCTCGCATTCCCTTTACCGCTTGACTGCAATTCCACATGAGCTTCCCGCAGCCCTTATAGCTCAGTGGCAGAGCGTTGGTCTTGTAAACCAAAGGTCCGTAGTTCAATCCTGCGTGGGGGCAAGAAGCTTTTTTGCTGACTTCTTTCTCCAACAAAATATAAATTGCAGAAGAGGATGATGTGACAGTCGGCAAGTTCTACGCGACATTCCTCATTCAAGATTATTTCCGACGCTTCAAAAAGCGCAAAGAACTTGAGGCGAAAGGAATTGTGCCGACGCAAACGCCGCAGGCAATGGCGCTTCAGGTGATTATTTCCTCAAAATTATTATTTTTCCCCCCTAATGCAAGAAGCGCCATGGGATTCTTGTCTTCAAAAGAAATGCGAGATTCTCGAATTTCTGTTTTCATTTTGATCCGTCTTCCAAAAAAAAAGACGAACAACGCTGGATGGGCTCTTTGCTATAGTTAAGATTTGACGAAAAGAAAAAACGGGCAAATCCCATACCGAGTAATTGAATTCCTCGTCTCGTCCCGCCCAGACAAATGTTCATTAAAATGCCATCGTGCTTCTTCAATTCTTTTTTCGGTTTTCCATGCCTAGAAATTGATGAATGTGGTGCTGGTGGTCCGATAAATCAGGAAGGAAATTCAATTTTTTTTTTGCAGGCCGGCCTTCGCACATTGCATGAGATTGGTCCAGAACTGAAGCGGGCAATCTCCGGAAATCTCGAGACCGATTTCAATTTCGACGATCCCGAACCGCAGCATAGAGTGAGTTATTTTTTTTCCGCCGTTGTTGTTTTCAAAAAACAACCCCTAAAGCGAGCAAACGCCTATTTTTCATTTTGATTGGAACTCAGAAGCTTTGCAGTGTTCCGCAATATCCGATTTCCATTCAAAAAACTATTCTCGAGGCTATATCTGGAAAATACTTATTACTGTGTTTTAGGATTTTCTATTAAAAATTCTCAATTCTAAAAATAGCGCGTCATTCTTTTTTCCTATTCAAAATTGAATCCCCATTTATTCGAATTTCAAATTGAAATTTGGTTGCAATTAAATTAATTGGCCAGATAAATTTCGCAAATTACCGTTGTGTAAGCAATTTTGGGAAATGAAAAAGAGATTCACAAAGTTTCTGGGAAATCATTCATGAAAACTTATGAATAACAATAAAACGTTCAATGCCGACCAGGATCATATAAAATTTATGATCTCCTCTAAAACATTGACCACCACGTATTTTCATGTTCACCGTTTGACGAATGAACATTTAAAAAAATAATAATTGAATTTGAGAGTTGCCAATGCAAGTGTCTTTCATACGAATAATGAATATTTTCTTATGTCACTTGCCGCCGCGAAACTTTTTCTTTCAAAAAAAAAAAAAACGCGGAAAAAAGAAAGCCTCGTGCGGCGGCGGCGTCTTCTTTTTTTCCGCCTTCATTTCTCAAGGACTCTTTTGTGCTCCGAATGCATTTCTAGGTGCTTTCATCCTTCCATTATATATATTTTTCTTGAGTAACAAATGGCCGCTAAAGTTCTAATCGAATTGTTAGCGACATTTATTCGCCGCATTTCGGCTTGCCTGAACGCTTTTGATTTTTTTTTTCGTCTTGTGGGAGCGCATTATTCATGCTTCGAGCAACCAGGAAACACCTACAATTTTTGGAATACACCACCACAAACGCCTTTATACATAAATATTGTGGAAGTCGCACGGCAGCGGATCGCGTGCTCTACTGAAGAGTTGCTCGGGAAAGTTACAGAGTTTGTGCAGACTTTTAGCAGACTCTTAGTAAAAATAGCGCAAACTCTGCTAAAAGCCTGTCTCCGCAGAACTTGCACAGTTTCTTATAAGATTCGAAAAGTCTACGCAAACCCTATACGACTTTATCGCGCGGGTCTCCCATCGTGTCTCTTGTCTCGTCGTCTCAAGACCATTTCGAACATTTAGCCAATTTGTCGCATAGAGTTCAATTAACAGTTACTTTTTTCAACTGTTTAATTTTTCTAGAAAGTTCTATTGAAAAATAAAACAAAAAAGAATCGAAGATTTTCCGGTTTTTTTTGCTGTCTCGAGCATATTCATTTTGCATCGCACACGCATTCCGGCAGCTTCCTTTGGCAAAAAAACGCTGAATAATTTATGCGATGCGCAACAATCGAAAGCTCTTCATTTTCCCAGTCTTGCTATAATTAAACGTTGCATTCGTGTATGTTGTTGTTTTTTTTCAGCGGCCGCATTCGCTTTTCAACAATCTTGTGCACCGCCTATCCGGCGCGAAATCCCCAACGGAAGAGAAAATGGAACGCGGCTCGACATTGCTGCCCTACCGTAAGACCAACCACCCGACCTATACAGATTTATTCGAATCATCACATTCAGAACCTCGATCCTTCTCGCCGACTCATTCGTTGGCGGGGGCTGAAGGATCGCCGGTTCCATCCCAACAATCAAGATCCGGCCCGATCAACTCATCGATCAATTTACCGTTGAATGGCTCTGCTCGTCGCTTACCACTTCTTCCGCCTTACGCGAATCACGTCACTGATGAGACAATGGATGGGTTGAGGTATCGGGATACTGGAAATCGTGCTGGAATTGACACCTCCCATAATCGGGTAGTGTTTGCTAACAGAAAGTGAGTTCTTTTAAAATGGTCTAGTTTTTCACATCGACTTTCATTTCAGTCTGCCTGTTGATCCTGACGAAGAAGATGAATGGATGAGACGCGGCTTGAACCGCAATGATAGCAACCGTCGTACCCTTCCTCCGATCAAGGACCCAATGGTGATGGCTCGTGGAGCTGCATTAGCGATCGCTGGGATGTCGTCGGAAGCTTATGAAGGAACATACCGACCAGTTGGAGAGGGAAAATCGGTCCGTCTGCCGTTCTCCTCGAGACCTGTTCTCCGACCGGCAGAGGACTCGAGGCCCGCTGATAGATTAATCGGACAATCATTGGGTCTTGGAAGGTTCGAACCAAATTTTTGAAATCCCATGGTTTGATCCATTCGTTTATTTTCAGATACACCGACCCGCGAGTAGTCGGTGCCGCTCGTCGCGAAATCGAAGAAGCGTACTCGCTGGGCGAGCGCGAAATCGACATGGCGGCTGACTCGCTTGCTCCGTTGATGCAGCACGTCGGAATGCACGATATTCGCGACATCAACGAGAACTCGCGCAACGCCTTATTAAGGCCAGCCGATGGCGATCCATCGACGAGCGGCTCGCAAGAAGACCTCCTTCTCGTCACAACCTTATAAATCCTGATCGAGATCTCCAGTATTGATTGGTTGTGATCGATGAAGATCCTTAGGCAATTATTACTATTATTATTATATTTGATTGTTCTATTTGTTTTGATCTACCGTCCCTATCGCTTCCCATTACGAGATAGTTCCACTCCATGATAGCTAGTCGCTGGAAACCAGAGATTTTACATTACCATTGCTATAACCGAAAAATAACTCCGTTGCTGTATATACAGGTCCCACGCCGAAATTCGCTAATGCTCAACACTCGGGGGCCCAAAAAATGAAAAGAGTTCGCGAAACTCGAAAATCCCGCCCATTCGAACGAACCGCTTGCTAGTTGTTGATTTTCCCAGGAACCCCAACACAATCCAAAAAAAAATCAAATCAAAATTTTCTCTTTCGTGATTTCTCTGTTAAAGTGGCCTTTACACTAATCATTTCACTTGGACATTTCCAAGTTCATCTATTTTTCTTTCCATTCTTCTCACTATCTCATTTTTCTCACTCATCTTGTTCTTTTATTACGAATAGCAATTTTTGTTTGGAACTCTCAATTCGTGGTGCTCCCCTCGCATTATTTTTCCTTATCAGTTATGACATATGAATTCCTCAATATTTTGCAATTTCCCTAGAGTTTCTTATATTTTTAATAATAGTAATATCTTTAAGAATAATAATAAATGCATATTTTATTAACTACTATGTTAAAATACTATTTATTGAGAGGAACACAACTCGTCGAAGAATGGAAGGAATTTATATTAAAACCAAGAATCCTGAACTTAATACTAAAGAAGATCTTATAGATTTGGTCTCGGATTTGGGAATTCGAGGGGATTTTCTTAGTCATAGCTAAAAAAAACTTTTCTAAACCTATACTCTATTTTTCTAAACCTTTTCATCTACTTACATCCTCACATTAACGCTCCTAACATTGTTTTACTTATTGGACATTGTTTTGTTTCTTGATGGTTGTTGTTTTTTGATTGATACTTACAACTTAACTCTCGCCGTTTATTCCTTTTATTGACCAATCTATTACTTATTATCTTGTAGGTAAATTGACCTTCCCTGATGATGATCTAAAGATCGAAACGTCGGATAAAAAATTTTAACAGTGTGCAAGACATTTAAAAAGGGTCATATCAAGAAGATCTCTTCTACTTAACAATTATAATATTTGACATCTTTTTGAATGACTATTGTTGATTTATTAAATTTTTTCGTTTCTTTAATTCACAAGTTATTTTTTGTGTCAAGTAGAACATTCAAAACCACTAACCTTATACAGAATCCTTTCGACTCGCCTTATAAATAAATTGGGAATCCCGCTTCTTACGGGAATATCCAGAACCATTGGGCGATTTGATCCAAATTGCGATTCATTTCAATGATCTGAAATTAAAACTGAAAAGTAGTAGGGAAAATGAAAAATAAAATAAAACAATAAATTCAGTTGAACACCAATTAGATTAGTAAGCCAGGTTTTTAATGGTCAAATCTCACAAAAAATTTTAAATTTGCAGTTTTTTCGCTAAAAAAGTATAACGCAAAAATGTTAAAATCGACGCACAGACATACTTTTCTCAAATCCTTTTGCTGGTCGCACAGCACTATTTCACATATCAAGCGGTTCGGGGTTCCAGGGCATTCAGTAAATTTCGCGCCAAAGCGCCCCACTCAAACGAGCTGTTGTGAGACAACAACCGACAGACTACCCCTAACTAAATTAAGCATATTTTGCTGGCGGGTTAGAGCCTCCGAGCCCCTGGACGTTGGCTCCCCCGCCTGGATAGTTGTCGGCTTCCAATCACGTAGCAGCTTTTTTGCGAAATTTCTTCGCCCTTGAAATCAAAATTGTCGAGTGCTGTAGACGAAACTTCATACGTTGCCTGAAGAAAGAAAGAGAGAATTTTAATACGGTTTCATTATAGACGATATAAATAAATCGCAAAAAAGTGAAATTAGTCAAATATTTACAACAAAATTAAATGAAAACTCAGAAAATCGTGTCGTACAAAAGGCGGGTAATGGATTTTTCGGGGAAACGCCGACGAAACCGTATTTGAGGGAGTGAGTGATTTTGAGAGCCGTAGACATTTTTTTCACCGCCGTTTTACCGAAACACGCTTTTGTCTGCTGTTTAGGACACACATCGACAAACTGAGAATTGAAAATGAATGACAAAAACGTGGAAATTGAAAACGTCGAACATTCGTGATTACTGTAGAACAAAATCTGTATGCAACGAAATTGACGAAATAAGGAACAATTTTTTGTTTTTTATTGAAACATCGATTCTAGCTAATATGTAGGTTTAATTCAAATTTTTTCAACAAATCTTCTTCATATCACTTACAATTTTCAGTATCTTTCATCTTCATTCCATTCCTGTTTCAGATCTACTCGGCGAAATGGTGAACAATGACAATAAAAATGTCAATGGCCAGAATTTAAAAATGAAAAATTATAGAAAATTGGTAATATGGGTCACGTGATTCATTGTTTTGTTTAATGAATCCTTCACTTTTACTTTGTCACTTGTTAATCGTTTCTCAGATAAATGAAAATCAATCGGATTCGAAAATAATTTTGTTTTCAATCGAAATCGAATATAAATTAATCTGTTTTGAATTATTCCAGAATTTCAATCGAATTCGATATCATCAATTGAAATCGAGAAATAAATCAATCCATTTTGAAGGTTTTTGAATCGAAACCAAATTTTCAAATCGAATTTAAACACTTTCTCATTCGATTTTTAATTGTTTTTAATCGAATCATGTTAATTTGTATTTCATTTTTCATGAGTCAAAGAATAAAAAATCATGATACAATTTTTACGAGTCAAAAATCATGAGACAAATCAAAAAGTATGAGTCACTTAACATTGGCCAAAGACATCCAAAAATGCCGAGAGAAAAGACAAAACAATAGGGGGTGGCGTATCATTATGACCAGTGTATCTACCCGTGACAAGTTTTCTCGGGTTTATCCGGCAAATCCCGGGTCTCGTCCCGGTTTCGGCCCGCAACTACCCGGGATCCCGGTATCTCGGGATCCCGGGAAACCAGGGAAACAGTCTGCAAACACCGCGCGCGCAAACGCACACTCTTCGAATATTGCGTATTCTCGTTTTTTTTTTCGAAATTTAATGTATTTTCTTATTTTAAAAAGATTCCAACGCTTAGAAAATGGCGTAGGAGTGTGCATTTGCGCGTGCGGTGTTTGCAGACTTTTTTCCAGGGAATTTCCCGGGATGCTGGGATCCCGGGAAATTTAGTTTCAATGAGTCCCGGGCAGTGTATCTACCCGGGACAGGATTTCCCGGCCCGGGAATTTCGTTTCCCGGGTTTATCCGGGAAATCCCGGGACTCCACTTCCGGGTCCCGTCCCGGTTTCGTCCCGCAACTACACGGGATCCCGGTATCTCGGGATCCCGGGATGAGCGGGTTCCCGGGAAACCCGGGACAATCCCGGGAAAAAGTCTGCAAACACCGCGCGCGCAAACGCACACTCTTCGAATATTGCGTATTCTCGTTTTTTTTATGAATTTTCTTATTTTAAAAAGATTCCAATGCTTAGAAAATGGAATAGGAAGTCCCTATTTGGAATTTTTAAAATTTCGCAGAAAAATGAGCTCAATTGCAATGTGCAAATAACGATTTTTCCAAAAACGCCATTTTCTAAGCATTGGAATCTTTTTAAAATAAGAAAATTCATTAAAAAACGACAATACGCAATATTCGAAGAGTGTGCGTTTGCGCGCGCGGTGTTTGCAGACTTTTTCCCGGGATTGTCCCGGGATTGTCCCGAGTTTCCCGGGAATTTCCCGGGAAATTAAGTTTCAATGAGTCCCGGGTCCCGGGAATTTCCCGGGAACTCGGCCATTCCCGGGAAACTTCGTCCCGGGTAGATACACTCATTATGACGCGCTTGAAAATCCAACTTATTTGGACTGTGCGGATACGAATCAACGGACCCTCATGAAAATACACACATATAGGTTTTCAATGGTTCTGAATTCGAAAATACAATTGTCTTGTCACCAATTTATATGGTTTTCTCGAAACTGCGAAATTTGTGGGTGGCGTATCATTATGACGCGCACTGCACTTATTTAGCTCATTTCTAGCTCTATAGCTCATAAAAAATGCGATTTCACACCATTAGTTATGCTATTGTCGGCGCCATTGCACATTTTCGACGTTTAAATTTGAAATTAAAACAGTGGGAATTTGGGTTCCATACTCTGTGATTTTTTGGACTCCGATTTTTGGGCATTTCTTTTGAACAACTACGCACCTGGACCAACTCGTGTTTCTGGCGCGCTGAGTCCCCAACCGTGGGCGCCTTCGCTCTTTTTTAGTTGATATTATCACCGCCCTCCGATTTCGGATAATCTCGTTCCGCAATCATCATTGGGCCCGAAAAAATGAAGGAAAACGTTTATGAATAATCAAAGAAAGTGTTTTTTTTTTCATATGGATGGAATCCGTTGTTCAATCAGCTAATAAGAGCTATGTAATGCTGATAAGTCCCATATTAAGGGTTGCCAAAACAAACTATTGCGGCATATAAAATAAAATTTGTCAATGCTTTGGTAGAGGCCTAGGAGCCTTTTTGTTAATCATTTTTAAGCTCCGGCGAAAAATTTCGTCGTTAACTATGCACTTTCATATGATTTCCACAGCCCTCCGAGCGAGGATTTCTAAAACACGGTCATCATTGGGCTCAAAATAATTATTTGTCTCTCTGCTTATTGAACAAATCAAATATCTGTTCAACGGTTTTCATTTTTTATCACGAAGTCGTCAAAAAATTTTACGTCCAAAGTCTTCGTAATCGATGACAGAATTTAGGTTGAAAAATCATTATCGTATACGATTTTCGTAAGATTCGCAGTAATGAATATTAGCTAATTAAAATGATTGAATTTCCACCACTAAACTAATTAACCACCCTTAAATTAGTTCAGCAAATTTTTCTGTAGGTACCCGAAGAAAACGGATTCGATTAATAACTAATCGCATTCGACAAAATTATCCATCGGATCCGAAAATCCCCAAAAAACCAATCGGATCCGACTTTTTTACGATTTTATCCGTAGAAATTCCAATCGGATAAGGTCGATTCTGGAGCCGAATTTTGTCGGATCCAATTGGTTTTGAGTTACCAGAAAAGGAAACGGCATCACCAATATCCTCACAGAAGGCATTTGTGATTTGAATCAACACATTCGTCTTCATCTCATTTCTTCATTTTTATAAATGAAATTGGATTCTCATCAGGTATAAAATCTCTCTTATTCTTTCCTGGAAAAATAATAACTTATTAGCAATTGCAATGTTCAGTTGCATTATTTGCCTTTTTTAGTGCTTCCAGTGTTTTTGAATTATGCTTTTCCAATAATCTCAACTCGACTCAATATAATTGTTTGCTTTAATAATGATAGCCGACAAGATTTTTTTTCAGCCATTCCGAAATGAATATTCTTGTATTGATATTCTTCTTTCTCTTTTTTTCCTTCATCGACGATAATTCCAATTTTTCGAATCCTCCAAATGCTTTTCAGTGTATTGATAGACATATTCCAGGATGGATTCCAGAAATTTCAATTTGTCATAACAGCCTTGGCTTCAACTATCACATTTACGTGGCCAAACAGAAAAACCTTTTTCATTTCTAAAAAAAAACAGATTGTTTGTTTTTTCATAGAAATTTCCAACCTCTTTGAGACCAGACAAGGATTTTTAAACAGCAAAATTTGCAGAATTCTCCTTTTTTCCAGATTATCTTTCCGCTTCACAGTGTTGTTCGCTGTATATTTTGGCCTAATCGCTGCTGATCTGGAGACTTCGATTCCTTTCGCATCTCCAGTCCGTTCTTGTTTGAGATTTTGCATGTTTCCATGAAAGCTGGACCAGTTTATGCAATGGACCTCTCTTGATCAATTAAAATCTTTTGTCTGTAAAAAAGTGCAAATTAATATACTCGTTTTTTTTCAAAATTCTTACCTTTTTAACATTTCGACCGTTCCATGAAAAAATCGGAAAATCTTCGTCTATTTAGAATTTTGATGGGAATTTAATTCAAATTTAAGATATTTTGAAAAAAAAAAACAAATCGATTGAATGATTTCTAACTTCAACTTAAAAATCGGACCAAAAAAATCTTCCATCAATAAATTAACTGATTGAACTGCTTTCTGAAAATCGGTGCATCTCAATATTTTTTGAAAACATAAATTGTTATTCAAAATTGATGCCGAATAATTTGGAACATTCTAAATTGGTATTCTTCATAACGTGTTCAAGCCATCTTGGCTAAAAAATCATCAATAATATAGCAAACAGGCCTTGAAATCCGTTTAAAACTGAATAAGTTGGCATTTAATCAAACAAGGGTATAGTAAATATAAGATTCTAATAAAAAAATTTTCATAGAAGAAAAAGTTTCTAAAAAAGAAGCTAAAAAAGCAAATGTAGCCAAAATTATTGAATTTCATTTAAATATCACAATCTTGTCAGAAACTATTCTGATTTCCGAAAAGTGGTGTAGATGACATAATTGAACTGGCTGCATTATGATCAACAGAATTTTAAGCCCAAATGCACTTTCAGTTTTGTCATGCGCCAATTACACCACGCCCCTCATGCCGGGAACATCTGACGGCTTCGTAAGCCGCCGCCCACCAACTTGCCAGTTGGGCATGATTTTGCTATCGGCTGTGGGAGAAGCCGTATTCGAAGTCGAAACCTTTTTTTCTCGTCTTATATTCCTAAGAAATCATTATATTCTGCCGACATCTTCTACTCCGATCCCCATGAATCACACCCTCCCCCGATCTCGCCCAGGGGCGTGACAAGTTTTAGAAATTGTACGAGGCTCAAATAAGGGTGTCGAAACCCAAAATCATTTTTGCTATTAACCTATTATCTAAATTGTTTTTAAAATATAGGAACTGGTGGGAAATATTTCTGTGCTTTGTGACAGAAAATCTGTATTCATAGTTTCTAACTTTGTTAGTTAGACTTTAAAAAATCAATTTGAAATCGGCAAAGTCACAGAAGACTAAAATGTTTGCCATTAGCTCATAAAAATCAAATAATTCAAAAACTACGATTGTGCCATATCCAAATTAAGTGATCTTAATATATAACACTCAGGTAAAGTGGAAAATAACCCTTCATAATGATGTTTATTTTCTAAGCATCATATTAAAATAGTATTCGGTCAGGTAAAAATTAAAAAATGCAAAATAAATGAAAGTTTTGCCGAATAAAAAGTTGTTGTTATTGATAAAAACCGAAAAGCTTGGCATAAAAAATTATGCCCTAAGGAACAAATAGTTAGAATACCTTGAAGATGTGACGAAGAAGAAGAAAATGTTGATTAATCAAATCGTGGTGGGACCCATGTCCGTCGGAACCATAAGGTTCAAAAGGGAAAAAAAATTCTGAATGAATGTATTTTGAAACGAAATGACGCGAATAAATATACCTTAAAAAGAAGACATCGTTTTCAAACAATCCTTGGAGCTAAAATATTACCAAAAGACAAGGATTCCATTGAATTTTGAGAATGAAAAGTAGCATACAAAAAATACAGAAGAAATAAAAAACATTATTTTTTTAAGGAACGGTCTAATGGATCTTTTTACATTACAAGTGTCCACCGTTCAAATTATTCACAAAAAAAAACACAACAAGGGGAAAAAGACATAGGGGAAATCGGGAGAAATCAAATGGGTATTGAGGAATATTGGGGGGAAATCAAATGGGTTCATTAAATGAATTTTATAAAAAATATTATTTTTTTTCTGTTTTTATTTTATTTTATTTTATTTTTGATTTTTTTTTATTATTTTTATTATTTTTTTTTTGTTTTTTATTGTTTTTTTGTTTTTTTTTTTTTTTTTTTTGGTTTTTTTGGTTTTTTTTTTTTTTTTTTTTTTTTTTTTTTTTTTTTTTTTTTTTTTTTTTTTTTTTTTTTTTTTTTTTTGGGTTTTTTATATTAGTTTTTGGCGTGAAAGTTGCTTGATCCGACTGTTGGCTTCGGAAGCTGCGCGTCTTGTGGATCTTATTGATGGTTGAGCGTCAGCCTCCGGACATGGGGTCTGCATCGTTGCCTCATCCGCAATTTTTTCTACAAAACACCAATTTCAGATAAATACGATCTCCAGAGGGACAAACCGAATTGTGGAATGAGTCCTTCCACGATATGTCGTAGAAGAGCCCGTTGTGCATCCATGTCGATGGTCTCGCCTCCAGCCAGATTGGTGTTGTGTCGAAGCAAAACTCTCCTGGCGTTCTCGATGAGGTGAACGCCACAGTTGAATCCGTCGGTCTGCGGCTCCAGATGTCGTTTTGGCGCCCAGCGCACAGATGATATCGTCGACGGAAACAACAACGCCAACGCCCGCTTCAGGCCCGATGCGATGGTCTGCTTGGCCTTCCGCGAGCGCATAGCGACAAGTGGATCATAAATGGTACACTTGCCGCTTGCCGTCTTGTACGACCCGAGGATCCAGTGTTGATCGTGATACACTGGCAGGAATACAACCTCGGCGTCACGACGCACCCCAATGGTGCACCGTTTGAACATGATTGCGACACGCTCCGGATCTTGCTCCTCCTTCTCGACCACTACTTTCACTGCGGACGGCAACACTACACCAATCTTGGCTATCGTCACCAGATTGAGTAAACCGGCAACGATAGCTCCAGATGTCAAGAAAGATTGGCGCCCCTGCGGCTGGTCATCAGATGTTAACAGACCACGCAATTCGCCGCGAATCGAGGGATGAAAGTAGGCTGGCTCAACGACAGCCAGCGCCGATGCCCCGACCACCTCCGGAGTGCGCTAGCGCACGGTCTCCGGCTCTTCTGGTTCGATCGTGGGCTCGTTGATCGTCTTCGCCTCGTCCTGCTCCACCGTTGCCACGATCGCCTCTTCTCGCAAAACCTCCGGATCATCATCCTCATCCTCATCGTCAAACACCTTGAAACGAGGCTCCTCCATCGTCTTCACCATCGTCTTCTTCTCCCTAATCACCGTCACAGGCTCCATCATCGCCCATTCGTTGTTCGCCATCGGCAATCGCGACCTCACCCAAGACTTCGCCGTCTGCTGGCCATCCTTCGATCGATCTCGATTAAAGCACGAACGGGGATCACATGGGCATCGTGGACAACACGGCACCTCGTCTCGACGGCAAGGACAGTTCGCTGTACACCCAAACACACAATACCGATAACAGAACATCGACTTCGATGTCATGTCGAGTTCTATCGGCTCAGCGTCCATCCCAAACTCATCATTCATCTCCAATTGACTCACAACTCGCGGCTTCTGACGCTTCGGTGGTGCCTCCTTCAGATCCGACTTCTCCTTCCTAATCGCCGGCCCATTTACACGACTTCTCTTCACACCCCGCCTCGGTCCTAAATTCATAAATTGTCGTGGAAAGGACCCCATTTGTAGACATAGGGTTTTCAGGAAAAAGGCTTAAACGTATCAAATGACAAATTCGCAAAAGCAACATCACAAAATCGACAAAAGTATCGACAACAATAACAATGAGAAAAATTGCGAACGGTTTTTTTCTTTTCAGGAAAAAAATAAACTAAAAATGGTAAAAACAAATTTTTCACACAATCTGCAAAAGTTTCTTTTTTGGAAATTTAAAGGTTCTTTTAGCGGATTTTGTGAGTTTTTCTTCAAGGAAAAATTTCAATTTGCCGCTTGAAAAAAAAAAACGAATTTTGCTTTATATAGCCAGCCTGCCGTATTTTATTCCCAAAACATTTCGAATATGTATAAAACCTAATGGTATCAATACTCATTTATTTAATTTTTAGATGTTCTTGTGGGACCCACAACTAAATTTATTGGGTTTTTAGACAATATTTTAATCATATAAATAAATTGGTCCATTAAAAATTAATCAATTAGAGTCTACCCGAATTTCCATTGTTTAAATTCTAATTTGAATAACCGTCTCGAAAAAGTGCAATGGTCCACGATTATTCGAGGCGGCCATTTTTTTTTCACCATGATATACGTAATACGAAATGCCAAATAATTAATTTGAAATAAGTATTCTTGTTTTTATTCTTGAGTACTAATATTTCTAATTTTCGAAATATATTTGTATCCATAATAATTGTAAATATACATATATATATATATACGATTAGTGTTTTAATTAATTCAAAAGAAACCTTCGATGACTTGAAAGTGAACTTCCTCGACGAATCGATAGAAACACACTTTCTTCGGCGGTGGTGGCACATCTTCGGTTCCGTCTTCCGTTGGCTTTCTTTTCATTGTCTCGATATTGATCATTGAACTCATCGTTAATTCTTGCTTTTTATTTTTTAGCATAAAAATGACTTCTTCAAATTGTTCACGTTCCTATTTTATTTTCATTGTTTTTTTTCTGTTTCTCGTTCTTTTGAAAAATGAACTCATTTATATCCATTCTTACACACAAAAAATCATCAAACTACAATCAACAGAATTGGAATTGTAATCATTATGATATGCATATTAATACATTGTTTGATCAATTCGCATCTATCGTGTTTATAAAATGCAAACTTCAAATCTCTGCCCATCAATCATCATCAAATCGACAGATAATCATTCAATTTCTAATCACTGAGTGCGACTTTTCTGTGTTTTTTTTTGAGGTAATCCTGAAAATCTATTATGTAGAGAAAAAGCTTCTCATTAAAAAACATAAAATAAAAGAATCAATTTTAAATAAGGAGTGGAGCTCTAATAATTTTTGTTTTTACAAGCCGTCGAATAATTTCTATTGATGAAGAATAACCCCAAATTTTAATAAAATTCGTAAAACATTCATTTAAAAATTATTTATCCTATTATTGAAATAATTGATTACGTAATATTGAAATACATTTTTAAAACAAACGTGTTCCATATTCTACATTTTTTTAGCATTTTCATTTTTCCATTTGTTGTCGTCCTTCGCATTTGCTGAGTTGTCGAGATAATCTGAAATACAACGTTTTGCAACAACGAAGTAGCAAAGTAAGTAAAAGATAATATTGAAAAGAGCAGAAGAAGGTATTTTAAAAATAAATTATGAAATCGTCGTAAAATAAAATGCAACGGTGTATACACTTTTGACAAAATCTTCAGACGGCACCGCCCTATTTTTTTTAATCAAATGAGCGACGATTTTCAGTACTTTTATGGTTCTTATTCCATTTTTTAAATCTATTTTTTTGTCGACTAAATTATTCGTGAAAAATTCTTGATTATAAAATGTAATTTCTCAAATGATGTAATATTTTTTCAGACGAAAATCGTTTTATTGGTGACTTTTTAGACGACGGAATCAAAAACAGCGTACGTTTTTATTATTCCCTTGAATTTATAGCTATTTTAACCCTTTTAAGTAAAATTACTCAAATTTATTATAGTTTTTGGACGTTGCGCTTTCGTTTGTCCCTAAAATGAATTTTCCGGACCGCTGTGAGCGTGTCTCGCGAATATTCGTTTAGTCGGATTTGAGAGAGCCCGCACGGGTGCCGCGTTTCTCGTGCCGCGAGACGCGGACCAACACCCCGCTTCGGTGACCCATAGGGTCCGACCCAGGAGGGAAATGCCTGGGGAAGTCTAAGCGCACACGGTGGAGTGGCGCCGGAATATTTCATGGCAGGGACCGCCAAATTGGCGAATAGTCTTTAAAATATCTCATTTTTGTATTGAAAGTGCAACATTGAATTTAAAGGTTTCATTGAAAACATTAAAATGTTGATAAAATGTTGTTTAATAACACACTCATTATCTTTTTATTTCTTATTTTTTCATGGACCTTGGATAACAACAGCGGGCGACGACTGATTCAGCGGTGAAAATTTGCCTTTTTTGACACGTATATAATTTTCGAGTTGCAAGGCGAATAAAATGAAACTTGATAATAGGAGTGAGTAGATTTTGCTATAATCGAATGCTACAAAAAAATAATTTTTGTGATTTCAGGCTAGGTGACAAGAAGCTCCTTTTCCTGTTTCTATTGACGAATTCGCCGATTTTAAGAGTTTGAACTACAACTTTTTCTCTCTAATATTATTAATTCAGACTTCACGCTTTACTATTACGAGGCCATCGGTGCACTTAATTCGAATTTCATTTTTTCTGCTTTTATCATCGCTAGGTTCGAAAGAAAGATACTATCAAAAAACGAGGATTTTTTCAGAAGTCATCTGCCAATTTCGTGTTGATTCACTGTTGATGCCTTCGATCAAGAATTTTATGTTGGCTGATTACTAACGCATTGAAAAAAATGAAAAAATTATTTCAGGACATCGCTTTTGCTCACAGATATCAAAATCGCGTTGTTCATTTGAGCTGACGCCGGTAATCATTGCGGTTTTTCACCATTGAAACTCGTAAGTTTATTTTCGACAATGAATGGATACTAATCGTTATAGGATTATGAGATTCTACGATCCCATCAATTGTTCTTGTTAGATTTAAATGCGCCCAAAGAATATTTTCTTCTTTAAAAAAAATTTTATTCTTTAAAAAAATTTATGGTCGGCTAGTTACCTAATTTATAAGGGGATTGAGGATGTACAAAACCGACCAAAATTTTTCGAGAAACTCATATTATTGGAAACATTGTATTTACAAGCATTATAGTAATATAAGTATAAGGCAGTTGCTCAAAGACAAGCAAAATGTGGATTCAAATTTCATAAGTTTACAGATATTATCAACGGCCCAAAATAACTCGACTTATCAGCGATTAGTTCGAACATCAGATCAATTGTGAGTTTCTCGAAAAATGTTTGCTTGTGTAAGAGTGGGTGATGCACAAGTTGCTTACGACGGTTTATTGATTAGATATAATAACAACCAGTAAAATAATAATATAAAAGGTGAATGCGGTTGGGGCCACAGGGGGAGACGGCAGTGGGGGAATTAGACTGACTCCTCGTTGATAACGGCGCCTTTTATACGGGGCGCCGCGGCTCCATTCGGTTACACTTGTTAGACCGATTGAAAGAAACATGCACTTTCAGTTCTTGATTAACTAACTTTATGATCCGTTGTTCACAATTGTGTGCGGGGGTTCATTCAGCTTGGGGTTGGTAACGGAATCAGGAATACGAGTTTCCTCGGCAAAAAAATCATTAAAAAAACCAAGCTGTTAAACCCGATTTTTTTTTTAGAAGTTTTTCAATATCTGTAGATTTTACAATAGGTTTTGTCTCGAATGAAATCACAGTATCGTGTTATATTCAATTATTTCTTAATTCTGTCTTCTACTGTGAATTTATCAAATTTTGCTTCGTTTTCGAATGTTCTGCGATTAGCCCCGACGTATACCGAACACTAATATTATTGAAGCGAGGTCAATTTTGTTGTTTGTAATTCAACCCTTCATCAACGGCGACGTGATTCAAGTCACACTTTCCAATACCGATGTTTTATCGTAAAAATTGGAATTTCGAAGTCATCTATCAAAATGAAAACCCGTGAATACTTTTCGCTCAAAATTCGCAAAGTCTTACAAGTTCGGCGCAACGCACGTGTGGACTACAAAAAAATTACTTCAAAAATTAGGTCTCACCACTGCCACCTTGATGGGTTAGTTAATTTAATTAAATTGCGGAAAGTCGTGTTACATCGGTTTGCCAAACTGATTGCAATACAAAAAATGCAGAAAGTGCGTTTGAAAAATTTAATCTGTCCCTATCTATAGTATATTTAGAAAGTAAAAATATAACAACATGTCTGAACACCTGGTCACTGTGGGAACTGATTATTGTAGGCATTTTTTCGAGACAGGCATCTTTCCTATATTAATTTCTCGTTTTCCAAACATGTATACAATGAGAATTTTTCGTATTTCAGGAAGAAGATTCTGAAGTTGGCGGTTCGAATATGCTGTGTCATCGGTAGATGTTGGAACATTCGTCGATTTTCTGCGATTTACAGTATCTCCTATTGCGAACATTTGCCATTTTTGTTTTTGTCTGGTTTTTTTCCTTTTCTGTGCGGTAGAATAAGCACTAATTAGAAACTTGGCTCCAGATTAGGGACCATAAGGGCAAAATAAATATTGTGTCTGTCCTTTGGTCCCTTTGGTTGGAGACCAAGTTAATACCGTCGAACAGGTAAGTAGTGCTACGTTATTATGTGGTTGTCTGACATCTGTAGATATCAGCGTATTTTACGCGAGTTCGCCCGGGGTCGAAGGGCGGACGCGGCCCGCCCGAGGCTCGCACCTTTCGCCACATGCTTAGCCCTCCACCGCGAATCTGAGGTTGCACATGCCGTAAAGCAAACGCTCTCCGAGTTTGTGTATCTCGTCCCGCACACCGGGCGAACTCGGCAAAACGCTGAGGTGTAATAGTCAGTTTGTGTGTTCGAAAATCAGCGGAGTATTGTTGTCGGGAGTACGAAATGGGTAGCAGGGTTGCGCATTATTCAGTTCTATTTTTCGAATATTTTCGAATAGTTTAACTTGTTTTAATGTCTCATGTAAATCTTTACAAACGAATTCCGAAAAATGCGCTATTATGGGTGTATTTAAACCTTGAAAATTGTGAAAAGTGATTTGAATTACGACGAGGCTGCGCATGTTTCCTTTTTACCGCTTTGTTTTTAGAAAAAGCTTTAAACCAAAAAACCCTCTAAGGGCAGTATCTCGCCCTAGATTTTGGGGCATAAAGTTGTGATTGAAATCTGCGTGCGATTCATTTATGGTTTGATCAATCAATTAACCAAGAACTCCGGTTGGATCGGTCTCTGGCCAGCTCTTCTTTGCCTCAACTGCCTGTAATTGGATCCTAGAACGAAATGCGTTTTTTTCGTAATTAAACTAACCATTTGGAAAACGGCGAAAGCAGCAAAAGCGAGAATATTGAAGAATGTCATGTTGATGGTTTCCATACTCGAAAACCCTTCCTATATATAGGATTGTTCGATCACAATTAAAAGAAAAAACGAATGGGAAAATTGTGAAATTTTTAATTTTGGTGAGAATCATGGAAAACAGATATTCATAGGAGAATTGATGCATTATTTTTTCTAATTTTAAGAATTCAGAGATACAAAAAATGTAGAAAGTGTGTTCAGAGACTTACTGTTTTTTTAAATTCAAATTACCTCGTCTTCACCCAAAAATACGATGGTCCACCATTACTCAAGGTGCTCATTTCTCTGCGACTACCCGCAATCTTGCGACTTTGACAATAAGCTAGCCGAAATCTCATCTTCGTAGCTTTATAGTTATATTCAAAAGGCTAAAACACATTAAGAAATCTTCATCAACAATTAATTAATCACAGACGCGTAATCAGAATCCAATAGCAAAAAAGAATCGGATAATTCAGGAAAAATGAGTAAAGTGACTAGAAACTCGGTGTATTCCACACAAAAGAAAAACGGGGGATTACATGAGATCAATAGTATTAATTGAAGACAAAAAAAAACAAAAACTAAAGGATTCGATCAAAATTCACAAAAATCGTTTCCATTGCGAGCTGAAATGCGGCCATTCCGCTCGATAGCGCTTCGTACGAGTCGAAATCCGGCCGGAATAATGTCGGAAACCAAACTTTCGACAAATTCTTCAAGTCCATCACAGTTTTAGGCGAATTCGAGACTTTGGTTAAATGCGAAATCAGATAGCGTAGAACATTTCGATTGGCGTCGGGAATCGTGGCGAACACATTTCGAAGTTTCGCCACTTTCTGAACTTTGTTTTTCCAAATTCATATCGAAATATTAATTCTACCTCCTGCTCATCTTGAAATGCCATCGATCGTTTAATATCCAAATGGGTCTCGACGGGAATTAATGGGCTTGGAAGGCAACTGAAGAAATTCTTGAGGGCCGTGGCAGCCACGTGGACCGGTATATCAACAGACGAGACGACAAATTCACCCTAAAATTGAGAAAAGACAATATGAAATCTGAAAAAAAAGCATTCCAACCGTCTTCAAGAATTTCCGTTCAACATCGGCGAGGTGGGCCTGATTGCCGGGAACTCGATACAATCCTTCGAGTTCGAATCCGCCATTCTGAAATTGAAATCAATTGACGAAGCCCGTCACAATAAATATTCGGTCCGCAATCCAAATTGAGCAAACATTGAAAAACCATCAAACGACACTCACATTTTCGATGAATTCGACACATTTCTCAACGTAAATTGGGATTCCCGAAGACGAAGCAGCGCACAGCGTCTCCAAGTTTTCTTCGCTCGCGATGACACCTTGCGCCGAGTTGGCCGTGCTTGTCGAGCTTGATAATGAGGATGAATTAGCAACCTAGAATCCAATTGTTATGGTTGGTGAAAGTCGAAAAAAGGCCAATGACAAATTGGACCAACCTCTATTTAAAAAAGACCCATTTTTGCCAAATGGGACCTTTATTTCAAAACTGAAAGTGATAAATGGAGACAAACTTTTTTTTTCAGGCAATGCGATTAAACATTAACAACAATCTACCATCACCGGAATGTCATTTTTTGTCACTTTCAGTTCTGAAATCAAGGTCCCATTTGGCAAAAAAAGGCTCTTTTTAATAGAGGTTGGTCCGATTTGTCATTTGGCCCGAAAAAATACCTCGACAGTTTGACTTTTCTCTTTATGGCTCCTTTTTGGGGATCTCGACGGAAGCCATGAAAATGCACTTGACACTTTTTCTGTGGTACTATCTGCAAATTTTGAGATGTCAATTTTCGGTGGCGAACATCGAGGAATGAGCATACATTTGTGGAAACTAAACGATAGTGGTACAACATAAAAATGAACATACTCAATGATGAATATATGCGAGCTTTACGATCCATATGAGGTGACTGCGGTAATGATCTGCTCGCCATTTTTTCGCGAAACGCGGCGATCTGGTCCATCGCCGGATGGGTCGCAACCAAATCCTCACTTTTGCGACCCTCATCCCGTTTCTCCTCGATCTTATCCTTTCGAAATCGGAAAGACGTCGCCACCTTGCGCACGAATCGATTGCTCCTCGTCTTGGCTTTCTTCTCTTGCTTGATGAGCTCGACGATCGATTCAGCACTAAGACTGTGCCGAATGACATCAATTGGCTTCAGAATTTTATCGGCAGGTGTCAAATGGGCCACCGTGCGATGCAAGTGGCATTTTGGCGATGGTGACGAACTGAGGCATGCGGTTCGCGACCGACGAGTCACCATCGATTCGCGGCATAATCGGCGGGATATTGAATCTGGAATTGTGCGATACTCAACCAATCACCAACACAAGAGGACTAACTAAACAAAAAACGAAAGGCATTCCGAATTCAAAAAAAGAATTGCTTTCGATTTATGCTTTCAAAATATCGACATTGTTGAATGACCATTGAAAACAGTTGGAATTTTTCTCAACAATCAAACACCCCCGCGAATTGTTCTCGTTTTTCAAAGCATACCCACTTCTCAGTTTTTTTGTTTTGGAAGGGAGATTGTACACTTTTCAAACACATGTGACTAGACTAGGTCAGAGATTAAAGCGAAACGAGATTTAAAAAAATCATTTTTAGAGGGTGGGGGAGGGGTGTCATTTTGAGAGAAGTAAAAATTGTTCAAACTGGAATCATTCAAAACAAAAAAGAAACACAATACATAATGTTAAAAAAGTAGATCAAATTTTACCTGGAATTGCAGCTGTTGAAGTGGCCGGAAGATCAAGATGATTCTGAAATGATTGTGCTTCATCATCTCAACATTTCCAAACGCTTTCCTACCATAGCTGCTCCATTTCTTGTCGATTTCTTATGATTATTATTCGTGCCGAAATCCAGCGTCTCATAGATTCCTTCTTCCGATGTCAACGCGTCTTTCACCAGCGAGTATTCTGGAGCAATCTCGACAGCTTCTGGTGTCGCGAGTGGTGCAATTTGAATGTCGGGCTGACTTTTACGCATATGGTTGATTAGAATCGGACCGGACCGGCTAAGGCGGGATTCGCTGTAAAAAGAGACATGGAAAATGCGGAAAAAAAATAGAGAATCGATCGGTTACCCTTTCATTTTGAGCATGCTTGGCCGAGTTGCTTTTTTGGCGGCTGCCGCGTTTGCAATATTACCAGCTCGTTTTTCAATCATACCTTCAAACACACGATTGTAGCGAATTGCAAAATTATAAATACATATATGGCGAAACACGAAATCGGGTAGAGTGTCGCCCCCGCACGGTGTGCAAATACATTTAAATAGTAATAATAATAATAATGTCAAACCTTGAAAGGGCATGTTGGCGGAATGCGTGTTGGATGCCGTCAAATTGAGACTTGTCGGTCGGACATGCTCGACGAGGCTCGAGTAGCCGTCTCTGAACGAGCGGAAGTTGATCTTCATTCAAAAATGATCAATCGGCGTCGGATGCTGGCCACCGTTCGGCCTGCTGCTGCTGCGCTTTTATTAAGATAGCAACAGCGCGAAAATCGAGTATTGGTAAACATCGAAAATGACGTAGCGAAACGGTGGCGACATTATTGAGAAAATAATGACTAATTTATTGGAGATGGGGGGAGCTATTTAGGGTTAATGCGAGCTCGGACACGAAAAAACCTAGCCGCTCTTGACATTTTGCAAAAAATACAGCAATTTTTTTTAATTTCATGATTATTTTCTATACGAATTTGATCAAGATCGTAATAATGTTGCACGAGAAACACCTTTTTTTGGAGGAAAATGTTTCAATTTCTTTTTTTACAAAGCAAATTTCAATAGAACAGATCAGCAAAGAACCGTACATCTGCTATGTAGTATGTATGTATGTAGCACACTTTAAAAATATCTCTTTGCGATCACTATTTAATCCGAATGACGCAATTGCATGTTAACTCACCCATCATTATCTCGCTCGTTTCTCTTCTCCTTCTCTCGAACCATTTGTCCGATGTGCGCGACTCGTTCAAAAAATGCGATGAGGCGTTCGGTGAGCTTCTCGTCGTCGCCGCCGCCGCCGCCACTTCCTCCGCGAATCACAACGAATTCGGCACCGATCGAGGTGCACAATTCGTCGCCGTCGGTTAACAAGCCGTTCGAGTCTTGCTAAAAAAATAAATTCGTCTAAAATTATTGAATAAAAATATCAGAAATGCTGCTGAAATTTTTTAAAAGCGAATTCCTGAATTGCGAGAAGTAATGGTTTTCACGAATAATATTAATTGAAAATAATCTTTGTTTATTTTTGTGGTAAATCAAAACCAATCGGATCCGGACCCAATCCGATCCCCCTGGTCAATATGTGGATAAGATTGAAACATTGTCGTATCCGATTGATTTCTATTATCCAGAATTCAATAAAATAAAGAAGCAAAAATTTTAAAAAGAATGATTCTCGGAAAAGAATCTCTGAATAGATCAGTCAGACTTATACAATTTACAAAAAGGTTATCGACATTCCAGCGTCAATATTTTAGAACCCATTTGAGTTGTTGTTGCTGCACCTTATCTACACGACTATTTCATAATGTATTCGCTTTTTTTTCAACTGACTCATTCGAAAAGAACAATTCTTCTTCCAGAAGAACACAATTGGAAAATGTTATTCTCACCATTTTCGAATTTTAACAATTCAACCTAGCTATCTCAATTCGAGTTCATTTTTTTGCAATTTTTCTCAAAATTTCGGCAATTTCTCGAGGTTTTCAATTCTTAAAAATCCTTATAAAACGGGACAATGGAAGGACATATGAGCTATGAGACGGAATGTCGCAACAAATGAATGCTCGGTTGGGTTGCCTTTACACGCTGTAGCAACTAGAAAATCTCGACTTTGCATTGTCCATTTCGGCACTCTCTCAATCATATTGTGCTATTTTTTAATGGTTTTTGTGCGTCTCGGAGAGTAGTCCTAAACGCGAAAAAAAATGTTTTCTGTGCTCAAGTACTTTTGGGTGGTCTCGGCACGCTCGCCCTCGCGCGCACACACACACCCAAAAACCATTGTTCTACCAGCATTAACACACTCGCACTTCTGGTTATTTTTTTTCTGCCGGCTCGAGCTCATTTATTTGAGAGCAACAACGGATGATGGGCGCCAATTCAATTTGCTCGAGTACAATACCAACCAAAATTTTTGCATATGGCGTTTTTTGTGCAAGAAAATACAACAAGACGAGAGTCTTTCTTTAAAACAAAATGAAATGTAAGAGCAAAATTGCTCGTACTATTTCGAAGAGGCACGGTTGTCAAGTTGGCTCAACATCATCAAAAAAAAAAAGAATAGGGAAAGCCATCGAAATTACTGAAGCTTGAAATACATATTCGGAGGAGTATTGACTTTGATGCTCACGTTGGCAACTACATAGAAAATTCGTCATTTTGGTCGTTTCCAAAGCATTTTCGCCAAATAAAGAAGAACACCCTTCACATGATTTATGTATGGATTTCGAAATGGAGAAATCCGCGAATAAATCGCATTTGACATTGTTTTTTGGTTAAAATTTTGGTGAAAGCATCAATTTTCCTTGTATATGTATATACATATATAGTAGAGAGGACCTTCGAAATATGATTATGGTCCGTATTCCCATAGGCATTTGGGTGCGAATTAATGGAACTCACCGTTTCACGAGCATCACAAATGGCGACAAGCAGAATACAAGCAGGATGAATTGCCTCGTCGCGTTCGCGCTTCAAAAGCCGACTTATGGCAGTACGAGCATGCGCGAACGAAGCGTGTCGTCTGCAAAATGGCTGCCAAATTATGCACGAAATTGAGTCGACGAGCAGCCGATGCCGAAATTGGCGAGCCGCTTGGTGGTGGTGGCGAGAGTGGTGTTGCCACGCCCCCACACAAGAGAAAACGCTTCGCATTCATTAAAATGCAAACGGAACGCGTCGAGTGTGGCCCTCGCAATTCGTTAATTAGATGAGAAATTGGGCGCGTCGAATTCCGCGCTCGTCTCGCCGCATTTCGGCCGACAAACCTCGAATGATAGACGAGCACGTGAGCCTGAGTCGCATTTATCTTGTATGAAGTGCTCGGTGAGAGCCATGAATGATAGCTGCACATCGCCAACTCCACTCGCAACTTCTTCTTCTTTTCTTCAACACTCACATCAATGGGTACTAATCCTCCTAGAAATGGGATGTAGTAGAAATTGTTTCTCTTTAAAGACGTTTTCAAAAAAAACATGATTTTGGCTGACCTGCTGTGAAATTCGGATGAACAATCGGCCGGAATATCGGGATCTGTTCGAAATCACCGAAAATGTTGTCCACCAACGCGTCCATCGAATATTGGTCCGCGCACATCAACGACACCTGCACTCGAAGGTCCCGCTTTCGGTTTGTCAATTGCGAAGAGCAGATAGCATCACAGATGCCTATCAGCTGGTCTCTTCCGAGTAATGAGCTGCAGTCGCTGGCGATGTTCGTGCTGGCCGCGTCGTCGGTTGGGAACGCGCCATCGCCGCGAACACCGAAGAATGAAGCGCCGATTTTCGCGGCCAAACTCGCTCCCTGGAGTGTTCGCGGTGTCGGAAACCATCGATAGTATTCAAATTACCTGTTGGTGCAGCATCGGAATCATGTCGTAGTTCGAAGGTTCGCAAACGACAACAAAAACCGGCGGCACAATTGCACTGAAATTCCTCGATTTCAGTTCCTCGATGCATTGAATCGAATCTGAAATCGATATTTCGAACATCGCGATGAATCATGAATCTACCAATGAGAAACACTTCAGTGAATGACGAATTGTCTGACTTCGATTCAATATCATCTTCTCCATAGCATAGAATATAAGCCGATCCTGATGCGCAGGGGAATGCCTCGTTTCTCAAGAACACCTTTAAAATGATTTGAATTGATATTCGACACGGCAAACATACGCTCAATTCAGTTATAAATTGTGCGACTTTCGAGTTCTCTCCAATCACCAGAATATCAATTAGATGGGTGTAGGCGTGATCATTCCTTCTATGGAAGAATCGATCGAGTGCATTCGCGACGACAACTTCGGTGCATCGAGATGTACCAGCTGGACATTTCGAGCAGCTCGGCTGCTTATAAAAATTGGTAATCGAGTAGATCAAATGGTCGCGAATATCGAAAATAATCGACATCCAACGATAGCGTCGATCTTGCTCCAATTCGTCTTTGATAAAATTGAGCTCCTCAATTGATAGCGGCTCTGAGGCCGAGCTGCTCTCAAGAACACCAATTATGAATTCGACGTGCTCGAGAAGGCATTCAACGAATTCGGCCTCGGCTCGTTTCACAAGCGTTCTCTGATATCTGTCATAAACAATAATCGCCTGGGTCGGAGACAAATTGTCAAAAGCCGGTGATCCCTAAAATTGTAAAATCAATTTGAAAAAACACACACAACAAGACAAACTTGTAAGAAAATTGCGACATCTTTCAGCGATTTTCCCGGTGTCACTTCCGGCGTCTCGCCGAGGAGACATTCGAATTCCTCTTCAAGACGCTCATTTCGTCGCGCTTGTCGAATCTCGTTCTGAATTTTGCTATCAGAAGCTCTTCAAATAGGCTCTCAAATTTTACCTTGAACGCTTCATAAACCTGTTTGGCTTCGGGAAGCATCAGAATCTCGGCGGGCAGCCTACCGTCGAGATTTATTGGCGTCGATTGTCCTTCAGGTGTCAATGGCTCTAATTGCCTTCCTTTAATAAATTAATTAGGCAAAATTAACTTTCAAAAAAGAAACCGAATCACCTAAAGATCCAATTGGCTGGAAGTAATCATCGAAAAGCGCATGACTCTGAATGATATCTCGAGCCATCATCCATTCAACTTCCGATACGTCAATTTTTTCGAGAAGAATCGCAATCACTCTCGGCAAACTTGGCAGGATCGCGCGCAGTCTTCAAATGTTGATTATTGATGACAGAAGAGCCAGTCCAGAATCAAACCTCGCCGTGATCCAGTGCTCTCTGGCATCGCACATATATTGCTCATACATCCGATATGCGGCCCGACTGCCGTACACTTGAACGAAATGAATAAAATCGCGGTTTCGATCCAAATCGCTGAGAAGGTGCTTCCAAGCGCATCTCTGCGTTGGCCACGATTTCATTGGCATCAAATTCGACAACAAATTGATATACGCCTTCTTGATAGTGACGTTTCGCTGCTCGACAGCTAGAATTGCTTCATAAAACGGAAGCGGTTTTCTTTTGTGCTTGTAAGTTCTTGGAGTGCATAATTGGGCAATTGCGTGGAACACATCCTCAATATTCACATCGCGAACCGCCGACACCTCGATTGGTGGAAGGTGCACATTCTTCAGCTCTTTTCGCGACAACAGCTGAAGTATGTTCTTCTTGGCTTCTTCGTCCAGATTATCAGACTTTGTCAGTGCCACCACCACCGGCTTTTTCGTCTTTGCTAGGTTTGTCAGAATCTGAGACAGCTGATGTCCATGCGTTGCCAGATTGCGACTGGCATCACACACCAACACAAAGCCATCGACATTGAACTTTCCATCATGGAGCACATGCTGCGTGAAATCGGCTTCAAGACCCAACTGCTCCTTTTGAATGTACATGAGTTTGTCTCGACTGCTTAACTGAACTCGACAGCATCGTTTCGCGTAGTCCTCGTTCTTCGAACTGCTTGCGATTGGCTCATACGTTTCGTCGTCGAGAAATTCTGAAAATTGTCGATTGCAAATTTTGTTGCAATCGCGCGAGATTGCCTGTCTGTTCGACGACACGAACTAAAACTTGGCAGTTGTCATCGCCAACAAGAAGACGATCGCCCCAATACAGCCAGTGATCATTATTGATTACGGGACTTCCACCAAAATCCGTCTGCAAAACACCAATAAAAATGATTATTTATTTGCCTCTTTTGAATGAAAATCTAGCAATTCTTCAACTGAAAAGTTCATTCTCAAACCTGGCAAGTCTATCAAAAAAATTACATCTGCAAAAATCTAAAATATAGAATATATATAATAATCATCAAAAGCATTCTGTTTCCGATTTTTAAATATAAGCAGACCCCTAATTATGACCTCATCTTTGAGATGGATGTCGAAATGAACATCGAAAAAAAATGATTCTTAGAGACATCTACGTACAGAGAATGCGTTCCTATCAATCGGACTTTCGTCTCAAAATTCTCTAACGACCTCATTCGGTTCAATTACATTCTTATTATTCTGTCGGATTAATGAAAATTCAACGGAATCATGACCGTATTTGTCTTGTCTCTCAACAATGTGAACAATATTCAATTAATTGGTTACAGATGAAGTACTATCTTCAAACACACACACTATTCGTTGTATCTACATATTTATGTGTTGTTCATTTGTGTACTTTTGTCTATAGACCGCCAATCATTCACTAAGAATAATGTATAAAGCGTAAAATGAAATGAAACCTGTGATAAGACCGAGCAATGTTCGAGGTGAAAATCATCGGCAGCTGGTCTTACAAATCGATTGCAAAGCAATGACTTGCCGACACCGACGTCGCCTTTTATGGATTCCGAGCCGCTAACGCCAACCACCGAAATATTGATCGGTTTGGCAAAATTGCTGGTGTTCATGGCATCTCAAATATTGATAATAATAAAATAGAACAAAGAAAAAAAAACCAATAAAAACGTATCTGTTCGGAAAAAAAAATTCAACAAGTTTCGCAATAATCATCATTTGTGTAAATAATGCGAATCATAAACAAATAAAAAAAATTGATGTTGCACATAATAAATACTAAAACATTTTGAAAAAATCAGTAGGAAACGAGTCGGCCAATTAATGCTTCTCCTATCCCTCCCCGACCGACTCATCACTTTGAAGGCGGCCGAAAAAAAGGTGTTCGTTTTACTACAAATAATTGAAACGAAAAATGATGAAAAGAGAGAAGGCCGCGGTGGAAAAAAAAAGTGTAAAAAGTGGCATTTACACGAAAAATTAAAATAGAAACATGGTGGTGGGATAAGAAATTCGCGTCAGTTTTTTTGGGGGCCGTATGGAAATCTTCCGACAAGTTTGTTTTATGTGCTTTTAAATTGGACAGGTTCCTTTCTTCTTCAAGGTGCTACAAAGCATTTTCCGAAGAAACACTGATTACAATTTCATTAAGCAAACATTTCTTAGCGATTAGATAAACACTAGGCGAAAATACATGTTGGAATGACTGGAAATTTTCAGAAAATATTCTAATTTTTCTATTCAAGTTTTCTTTTGGAACATTTTCATTTTTAAACTCTTATTTTATTCAAATCTATGTCAAATTGTTCTAATTCAAAAAAAAAACAATTTAATTCTCTGAGATTTTTTTTTTGAAAATTGTCTGCAGATGGAAATGCACATCTGGAATAACACGATTTGAGGAAAACCGAATTGGAGAAGAAGGTGCACAACAATGGTGAACACCTTTCTTTCATTTCGGTGTCACTCTAGGAAAGCAAGCAAAAAAAAACTGGAAGAGTCAAATTACAGGATTATCATGGGCAATATCGACGACATGAGTCAATAGTTCTCGTGTAAACCGACAGTGTTTGACTAGAGAAACGAAAAAAAAGTTTGAACAAGAAAAGACAAAACGACGAGACGAGCACCTCCTCTACTCGATTCTCCGTCCGCCCTTCCTCCTCTTATTGAACATTGTGTAGTTCGAGATGATACTCGGCCAAAAAATGAGCAATTGAAATTTATTTAATTATATTTTATTGCGAATTTATCGAGATTGGTGGCCACACGAACAAAAATTTGAACAAATTTATGATGTGTCAATGAGCTGCAAAAAAAGTGGGACGGAGATGAGAGAAAAGACAAACACATTTACACACACACACACATGAAGATGATGATGAGCAAGAATCTATTGGCTAGTGAAGTGAAGTGCGTTGAGCGAGTGCCAATGAATTGGAAATAAATCAAATTGAAGACGAACAGTTGTAGAAGTTTGCCGGCGATCAGCGGCAGAGACGCAGAACGCGAGAGCGACAGGAAGTCGAGAAGACCCTATCAATTGCTACTCATTAGAAGAAAAAGCTTGACAATGAGCCTCTTGATTTTTGAGAATTGACAGTTGCCTAATGGACTCGAACGAATTCGAACAACAAACGTTTTTCGTTCTTCAAGTTTTCTGGAAAAAAATGGATGATAATTCGCGATATTGAACAATTTAACCTACAGAATTCGAATGATGAAGAATTTGCGCACAACGTAGTAAGACAGGTTTCGTTTTATCAAATTTGGTATTGAAAAAAAATACTATGAGAAATTCTATTAAAATAGACCTTCTATTAAAAAACAACCGATGCGGTGGATTTTCGAGCAGGATGGTCTCGCAACGAGAAATGACAAGTTGTCAAATGAATGAGTGTGACACAAATTCTCGATGAAAATTGAAATTCTTCAAGGTTATTACTTATTTCACACACAGACAACCGAAATTAAGGGTTTCAAAAGGCAATTAAAATATAACGGTTTCCCATTGACGAATGCGGATGCGCTAAAGACGGAATAATTGGATTTGTGACCTAAAAACGAACTGTTTCTAGTTATATTTGACAATAAATTGGTCAAAGATGAAAAAAAAATCGACGAAGACTGATGATGATGATGAATCACCAATTGAAATCATCAGATGATGTCGAAATAAATGGCGAATGAGGTGTTCAAAAGCCGATTTGTTTTTTTTTTATTTTTGATATTGCTTAATTCTTTTCAAAGCTAAAGTACTCCTCGACACCAGCTTCATGTATGTATGTTGCAAAGAGGCAACGATAATTCTGAGCTAGCGGATATGCGGAATAAAGTGACCGTGTGTCAGCCGTCATCTCGCTCGTAAAAATGTTTGACATTCATCCGGACAACATTTTCTACTAATTAGTTTTGTGACAAGCAAAAGAAAATGAAGAAAAGACGATGTCGAATGAAGTAGGCGATCTACGCGAAACAATGCTATCAAATTATGTATAATGGGTTTTTGCATATGAAATGTTCGTTTCGAGCTCTGCTGTTGTTGGAGCGAACCGCGGAAAACGATACGCGTTTGAAAAATGTGGTAACCTTGACAAAAATGGTGCGTCAGCTAACCGTGAAATACCCGGCGACGGCGAAATAAGCGAACGAGATGAAACAAACAAGGACGAGTCGGCGTGGGAATATTCGCAACATCTTCTCCACCCGATTTACTCGCCAAAAAAAACCCCTTCGCACTTTTCGCTCAATTTCACTCATTTATTCACTGCGGTGTGTCAACTTCGTTTTTTTAAACGTCTTGACCTAGTATGGCGAAAAAGTATACAGAACGATTTATTTTTGACGGAGCTCCGCCAAAAATATGGTTCGTTGTCGAAAACGATGAAATCGCTCTTCCAACTCAGCCAAATACGAATTCATTTTGTAATTATGATTCTAATTTTATCGCGTATTTAGAATTTCTTTTGATTTCGAAATCTTATACGAATTCGACGTCGAAAATTCATTTTGAAGTTTTTTTGTTCACTTCCAAAATTTACCAAATTGTTTCGGATAAATTTTTATAATATTGTCGAAGACGGAAATTCGAATGACCATACGCGTTAGCCATTTTTGATCTTAGCGCAAAATCAACAAAACTTCGCATGCGCCTTTGATATCTACGGTAATTTTCAATGCGTTGCATACTAGATCAAATCGAAAATGATTAAAAGACCATGGCGCCAAATTTTGAATAACAAGCAACGTCTCACTAAATTAGTTTGTCATCGACAATATTGCACAAACAAACCTGAAACCTTAAAGTTTTTTTGGAATCAAATTTGACAAAAAAAGTTGAAATGTCGCATTAAAATTATTGATGAAAACCAGCTCACAAATTGTTAAACACGCAAAATCAAAAATCTTTTGCAAACCACGAAAATGGGCGAAAAAATCAAGAAGCAACTCAAATTGCTGCCTTGTTGACTCGGTTTTTTTTCTCGTTTGCAATGTAGTTGTGGTGAGCTTGTTGTGTAATAAAATCGAATTGAATACAATCGGAGAGAGATAGAATTCTTCGCCATCCATCCACCAACCAAGAAGTTTCACACAAAACAAATTTGACGCCTTCCCATTCCACTTATTTCTTTCTTCTTTTTCCCTATTAAATCTCGCTAATACACGAAATAAAAGATTAGAAAATATGCGTCGTACGAGTCGAATGGAATTTTCGGCGCAAAGATAATAATCACACTTATTATGAATAAACAACAAAAATAATGAAACCGGTCGCGTGGATCAGCTTATATGATAGGAAGCGCGAAACAAAAAGGGCTAGAATCGAATTCGATATCAAATTTGGAAACACGCGCGGCGTCGAAATGCGAGAAGAATTCGCAATCAGAAGGCCGGATGGGCGGGCCATTTTCCGGCGCGTTCAAACGAAACTACACAAAGAGAAAATTCGCTAAGACTTTATTTTGCGCATCACAAACTAAAAAAAGGATGTGCGTATAACGAAGGAAACAACAACAAAAACAACAAAGCACAATAAAATCAACAAAATCAACAATTACAAGAGTGCGTTTTTGATCCATTGCACGACGGCAGTGTCTTCCATTAGCAAATCCTCATATTCGCCCCAGGCGTTCAATTGTAGCCGCATGAGTTCTCCGAGAACTTCTTGCAGTTCATCGTTGCCGTCTTCATTGCTCCACAGTTTTGTTCTGCAATTAAAATAATTTCGTTCAGCCAGATTTGCATATGTGAATTGGAGTGTGGAAAACAACGAAAAAATCAACAAACCTGTGAATTTTTATGGCCGTCGCCATGTAGGATTGGACAAGTTCAAAGTCTCGACGCGTTTTCAGCACCTGAAACAAAAATATTTATAATTTGCTTATATGTATTATAATTTATATTTTATGATATTTTCCGGACAAGAAAATCTTACCTCCGCAAACATTCTGAAGAAAGCTGAAAAAACGGTTGGCGTCATTGATCGAATTTGAAAATCAATCGCCGAAACCGACATTGCTTTGAGAGTTTCAAAAGCCTCCAACAATTGTTTTTCAGTTTTGGCTCTAAAAAAAACAGAATAGACTTCATCAATATATGATCCCTTACTTTCGAAGTAATGCGGTGAATGAGCTCTCCAATTCCAAAAGACTTATCTTCGCATTCAAAGCCTTCTGATCAATATCTTCTTCACCCTCTCCAATAGTTTGCTCAAACTCGAATCCTTCTAATGTTGGTGCAGCGGCTAAGAAGAATGGCGCCTGTTTGATCTTCCTTGGTGCTTCCGTTGGCTTATTACGCTCTTTAATCAAAGCCAAATCTGGAAGGTTTGCCCATCTCGATGGAGCCAACCCGGAGTATGTGATAAGGGAATCATCAATCTAAACCAGACGATTAGTGAAAGAAAATTAACTAATTACGTTACCTGAAGTTCTCGCATTTTTCGTATCTCCTCATCAAATATTGTATCGTCATCGTCATCATCAATGCACACATCAGCCTTGTTTTCTTGGTCTTCCCACGTGGGCACGAAATTTTCCGGAAGTGCTTGAATTTTGACGTAAGACAGGAACAATGTCTTATTCGCCCAGATGTATAACGCCTGCTCTCCATCATGGGCGGTGGCCAGAAACTCTCCGGTAGGATTGAAAGACAATCCAACACAGGGTTTCGCGAATAGAAGAACGTCAATTAGGTTGGATGTGGATAATTCGAACACACGAATATAGCACTTATTATCGGCGACAAGGAGCCATTTTCCGTCTGATGAGAATCCAACGCTTGTGACTTTATCACCAACAGTATTGAATGTTCTCACAATCCTGTGACAAATCGCATCGATGATGACTACAGAAGCTTTTCCTTCTGGGTCTTCACAAACGACAGCAAACAAATTGTTCGTGTCACAAGATTTGCTCATTTTTAACCTCAGCGATGGTGTTCGGAGACGAAGGAAGCAAAGGTTTGTGCTTAAATTCCAAAATCTGCAATAATCGAAACATGAGAAGCCATAATTTCGGAATTAAGAACCTAATGACTCCTCCTTCACACCCACTCGCTAATTCGCCTCCTTTTTGATCTACTGATATGCAAGTGATGGCTGATTCATGAGCAATGGCTCTCTGTCGAAGCATTTCGACTTTTCCCTGCTTTTTCTTGTTCGATTTGAACTTTGTTTCCGTGAATGAGTGAATATGACGCCCGGATTGAACATTGAACTTGTCCAAATGGCCTAAAAATAAAATTTTCATTTCAAACCTTTTAGCATTTTTAATAAATAATGAATTATTGCTACGGTCGACTTTTAATCAAACTTTTCGCTATGGTTTCACCACACACCAATAAATATTGTTATTTTCACGTGAAATTTTTACATTCACATATCTGTACCCATGTTCTCACTAAAAATTGTCGACGTCAGTGGAAAATTGGTTAAATTCCAAAATATTAGGATATATCGTAAATCCATACTTTAACTTTGCGACAAGACAATATTGCATTCTTGTGTTGTATGACATTTAGTCAATTTTCCGCAGTCAAAATTAAATGTAGAGTATCTAAGCAAAAGCATAGATTAAAGGGAAAAAAAACTGGCAGCAATTTCTCGCAGTCGCGCGAAGACTGACAAAATAACAGCTCATTTACAATACGTTTAAAAAGCCTCACCGCTCGAGTATCCAACAAAAACAAAATTTCCACATGGCGACAGGCAGATTGCAGTCGCGACCGTTCCAATCAAGTTCGGATCAGTTTTAAAACGATCATGCACGATCGTTATTGAGCCCGCACAATTTTTCCTCGTCGTCCAAGTTGTCACTTCGAGAGTATCCTTATGCCTACATACGACATTATCCCAAGCCGCCTCGCGTTGCCATCCAACAGCCATTTCTATCGCGTTCTCGAGACGCACAGTTTCGAAATCCACATTTTTCTTTTTAGCTTTGGCCTTTGACATAAGAGCGCTCGTTCCAAGCTTTTGTCGCATCGTTATAGAAGTAACGTCGTATTTGCGAACAGATCCGTCGAGACCCGATGACAGAACATGATGTTTGCTCGAGAAGCTCACTGAGGTTATCGGCTTAGCATGACCTTCAAGCTGGACGAGTTCTCGTGGCATTCCATCGGCACCATCAAAAATCCAACATCTCAAAGAGTTGTCACAAGAAGCGGAAAGCTAAATTTCAAATTTCAAAAATATTTTTTTAAATAAATTTTCGGTACCATAATAGGTTCCCCTGGAACAAAATGAAGTAAATTCACATCTGCCGAGTGAACCTTTGTAACTTTTCCAATTAATTCCTGTTTTTCGAGGTTCCAAACCGCCAATGTTCCATTTTCATCCGATGTTACCATACTTTCCTCTTCTCCGTCGTTTCTTAAAATCATATTTATAAAAAATCCAAAGACTTTCCAAATACCTGAAAGAAATAGCGGTGATTTTGGCATCGTGCTTGAATTTGCCCAATATTTTGTCCATTTTCAGATTCATCAGCAATACTTGCCCGTTTTGTAAGCCAATTCCAACAATATCTAGCGCTGTGCTTTGGACTAATGCAGTAATTGCACTACCAAAGCCATTTTGAAATTCGTGAACGACTTTCCCCGTTCGAAAATTCACAATTCTCAGCTTGCCCGACTTTGAGCCTAGCAATATTTTGTTGAGATAAGTGCTCGGATGAAGAAGAGAGGTAATTTCGAAATCTTCACTTCCTTCTAAATACAGATATGTTTCAAAATCGTCTTCAATATTAAGAACACGAATTCCATTGTTGACGTCTACAACGATCTATAAATAGTTTATTAATTGATCATTTCGATAAAAACAAACTTTCCTACCAATTGATCTCCAATAAGATACATTAATTTTGTCATTGTATCAACTTTGACTTTTTTCGAAACTTCGCGACAAAATGGCAAGACGAATATTTCAGTTCCGGCTGCAGCATACACACATCTCAAAAAAAATAATTGCCCATTAAAAATATATTTCAATTACGAGCTAGAGGAGGCAATCGCGGTGATTTTTTGTGGAAGAGGGTCTGACATCCCAACTGCTCTCAACTTTTGGCCGTTATATTGAATCACAACATTGTCAATTGGACAAAGAAGCGAAATCATTGACTTCTTTCCAACAAAGGTGGTTCGTACAGACGGGGCAACCTAGAAAGTGAAATCATTAGAATTTATAAAAATATTTGAAGCATACATCTCCTGTGACAACTCCAACAAAGCGGTAGGGAGAAAAGAGCTCGGAATGTGCTCTCTTCATTCTGAAAATATATATGTTGCAACACTTGAGATACTGATATGAAATAGTCAATAAAAAAAACTCAAACTGAAACAAAAATAATTTCGTTTAAAGTCTATCCAGCCTTAGTATGTTTTATAAACAATTAATTTTAAAAAATGCACATTATATGTATTAAAACTGAAATAAAGAAAAATATCTTTAAAAATTTGGATACAACTCTATTTTGCTAAAATATTATATGTATGTACAATTACACAAATTATAGTTTTCATTTGTGATGAACAATAAGAACAGCCTTGAAAAAATAAAATATTTAAAGAAAAATTTTAAATAATGAAAAAGTTTATTAAGCAATCTATTTGAGAGGTGGTTTTCTCTCTCTTTTAATGCTGGAAGAAACCCCACCGCTTCTTCCGCACGGATTGCCGAGATAATAATGAGAACGATTTACGCAAACGATAGAGCACTGGCGCTTTTTCAGTGCAAGGGCGGAATTTTAAACGTTTCTTTTATTAAATATTATTTTTAAAAATATATATACAATCGCAACAAAAACGATAACCTTTCCTTGTTTGGTGGCTGTTTTTTTTTTAATGGCATATCTATTTATATATGTACAGGGTGCGGCAAAATTACGGGTGCATCAATAAAACGAAATAACTTTTTTAAAAATCAACAAAACTCTTTCAAATTAATACCAAAATTTATTCAACACATAACAATCACAAATTAATTATCGTTGTTCGATTCTTCCACCACGATTCTTGATAAATTCCTTCAGACGCTTCGGATAGGCGTCGACGGTGGCACGCAGGTATTTGGGGTCCAATTTGTCCCATTCCTTCAGAAGGGCAGCTTTCCATGAGTTCGTATTTGGGTGTGGGAAAGCTGACACCTTCTCTTGCAAGACCCCCAGACAGAATAGTCCATGGGGTTCAGGTCGGGCGACGAAGCGGGCCAATCCGTTGACTTGATAAATGATGGAAAATGGCTGCCGCACCCGTCTTGAACGATATTGCCTCGTTGTGCAGGCGCTAAGTCTTGTTGAAAAGTCCACGACCGATTTCCGAAGTGAGATTGGGACCAGGAATGGACATTCTTCTTCAGAATCTCATTAAGATAGTCATTTTGATCAATCTTCACTCCGGGATCAACGAAATCAGTGGTGTCTTGCCGTCAGCGCAGATCCCACCGAATACCATGATCTGCTGAGTATGGGAAACACGATGAATGGTTCTGCCTTTGTTCATAGCTTCCTCAGACCTTCTGGCGATCACTCTGTGGTTTTGGAGATTGAAAGCAGCTTCTACCGTAAACAGCTTCTCATCCATGACGAATGTCGTTAGGTGCTTTCCTTGCCGCGTGCCTGCTAGGAGCGATTTGCACTTTTTCATTCGACCTGCTTTATTTTTTTGGGTTAGAATGGCGGCCTTTCTGACACGATAAGGTATCAGGTTCAGCTCATCTTTGACTATTCTTCCCACCATCTCGGACTCACATGGACTTCGGACGCCATCTTTCTGATGCTACTATCTGGATTTCGACGAACTCGTTCCCTGGTGACCTTGACTCGCTCCGGTGTTATTAAAGAATATTTTCTTCCTTTTCTAAGACAGCTAGAGAGTCCTCCTACCTCATCAAAACGTTTCCAAGTTGTTTGTACGGTGTTGTGGTGAACTCCAAGGTTTTTAGAAATAATTTTGAACGATGTTCCCTTTTTTCAAGTCGATGATGGCCGCACGATGAATAGAATCAGCTGTCATTTTTGTAATACGAAACGGATTTTCATGAAACTTTCAGAAAATGATTAAAACGTCATAGAAAATAAAATAAAAACATAAAACTGCACAAAAAATACGACAGTGCATTATGAGCTTGCGCCAAAGTTATGCACCCGTAATTTTGCCGCACCCTGTATAAATCGGGACTGTGCGGCCATCGGAAATTCCGGCAATTCGGCAATCGGTAAGTTGCCAAAAATAAAAATTTCCTATTAAATTTTTTCAACGATAATTCGAAATATAAATACCGAATTTTCAAGGAGCATTCATTTTTGTTTTGTCGATTTTTTTCGACATCAATATGCCGAAAATTAAAATTTCGGCAATTAAATTGCGGCAGAACCCTGGTATAAATAGATTTTTTTATTGACATAGGCATGAAATACCAAAAAAATGTTTTTAAAATTAATTAAATGCTTATTTTGTTACTTTCTTAAATTGATAAGTCTAAAAATGTACCATTGAGGCTTTGAAAATATACTGTTCAAGAAATATTAACGATATTTTTTCGAAAAGATAATTTTCAGGACAGAAATGCAGCCGCTGAATTTTTACCAAGTTCTGGACGTCGTAAGAATGATGTTATTGAAAAAATCACGTCGGTATTGAAATTAATATATAAATATTTTGATCTTGATAACGAAATTTTAAAGTTCAATATTAAACAACCCACGTCGTATAAGTCGACGTGAAAATGAGGCGAAATAACAAGTATATTGTAAGCAAGCATTTTCAGTAACAGGTGAGTGTGATTCTTAATACATTAATATATTTTTGAAAGTTTAGAATGTCGAAGAAGTGCAAAGCTCTCGCTATTTTCGTTTTGGTGCTAGAAGTTTTTTCTGTTGAAGCTGTTTCCGTTAACCAGGCTAATGTGGAAAATGTGCATAAGGATTTTGATTTATCCTTCATTGGTGACGTTGGAATAAGTATCAAGGAAGGCACAAAAACGGCCGTACAGAAAGCTGAAGAAGCGGCCGCTTCTGTTCAGGGAAAAGTCGAAGAGCTAGCTGCGGATGCCAAGAAGAAATACGATGAAGCAGTTGCTTTTGCAAACCAGAAAAGTGAAGAGGCCATTAAGAAAGCCCGTGAAGCTGAAGACGCTGCCCAAAGTGCTACAGTAGCTCAGCAAAATGCAGTAACAGATGAAGCAAAGAAAAATGCCGCAGAAATGCAGAAGAAAGCTGACCAACTTGCTGAGGAGGCTAACAAAGCTAAGGCCGAGGCGGAAGAGGCCGCTAGGAAAGCTCAGAAAGAAGCTGAGAACTTGGCTAACGAGGTTTCAGAAGCTATAAAAAAAGAAGCCGATCGAATTAATATATCTCATATGCATGCTATTGGTGTCGCCTGGTTAGCAGTCGCTATTATCAATGTCGCACTTCTTTCGTTTAATTCATTTTTTTAAAATAAAAAATTAAATCGAATTTCGGTGTATTTTACTTAATTCCATGAAATTTACTACAATAATATATAATCCAATACCTTTTTTAATGGCTAAACGTAACAATTTTCCTTTTCAAGACAGATCAAACTATTTCTGACGATTTGACCTATTCACGACAACTCTTTACTTCTCCGAATCTCTCAATTTTATATGATGTTTCAGAAATCAAAGATCATTGTTTGAATTTTTGCCTATATAAAAGGTTAAATGTTTTCTAAAACTTCAGTCTGTGGTCATCATGAACGCATTGCTCAGCACCCTTGCTCTCTCTGGCGTCGTATTCGCGCAGTTCGGCGGCAATGGCGATCGCGGGCACGGACCAATTGGGCAAGGACCAGGTGGACCCGTTGGCGTTGGCTCACCGAACCAGGAGCTCACGTACGAAGCTAAAGGACGTCTGATTTGTGGAATTTCGCCTCTCGCCAATGTTCGAGTTGTGCTATGGGATCGATTCCGTGGACGAGACAATGTGATTTACGATGAAACCGAGACCGATGTGATTGGAAACTTCCGATTGAAGGCCACCAAGAGTTCATTCAACACGCAGTACATTCAGCCTTATTTGACAATTTATCATGATTGTGATGACGAAAAAACGGTGAGTTCTAAAACGATCATCTATTTTTTAAAAATTATATTTCAAATTTCAGCCAGGACTTCGCAAAATGACTGTTCAACTTCCATCGACATACACGAATCGCGGAAGTCTTATTCTGAAATCGATGGACATTGGAACCTGGAATCTCGAAACATCGTTTGCCGGTGAGGAAGTTGAGACGTTCGGAAATCGCGACAACAATCCGCCAATTGGCGGCTTTGGCGGACACTGGGGTCGTGGCGGAGACTTTGGTGGTGAACGCAATCGATTTGGTGGACGTCGCGAATATGATGAGCCGACATCGGTTTAAAACCGAAGAAAATGAAGCCTTTGAGGCATGATATAATAACGATTTCATATTTTGAATTATTTTTCATTCAAATAAAGTGACTACTGGAATTAATATTTGTGAAAACGCATTCTTTTCTAGGAAAAAGTATTTTCGAAAAAACAGCATTGTGGACGACTGAAAATTTGAAAAAAATTAGCCATGTGCCAAGTGCCACGGTGCCAAAAGACGTTCGGGTGTCTGCGTACTTTGCATTTTAGCGTACGCGCATTAAATTTTTCGCTACAAATTCGCAGACCTCCACCAATTTTGCGAAATTTAATTTCCCGCGCTGACCAGTCATTCAACTCTGACAACACATGTCAGTTTTCATTCAAATTCGCTTAAAATGCGTTTTAATGACTTTTCAATATCAAAGGAAATCACATTCGTCGGCCACTCAAATAATATTTCTGAAAAACGATAAACCATGCGAACCTTCAAGCATATTTAAACGGTCGAGTTGATTTTTCACAGTCACAAAATGAGTTTTCTTCAGATTTCTATTCTTTTACTAGCCGTTTCTGCGAGTTTCGCTCAAAACGACACAAAATCAGAACCGAAAGAGCTCAAACATCGTCGTCGACATTCATTGCCGAAAGAGTTCGAACATCTCACCAAATTGACAAATGCCGAACGACGAGAGTATTTTGGAATCGTTTTCAATAAAAATATGACACTTGGCGAAATCGATGAGAAATCACTTCAATTTGCAAAAAATCACGGATTTGAGGTTTTTTTTAAATCACGGATCAGTGGTTCTAATTTAATTTAATTACAGAAGGAACATTTGGCCGGTGTTGAGAAAAAGAAAGCTTATGTTGATGCATCGAAGGCTGAACAGGATGAAGTTGTGAAGAATCTTCCAGTAGTTTTGAAAAAGCTCCGAGAAATTTATACCAATAAAGATTTAACTCTGATTGAGCGTGAGGAAGACATCGAAGAGCTGAGAAAGGAATACCCAAAGGTAAAAAGAGTGGTTGGTTAATCGAAAAAATATTTGTTTTTCTTGCTCTAGGAAGTTCCGGTCCTTCAATTCGTTTTCCGTCGCGAATACAAGAACTACGGTAAAAATTGGGAAAACGTTTTGGAATAAAAGGAGGCCTCTCAAGTTTCGCTAGAAAATCGAACAAAGCAAAATCGGCGTAATGACGTCTTCAAGAATCGATGCAAACTCCATTACAATTACGTCTTTATTTCGCTAAATAAAGTTTTATTTCAATTTGCAGAAGATTGTGGCATATTGAAAATGAAGAAGAGAGCGCGAGTGACCTGCAAAATAAAGGCAATATAAATTGACACATTTTTTGTCGTTTATTACGTCTGGATTTTTCGCTTTAAGTTCGGCAATTGCGTCTCTTTGCTCTCTTTTCGTCAATTTCTTATTTTTCAGAATTGTTTCAGCTTGTTTCGCAATGATTGGAAGCTTCTCGATTATTTCCTTCATTTTTTCACGTTTTTCCTTCTCATTCTGTCGTCGTTGTTCTTCAAACTTTTCATATTCTTCCTAAATCAAATCATTTCCTCTTTTTTTAATTTTCGACGATTTATTTGTGTAACATGCAGATGAGGCCCACACAGCGGGAAAATTACATTTAAGATCCCCACAAAGTACTTTTATAGCTCACTCATCATCATCGTATGCCACGCGCATTCTGTTCATTTTTTCGTTGCGTTCATCGGTTTTAACCTTATTCGCCGTTTTCATTTCAGAAAATGTAATGAGATAGTCTTAAATTATATAAGTTTTGTAATACCGATATTTTCAAACAGCTCCTCTGTCTCTATTTGCGTGCCTAATTTTACACTAATTTCTTTGAGGGGCCTACCCTACACTATGTGAGGATACAATTCACCGTGCGGGGTGCTTATCTGAAGGATTGTCTGGAATCTAATTTCAAGTCCCCCACTTCGTTGAAATATGACGCATGTAAGGTCCTTACAGTGCAAAACTGGTACCTACATCGATCCATGTGTATGCAGTGCTGCACGGGGACCTTTTCCCTACTGTGGGACCTCATCTTTTCTTTCTTTTACCGTGATATGATGCTCCTTTGCAAACTTCGCCTTTTTCGCATCGATTTGTTCGATGGTCAGATTTTGATTTTTGAATATATCGAGAAATGTTGCTTTCTCATCTTGCGTCAGTTTTTCAAGAAACGGAAACTGTGTTGGCGGCCCAGCGACGACGAACGGAAGCACAACGGCGAATAGGAAAATGTAAAGAATATCCATAGCAAACTTCGAAACTGCTTGCCGCCAACATTATTGCTTTTATACAATCATGTTTTTTTTTATGATTTCTTCGCGACCATTAAAATATCATTTCGGGTTTTGGGCATAAAAGTCAAACGTTTACTCGATACATAAATAATTCCCCCAATTGAAGGCAATTATTATTATTATACTTAAAATTTTAATTGTGCATAATTTGGCTATTACATACAAAATGTGCAATTAAGTGATGTCCATACAACACTTTGACCGTTTAAAATAACGTTGAACAACGTACAAAATTTTCGTGTCGATTTGTGTTCGCTGGGCAAACAACAACAATGAATCGGGCTAACTTTGTTTTACGTCAATTACGTTGATGAATGAATCATGCGGATTTTAATTCGATAGTATAAACATGGCGATTTATGGCATAAAAAACTAGACGTTTACAGAAATTTCGAGATTTTTTGTGAATAGTTGGATTTACTCAGACTATCTGCAAAATGTTTTTTTTTTTCATATTTGGCAAATTTGTGATTTGTGTTTTTGAATCATTTGCAAAAAAAATGAATTGGAAACTCGCGTATTCGCAGAAAAAAAACCTTGCGACGATGAGTTCGATTTGCATATTATGCGTAATACGCTATCTGAATTTCCACAATTAACAAAAGTCATGAATAATCGATACATTTTCTATTTTCAAAAATGTGAAGACGATTTCAAAATTTCTGGAAAATGCGACCTGATGGTTGTCAGCATTGGTAAATTATCATGATTTTGAAAAAGTGGCCGACACCCCACAGACCCATTATACTACTGGAAAATCACCTTGAATGTTCAAACGGTCATAGCTTGTCTGAAAAACATGAGCTCAAATTGCATCCCTTTCCAATCATCAAAATGACCTTTGTAGTCGATCTTTCTACTGCAAATCCTCTAGAAAATATATGATGTGGTTTGGGTAAACATGCACTTTTGAGCAGACAACGGCTAGTCCACTTATGTTGTGCCACGAAGTACGATGTTCTTTGGTATTCTTTGGTTCGACGTGGGTCGGTTTGAATTAGACATAAATTCGCAAGTTCTTTATTACATATAGACACAGAAAACGTACAAATCGGAATGGAAGTGTTCAGTAGATGATTTAGAAGTCGACATTGTTTTCTTGTTGACTTCCGCCACGTGGTCCTTGACCTCCGAAGTCTCCTTGTCCACCGAATCCACCTCGACCTCCAAATCCTCCTTGTCCACCGAATCCTCCTCGACCTCCTTGTCCTCCTTGTCCACCGAATCCACCTCGACCTCCAAATCCTCCTTGTCCACCGAATCCTCCTGGACCTCCAAATCCTCCTGGACCTCCAAATCCTCCTTGTCCACCAAATCCTCCTGGACCTCCAAATCCTCCTTGTCCACCAAATCCTCCTGGACCTCCGAAACCTCCTGGTCCTCCGAAACCTCCTGGAGGCTTTCCATGTGGTCTATTTGGCTTCGAAAGGAAGAACAATGCATCAACCTCCTGTGATTAATGGTTCATTTTGCGGCCACTGAACGAATGTCTTACCTTCGGGTTTTGTTCCCTGATCTGTTCGAGAGCTTCTCTTTGTTGTTTGAACGTTTGATCCTTATTCGAGAGAACTGCTTCAATCGATGATTGAACAGATGGCAAGTTGTTAATGACAGTAGTCAAGTTTCTCTTGATCTCCTCTTCAAAGGCGGTCTTGTTGGCTTGGAACTCATGGTAGAGATCCTAAAATAAAAATGGTATGATTGAAGTAGTATGAATGTGTATGACATACTGCAACTCCATAAGTGGTTGCCCATGAATCAACCTGGGTGTCGATTTGATTGATTGTGAGGTTCTCATTTCTCACAATATCAAAGAATGCGCGTCTTCCTTCTTCGGTGACGTTGCGAAGGAATGGGGGAAGGAATCCTCCGGGTCCATGATGGCCACCACGACCACCTTTTCCGCCTCTGCCACCTGGATGGCCGAAGACGACCGCAACAAGTGCGATTGAAATCAAAACGAAAGTCTTGGACATTCTAAAAAAAAGCAAATGCAAATGAAATTGACTCGAATGATGATATTGGCCCCGATTGGGCCATATTTATAGATGAAAAGCCAGAATTGTTTGCTAACCTTTTTTGCGGCTCCGCCCATCGCGATCAGTTCGACCTTCTCTGCCAGCTGAATCGACGCGACCGCCCACAAATAGCACGGCGCATGACGAGAGTGCTCGGCTGAGTCATTCTGTTTGTGTGGCGCGGAACTGTCACCGAACAAAGTTCAGCAACAAGTAATGGCTACCAGTAAATCGTTTTTTTTTGCTGAGCGAGCAGCTTTTGCATCTGTGCACATAAGCTTGTAGATTAATCAAAACATCTGTTAGCAGTAACTGATGCTCAGAGAGCAACTATGTAATATTAAAATTACGTATGTAGAAATAGACATTGCATTATACACAAATGATAATCATATTATAATAAATTTGAGAATGTGTAAGAGCTAATTAGTAGACACCAATTAATTAATTAAAGTTTTTGACAATAAACTATACAACAAAAGAAAAAAATCACAGTAAGAATTTTCAAATCAATTTTTTTGGATATTTGCTTTTAGTAGACAGAAAAACATTTTAAAAAAATTGCTGAAACATGGATCAAAAATGGATAAAACTGATCAGCCACTGATCGATTTTTCATCCATTTTCCGACGTAATTGCTTTTTTTGGCGAAACACACGATATTCTCGTAAAATATCCCTAATATAAAAAGTTTCGAGTTTTCCTCTGATTTTTCAGTATTTCATGTTTTAATGCGTCTAATTTTCGATTCAACAACCTTTGGGGGTTTTTTTTTGCAGTTATCGGCAGTAGGTAAAAAAAAGGTATTTTTTCAATTCTCATAATTCATTTTGCTTTTAAATTCATTTTGCTCATAATTCATTTTGCTTTTAAAATTTCCATTTTTATTATTTTTAATGCTTTTGAATTCGTTACCAATTTCAGGTCAAATGTGTGATGTTGATGTTTATTCATAGCATCATTTCCTATTGTGCTTTATAGCATTTTTACAATAAATGCATTTTAGATGCTTTCAAAAAATTCTCACGTTTTGAAACTGCGTGCATACATTCATACATCAGGTCCAAAATATGAATGATGCGTCAGCGGATTTGCGGAAGTTGTATATAAACTGGAAACAGTATTGTGAATGTATTATATCGAATGCTGTCCCACAATCAACTCGTCGTTCTCTCCGTGTTGCTGTGCGCGGTTTCAGCACATCCGGGTGCTCGCGGTGGACCTCATGGAGGACGCGGGTTCGCTGGACCGAATCTGCCATTCCTTCAGAGTGTTAGCGACGAAGCCCGTCAAGAGTTCTTCAAAATCGTTTCGAATCGGAATTTAACGATCAACGAGATCGAATCACAGTCGGCGCAATGGGCACAGACCAATGGAGTCGCTGTAAGACTTTTCGTTTTCTATTGACGAATTCCTTCTCGATTAAGGATATTTTCAATGAATTCAATGCCAATAAGACCGCTCTGGAAGCTGCCACAAAGCAGAATGTCTCACAAATCATCGCCAACTTGCCCACTGTTCAATCTTCCCTCCAGAGAATCTTTGAAAATAAGGATCAGACGTCTTCTCAGATTCTCGAGGCATTGAACAATGCGCGCGAGCAATATCCACAGGTTTGCAACGGCATTTCCGTTCAAATAGATTTGAAGTCATATTAGGAAGTTCATGTTCTTTTGCAATTGAGTCAACCGCAAGGACCGCGTGGACCACATGGTCCACCACCAAGACATTTCAACAATGGAAAGAAGGACAGACGGCAGAATAATAAGAAAAATAATAACAAGAAGAACAAAAATCAAGAAGATGATGAAGAGGATAACGAATAATTATTATAATTATCTTAAATATTATTAAAAATAAATATACATTCGCATAATGATTGGAGTTTCCTTTAGAAAATAAAATGGCAAGAATCACTTTTCCAGTCCATTATTGGATTGGTTGGGTCCTTCTCAAGGTTCCAAGCTAGTCGAATTTTCAAATTCCAAAATAAATTGTCCGTAATTTTCTAGAAAAATTGTCTCTATTATTGAAATCGCGCGAATGCGACAAATTGGTCAAATGCCAAAAATGGTCTCGAGACGACGAGACGCGCGTTGTGTTCTCCACACGTAACGATGTGGCGTAAAAATCCCCCAAGCTTAAATTTTGTTACTAATTTTTACAATAGACCACACCATCGCACAATACCTCTTTTTCATATTACATATAACCGGAATGACCATTAAAATCTTGATAGGAATAACAACCCACAAATGAAACAAATTTTGGCATAATATTTATTTGTTGAAAACTTTAAAAACAAAATTTTGAAAAATTTCCATGGAATTCGGAAAATTGAGTGAAGCATGTTTAATTAGCTTCAACTGTGGTGTTGAGCGGTTTTGTGAGTTCCATAATCGCCGACATCTCCTGAAATGAATCAGTTCAATCGATTTTCGAAATCACACTTCAAACCCTCGGATTTTGCTTAGTGAGTTGTTCCACTTCTTTGCTCATCTCAGCAGGAGTTTGTTGTTTATTTTCATAAATCGCTACAAGCGCTGAATAAACCACCGGAAGGCGATAGATCATTCGAGTAGTGTTCGTTTTCGCCTCTTCTTCGATTGCTGCAATGCTTTTGTGAGCTTCATTGTAGAGGTCCTGAACAAAAATAGAAATCATTTTCGAAATTTGCCCATCCAAAAGCTCACCGCAACTCCATTGTCTTGAGCCCATTTCGCTGATTGCGCCTCAATATCGCTAATCTTCAAATTCTCGTTGGAAACAATTTTCATGTATTCCTGCCGAGCCTCTTCTGTCACATTTTCCAAAAATGGTACTGGCTGTTCTTGTGGCGAAATGCTTGCGAAGCAAATGAAGAGGGACAAAATGGCGAGCTGGTTGTAGGCAATCATCAATACGAAATTATATGTTCATTGCCATAAATTTGAACTTTTATATCGCAAATCCGCTGATTCATACCAAATATTCCTGACAAACTTTTCGATTTTTCGATGAACTTTTAAAATATCGAAAAATCATTGAATTGAGATTCATGCGATTTTCCGAATCATCGGGTTTAAACGTTTTATAAAAATTATTGTAAATGAAAAAAAAAATCAAAAACCGGTTTCAATTGTATTGTGCACGCGAGTTTTCTCATTTTTTCTTCAACAAATTTTGTATGTGTAAGAATTTTGTCTTAAACTAAAAAATCAGTCTGTGTAGATTTATAGAAAGTTTGACTCGCTGGCTAATTTTTTTTTAATAATCTGTGATTCCTCGATGTAAGATTTCGGCGAACATATGTGAAAGTTTTGAAAAAAAATTTCGCGATAATATGCCAAAACTGTTCTAGTTTAAAAAATTCAAATTTCACTAACTGCTCGCCAAAATCTAATGGACCACAAATACCCGCGATGCTACTTTTTTCATTGATAATATTTGGAAACAATTTCCTGGAAAATTTAATTGCTGAAATTAAAAGAAACGGTAGTTGGCGTCCAGACTAATTTGGGAAGTCGATTTACGAGCATTTGCATTTTACTATAATGTCATATGTTCATGTTTTAACGTTCAATTATTATTTTTTTCCCAATGACAAGGAATCCTTTAAATTTTTGAGACCGTTTCATATTATCAAAATTATGGCAATAATTCAAAATAACCAGATACGAGACCATTCATAGCGAAATGCGCACGCTTACAAATCTGCCTGCCTACTACAGTAATCGGACCCACAATGGTCGATTCGATACAATCGTCGTGAGTCATTCGGCAAGCTCTTAGAATAATATTTGCTCAATTCTTTACTTCCTTGAATGTTGTTTCCCGGTTAGGTTTAAATGTTGTTTAGGTGCAACCCAATAAACACTTTATTACAGGCATTATTATTAATATTATTTGAAATTATTACAATCAATCAATTAACCAAAATTAAAACTCGAAGACGTAACAGGTCTGATTTCCTTTGCCCTCCATACAATATCGACTGGCATCGGCTTGGAACGAGGCGACTCCGCTGGCTACACAAACCACAGAGAATACATTTTCTGGGTACAATTGATCGAGCTCTTTGTAAATAGCATCTCTCGTTGATTTGAGCGAACTTCTGCCAAGATTTTTGAGGATCACATCTGAGAATTCGCGACTATTACATTGGTTGTTGATCTCGTCGTGATTCTCGTGGGTTATGTGACCTCGGACATGTCCGACTTCGCGTTTCTTTCTACAATTTTCAGATTAGCACACGTTGAGTTGGTGTGAAATTGGTGTTACCTTCCGCCACACCCAGATCCACAACCGCATGATGGTGGCGGCGGTGGCGGCGGACCACCGCAACAGCATCCATTATTTGGAGTTACGGTAGGGAACAGAAATTGTGATGTTATATGAATAAGAGCGGAGAGTACTAGGAATTTGTACAACATTGATAATTTGTCGCATTTACTGTTTCATTTGCGCCTTTTTAAACAATCAGCATAAACTGGAAACTTTCGGGTGATAATGAGAAAATGTGTCCATCATTGAGAACGAGATTGATACCAGCTGATCTCGTCGTTACCGGTTTCTACTCTCGACGATTCCTATGGGTTTCAAAGTTCGCCATGTCGTGGGTGTTTTGGCCGGCATCAGCTAACAAAAATTAGCATTCTCGCAATTTTCCGCACTTGTTTGAACAGATGTTGTGTCTGATTCGTAGTCAGACTATTACAAATCTGAATGACGATATTATTTTCTGGGAGTTCTCGAAAAATGAATAATTGCGAGTCATTCAAATCGGAACATGTTTAGGGTGCGAAATATTACTTCCAATTAAAATCAATGATTGATACAGTTGAATTGATGTGTTTCAATTAAAACCATCGACATCGAAACTTGTTAATCCCCGCAACCAATAATAAAATTTTGCGTTTGCATTCGGGCAATCGATATTTTCACATGAATTACTTTTTATTAATTTCAATTTTTCTCATCTATCTGAATCAACTTCATGCCCAAAAAAGCGGCCGTAAGCTTGCCGAGATCAATTCATCACTCAATTATTCCAAAAACAAATTCAGTGCTCAATGTTCCGCCAACACCAGAGACGCTATTGGATTACGGAGAAGCGCAGGAAGAAAATACGGTAGCGCCAGATGACCAACACGCTGGTATCGATAATGTGATACCCGAGGAATCGCACGGCGAGACAATCGGAGCCGAGGATTTGGTGACCGGAGAGCCGGAGGCCTCAACGACGCAAAAGGCGAAGAGGAAAACGGAAACGATGGGACCATTCGAAGAAACCGCTGAGAAATACGTGACAGATGACAGAGGTGAAACAATTGGCGGACTTGCCACCGTAGAAAGAGCGGTAACAGGTCATACAGGCGTTGCTACTGATGAAAATCTTGTTACCGATGATCAAATACAATTCGCTACCGGTGCACCGGAAGCATCGACGTATAAGCAAGATCCGGCTAATCCATCGGTGTCGCCGGCAGATGGTTATTCTACAGCTGAACTGCCTGGTAGGATCGAAAATACATGTCGGGCAATTTTTTTCGAATCGTAGATTCGAGTCGATGGACCACAAAAACGGCAAGACCAATCACGATCACGCAGAAGATTGATCAAGAGAGCAACGGCTACAAGTGTTTGGTGAATATGCTCGAAGTAGGCGTTACACCATGCAAACGTTTTTGGCCACATTATTCTTTGCAGGACCTTCAAGCAGTTCGCAACAAATCGGCAACGGTTTCCCAAAAGACATACATCGACATGAAAATAATGACGCATGTCGACAAATCGTACGAGGTACGTTCCGCTCATGCATTCTTCTCACATTCATTAAACTCGACTTGAACCCGATTGGGCGAAATGGCTCAAAAGTTGTCGGGCGATGACAATTTTTTGAATTTGCGAGGTTCCTTCGTAGATTTGATAGATTTTCGCGTCACGCATCAATTTTTCCACCGGATATTCGCAATTGTAGCCGTTGCCACCAAATATCTGCAAGTGTTGATGAGATGGTGCCTCGTGGGAATCGTCGACACCTGAACAGCATTTGAAGCTGCCTGATTGGCGGTGTCCGACGCGAAACATTTCGCGATCGATGCGTAATACGATGATCGAACGCCTTTGTCGACGTCTTGAGCAGCTCTGTAGGTGACCAATCTTGATAGTTCGAGGTTCATCGCCATTTCGGAGAGCATGAATTGAACAGCTTGGTGCTGTAATATTACATAAAGGATTATTCGAATCGAAACAATACATTAGCGATCGGTGTTCCAAATGTTTTCCTCTCCAACGAATATTTGATCGATTCATCGAGACATCTCCACGCGAGACCGACGGCAGCGGCAGCCACACCCGGTCGTGTCATATCGAACGCGCGCATCGCCACCTTGAATCCGGCGCCTTCTGCGCCGAGCACTTGACTCGCCGGCACTCGGACGTCTTCAAAATTGATGACGCGCGTGTCCGAGCATCGTTGTCCCATGTTCTTCTCCTTTTTGCCTAGCGATATTCCCGGCGTGTCGCCATCGACAATGAACGCGGTGAACGCTTGGCCGGCCGGCGTTTTCGGATCAGTCGCGGATCGCGCGAGCACGAAAAACCATTTGGCGTGACCGCCACCGGTGATCCACGCTTTCGAGCCATTGATAATGTACTCATCGCCCTTCTTCTCGCACTTCGTACGAATGCCGGCAACATCAGAGCCAGCACCAGGCTCTGTAACGCAGTACGAAGCGATTATCGGCTCTTTCGCCAACATTCCTAAATAAGAATGAATCGATGGGAGGAGCATTCAACGACTTTCAACCAACCGAGATACTTTCGCTTTTGCTCTTCGGTTCCAGAAATGTAGACAGGAGCCACTGCCAAAGAAGGACCCATGATTCCTAGCTGAATTCCTGTGCACCCATACGACAATGCTTCAACGATCGTCGCCATCTCGAGATTGCTCATTCCGGGACCGCCGTACTTTTCGGGAATCAGCGGATTCATCAGCCCCAAACTATGCGCCTGTTTGACAATTTCCCACGGGAATTCGCCCGACTCATCGAATTTCGCCGCATTCGGCATGATCACCTCGTGCGAGAATTTCAATGCGGCCGCCTGAATCTCGCGTTGAGTTTCGGTGAGAGCTGAAACAAACAACCAACAAAAAATCGGAAAACATTTCAATGAACCAAAACAATTAGGCAATGATTACCGAAACACATATTTCGATGAGAATAGAGCTTCTTAAAATCGCGTAAATTTCTGAGAACATTGCTCGACAGCATTTTCGTTCCTCTCCCAAGTCGTTTCGAGGAATTTGGAATGCAATTGCGAGCCGCGAATAATGGTTTTTCGAATAATGTCACGTTTCGCAGACATTCACCGTCAACCAGATTTCAAATATAACAATGTCCTTGGATTATATCAACAATCTGATTGATGGAGCATCGGAAGAGGTGAGAAGCTCATCGATCAACCTGAATTCGACATTCATTCCAGGTCCGAAATGCCTATAACGAGATTGTTCAAATAACCGGAACCCCAGACTTCTATTACATTCCGAAGAAGCAGCGATTCATAATGGTCAACGCAGTGGTCGAGGATCTGAGCGGACAACATCAGGACGAGCTCATGGAGCTTAACTTAAAAGCCAAAGTTAGCAGTTTCCCCCGATTTCTAAGAATTCATCTCATGTTCAGAAGTATTGCCGAAGTTTGAACGTTGACACTCCGCCGTACACTCTTGGAAATATTTTGGGAAGTCGTCTGGGAAATGTAATAATAATACTAATATTTTTTTGAACAATATTTTCAGGGAGCCATTCTCACGAAATAATCGCACTTGCGCCTGTGTACGTTAAAAAAAAATAAATATTCATTACTCATATAAAAATGATATTGGCGGGGTTATGGGAAAAAAGAAAAGACAATAACGCGGGAAGGATTTCAACGAATATTAGTATTGAAAATTTCTACGAATTTACAAGAATTGACAGATATGACGAATTCGTTGCCTACTGCACATCTTCTATCGATTATTATGAATCAGAAAATTAGCGATTTGTTTTTTCTTGGATTTGCTTTAAAGGAAAACACGATTAATGAACACCGAATTAAATGTAAAATCACAAAAAAAAACGTTTAAAAATGAAGCGAAAATATTAAATTTGACAGATAAAGAAAGAAGATAGCATATTTTTTGGTGGGTGTTGATGCAACAAAACACATTTTTAACAAACTTCGAAAGTCACACCAAGTTTGGCGATGAGTTTACGAATAGAATGTGAGCACGGATTGTTGGTTTCCGCGAACCAAGAGCACCGGCGGAAGATTTCTCGTCATCACCTCGAGCCACGACAGATACAAAGAAGCGCTGATCAGACCCTTGCGAGGAACCGGAAGTGTCCTAAATTAATATCGGGTTACTATCTTTCTATTCAGCATCTAAACGCTTACATAACGATTAAGTCCGATCTAGAAGAATGTTCTTGAAGCAATTCTCCAGCTCTTAACTGCCGGTAAGTCTTATCACGCTGAGCACTTAATTCCGAAGACGTCGTCATTCCTTGCGGACAATTTCCATCTTGCGCGATAAACGGATCAATAATACCTTGCCAAGCTTTCATTCTGAAACATTGACGATAAGAAATCGATAAAATAGAATATATAGCATACGTTTCAGCTTTCGGCTTCTTTCCAATGTCAGCAATCACCGAAACATCGGAGAAATCAATACGGAACTTTGACAACAAAGCGGCCATCCCACGCTGCTCCTGCTCCATGGTGCGTGAGCTCGTTGAGATGGTGAAAATTCGTAGACGAGCTCCTTCAAGATAGCTCTTCGGAATTGTAAGCAAGTGCGGTATTAAAAGCGTGAGACCCCCATCGTCGTAAAGCCACCAAACATCAATAATTCCCTACAACATTCCAAACTTTAGATAAACGCGCATTTAATTGAGAATGAAACCTTTTTGACTTTTCTCTGAAAACGAGAAATTGAAGCAAGTAAGGCCTTCTGCTCCATTGTGTGCCGTCGAGATCCTCTCCTTCTCAGTGAGAAATGGTGCTTCTTCTCATGCTCATTCTCCTCCGCTTTCTCAACATCTTCCGGCTCTTCTTCCTTCGCCGATTCATAGTTGTCTCCATCATCATCATCATCAATGCCGTTTACCATTTCTTCATTATTCTCATCGTACACGTACTCGTTGATAGATGCTGACGCTAAAAATTTCAGCGATTCATGATGAATACGCAATAATAAATAAAATAATTCAAATGAACAAGCAAGAAGAAGCACTATGCACAATCACGAAACAACATTTCAGTTTCAAACCCAGAATATAATAATTGGCCATCCTTTGGAAAGTTTCCATACTTCGTGAGCTACCCCGTAAAGATAGGCGAGCTTAAATAATTTAGATTCAATTTCGAGCAACTATCATGCTAATCTTAAATTAAAACAGCATTAACATAAAAATTATAAATTCCAGGGAATTCGAGGAAAAAAGTTATTGGTTGAGTTAAAAAACTCCGTTTTGAAAAGAAAAGGCTTAAAAGAATCTACTTACATGAGCCGTCATCTTGCATTTTTTGCTCATTTTTTTGCTTCTGATTATTTTCATCCGTCTTTTCATTCTCCTTCGTCTCATCTGTTTCAATCAGTTTCATTCTCCTGAACGATTCCTCTTGAATTCAATCTTGAAAAAATAAAACTCTACTCAGGTTCCTTCTTTTCCTCAACAGGCGGAAGCTTTATTCTATTCGTTTCACCAACATTCAACAATTTCATAGCGTCGGAAAAATCGAGACCCGCATTTCCGTTTCGGAGAACACACATTGCCATATTCGAATCAAACACATCCCTGCGTCATATCATTAAACGCTATTTCATATTCAAAACACTTACTGTATGGTTCCGAAATATTCGTTCATCTCGTTCAGATTTGCATCGTTCGGTCCCTCTCGATACCAATTCGATTTGAATCCCATTAAAACAATGTTCGGCTTGAGTTTTGAGAATCCTGTCAGCTGAAACAATGCTTGCGCTCCTTGACGAAGACTCGGGTTGGCAATCGATTGATAAAACGCTTTGACTCGTCGTTTTCTAAGCCAATCATTCAGCTGACGGTCAAGTTTGCGTATTACCGAGAATACGCGATCAGTGGGTTCATACTGTAACAAATAAATAAAGAATATTTTCGACGCGGCTATATTACCGGAACAACATATCCGCAAACCAAGAGCGATGTGCCTTTTGTGATGTTATTTGCAAAATCAACAAGTGAAGGACGAGCCGCTGGATTGCCAGTGAGCACAAGGAACTGAGGTCTAAAAATCATTACGCATTCAGAAAGAGCATCCATCACAAAAATACCGGTAGTTCTTTACGTGTTCCTCGGTGCTGGCAAGCTTAATCATTGCAGAGAGAGCATTTTTATAACTGTGAGCTTGTGTCGAAGAGCCCCAATTGACATCTTTAACACGTGAATTAGACGAGAGAATCAGAAAGACGTTTGAAATTTTACCTGGTTTTCTATGGAGGATGTACATGAAGATAACAGCGAAACAGAAAAATGTTATAAGAGCCGTTTTGTAGCTAACAATGAACATGACGGTGATGCAGAGGAGAGCACCGATCAGAGATACCCACATATTGTAATACTTGAATCCAGGGCGGAATCCTAAAAGTTGAAATCAATGACTATATGAATGAGCAGTTTAACCTGGAGAATCGGCGAAAGACTGATCGAAGCACGCATAATTAATCAAGGCGTATGAGCAAAGGAAGAAGTTGGAAATAATTGGAGCAATCACATTCAAATCACCTAAATTGGGCAATTTTGCGTGGTTTCGATTGAAATAGTCGCATACCGATAGCAATCATAGCGAATGCAATGACGAATGCAAGAGCATACGCTCTCTTCGGCTCCTCGTTTTTGCCATAACTCTTCGCGAAATAATCAATTTTTGGGAACAGACGATCCTTGCACACCGCTTGAAACACTTTTGGAGCGCTCACAAGACTGGCCAACGCCGATGAGAGAGTCGCGGCAATAATGCCGGCAGTGATGAGTGGTCCCCAAAGCGATTCCGTCTCCAATACTTGGTAGAAGTTCATCAAACCATAAGGGCAAGTTGCGTTCTCCGCACATTCCGGCGGCACGAACACCGATTCATTGAACATTGGCGGCGATATTCCATCGGCATGTCTGAAATGCGAAATTACAAACATAACCCATTGAATTGCGTACACTTCACCTAACAAATGTCGATCCAGTCATCCAAAGCGTCACCAGATATACGATCGAGGTCACCACAATGGCAAGAAGAGTTCCCAGTGGAATGGCTCGTTGCGGATCGGCAAGATCACCGCTTATGTTCGCGCCGGCCATGATACCGGTAGCAGCGGGAAAGTAAACAGCGAATACGGTGAAAAAGTGGCCGTTTACATGAAACTCGGGCATAAAATTGGTGCGCAATGTGTCCCAACTGTATCCAGTAGCGCCTCGGAGACGGGCTTCACTGTTTGGTGGAAACAGCGAGCCAATCGCGTAATCGGCAATCGAAGCGAGCAAAATGACGAGAAGCCCCATTTGCATTTTCGATTCGAATTCGGTTCCAATAAACACAATTGCCATCAAAGCGATACATGTCACTGCATGAAAAGTGTGTATTATATGTAATGGTACGACTTGGATTGTTTTGTTTGATTTTTGATGTGTGGTTCCTCCCCCCAATTTCTCAAAAAAACACCGCTTCTCAGCTCATTTACGGGACAAAATAAACATTGCTGATCGGAGCTTTCACTTTTAATTGGTCGCACTATTTGCACAATGACGGGAGGTTTCGAAAATCAACATTTCAAATAACCAAAAAAAAAATCCGTACCAAATCCAATAATTCGAACATCCCACATCTGTCCATCGATAATCGTGTAACCGTACTCTTTGAGGACGTCGCGAACTGTTTCAGCAAATCCAACCACATACATTGATGCTCCGACGGCGTTCGCGACGGAGAAAATGATTCCGATCGAACCACCAAATTCAGGGCCCAGTGATCGTGAAATCTAATATTTAATATTTGACAAAATTCAATGAAATGCAAGTCTCTACCAAGAAATACGCTCCGCCGCCTTTTACATCGCCGTTGGAACAAATTGCGCATGTTGAGAGAGCGGTGATTGTGGTGACAATGGAAGCAAGAATAACAATACAAGAGCCAAGTGCGAGACCTGCTTGTCCAGCTACCCAACTGATGCGAAGGTATAGCATTACTCCGAAGATGTTGAGAAGGCATCTAACAAAAACGCCTTGAATCCACCCGAATTTGACCCGACTCTGTAAATTGTTTTTATGATTCTTTTACTCAATTTAAAATTATACCTGAGTTTGTGGCGCTTTCATCTTTTCCAATCTCGCGCTCTTCTTTTCCTCATCACCAACTGGCGACTCGTCTAAATGGTGGTTATGAGCCTAAATTTTTCATATTTATTTATTTTTTTATAAAAAATTTGTTATCACATTTAGCTCATCGAATCCAATTTCCTCTGGAATTGCCGCATTTCCGTGAATGAGTTGTGCCATTGATGGCCGCATGAAAATACCATCGGTGTCAACGGAATTACGATAAAAATCAATAATTGGGGGATGTTCAATTGTTTTCATATTCCTACAATTGATAAATTTTATGCATTTTTAAATAAAATGAAAAAACCAACCTCCAACTCTTCATGTTAAATGTTGACTGATTTTCAGTATATTGCTCTCGACGTTTCTCGTCAGCTTCTTCGCTCATGCTTGCAGCGTCTTTATCTCCAACAGAGAAATGAACCTTAAAAAGGATATTTGTTTTTAGGTAATATTTTACTACAATTTTAATACAAAAATGTACCCCTCTTTGTCTTGCTGCTGGTGCGGTTTGTCCTGAACTTGTGTCCTCTGGTGTGTCTTCTGAATCACTGATATTCTCAAGATTTGCCGATGAGCTTGGAGCTTCAGATGTAACCTAGAATGTAAACGTATTAGTAGTGAATAAGTAAGCAATGCGAGAAATTCGCACATTTGAATGTTAATGCGTCGATTATTAAATCCTAAATCCTGTTATAAATACAGCGGCCGAGTCAATAGCTGATAGTGAACATTTTATGCATTTTTGATAAGAAAACAACAATTAACGTAATGATACGTCATTAAAACGTCACAAGCTTCTTAGAACGGTATGGAAAGTTTGATGGTTTTTGCATGAAAAATGAACGTGATTAAAATGTTGCATACCATGAATCGTCCAGTTGCACTAATTTTTCTGGTGACGGTTGGTCCGTTGACATTTAACGACACCGGCGGCTCGCTACCAGCCTTTATCATTCGCAAATCGTCAGTGGTTTCGAGGTCATTGATTTTTTCAAAGTCAAGTATCCCGTTTTCACCACCGGATCTGCTAACCTGAACATAATTATTGACATAAATAATTGAAAAATGTTTAAATAAACCTCAAATCTATTTATTCTGGTGTTTGAGGCACTTCTTTCTCGTGTTTTTTCCATTAAAAACAAGAATTTATCCAAAAAAACACGAAAAAAAGAGGTCTCTGCTAGGTCCGCAATACGGACTTTGCAGACTACAGTAACTAAAATTTGCAAATCTCAGAAAAAATGCCGATCCCACCTGAAAACGTGCCGATGGAATGCGATCGATTTTCAAATCCTCGCCCAGCAGTCTTTCTTTCTCATTTTTCAAATCCTCGCCCAGCAGTCTTTCTTTCTCATCTGGCTGGTTTTTATCCATTCTGTAATAAAAATACTCGTGAGAGAGTTCAAAGTTTTTAAAATGTGAGAAATATGCGTATGCACGTGATAATGATGGAAAAAAAAACGAGTGGGAGGCGGGCGGGAGCCCAAAAATGAATGACGTCGTACGGAATTTGGAAAATGTTTGCCGGAAGCAAAAATCAACTGATAAAACTTAATTCAAAGTTAGTCTAGCAATAGCCCGGACACGCATCGAACCTAATCGCTCGTGCAAATATTTTGCGACGAGATTATTTTCTTTTTGATTTCAAGCTTATAACACCTTCATTGTTTATTTGGCTCGTTTTATGCGAATTTGAAAAACAAAAAAAGTCGAAAAAAAATCGAGAAGAGTGTTTAAAAAAAAAGTATGCATGCTTTTTTTGTTGATGATTCACCGTTCGAAATCATACGGAGACAATATATTTATTTTATGATGGGAAGCAAAACGATGAGACCAAATATGGACACGAAAGTGATTCACATTTTTTTTTCTTGAACATTTTTTTCATATAAAAATTTGAAAAAGATAAGAAAGATTAAGTCAAAAGCATGAACGTCACAAGGTCACAAAGCCAGCGGTCAATAATGTTTCTGAGTGGAAGAGCCGAATGAGGGGTGAATTAGGCAAAATTGAGCAAATATTGACTTTGGTGGCCTCCTCGATTTTTGGGCCTGCTAGGGGCGATGGGACAGATTTTCAGAGATCCCCCCGCCCCCCCCCCCCTACTCCCCCGCAATCCATTATACAGTACGGTTGGCTGACATTGAACGCGTCATTAACGATTTCGGAGGTCTCCTCTATTGAATTGTGGTACTAGTGCAATGGCGAGAAAAAAAATGAACAGCAATAGCACCAACACAAACACCCCCCAAAGAAATGCGACAAGAAGTAAAATCCCATGGGAGGAAATCAAGATTTATGCGAGGAACAAGGCGACGAGTTCACTGCAAAAAAAACTCAAAACAAGAACAAAAACAATTAAATTTTGAAAAAAATCCTTGGTGATGTTTTTATCCTGGCTTAAATTCGGAAATGATGTTTTTAAAAAGATTATTAGGAAATATAAACATCTAGAAAATTTGGTCATTTTTTATCCGATTTTCTAAACCATAATCATCGGGTAATTCAAAAATTCCGTCAATTCTCGTTCAAAATAGTTCAATAAGGATATTTTCGACATTTTTTTAAAATCCAATTCCACCGGTCAAATTTTTATTTTAATTATTACATTCCGAAAAAAAAACGGGCTCCGTATCGCAAGTTATCATTAGTATTATAGCCAAATTCCCACTGTTTAATTTCAAATTTAAATTGCCGCCTCGAAAAAGTGCGGTGGTCCACAATTATTCAAGTTGCTCAATTTTTGTTGTATTTTTTATTTAAGACAGCAAATTTTGTTCATAGGGTTTTTTCTTCTTAATATTAATTATGTGGTATTTTTATTAGAAAATTGGAATTTTTAAGGCATGAAACATTTTTCTGAGTTTAAAATATTGTGGTATACAGACGAATTTCAAAAATTTGAATTTCACTGAATTTAGTAGTCTTCTAAAATAAAACAAGCTCCTACTCCGTAATTTATCACTTCTTTTAACCACCAAAATACCCCATAAATAAATTTTAGGAATGTTCATTCAAACTAAACAGCTAGAATATGGAAAACTCACTCTTAAGAAATTTCCATACGAGAACCAAGGCGTCAATTGAAACCATAAATCAATCGCACCCCACATTTTGTTCGTCCACGACAATTTTAAAGATTTTTTTATTTTTGAATGCTTTGATTATGATGAATAGAAAATTCCGCGAAATGACAATTTTTATGATTTATTTTCTCAACAAAAGACCAATTTTTGACAAAGAAGCTGGTTTGACGTCATTTTATTGAAATTTCGTGTAATTCGAGTGTGAAATTAAACAAAAATTGACAGGTTAAGAATTTATTATTAAACGGCTAATTGATTCAGAAGAGTTTTTTAATTTTGAAATGAGAGAGAGTGCAGACGCAAAAAAAAATAATTTGATTCAAAAATTCGAATTATCGGCTTTAGAAAGATAAGAAAACATCAAATTAAAATTATTTTCTGATTTTAAACAGAATTTCCATTTTTTTGGATTTATTTAAATTGTTTGAGAACGAAATACAAAGCGAAGCAAGAAAGAAAAGTTTCTTCTAAAAGCAAAAATCGACTCCGAGAGTAGTATTCGTTGTGGGACCGGAAAATGGCAACGTCCGGGCTCGAGTCAGCCAAATTTAGGACTTGAATTATAGAAGTTTGGCTGTGTGAAAACTATACGATTTTTTGTTCAGTCACGAGAAAAATGGAGAATTGAAAATATGAAAATTATTTTCGAAACGACAATAAATGTGAACAAACACAAATGTTTCGGTTTTATTGAAGAAATCAAAAGAAACCATTGACAAACAGAATTCAAATTTAAATCTATTGATATATTGCCAATGAATAAAAAAAAGATATTGCAAATATTAATAATGTCAGAAAATTCGGTACAGTATACTTCGTGTGTTTAAAGGCTCGGAAAAATTACCAGAATACTTTGATTACTGTATATTTTGACGTGAAACGATAAAAGGAAGGTGGGGTCTTCAAATAAAAAAAAATCAGTGTAGATTTAAATTTATTTTTGGCTGAATATTAAATGCGCGTACACTATAATGCAATGTACGCAATCTTGCGTTATTCTCGCTGCCTAGAGATTCATTTGAAAGCAGACAATAATTTTTAAAATTTCGTCCAGTCGTTCTAGAATAAAATTATTTTAAGAAAACGACATTGACAAAATGTTCGTCTAATCTTGAAATTTGTGCAACTTGGATTCTTGATGTTTCCCGAGAAAAAATTGAAACAAGCAAAAAATTGTCTCAGTACAAATTTTTTTTGTGGTCCGGACGTAAACCACAAAAGAACAGACAGAATAAATGCATAGATAATGGATGTTTGAGAGTGGGCGAGTTCACAAAAAATTGCAGTTGTTGTTTTATGCAAAACTCAGCAGAAAAAAAAAACATAAAATGGAAAATTGGAAAGATAACGCAACGTAAATATGTGTAACTAGTTGGTGCATTGGAAGGCTCAGGCTCGGGGGCTCGAAGATAAAACCGATGAACCGCATACACAAAAACCGGAGTGTCCGAGTGAGCGATTCGGCCATTAGAGAGCATTCGAGGCGCAGAGACAATGGTCAGCCGAACGGCAGCAGCTGGTGCGCAGATGCTGCTGTCTCGCTTCAGCATTGCCGCTGGAAATCGCCATCCTAAATTGACACCACGTCGCCAATGGCGACCAACTTTCGCCGATTTGGCGTCGCCGCCACCTTCTCATATCGGCCCGCTCATCAATTATTCATGAATTCTCGCCTTCCGCCTACCACCAACTCGGCATTTCCTCTTGAAGAGCATTTTTGGGATCAGCATAACGGCAATAATTTTTTGGTTTAATTTATGAATGAATGAAGCAAGAACAACAAAATTTGGTGGAGTGTTCGGCTTTTTGCTCGTTTGAAAAACTGGAGAAGCTTTACTAAAAGAAAAAATTGAGAAATTTGAATCTCGCGCCTCGTCTTCGCTCTCTGCGTCTCTACAAAATTCGTAATTGAGCCCAGCAAAAGGAAATGCTCACTGCGGACATCGTCTAGTTTGAAGCAAAAATTAAACACTGCTTTCTCCCATGGAATTTAATCAATTATCGTGGAGGAGAGAAACAATTTAATGTCTTGAAAATGACATTCTGGAATTTCGATGAAAATTTTTTATTAATGCAAAAAACAATTTCGTATGCACAAAAACTGCGTTTTTTTTTTCAAGATTTTGTTGGCTCTGGCGTAAAATTCTTCAATTTCATTTTTGTTCCAAAATTTTTTGAACTCTAAAGTTTCGAAAGAGAAGGAAAACAATATTTTATACGTATTGCTGGCAGAAAAATAAACAAAACTTATTTGCTTTGAGTTTTAATAAATCAATCACAAAAAAATGCAAAAATGGCCCGGCACTACTTTCATTCTGGATATGTGTATAGAATAAACTAAAAATAATTTTTTGGTGGTTTGAACTCTTGGAAATCGCCTGTGTGGATATCCATGGTGACAAGATTTTGCGACTAATTAATAAAAAGTCTTAAGTCGATACAATTGAGATTTTAAATTTCTTTGAGGCTATCAAGATCAATCAAAAATATTATGTGGAATTTTAAAGGACGAGCTAAAAAATGAATTTAAAATTAAAAAAAAAAAGTATTATTAGAAATCACTAAATATTTCATTCGACATTATTCAATATTTTCACTATTCTTGAACGCTTTGAAAACATTTTTTGAATGAAAAAGGCAGAAATTGAAGAAGATAGATTATATCAAAGTGTATATTGTTGTCATGGGTGCCCGATAGCCGAGAGTACAAACCACCAACAATATTTATAGCTTTTTGTGATAAATGAGAAGCATAAACAATCTCAATATCTTGCTATAAATAAATATTTGAGCGGCTTATAACGAATAAATACAAAAAAAAAATGTTAATTATTCATTTTTTAGAGATTCTCAGGTAAATCAAATAAAATATTTTGAGATTCTTTGAGAAACTAACGTATCTCTATAATATTTTAGAATTTTCTCAATCAACTTTAGAAATTATTATAAGATTTCAGAATTAATTGCGATAATTTGGAATTTGCTCAATAAATTTTAGAAAATCTTATAAGATTTTAAAAAGTAAGAAAAAATTCGTTGAAAGAACCCAATATTAAAAAATCAACGTGCCTTTAATTCGGTTACTGTAACTTCGTAATTAATTTTGATTAGCAATTTTTCGTTGTATACTATGAAAAAATTTATAGATTTTTTTAATGATGAAAGTATTAATAATTTTTATAAATTTTCGAATTTCAATATTTTCATCATATTTTCTGATATATTTTGAAAAACAGAGTCGGTAAAAAAGAAATTGACGAAAATCGTGTGTTTTTTTTAAAGTATTTTTATGTTTAGCGATTCTCAATAAGTTTCAGATTGTATCAATAAACTTTAGAATTTCTCAAAATATTTTAGAACTTATTATTGATTATTTGATTCTCAAAATATTATATTCGATTTGCCCGAGTTCATGTATTTTGTTGACCCAATCAGACAGTTAATCTTTATTTTCAGTTTTTTTCTGCTCACCATTTCCTGTGAGACCCATAACTTCTAATTGAAAAGCATTTAGGCATCCATTGGATTCTCGGAGACAACTTCAATATGTCAAACTCGAGCAGTTCCGGACAAATCAAATTCATTCCTCATTTTGGGGAAAGCGACGAATTGAGTATTTTTAAAGCCCTTTTCTTGAAATAGGATTTTTTAAAATTTATAATTCGTAAAAATGCATATATTTCAATTATACCTTCTAGAGGAGTTTCAATTGCTTCTTCAGCAATTGTAGTCAATTATTTAATCAATGCAGATTAGATTTTTGCCCGAATAAGTGCTTCACATAATTCTTTCTGATTCCAGAATTTAAAGACATTTTTGAGGAGATAAGCTATCGTACGAAAGTGTTCGATTTGATCTGAAAATAATCCTTGGTGTCGATGAATGTCACGCTGTGCTAATCATCGAAATTTGTTCATGAATCTGTTGAAATTGTGAATAACACAACGCGAGGACGACAGATTGGTTCGAGAATTCGGCAGCACTTCATTTTCCATAAATCTGGCACGAGTTTTATGGTGTATAAACTAGTTACTATGTGCTATATTTCGTGTCACATTCATATTTTTTCAGAGTTTGTGGAGAAAAAAATTTCAAATAAAAAAATTGAAAATTGCACAAAACATCCACGAAATCAATGGTGTTGAAAAAAATTGCAGAGTTTTGAATGTTCGGAAATAATTTTTGATTTTTTTTATTTGAAATAAATTAAGGACCACGCAGCGTTTCTGCTGATAGCCACAATTTTTTTCAGAAACAATTTCGTGCCGCACATCCAAATGAGAATATTGATATGCTCTAATTGAAGGTTCTAGAAAAACGAACGAAACAAAAAAAACATTCGAATTAAGGGAAAACAAAAATAGGATAAACCGGTTTGAGTTACACACAAAATGTGTCAATTTTAATCCTCATAAATCCTAAAATGGGATAACAAATAGTGATGAATCAGCTGCAATAGACAGGCAGGTAAAGGGCACGATAATTATCCGTCAGACTGGTTTTGTTATTTGGGCATCAAATCCCTGACATATCCCAAAAGTTTTCACTTCCACTCATTCGTCGACTGTTTTACAAAATGCCGAAATATTCCATTTTGCTGTTCGCTATTTTCGCATTGCTCGTCAACTTGAGTGAGCCAAGAGGTATTGATTGAATTATAATTTTAATTGAAAATTATGCTTCAAATATCATTTCAGCCACGAGCTCTTCTGAATCCAAAGAGAATAAGTCATCAGAATCGGATCCGAAATCAAAATCCGATGAAGTTTTCGACAATAACGATATTGGTGCCAATATGACAGAGGTATTTGCGAATAATTCTAGACAATCATTTATATTCTATGTTTAAAGGTCGAAACTCCACAAGAAAGACACGAAAGAGATGCGGAGGAAATTGAAAAAGCTGATGAAGCTCCAGTGGATGAAGCTCAAGATGCAGAAGAAGGCTCAGAAAAAGTACATTATTTTTTAATTTTCTATCTTTACTTTTTTTCAATTCAAGGTAGAATTGGCTCCTTTAAAAAGTGATTCGAAAAGTGATGGAGCGGCCGAGCAAAAAGACCAAGTGAGTTGTATTTATTAATGAATATTATTATCTTGTTAAATAGGGTTTAATTATATTTTTTTAATTCAAAATTGCATATTTACGACAAAATTGCATATTCCGTGGATGGCTTACAGTAGTCTGAGGGTAAATTTACGGCTTTCACTGTGATCTCGTAAATCTACCCACACATATTAGTCACTAAACAGTATCAATATCAATTATCAAATGTCGCACATTCCTAGTTTTGGGCCAAGACCACTACAATTTTTCTATTTTTCGAATTTAGCCAATTTTCCGCCATTGCACGATTTCGAGAATATTAAAAGTTTTTAAAGTGCCGAAAATATAGATCTGCAGTAATTTTTTTCAAATAATATAAAAACTGGTTGAATAGAGTTCGAAATTCAACCTATGATCGACAAATCCTCTATCAATCTGTTCATTGATCACAAAATATTGATACGCCATAACTAGGTTTCCAGAATTTTTTTATTCATCAATTTAAGACTTCAAACGCTAATTCCTGAATAAAGAAGAAATGAAATATTTTTGAATAAACTTTTATATTTTTTACACTGAAAGCGAAAGAAAGCATATTATTGCTCAATTTTTAATATTGACAATTTTGAGTAGAAGCTCGTTTCAGGTGATTTCGTCGGAAAACGCAACATCAATCGAATCCGCTGAAAACTCCAATCAAACCGAGATTTTTTCTCTACAAAATCTCGAAATCGGTACATTCGGAGCACAAGGAATTTGATTTTTTATAATTGACAAGCACACATGTATTGAACCGAATAAAGCATTGATACTGACCGAATTGAACCCCTTTATAACCATAGCAACAACCAAAAAGGCTGCATTAATTCCAGCTGCCTTCATTCAGTAATATTGTTCCAATCGAAAATGCCTATGAATGATATTTGCGTTCCTTTTGAGGATTTCGAGTGTAATGTTGTCGGAAACCGTAAGTCTTCGAAAATTTTTCCTATTTATTAATTTTCCATCTAGATCGTGTTTGTTTCATAGTCGCTGAAGTTATCGCACTAGCATTTTTTTCGTTTATTGTTCATCGAATTCCTTCTCCATCTCCTATTAGAATATATTTGTCATTTGTTGGTAATAAGAGAAATATAATTGCATATATATCTGTCAATTATAAAATTTAGTAATTATAACGTGGCCATTGATACCAATCCGATTAGTCAAGGTTCTAATGACGACTCTAGCCCCATTTTATTCGGCGAGAAGGTAAATTGAGTATAATTAAATTATTCAATTTTCATTCAGTCGATTTTTGTGCGTTCTTCTTCGACTCGAAACATCATTCTATTATTCAACATGCATGGTTCATCTTCAATATTTGATTACATTTTATATAAAAGTATCACGAAATAAATCGACAAACTTCGAAATCACAAATTCCTTTAAAATAATCAATATCCTAATAACGGTCGAATCATTTGTTTTGGGATTTTGCTATGCGAATTTGAATGAAATCATCTTGGTCATTATTCCTATTTATTCGCTCTTATTCCTTATTTGTGCTTTGGTTTTACCAGGAGCAATGTTGGCGGTATGAATGCTTCAAAGATCTTCCCATTAAACATTAGTTTTTCAGTCAATATTCGTTTTATTGTGTAATTCGAAAAAATATAAAGATCGAAACGATTTAAACAATTTCAAAATTTCGTGGTTTGCACTATTGCACTTCGTTTCTTCGAGCTGTCACGTATATCAAAGCTGTAAGTCGAAACTGCAATAATCGCTCGTTTAAGCGTTATTTTTTTCAGTTTTGCATATAATGCTTCTGCTTCCATATATCTTCCCACAGTTCTACCGTGAGGGCAATGCCGCGTTCCGCTACACAACCGGAGTCCTTTCATTTCGTTTCATGATCACAATACTCTCCACAATTATCCCGTTGTTTTTATTGAGGCCAATTAGCGAATCATTCAACATATTTTCGACCAAAAAGATTACATCCGAAACTATTGATCGTCTTAAAACTGCATCAGAGGATCACATACGCGTGACGATCACATAAATATGGTTTATTATGCGTTCAATAAATTATAATGATTATGTTTTGTCGGAATGAATACGGGAGAAAATGTGCGTAACATAGATTGACTTAGCAAATTGTAAAATGAATCGGAGCTTGAATGCTTATTACTGTGTTTAATTAAGCTTTGGATCTTTGTTGACGTGCACGGCCAGACGACGGATTCTTCTCCGCGTTCACACGACGCCAAGTAAATCTTTTCAGGTCCCGCATGCGCTGCTCAGCATCCTGAAATTAAAGTATTTGGGATTTGTTCTTCTGCTGTTTATTCACAATACCATTATCTCGTTTTCGTCGGTCCACTTTTGCGACTTGATGTAGCCCTTGCGAAGCTTCATCAAAACTTTTCCGCCGTTATTCTCACCATCCCAGGTAAGTGGCTTCATTGCTTCCTCGCGTTGCTTGCGCCATCCTGTTCCGAAATACTAAAATAGAAATAAATGAATATATCTTGATACTTTTTGATTACCTTATCGTCTTGACAAACAGCCAAATACACTTTATCGGTCAACACGAGAATGTTGCGAAGCGAGCGAAGCTGATCGAATTTACGTTGTTGAGCTTGAAGGTATTTGGCATATTTCACCTCCAAATAACCTCTCATTAATAGTAGGAATTTTTACAAAATTACCGAATTCCATTTCTTCTCGTCATAGCCAGAGATCATTTTCTTTGCATTTTTGGCCTTATCAAAACTGTCAGCGGTACGAATTGCTTCCTTGGCCTGGGTGTCCTTGAAGTAATCCGCCATCAAGTACCAATAATAGCGTTCTGCGCTCTCGTGTTCGAGTCCATCTTCATCCTTGATTTTGCAACTATATCCGAACGCCAATGGATCGTTTCTGCCTCCGATTGCATAAAAATTACGCCCGATATCATCATATTCGAGATATTCGTTCTCATCCTCAGAAGATTCATCGCCGTCAACTTGAATAGACTGAATGCGACTCTTCAGCTTGTTGATCTTTCGTTGCATCATGTCATTGCGTAATTTCAGCTTGTGCACAGCTTTACGAAGATTTGTCTTCTCTTCTTGGAGCAAATATACAGCATTGTGAACCTCGGCGTTTGCCAATTTCGTTTTCTCAACTTCCTTTTTCAGCGCCAGGAACGCATCCGATTGACGATTCTTGTCTTCAGCTATTTGAAGCTTTAATGACTCCAGCTCCTAAAAATAAAACGGTTGAATGCATTATTTGAAAAACCGACCTTGGCCAAGTCGTAAGCCGACATTGTTCGCAGCTATCAAGTCTTCTGAATGGAAATTATAAATTGCAAATTCGGAAAACGCGAAGCGCTTCCATAGTAACCGATAATATACTTAATGGGTGGTTAGAAAGCCTATTTTTCAACGATCGCACATTCGAAATTTCATTGTGTGGAAGGCACTAGAGAGGTGTAGGCAATCATAGAAACGAGAATGTTGACGGCGAAATATAAATTTAAATTTACACTTAATATATGATTGAGCCAAAAGTTAATGTTGAAATGCGTTTGAACAACAATTTATTGATAAATGAACATTAGAGTTTGTCTATAATCAATAATTATGACGAAAAGGCAACGCAAACGGCAAATTAAAAAAAAATGAAATTTTCCACATCTGCAACTCAAATTATAATTCCTTTTTTGCACTCGGTGTTTGCGGAATAATAACACATCGTAATGCAAGCATAAAATGTTTTGAATTACTCGGCGCGAAAGCAAAAATATTGAAATGCTTAAATGATGAACATATGATCCGATTCAAATAATGTTTCGAGAATTAATCTGTTTTCTGAATTCGCAAAAAGAACAAGAGTGCATGTAATTCTTTCCACTAATATATTTTTCTTGTCTGATTTCCGAAGAATGCTCGAAAAAGTTCAACAGGACGTGTTCAAAATGACATTTTCTTATGCACATTCGTCATTTCTTGTTGCACACTTTTGTAAATTCAATTATAAACTCCTTATCGTTCTATGATACCCGCCAAAAAGTCGGCATATCAATCTTGATGATCGCGATTGTCGAGGAATACCTGCCATTTTCGACCTTTCTGTTGTTTTTTTGGTTGGACGGGCAGCGTATCGACTGATTGTACGCGATTGGCTGATAGATACAACCATTTTGCACTATCAATAAACAAGTGACTTGTTCTAATCGGTGCCTGCAACCGTTTCAATTTCGCGATGGGTTCCTGCGCAAGAGGCCCTGGCTATGCTTCTCCAGCTGAAGCTCAAAGAGGACCTCGTGAACAATATTTGTTCGTAACTGCGCCCAATTGTAACGATGGTCCTGATGCCATTTTTTGTATCGATGTCAATCCAGAAAGTTCGAATTATCTAAAAGTAGAAATTCCTTTTTTTTAAACTATACTGCCATTGTAAATAATGCTTCATTTTTCAGGTTGCTAGTCGAATTGATCTACCATATAAACAAGACGAAGTTCACCATACCGGCTGGAATGCTTGCTCCTCTTGTCACGACAAGCCATGCGAAAAACGGTATTTAATTTGTTTACTGAAGTCACCACCAGAATGTAGTTTGATGGTTCGTCCTTTTGTCGTTTCTACCAAAGAACATACATATCTTTGTTTGCCAAAAAAGACGTCCTTTTCTTTTTCGAAAAACGTTTTGCAATTCTTGCAAAGAGAGCCTGAACTGCTGAACTACGGAAAAGTGTTGTAGATCGCATCTGATAGTGCCATGCCTCAATTCGGACCGAATTTATATTATCAACACATTGGACCCAACTAATATTTATTTGGATAAAGTGATATTAATAATGAATAATACTGCTTATTCGAATTTGAAATTATTAGATAATCGAGCCTGAGGACCTTCATCGTTTCAATGTCTCATTTCCGCATACATCACATTGTCTTGCTGATGGTAACATTATGATAAGTACACTGGGAACAAGAGATGGATCAGCTTCCGGTACGTTTCTCAACCGCATTTCTATATTGTTCCACATTCTTCAGGAAGTTTCATTTTACTGAATGGAAAAACATTTTTGCCTTCACAATTATGGCCAGCCGATGATAAAACCGTTGCATTCAATTATGATTTCTGGTATCAACCTCGCCGGAACATCATGATTTCGACCGAATGGGGCTCGCCGAAGGATATTAAACATGGATTCAATCCGGCTCATGTTACTAACAATCAGCCGCCTCTCTATGGTCACAGCATTCACATTTTCGATTGGGACACTCATTCTCATCGTCAGACCATCGATCTTCCATTACCTGCGGGAGCTTTGCCTCTTGAAGTGCGATTTAAACATGAGCCCAGCTCGGAAGATGCGTTTGTTGGCACCGCTTTCGGATCAGCCATTTTCAGAGTTCATCCAGATCCACAAGTATTTGAAAGTCAATCGCAATCCTCTAGTATGTGCAATTTAGAATCCTGATCGTCAAGTGGCTGACCTTGTTGCTCAAGTTCCAGCTAAGAAAGTTTTCAATTGGGCTCTTCCTGAAATGCCGGCGTTGATTACCGACATACTGATTAGCATGGATGATCGCTTTTTGTAGGATATCAACAATTACGAGCAAAATAAAATAAATGTCTACTTTGAGGTATGCATCGTGTTGGCTTCACGGCGAAATTCGTCAATATGACATCAGTGATCCGTCGAACGTCGTTCTCAATGATGTCATTCAAATCGGAGGTTCATTCCACGCCGAAACTGATATTACTGTAGAAAATGAAGAAGCTGTGAGTTGAAAAAAATGCTAACTCCAGTAATCATCATTATTTAGAAGCCTGCAACCTATGTGAAGGACCGTCGAATCGAAGGTGGCCCCCAAATGCTTCAGGCATCCTTAGATGGTCGCCGATTGTACGTGACAACCTCGTTGTATAAAAAATGGGATGAACAATTCTATCCAAACTTATTAACGTAAATGCTCCGTAATTTTATTTTTGTGTAATTCAAATTTTCGTTTATCAGAAAGGGCGCAACGATGCTTCTCGTGGATATTTGCCCAAAATCGGGTAAAATGACTCTAAATAATAAGTTTTTAGTGGATTTCGGAGATATTGAAGGTAAGCCAATGTAAATTTCGTTATTTAATATTTTACTGATTCAGGCGGACCTTATTTGGCACACGAAATGCGTTATCCCGGCGGAGATTGCACATCGGATATCTGGATTTGAGACAAAATCAAAACTGTATTCCGCTTTCATCATGCAATAGTATAAAAATAAAATAAAATGACCGAAAAAAAGAGATGAAGCAAAAAGAATCATGATACAAGAAAAACCGGATCGGGACAAAATACATAAATAAATAATAATTAGTCAATTATGATCAAAATGGCTGGAATATGTTAGAGTGGAAAATATCTAGAAGGGAAAATTGGAGAAACACCCTGAAAATCACAAAATATCGATAAATTAGTGAATTGATAAAGCATCTAAGATTCCATTCTCGACGATAAGGCGCTCAGTTTGACGGCGACGTCTTGGTAGAATGCTGCCTGCTTCTTTAGATATGTTCCCATTGTGTTTTTCATGTCCTCGGCCTAACAATGGCGAAATCAATAAAACATTTTGCCAAGGGATCCTACCTTTTCCTGAGTCTGATGATGAATTTCAGCAAGAACTGCATAGCTGATGGCATCCACGCGTTGCCTCATTTTGTCAGCTTCAGCCGCCGACAGTCTTCCTTCAGATTCACGGAATTTTTGCACAGCTTGCTGAAAATGGTTCAGTATTCCCAAGAAAAAAAAATCGGAAATTTCTCTTTCAACCTTATGAACGTGCAAGATATCCGGCACATTCTGAACGGTTCCCTTGTACGAATAAAGGCTTTCAAGCACTGGCTCCATATCATTTTTCGTGTGAGCATCGAACAATTGCCCAATATCATAGTACTGACTGGCAGTCTGCGCAAGAGCGTCCGTCAGTTTAGTGCTAGCTGTAACACGAACATATAGTTCTAGTGTTTCTTAATTCGCGGATTACACGGTGTTTCGTCAATTTCAAACGACTGTTGAAGAGTTTTGAATGCGGCTCCCATTTTCTGCCAATTCTGTTTTACGGCTACAAAAAATAGAAGTTTTTTTTTCAAAACAAAATGTCTTACGTCCAGCAAACGCTTTCTGGAAGATGACCATTCTCTCCTGCATGACGCGCATTGCTTCCTCCGATGTCTTCACGCTTTTCAAGAATCTCTCAACCTGTCCATCCCTGAATTCAATTCAATATTTATTCATTTTCGACATTCATTTAATAAACTTACAATAAACGGGTATCAAGTGGCTGTTGCGGAACAGTAATCGAATTGAAAAAGTGACCGCCGACATATTCATCTTTCTCCGCCCTTCTTTTGCCGTGTTTCCAATCTTTCTCATCGGTTGCACTGATAAAATGCAGCCAAACCTCAAATTCCACTCATATATTCAAACTTCGGGTGTAACGATTACCTCGGATTGACTAAGAACCGGATGACGACAAATCTTGTTGACCCAGAGTTGAAGAATATGCTTACGATGATCGATAAGGTCTTCCTCATATCTTCCGGCAACTTGCTTTTCCGGAAGTGGCGGTATCGGAATCATTGAGTACTTGGCAGAAAGCTGCTCATGAAGCCAATCGAAATGCTTATAGCGTCGCGAGACCTGGATATTCGTCAAACTTGAAGTGATCGAATAAGCGATGAAGCTCTTCAATCCCTTCAATTTCGATTCCTTTTTGGGTTTGTCGACAATACAGTGATAATATTGCTGAATTGGCTTCCATTGAATAATTCCATTAATCGACTGCAATTAATATTTATATTTATTGGTTTTCAAAAAAAAAAGACTAACCACAATCTCATGTTTCTCACTGGGAGGCGACGAATATTTCGATTCGCCGATAACGTACGCCTCCATTCCCGATTTGACAAAGTTCGAGAATCGATTGATGCTCTTGTTGACCTTGTTCGAGCCGCGATCGGTGCCATGCTCGGAATGACTGCGACTCAAATCGCGACGCGAAACCGACGAATAGTTCGACGACGACACCGCTGATGCGCGATTTGGCTCCTTAAAATGATTGGAATGAGAGAAGATGAAAATGGGAGACGGAAAGGAAGTCGGACATGGACAACAAACATCACAAAACAACAATGACAATTATGCGAGCGTGCTTTCAAATTATTTGAGAAGCTCAATTATTTAGATTTTTCGCGATTCGAATTCATTCGGAAAAAAAACACCACGATTAAAACCTTGAAATGATTTTCAATTTCGCGCGGCACATCAGGTGCCGTTACACTCTTCTCGATTCGCCTTCGAGCATTTTGATCCTCGCTTCGACGTCGTCGCGATCGAATCGAATCCTGACGACTAATTCGACGCGGCCGCGGGATGCTACCATTTCTCGATTTCGAGCCAGGACCCGACGAATCAGTTTCCGCAATCGAGAGATCGGTTCGAGAACCAGACGCTCGAGAATTCAACACATGTGACGATATCGCCGAAGGATCTTGAACCGAGAGGCGATGCGCCTAAGAAGGAATTAGAAATGAATTGGGTTCATGAAAAGGAAAGGAGCTCATGGAATGGAGAAAGTGTTACCCAAGGGTACGAAGACGCCCGTCCATTATTCTTTTTCTCAATTATTCCGCTTCTATCATAAATATAGAAAATATCGGCTTCAGATTGTCGTATGAGTCGTGGCATATGTGGCAAAAAAGCGAAAAGAATGCTCACTCAATTTTTTTTGAGTATTGCAACCAGAAGCTCTCGCCAAACCAGATGATGAGCAAAAATGCCAAAAATGAGTTTGTCACGAATAGAAGCAATCAACGCGCGGGGCGGCAAGTTGAAACCACCACAATAACAGACACATAGTTGTTCTTGCTTCTCAATTTTTGTTAGTTTGTTAGAAATTGAAAAAGCAAACACAAAAGTTCCAAAACCGGAAGAAAATAGATTTGAACTCGGTTGAACTTCGTCTTTTTTAAGAATTAAAGTGCGGTATTATTTGAAAATTAAATAAAAATATCATATAAAATTTAAAAAAAATCAAAAATTGACAGACAATTCATTGTTTGTATTCTTAAAAATCCACTTCTGAGAAAAGCGAAACTTAATGTGGTATTCTAGAGCTGGCATCGTATTCTGCACTACTCGCCGTCCAATTTCCAATCAAAATGGAGCAAATAGGTGCACAATTTCGAGAAAAAAAAAACATTTTTCAGAGAATTAACTCTAAAAATTCTTTCGAAGAACGCGATGCACACATTATTAGAAGAACTAATTACGAATGAACGGACGTCTACGATGATATCCATGAGCCCCTGAGAATATTAAAATATTTGTACATTTCCCAATCCTATTCCATTTGAATTTGCATAATGGTATTCAAGAGCGATTGTCGATGAAGAACGCCCCCGCGCGAATATCATTCTGCCGTCTTTTTTTTCTAAAAAGAGGAATTAATGAGGGTCTTGCAGAAAGAATGAGGAGAAATCTATAAGTCAAAGAGAAGAAGAATAAATGCTAGGTGAAGACGAGAAATCCTTAGTCGAGCACATCGTTTCAAATTCAATGATGTACAGGAAGTGGTTTGGCGCTCGTGTCGCAACTTTTATCTTCAATTCTGATACATGTTGCGACTAATCGGATGCCAAACGCGGGGGTGCAAGACATAAGAAACTCGAGGGCGACTCCAAACAAAGAAAAAACGTGGTTGACACAAGACCTCCGCGAAGTGTTTCACTTCGACCCGACAACACCCTGGAGATTCATCCATTTCACTCAAACAGTTTTTTGATTACCTAATTCTTCAGACACCACAAAAAAATAACAAGAAAAATGCACGCATGACAATGTGACAAACACGAAACAACACAAAAACGACTGGAGTGTGACAAATATTTGAAAGAGCAATCACTTACATTCTGCTCTTCGTCCTCGTCCGTCCATTCGTCATCGAAGTCATCGTTCTGTTGACTATAGACCGACGAAGGAGCTAAAACTGATTCGTTTAAAAATTAGAATCATCATTTTTGGGAAAAAAATACTCAAAAAGATGGTTAAAACTAGCGTTTTGCGAAATCCGCATAGAATCATAACAAGCTCGGCTACAAATTTGGATTTCTAGTCAACCTAATCTAATTTTCTCCACTTCACTAAACGAGGGAAATATTTTTCGCCTATTTTTCTTTACAAATTTTGAACCAAAACGGTTCGATAAACCATCTATTGAGTTCTTTTTTATTTTTATTATTATTTTCGCCATATTTTAAATCCACATAAAGAATAAATAAATAAATAAAAATTATATTTTCTGCAAATATTTCAAAAATTATTCCAAATTTTTAGATGTGAAGTTTCAAAATTTTCCCATGACTTCTTTTCCGTGGTTAAAAATTTTTTAAAAATTTGCGCTCATGCAATATGATAAACTCTGTGACCGTGCTCGCCGAATACATCGCGAATTAGAATTTTTCGAACAATTCATATTTTCTAAAATTTGCTGATGTCCAAATTAGTGATAGTTTGTCATTTTTTTCGCATAAAATATACGATTTTTGAAGGAAGCCGATAAATGATGCGAATCCTTTTATGTTGGCCCCTTTCTAGATATTCTCAATTGTGTAGAAGAAAACACAATTTTCGGACCTTTACGGAAACTAGTCATTATGCAACACTTAAATTCTATTGCACTTCACTAACCATGCCCAGTGAATTGCTGCGCAGGCGGTGCTGGTTGAGCTGGTTGAGCTGCAACTCCAGCTGGCACAAACGGAGCAGCTCCCCAATCATCATACGGTCGGCTACTGGTCGGTTCCGCAGCGGAAAACGATGTCGGCGGCGGCGGCGGCGCAGATGGAGCGACTGGCTGAAATTTGCTCACATATTTCTCTGAATTTTAAGCGATTCTAATTGGTTGCCCTCGGGCCTATCATTCACTTTCGGCTCTTCCTCTTCAATTGTGGCATTGAAATGAACAACACGAGGCGGTGGAAGGGACGGAACACTTTCGGCCGCCGGCTTAATAAATGCGCTACAAGTGTGCCGTCGAATCATTTGTTTGCGGCGTTTCTCGAGCAGAAGCCGATGTGTTTCTTCGGCGGTCTGACTGATCACACCCGCATTCGTCGGGTACATGTCGACCGCTTTTCGAAGACTCGACGTGAACAACATTCAACTGCAACCAACAATCCGACGAAATATATGAAGGAAGACAATGCGCGAGAGTTATTTCTATACATATTATAGTAAGCGGCAATAAGGTTGCTTTATGAAAATGCGGAAAATGTGAAAACAAAACACCAAAAGTAGCTGATAAATTTTTCAAGAGCTCAATTAATAAAGCAATAATATCATGGAATCTAGATTCTTTTTGGAATTCCTAAAGTTTTTTTTTTCAACTGAAATGTTGAATTTTAACGAACTGCCGAAGGATATAATTAAAACTATAATTAGTGTATTTTTTGTATACAATTAGTTTAAATGAATTCCTAAATTTATGAACATTGTGCTCATTCTACATTAGGTTTCTCGATGAAAACCCCTAAAAATGAGTTGGTCCACAATGATGAGACATAGGACGACGTTCATAGGTCATTGAGCTTTTCCTTTACAGCGTCAGCGGGCGCAACATAAAATTCCAATTAATTCGTCGGAACACTTAGGTGACAGACAAAAACGCACATAAAAATGTCGAGCCGCTTCCAAAAACGGATAAATTTTCGGTTGGCTGTCATCGCGAAAACGAAAAAAAAACGAACTGATGCTGAAGGATGAAGCTGAAATGAATGAGCGAGACCGTGGAAGAACAGAGGCCCATGTAGAAGAGCCTCGAGGGGATTCCGGCACGGGGAGTAATAAGAAAAAACGAGGACAAAACAATGTTCGTCGTCGTCGTTTCTGTCATCGAAACCGCTTGATTGTCTTCGTCGTTTTCTCGTGCATTTCGGGTTGAAACCCCCCACACAAACGAAAGAAAAAAAAACTCATCAGATTCATCTATTATTCATTTCCCGACTATTCTCTTGAGAATTCCCGACAGGACATGATTGCCAATTTCGTGTGTTTTAAGAGATATTTTTGGGCGATATCGGTGGACGAGCAAAAAGTAAAAGTGAAGACAAGAAAGAGTAACATTTTGAGAACTACTCACCGGTAGTGGGCGGGTTGACGGCACGTGTGGAACGACGTACGATTCAGGGAATAAGCCGACTGAGCCGCGCGCATTTCGGCCTTCCATCCAGCCGCCATCGATGTTCTGAAAATTCAATTAAATCATCATCCGCAGGTTATGTGTAGTATGGTAGTTTAATTGTTTCTTTTTAAATCGAAATTTGAATTAACGCCCCCGAAAATGCACAATGTTCCGCAAATATCAAGGGCCTCATTTTTCAAACTTATTAAGAAATATTCATTTCACTTACTTTCTTACGTAACGAAACTATGTGAAAAACTCAACTATAATTACCAGTATCCAAAAATTTGTTAAAACTATATCGCCAGGTTGTAGAAGATTTATTTAGAAAATTGGAAAATTTAAACATTTTCACGCGCGATAACATTTAGTCGGTGTCTGGCCACTGATTTATTGGAGTATTTACGGTGTCTCGCGCCGACTAACTGGTTATTTTTTTTAATTTTTATAACCATACTGTTAGAAATAAAAATAATTTTCAAATTGAGCAAGAAATTATAAACAGTTCACGCGAAAAAAAATAACTGTTTACATGTGGCAAAATCAAAATCATTTGGAAATGAGCGTCCGTATATTTTATTACTCGTGGACGCCGACTATACATCGAATCTAATTTTCCTTATGGAGTGATTCCGAAAAAGGAAAAACGTTTTTTGCATTTTCCGTGGCATAAAGGGCCCATTAGAGGTTTCATATTGTTGGCTTCAAACGATTAAAATAAATAAAAAATGACTTAAACCAAAGCGGCAAAAAAGGTGGTGTAACTTCGTAAGTAGAATTACGACGAACACTGGTGTCATGGTGTCTCGAGACAAAAAGAACAGTATCTGTTTACTTTGCATTTTAGCGAACCCGAATTAATTATTTAGCGCGCAAATTCGTCGATCTACTTTGATTTTCAAAATTGGGATTTCCTGTCACCAACCAATCTTTTGAAACCGGCAATAATATGAACTACGTTTTCACAAAAGAAAAACCTTTCTTTTTTTGGAAATACGAAGTTTTATCGAATTGTTTTCCACAAACATTCCTATTTATTAAACCTTATGACACAGAAATCAATAGAACACAGAAAAACTCACAGTTCTGATGACGGTGAGCACTTCTCCAGTGGCGATGCTCATTTCGCCGGAGTTCGGCTGCGCCTCGAAATCATATTCGGCTCGCACTTGGGCCATAACAGCCTATAAAATTTTGTCAGAGATTGAATGTTTTTTTGCGATAGCGGGCCAATCGTTGAGGAAACTGTTGGAGAGACTCAGATCGTTGAGAGGGAAGGAGCCGAGATAGGAATGAGACAAAACAATGAGTCACCGAAATTTGGAACATGTTATGAAATGCTTTAAGTATTGAGAATGTTGAAACAATCTAATATTGATTTGCGCAAAAAACGAGGAAATGAAAAAAAAACGAGAAAATGAAAAACATTTCAATTTATCAAAATTAATCTTTTAAGTGCAATACATATTTCTCGGGCATCAAAAAAAACTTTGAGACAAAATATTAGATCAATAGAAAACCGTAGTAATAGTATCTTTAGATGAGTAAAATGAAGATAGAATGGCTATAGAACCCGTTTGTCATTTATTGAACACCTTCGTACAATGCACGTGGCAGCAGTGAACAATAAACGAATATATTGGGCAAAAAATCGAGAAATTATCGAATTACGCGGCGTCGATAAACTTTAAGCATGTGACCGTAAAACGCTTTGAAATAATGTTTATTTTAAAATAAATATAAATATTGGGATTCTGAAGAAAACAATGAGCAAATGTAGAATATATATATATATATATATATATATATATATATATATATATATATATATATATTCTACATTTGCTCATTGTTTTCTTCAGAATCCCAATATTTATATTTATTTTAAAATTTTTTTTTTCTTTATTTTTCGAAAATAGAGTTCCGTCAATTTTTAATGTTTTTCTGCTAAAAAAAAACATCTGGCCAGCCGGTCTATGCAGACAGTTAACGGTGAAAAATTTTCTGATATGAGAGAGCGTGCAGGAGATAGAGACGAAAAGCGGCTTGAAAATATTTGCTGGGTAAAGAACGGAAAAACGCAATCGGATTGCAGAATCGTGAGTGTTTGCGCGATGACCGGTTGTTCGTCTGTGTGGAGAAAATGTGTGTTTCAACAGTTTTTCAAAAGCGCGCACAGTTTTGAGTTTGCCGGGTCATCGTCTCGAGTATTGAAAGACGCAGACGACAAAACATTAAAGGCGCAAACAATTTTGCAGACGCGATATCGCAGTGCGAAATGTGTATTGTCTATCGACTCTCTCGCGTTTCAATTGTCTCTAACATCTACACCAAGCGTTTTCAACGTTCGATTTTGCCGAAATTTCGCGTTTTTATGGTTTTTCAAACACTTATTAGCTAATTGCGTTTTGGGAATGTGTGAATAAAGATTAATATTATGTAGACCTGAAACTAGTCTTAAATTATAGTAAAATTAATTGGAATTTTTCGACGTAATAATTCGTTTTCAATTTACGAAATGTGTTCGTTTTACGTGGTCTTTGTTTTTTTCTTTAAATATTAAACAAAAGTAATTAATACGTTTTAGGCATAATATGTCTCAATTCGGTGGTGGAAAGCCACCCGGTCAATGGGGACGCCCAACTGCTCCTGGTGCCGCTGGTCAATTGCCAGGCTTCCCAGCCGTTAATGTCGGCGCATTTCCCATGGTCGGTATGGGAGTCCCAATGGGAATGGTCAATCAAGCAGCGTTCTCATCGCCCAATGTACTCGGAATGCAAGGAATCATGGGAGCCGTTCCTCAACAATCCCTTGCTGCTCAACAACAAGCGGGTGCAACTTCAAAGAATCAGCGCACATTTGTTGGTGTGGTTACAAAAATGCACGACACTTACGGATTTGTTGATGACGATGTGTTCTTCCAGCATAGGTTTGCGAAATGTTTGAATTATGAAACATTCGTGACGGTTTCATTTCAGTGTTATTCGCGGAGCTCATCCAAGAGTCGGAGACAAAGTAATGGTTGAAGCGAACTATAATCCCGCAATGCCTTTTAAATGGAATGCGTATCGCATTCAATTGCTGAATGCTGCTTCTCAAGCTCCACCAGATCCAGCAAGACCTCCACCACAACAACAAATGGGATCTACTCGGCAGGCCGAGTAAGAACGAAAATAAATGCGAATTTTATAGGAACGCGTTTTTAGGCAATCTCGTTGGGGTTCCGACCGCAATGGACGCAACGAGTCACCTCCACGGAGTGGAAATTCATCTCGCCGTTACTCACCCCCAAGACGATCACCGCCTCGACGCTCACCCCCACGCCGCTCCAGTCCGAAGCGAGAAATTCCGAGAGGTAGGGATTCTCGAGATTCTCGCCGAAGTCCTCCTCCTCGTCGTGCTTCGCCGCCTGCTACCAGGCGATCTTCACCACCATCGCGCTCGGATAGAAAACGAGAGCGAAGTCCGACTGGTAGTGTAGTATCTTCATCAGTTCGTCGTGAAAGTGCCAGCCCTCCTAGAAGACGCGCAAGGATTATACCAAGATATGAATGTAGAACTCAGAAGCCTGTTATATTATCGTAAGTTGAAACAAGTAGTTTATCACTAAGTTTTGCATTCAGTGATGTGGTTTCTGGAAATATTCTCCGAACTCGTTACACCAAGCTGTACTTACCATCTGATTTTGTTGATTTGACATACGATTGGATTAAAACAGTTCAATTGGACTTCTCTTTGGATATTAACGATCCAGTGCGATTTCATGTTTTCCACAAGGACGTTGAATACTTTGGAAAAGAACCATTACCGGATATTGAGCCTGAGGATGCTGATCATCGGCATCAGGTCCGTGTGATGTTGATTTCGCACAACGGAAAAGCTGATGTTGTGAAAAAGGCGTTCTGTTTGTTGGCTGACGGAAGCACTGACGACCATCAAGAGCCACAATCTATTTTCAAAAACTTGAATTTTCTCGTCGGTATGCTGAATCATTGCAAATATTTGTTTGCATTTACTGTGTTCAGGTGTTCGTGGAAAAGAAATTATGGGAATCGGAGGTAGTTGGTCGCCATCGTTGGATGGATCTGATCCACACTCACCAGCAACTTTGATCAAAACTGCTATTCGAACCACAAGAGCGCTAACTGGAATTGATTTGACTCCAGTTTCTCAATGGTAAGTGCTTTATGTTCGGCTATGTTATTTTGTCTCCGCTTTCACAACCCTTTTTAAAACGGAAAATTTAAAATTATATCGAAAACGGAATGCGATCGAAAGGGATGTTTGTATGATTATAATATTCATCTCATCAACGACAGAGCAACATTATTATTATTATTACTATTATCATTATCATCATCATTTACATAGATATTTTTTCTCTCTATTCTCAATTGTTTTGCTCATTGCACAGGTTCTCGATGCTGCAATTGCGCTACTACCGTTCCGATAAGCAACGCGTCGATCACGTTCATCTGTTGTTCGCCGACACACAACATTTGGTGCCAGATGATGCTGCATGGTCAGCGGCTGAGCTGGCAATTGGCGAACAATACAAGCAGAGGCTCGAAGTTATCGACTCCATGAAGATTGAGGAAGAGGTGGAGCAAGACGAGCCGATTTCTGAGGACGAGAAACCGAAAATTGAGGAGGTTAATAAGCAGGAGGCGCCTGTTGAGACGGCTCCTTCTGGTAATGACGAGGCAGCCAAGGAAAGTATCGTCCTTTGACGTTTTTTATTCAAAATTAATAATCTTATGATAGTAATCGACTATCGAGCCGCACCTCTGTGTTTTTTGGTTGATTCACCCGTGGCTTCTATCGTGTTGTCCTGCATGCATAACCTAATCCAGAAAAATCTAGAGAATCATGCTTTATCCAGATTCTTATTTTTACTTTAATTTGCAGCAAAACGAGGTCGAAATTTCTAAACATAGAGAACAGTTTTCATTATTCTTATTCATTATTATTATTGTTTTTTCAATGATATTAATTTTATATGATAATATTCGAAATTTTAGATGGAAACTGACAACTCCAATGAAGTATCAATGGCAAGTGAGAATGGAGATGGAGAAGAAGATGTGAATCTAAATCAGTCTGGACCCACGAATTGGACCAAACTTGATCCGAAGAGTATGAAGGTTTGTTTTACCTCATAGATTTTTATTTTAAAAAGAAAAAATATTATTTCAGGTAGCCGAACTCCGTATCGAACTGGAGCTTCGTGGTCTTGAAACCAAAGGAATCAAGACGCTTCTTGTTCAACGTCTTCAAACCGCAATTGATGCTGAAAAACTTTCGGAGAAGGATAATGCCGCTAACGCTGCCGCCGCTGCTGTTGCTCCTGCCGCTCAAGATGTTGAAATGAAGGAAGTTTCACCTGTGAAGCAAGAAGTCACTGATGAAAACCCGGCTGCTTTCATAGCTCCACCAGTTGAAGAAACTCGCGCTAAAAGTGAGGCTGAAGCAAAGAAGGAGCAGAAAATTGCAGAGGATCGTAAAAAGAAGGAAGAAGCACTTGAGAAAGAAAAGAAGGAAAAACGTGAAAAGCTCGAGAAGCATTTTTCACTGCCCAAAGAGAAGAAGATTCTTGTTTTTCCATCGAAAACCTATAAGTCTGGAAAGTTTGACTGTAAAACCGTCAGCATGAGCACACTTCTTGATTATCGCGCTGATGATAACAAAGAATATCAATTCGAGGTAACGGTTATATAGAAAACTCTTGATTACTTTTTATTTCAGATTTCGTTATTCGCCGAAGCTTTCCGCGAAATGCTTGAACGCAATGCAGCATTCACAATCTATGAAACATTAGTTAATTGTGGTGATAAGGATATTGAGAAGAAGAGAAGAGAAGAAGCTCGCGAAAAACCTGTTGAGGAACCGGCAAAGGAAGCGACTGAGCCTGCCGCTGCACCGACTGAAAGTGCAGAAAAGGAAGAAAATGGAGAAGCTCCTGTTGCTGAAAAGGACGAACCGAAGAAGGAGAACAAGAAAGAAGAGAAACCAGTAGTGGAAAAGATTGAATTGAAAAGTTTGGTTGCTAACCGCACTGTTTATGAGGCGTTTTCGCTCTACGACGCGAATCTCTGCGGTTACTTGTTGGAAAAAGATATTGAAGAAATCCTTTATAACGGAGAATTTGGAATATCTCGAGGACAAATTCAGAAATTGGCGAAGAAATTGTCAGTTCGCGATAAAGTCAACTATCGTCATCTGACGGACGTGCTCATGGACTCTGATGGAAATGTTAGATATACTCCTGGTGGAGCTGACGATACAGTCGAGACCGAAGATTTGATACGCGGATACGGTCTCGCACTGGCGAAATCTGTTGAAAGCGGTGAAAAGAAACAATCGGAATCTACTACGACGGCGACGTCGGATGGAATTGTTGTTATCAATGGAAATGTGGTGAATGTACCGCAAAAATTAAAGCAGCTGAAGACGGCAGAACAAGAACGTGATGCAGCCAAAACAACTATTAATGAGCAAATTTCGTTGATTGGTAAAATCTATTATTAATCTTAATTTGTTGAAATTGGTTTCGTTATTTAGATCAACTTCGTGAGGCTAAAATTGATATGGAGAAAAAGAAGAAAGATATTGAGTCGATATACATGAAGACGAATAAGAAATTGAATGAAGTAACTATACAATTGAAGGTTAGAATTAATAATCATAATTAACAGTGAATTAATTTTTTAAAATTTAGACTTATCAAGATGATCAATCGGATTTAAAGCAAGCACTTTTGGATTGCAAGCGTTATGCAAACCGTATTTGTGGAGTGGTTGAGAAGGCGATACCGCCAAAAGTCGATGAAAAGAAGGTAAAACTTATTTCGTACTTTTCAATCAAATTTTTTGAATATGGTTGATTTATAGGAAAAGGAAAAATCAAACAGCGAGAAATCGGAAAAGAGCACTGACAAGAAAGATGAGAAATCGGAAACTTCAAAAGAAGGAAGTGATGAGCAACAAACTGAGATTGTGCTTGCTGAGGAAGTTGGAGGTGACGAAGAAGAAAAGAAGGATAGCCCAAACGCCGACGCAGCGACCACAAAGCCTGAGGAAATCAAAACCGAATAATTTTTGTTTTAACTTTTTTGTTGTTATATTATTATCATTATCTTGTTGCTATACGTAAAATCTCGATGATCTTGTTGGAATCGACATCCCGAGAAGGCTCTTCTCTATATAATTGTATCCTACAGGTTTCGTTCCTTTAATGTTATTTTAATCTTAATATATTATTTTTTGTCAGTGAATGAAACATCCAAAAAATAACGAGTTGAGTCCATTGATTAGTTATTGACTAATTCGAATATTCTGGAATATTTGTGTGAGGTGGGGAGTTGCAAAAAGTTTATTTAACTGCAGATGGATGAAATAATAAATGCTGTTGCTTCAGCATCAAACTTGTGTGCAGATGATACTGAAAGTGAAGGTGAGAAGGGAATATTGAATTCTGCTGATAATTTAATTGGTTCTATTTAAAAAGAAAAAAAGTTTTCCGTACAAGACAAAAACATGAATTTTGATTTGTTCTTTCATTCGTCCTGATAATATTCGAAAATAGATAATGAAAAAGTAGGCTAATTAAAAAAATTAAATAATTTTCACTTGATGAGCTCTAATTAATGAGCAACGATAACAAATTGCGAAATTTATTTTTGGATTGGTTTGCAGAAGTATGGCAGATGCGATGTATGAATTGCGTTCGATGTCATCACAAAGAAAATTGCGGCAAGTGCAGAGCGTGCATAGCGAATCCGCCGCGCACGTGCGAATCTCGGCGGTGTTTTGCCGCGAAGAAATTGTATGAGGAGAAATGTATGAATTCGGTCGAATTTCGATTTCAGCGTTTCGATTGATTTCAATTTTTAGTGAAAGCCGAGCGGAAGGCGATGCAACGCGCTCGAATGCAAATGCTGAAAGAGCAAGAAGCGGCGAAAAAGGTGGAAGAAGCTGACGAGCCTGAGGTAAAGAAGCGAGGAAGGAAAAAGGGGCAGCCGAATATGAAGGCGAGAAGGAAAACTGTTGAGAAGGAGGAGGTTACGGTTACAACAAGACCTACACGGCAAGCTCTCGCCGAAATGAGAAGGAAAACAATGGTTGTTGAGGTTGATTGAATGATAAATGATAGTTTTTTAATAGAATTTGAATACATTTTAGACATTTGAGCCACGACAATGTTTGAATCCGGATTGTATCAACGAAGCTATGGAAGATAGCAAGTATTGTAGTCAAGAATGCGGTGAAACACTGGCTAGGGTAACAAAAGAAAAACGAATTCTTGTTCTCTATTAAATCTAAATTAACGATGTATTTTAGATGAGACTGACCGAAGTTCTCCCAGCAAGAGTCAAAGAATATTTTGACGGTCCGCACACGCATGCTGCAGAATTACAAAGGAGACTTGAGATATTACAAAAGGAATTTGAGGATATCTCTGTAGCGGAAGGCAAAATGCTTGCATTTTTAGACAAATTGCACGATTATGTTTCGGTACAATCATTTGTATGAGGAAAAAAAAATAAAAATTGTGTGTTTCAGAAAGTGGCAAATGTCGCTCCAAATGGGAAAGAAGAGAAGGACGATGATAACTTGGTGAGCGATATTTGTATAAATCGCAATTAAATCAAATGAACATCTAAGAAAATCCGAAATTCGTGATATTTGAATATCAATTTTATGCCAAAAATTCATCATCCAATTTCTTCTTTAATTTTCACTAAAACATTATTATTAATTAGATATTCAAGTAGACAATTATTTAAAATATAATTATTTTTAGTGTGAAGCTTGTGTTGTGTGCGGACAATCCGATATTCCCCTCCGGAAGTATGCGAAACACGTTGAGGCTTGTTGGTCGAAGAGCGAGAAAATGATCTCTTTCACTTCAGCTGAGGTTTTAATTAATTGTTCTCCTTCAATTAATTATAATTGGAATTTAGATGTCTGTGGCAACGAAGTTTGTTCCCTACTGCGAGCAATATGATGCGAAACAGAATGGTTATTGTAAACGGCTCAAATCATTGTGTCCTGAGCATCGGAAGCCGGGATTAGAGCAATATATGAAAATTTGTGGCTATCCGTCAAAATGGGAAGAGCCTCATCGAACGAGCATCACTATTGCTGAGCTATTCGAACAGAATGAGTTAGATATTTTTGCTAATATTTTTTAGTTTTCAAAAAAAATGAAACAGGAGGCCAGACCGTTTCAAGATTTGAGTTAATTTCAGCCCGTTTGGAGAAACTGGATGTCTTGTGCCGAAAAATAGTTGTTCGAGACATATAAAATGGGTTCCAGCTCTTCGTGGTGCTATTGAGCTCGAGCAAGTTACTATTTTAAATAAAGCGCTGGAGGTACACACTTTATTCTAAAACAAAATGGTTTGGTTCATTCTTATTTCAGACATGCTCCGAGATTCAAAAGATTGAGAATTATAAAAATACTAGAATGAATTTGCTGAACGCAATGTGTCATCCATCAAAAATTGGTAGAATCTTTGGGTTTTTTTTTCAAAAAATATTTAAATTTGATTTTAGAAGAAGCTGATGAAAAACCGGGGCCCTCGACCAGTGCATAATGTATATTTCTAATTAAACAATTAAACATAATTAATTTCGGTCTCAACAATTTTTATCAACCTATCGTTTTGTATTTGTTCAGCCGCTCCGGGTGTCTTTTGTCCGACGTCGCCATCGTCCGAACACAGGCGTAGAGACGCAGAGATAAACGACACGCAGAGCTGGCTAGCTTTTACCACGTCACCATTTTTCACCATTTTTCTGTATTTCATATCACATTTATAATTAACCTTACATAATTCACTTATTTCAATAAATGTATGGTAATTTGTCAAGCGGTTTTGTTTTTTAAACGTTTTGAACGTTATTCAGTTTTCTATGATTTCTATCATCTAAGGAAAATTTTTATTGAACATTTATATTATTTCATCAAATTCTAAATAGTTGTTTTTTTTTTTGAAAATTCGAAATAAAAAAATAATTGGGAATATAACTATTTGAACTCGAAACTGGTTTTTCTAGAGAATGTCGGGTCGAGCAATCCTGGTTTTTGACGTTGATGGAACACTCACTGCTTCGCGTCAGGTATTCTATTTCTTTGTGCCCAAATTTCGGCCGGATTCGAAATATTTAGAAAATTACCCACAGAATGCTGGAATTTATGACAGAAGCTAGGAAGAAGCTCCCACTTGCAATTGTTGGTGGCTCCGATTTTCACAAGATCACTGAGCAATTGGCCGATAGCTCCGAAGATTGTAAGTCTCAGCTTTACCATTCGGATTTGATTTAGGTGTTTCAGTGCTCAGTCGATATGATTACGTTTTCTCCGAAAATGGATTGTTTGGCTATAAGGGCACTGAACAACTTCCGAAGCAGGCAAGCAATCTTCGCTATAAAATTCGATTTTCGAAAAATTTAGTCAATTGTTCAAACTGTCGGCGATGCGAAACTTCAAGAGCTCATCAATTTCGCATTGCGATACATGTCGGATATTGTTTTGCCGGTGAAAAGAGGCAATTTTGTGGAGTTTCGAAATGTGAGCAGTTTTTTGTTGCTTATTCAGCTGTGTGTTAGGCGTAGGAAAAAGTTTGCAATTTTAAATTTCGCTTAAGTGAAAGTTGAGGTTAAGAAACCGAAAAGCGTCACTAAAATAAGTTGTTCTGAAAATCGTACTCAAAATGGTTTATTCGAATAAAATTCACTTTAAAGACGCATTACTGAACATTTTCCCAATTCTTACCTATATATGTAGTAGTCTATTAATAGGGCATGATAAATTTGTCTCCAATTGGAAGAAGCTGCTCATTGGAGGAACGTCTTCAGTTTGTTGAAGTTGACAAAGCGCAAGGAATCCGATCGAAATTTGTGAAAGCTCTAGAGGAGAAATTCGGAAAAGATGGACTCCAATTTGCGATCGGTAAGGGTTTCGAAGAATCTTTAAAATTCTAAAAGTCATGTCCCCAATTTCGATCATTTGCCCTTTCCGACCTACATTTCGAAACAGACGTGTTTTCCACAATACACCAAAAAAAAAAGAAGAAACCATTCGTTTCCCATAGCGTTTTGCAAATGAGATGTTGCAGGCGGTCAGATCAGCGTGGATGTATTCCCGAAGGGATGGGACAAGACATTCTGCCTGCGCTACCTCGAAAACGACTATGATACTATTCACTTTTTCGGCGATAAGACCGCACCGGTAACCTACATTTTTTGTCGTCCCAACAACAAATCGAATGTGACAGGGTGGAAACGATCATGAGATTTTTGCCGATCCGCGCACTATCGGCCATACCGTAACCGGACCGGAAGATACCATTAAACAAGTCACGGAGGTGTTCGAAGGGATGAATTTATAGAAAAAAAATTTGCGAGGGTTTGCTCATTTATGTATTTATTTATAGCATCAGCAACTGTGATAAATTATTAAGATTTTTGAAAAAAATAATGTTATTAATCTTATTAATATGTATTATTATTATTAATTGGCGAAAAATGAAGGGAAAAGAAAACAATGGAGCAACAAACAAAGAAAATGAATGAAAGCATAATGGTGAGGAGAGACAACATATCGATGAGCACGAAATGGCCCTATTCTACCCGACTCGGGGGTTATTTGGTGACTATGGCATGGAAAATGTGCGGCTGTGGTGGTAATGTTTCGAATTGAGCAATTCACATTGGCAAATCCTTGGATGGCGTCGAGTGGATGTTATGGCAGCCCCAGACGACGATGAGTGCCGAAAGGATGAGGCACACGATCGAGACGGATACCACGGATGAGACGAACCACATCTCCGACAAGCACACCATGTCGGTCATATCGGCCATGCTGCAAAATTCAGAAGTTTTTATTTGAAAAACAGTTTACAATATTTAATTAAATAAAAAATGGCACCGAAAACGAAAATGGATTACCTATGCATTGTTTGGTTGTTCAATTCTTGCTCCTCCTCATCTTCTCCCTTAGCGAATACTCGAATGATTGCCGAAAGGGTCTCCTCAGTTTCTCCCGCTTCAGCATCAACCGAACGCTTCTTTCTTCCGTGCGACATGAACAATTCGTTGGTTCCCGAGTCCAAGCAGTTCGACTAAATCGAACAACATGACAGTGCACACCAAACTTATTTGACTTACCACTGGACATCCATTTGGTCCGGCGCAGAACATGATTGAGCAGACAATCTGGACATCGTAGGATCCGTCAAGACGGAAAGCGCGCAAATCAGACTTGAGGCGATTCTTGTCGAAGTCTTGCTCGACTGGTCCGACGAGTGCTGGATATCTTGGGCATCCGTTCTCGATGAGCGTGAATGGCACGGTGTCACCGAATCCGCCGACACGCGTGGCGGTGCATTCAGTGACCATCATGTTGTGTGGACCGGCTTGCTCAGAGGTGATCACAAGAAGAAGTGGGTCTCCAATGGAAGCCTTGTGAAGTGGCTCCTCGAGCTGATTGAGAATTTGGAGCTCGGCGGTGACTGGCGGTGGAGTGGCGACGTCCAAAACGGTGGTGTTCTGAGACGAAGCCTCGTAGATGGTGGTAACGACGACAGAACCCTCTTTGACCATCTTGTCCATGCTGACATCGCACGAGACACGGTAGAAGCGATCCCATTCAGTGGTGACCTGATGCGGAAGAACTCCATCGAGCGAGACGACAACCAACGCCTCCATTTTTCCATCGCGAATCACAGTTCCGCAATCCGAGGTGACAGTGGGTGGTGGGAACGTGATCGAGATTTGTTTGGCGTTCTCGACAACCTGCGAGCAAGTCGAGAATCTCTCAGCGGCATAGATCGCGCCAGTGTATGGTTCTTTGGTGTTGACAATGAATCGGATTCCTTCGTTGGTGCACAAAGCCATTCCTCCGAATTGCGATTCTGATTACATATCATCATAACCTTTAAAAATTTGAATTGGAATCTCGTACCACAATTGAACTCGTAGTAATCCATGGCTGGATTGGCCTTGATATTGGCATCAGCACGTCCGACGGCGTAGATGAAGCATGACGAAGCGGTACGATCGTAATTGATCGATTTGCAGTTGAGGTTCTGGACCATTACATTTATGTATGTTTGTGGATTTTATTGTTTACCTGGAAGCACAGCGAAATGCAATCCGAAATGGTGACACCTTGCGCAGATGCGACAACTTCTCCTTCAATCGATGATCCGATAAATCGCTCGAAAGCGGATTGCTGGCGACAAGTCGACGACGATAGGTCGGCTAAAAAAAGCATTTTGATGAAATATCATTGAAAATGATTGAATACCGGCAACACAGATTGGCTCATAATAGTCCTTTCCGACCACCTGTCCTTGCTGATCGGCCCGCGAGAAGGTGTCCTCATCGGAAACGATGCAGTTCTTCTCTTTTGGATTGAACTCAACCGAACGGCAGAATGTGTTGAGCGAGTCGAGGCATTTCTGCAGGCAGTACGACTCCTGGGCTTCAACGGATTGCGTGTGATCGTAGTAACGGATCTCGAAGTTGGTGGTCTTCACGAACACCAAATTTCCTCCAGATGGTCCGCAACGGTTTTGTCCTTAAAAAATAGGAAATATAAAACGATAAATGAATTATCGAGTTGCAAAATCAATTTGAAACTACAAAAAAGAAATCAAAAATAGTTTTTCAAAATGTTTTTATTCGACTTACGAGAAAGACAGTTGTTGTCGTAGTAATCGACCCCATCGTTCATTCGGACATGAGTTGGCTTCGATCGGCGGTCTTCAACCGACATTTCGCACAAGTTGTTCGCATAGCGGAAATTGACAGCCTTGCAGACGAACTCCTTCTCTTTAAGACAAGCTGACAAGCAGTGCTCGCGGCTCTCGACCTTGATCGACTTCTTCACAAATCCTTCGAGCATCGTATTTCTAGATCTCTCGAACGAGAACGATCTATAAGTGCACGCCTCATGTGCCGAGACATTTGGAATGCAAGTCTTCTCATAATAGAAATTGTTTGCCGATGGGTTGGCGGTGAGCTGGGAGGTTCCAGCTGGAGCTGCAGCATCGTCGAAGAAGTAGCACGTCTCGCGACCGTCGAAGTTGAACGAAGCGCAGACTCGCTGAGCTCCGGTCGTTGGCTCGATGTTGTTGCGGCAATATTGAGCGCACGTTAGGTCATGTCCAGCGGTGGAGATGACGACGGGAGTGCCATCAAGACGAGCGCGCGGGATTCGCACGAAGGCGGTCGTCTCGGACGACGAGCATTCGAAGACAGCGGCGACGGAGCCGACGAGTGCGGTCAGTGCTATCACCCGAATGAGCATCTAAAACACACAGCGAATGAGGAATTCGAATTCAGAAATAAAATCGAAAGATTATGATTGAAGAGGGCGGCAAATGCTAAGTGGACACCATTCAAAGACGCTGACTAAGAGCTTCTGATGAGAGAAAAACCAGACACGCCTCTCAAGAAGGCTTGAAATTTGAAGTTTGTGGTTGGGAAAAAAAAAGATTAATGTCCTGGCGGGTATACGGAAAACAAACAGAAAATTGAAACTGCAAGGAATGCGTAAAGTGAAAAGTAGGCCAATCAGTCAGAGGGGAAGAGAGAGATAGGGATCCGCGCATCCAACCATCCGTATCTGTCGGTGATCAGTAAAAGCGGGCCAAGAAAGGCAACGCGGTCGCGCAGAGACACACGCAAGCAAAACGCGTCCGGATTGAGACACACAGACATTCGAATCGGCCCCCCACTCCGTGTGGGCGGACCGACAGACTGACTGACTGACTGACGGAATCGCCGATCGCCTTGACCTCATATCTATCGCCTTCCACTCCTTCTTCGTCTTCCATTGGCTATAGGCTGACTTTCGACACACATTCCGGAATGAAAAACTCGACGACATCGACTTTGGTGAGACTATCTCGCCTCTCCTTCCGAACATGCGTCGAAAGTGAAATCGTCAAGAAGCGGGAATCGTTTTTGGGTGTGTTGAGGGACACACCGAGGGCATTGCATAATTCAACTGATACGGACAGAACCAATCCGATCCAATCCGATCCACATTCCCTTTAGCTGAATCATCATTGTAATTCGTTCGCGCGGCGATTGTTGCGAGTTATTTTCTGCCGGCACGCATTTCTGATTGATAATTATTGAAATTCTCGAGTTTCAAATTATTGCCATCTGTATAAGAAATGTATTGCAAAAAATGATAGCAATGTCTCACCTCAAAAAAAAGCAAATGGGGGTCTGAATTGAATAATCACAAATATAGCTCCTAAATCCACATATACCAGAGCAAGCACCCTGGATGCTTGTGGACAACATTTCAATTTAAATTGAAATTTAGCTATCCTAATACGGTTGGCCTGCGAATCAAACTCACCGTAAATCTACACAGGGTGCTGCCATTTTTTACGATTACGAACACATATTTTTTTCCAAAATTCTCTAAATGAAGAATATCTCAATTTTTGATGTATTCTACCCAACAACTATTACTAAACAATCGTTGAAGTCGCATGACTTCGGAAAATTGGCTAAATGCCAAAAAATCTAAGAGAGGGGTCTCAGTGCGCGATGTGCGCCTATCCTCTATTCACATAGGCTCGTAAATCTACACTTGTAGTTTTGCGCCAAAATTGTTTTTTTAACGTTTAGCCGATTTTCAAATAAAATGGTTGAAAAAGCTCACAACTTTTGGTAGATCAAAAATAGAATAAGAATATTTTGAACGTTAACCAAAAGCTTGATTCTTACAAAAAATGAATGAGAATTCTGAATAGTGGCCGAAATCATTGACGCACTTGAATGATGAATAAGCGAAAATGCTATACGCGATTTTTTTTCTTGACATAAACGATAGAAAGCTGATTTTCATGGATGATTCGCTATACACCAAACGGCTTTTCTCGAACATATGCCCTCGGAACACGAATTTCAAGTTTTTTCTTGTCAATTTCATTTCTGTTCCGCGCTCATCGTTTCCGTGCGATTTACCAATTTCAACATCATGCATTGACGGTTGAAACAAAAATTTGAGGCAAACGAACAACGATGATGATTAGGGGAACAAAAATTTGAGGGGGGGGGGAGACGAGAGAAGACAACGGGTTGGAACTGCTTGGTACCAGCCAGTTTGCACTTTGCAACAAGTATTTAATCAGAGCGGACGGCGAGGACGAAAACATATCTATGTATGGTTTTGCGGATGGTTGCGGCGGCGGCGGCGGCGGCGTCGGTGGCGACATCATTTCTCAACGGAAACTCTCGATTTCGGTCCAGATAACTTGGAATGACCTAGAGATTTTTATCTGTTGCACTCGGCGTCGAGGGGGGATAACGCATTTATCGGTATGAGATATGTCTCGATAAATGTACAAATCAAATAAATTGTTGCGGCGGCGACGGCGAGGGCATTCTAGACGATCTTCTTCCATTTGTTGCCGATTTTCACACGATTCGGCACATAATTTGGACACTCAATTTCCATTTTGATCATCTTCTTCTCGTTTTTCTCCGGAATTCGAACATCGACGTCGAGTTCGAGTATCACACCGATCACTTCCGTCATTGCCGACACGCGAATCTTGAAGAAGAAAATATTGGGAGGGGGGAATTTTGTCGAAATTTTCAATAATCAACTTTGTCTAAAACCACCGGCGTTTTTGTCGATGACGAATTGCATTTTTTTTCGCTCGATTCCGGCGATTTTTCGCGACTCTCAAGATGTTTGGTAATCGAGCGAATCGAGCGATAATCAGTTTTTCGAGCATCCTTGATTTGATGGCTACTCGACGAATCCGTCTGGCTCGAGCACGATCGCGTGTTTTGCGACGATGGCGGTGAAAGCGAGAACGCTTGAGGAACGTCGCGAACTTTGAAGTTCTGAAATCATCATTCTCGGTTTATTCTAATGTAATAGCGGAACACAAGTGAAATCGGAACGGTCATTGAAAATGCCGTAAAATAATAATTGGTTCGGACTGGTTTCGAAATGTGCATATTGTGAATTTAGAAACTTTCGAATTTAATTGAATCGTTTAAAAATTTGATTAATACATCGAAAAGGACCTTTGAGGAATAATGTTGAAATTTTCAAAATCTGAAAATTTACAAAATTCAAAGTTTGGAAATGTGAAGATTTATCGTATCATTGTATAGACTGCGAATCTACCAAAAGGGCCGAAATAATTTGATTTAAAAAATGTGAATATCATATCGAATTCAGAATACTCAGGTAAATGAAAATCAATCGGATCGGAAATAATTTCGTTTTTCAATCTAAATCAAATATAAATTAATCTGTTTCGAATTATTCCAGAATTTCAATCAAATATGATTTCAAAATTGAGAATGAGAAATTAATCAATCAATTTCGAAGATTTTTGAATCGAAATCAAGATTTCAAATTGAATTTAAGCGTTTTCTTAATCGAATTTGAATTATTTTTCAATCGAAACAGGTTAATTTATATTTAATTTTTCTTCGAATCCGATTGATTTTCATTTACATGAGTAGGGGGAATTTTTAGAAAACATCATAGCCCTTAAAATAAAAAATAATAAAATTAAAGTTTTTTTTTGGACATAAAAAAAATCTAAAATTTAACTGAAAAGATTGTCTACGGGTCCTATTCGTCAGAGATTTCAAGCCCAGAACCCATTTGACAATCAAATATTCAAATGACGACTTACTCCGTTTCTCGCCACCACGTCAGCTGTCGATCGGCCATTTTTTGTGTTGACTTCTTTGGCGACTTGAAGCTCACACTTGTTGCCTGCTGTTGGAAGCGATAGAAGAAGCTGAAGAACTTCTGACTGTTTCAGCGGTTGATTCGAGAAGCCTCACCTTTTCGACGTCCTCGATCGTTTGAAGTGCGAGATTGTTGAGATAATTAAGCGTTTCCTTCGGATTCGACATGATGAGAGTTGCGAAACAAATCGAGCACTTTACGTTTCACCAAAATAATGCGATGCAAAAATGGCATCAACTCGATGGATGCAATTAATTGATAACGTGAATCGGATTTTCAAATAATACAAATTTTGGCAGAAAAAGTGAAAATACAGTTTCCGAGGTAAGGAATGCCAAATTTGGCTGAATGCCTAAAAAATAATGACAGTTACGTTACGGATCAGAGACTTGGACCTTCACCAAAGCTCTTGCCGAAAATGTCCGAATTAGTCATGATGCGCTTGAGCGAAGGTTGGTTGGCCTCACGTTATCACAACAACGTGAACAAGATCTTCATCGAGAGGACATCCGCATCATGTCTAAAGTTCGGGACCCCCTACACCACATCACGAAGAGGAAGATGACCTGAGCTGGACACGTTGCTAGAAGAACAGATGGAAGATTGACTACCCTTCTAACGGAGTGGCGGCCGTGGAATTGGACCCGGCCAAGAGGAAGGCCTCCCATGAGATGGTCGGACTCGCTTCGGAAGGAGATCACCACAAGAAAAGCTGAAGGAGCCGATATCACCCCGTGGTCCACCCAAGCCAAGGACCGAAAAGCTTGGAAAGCTGTGGTTCGCGCCTCAACAGGCGAAGGACGAACCGACTAAGTGACTAAGTAAGTGGTCTTGGCGCAAAACTAAAAGTCTGTAGATTTACAGACCAAAAAATGGGGATAGGATAAAGGCGCACACCGCGCTTGGCCAGAAATAAGTATTTCGAACTCATTGAATGTTTTTTTTTCGTTTTTTTTTTTTCGGTTTGGTTCCTATTCGAATACTTTATAGACGTAATCTGATGGGTCTGTTGGGTGGCCGATAAGGCAAATTTTTGATTGTTTCAAGAGTGGAAACCATTTTTTTTACATGAAACCAATAGAAAGATCGAGAAGTACAACCAACTCGAATTCCAAATTTCTGAGGTTTTCTCAACAACTGATTTTTCAATTTAACAGAAACACTCCAATTAGGGTCTAATCATATTGATATTGTTTGTTGATTTAGACTCTATAACATCGTCACAAGACCCGCGTGAAAGATGAAACTCATTATTCCATCGGATATGCGATTTCACTATGACTTGAAATAGATAATAGTTTTTTTTGAATAATTGATCATATTGTTTCGATAGTAAAGAGATAAGTGTTCAAATCGAACGAACTCAGCACATTGTTTAGCCAATGCGCGCATTTTCGAAGATAAGGAGGTTCTTGACATATTTGTTTTATATACTCGTTCATATTCAACCCCAATCACACTACAATAATATGAAAATAATGCATTTGATGGTGTTGCCCGCGTATTTCCTAGACAAAAGGTTCGTTTTTTTTTTTGTTTTTCATTCGATTCAAATTCTCTCTATCTCTCTCACTCTTCATTTACCACCGGACGTCGGCTCTTGAGAATGCCAATCGAGCTCCGCCGAATTTGATTAAATGATGATCGAGAACCGTTTTGAGTGTTTTTACCGGATATGTTGCAATTGTTCGAAGCTTTATCAAATAATAACGTCAGCTCATTTTTTTTTTCGTTCCGATTAGAAACCAAAATTCTTTATTTGAACATTTCGATCATGTTAGAAAATAAGGAAAAAAAAAGAAATAAAACGGTGATTGAAATACGGTTTTGAGCAGTTTTTTATAACTAAAATTTGAGATATTCTAAAATATATTTGTGCGCGAGATTTGGCCGAGATTACTTGATTGGGTCAACCGAATAAAATGCCAAAAAATGAGAAGAATGTGATCTTTTATGAATTAATAGAACGTGTTTGCGGAATAAAATAAAGTAAAATTATATTTCTACGATGTGTCAGTTGTCAATTTTTTAAAGATATCATCGATTCTTAGCATTTCGATTTTATAACAAAAATCAGGTTTGCAATGTCCCACAAAAGGCAATTTTTCGATTTTTGATCTACAGAAGATTGTTTTATTATTTTCTTTACAGTTTATCAAATACATAGGGTTACTCTTTTTGGTTTTTTTTTAATACATAATGTCGGAGTCAAACGACTTGACGAAATAAAAAAATTATTGGCTATGTGCCAATGCGTGTCGAGGCAGCGAGAAGTACGCGACACTGCGTTCATTGCATCATATTGTACGCGCATTTAATATTCCGTCAACGATAAATTTAAATCTACACAGACTTCGCGAATTTCAAGGCCCCCTTCAGTCGTTTGACGCCGACAATATCAAGCTTTTATATGTCAATTTCTGGTATTCAGGAGATGCTTCGATGCGAAATCTCGAGGTTTCTATCATTTTTCAATTGAGCGTACAACAAAAAGTACCGAAGGGTTTTGTGTTTGCAACAATTTGCTCTCAAATATGAGCACCAGCGTAGACGCCCGTGTTTGCCTCCGTGTGCATGATGAATTTTGTTGTTTTTTTTTTATTTCGCGCAAGAGCACAGCCACAGCCACACACACACAGTCAACGAGTCTGTTTTCTTTAATCGTCTCGCTCTCTGGAGATCGCCAATCCGCATTCATCCAGTCGGTTTCGGCCGCTGTCAATAATTTTGTGTGCGCGTGTGTGTGTGTGAGCCATTGGAAAAATCAATCAATTTGCTCCTGTTTTTCATGCTCCTTTCTTCAGGGTCCGCGAACACAACGACGACGACGACGAAGCCGACGCACAGTCAATGATCCGACATGGCAGACAATATTGCAGGTTGGCCTTTGTTCATTTCTTTTTGACGTAAAATGGAATAATTTGATTCGCATTCGAAACTAGTCCTTCCGATATCATTAACCAAATAATTTTTTTGCAATCAATTGTGTCAGTTTCTGATGCCTTATTCTCAAGCTTCAACTTCTCCAATAATCGAAAATGCTTCTCATAATTGATTTGAATTTAGATTTTTAAGATTTTAATTTTTTGTTCCTTTTTTCGTTTGGTTTATTTTTATTGTCGTTGGCGGATAAATTTCAGAAATTTGAATTTCGCGGGGTTTTTGCGTAACATTTTTTTAAAAGTATTTTACCGTAAAATTTGGGTTTTTTTTTAATTCTCGATGAACAGAGTTCGTCAATTGCGTGCTCCTTTCATGTGTACTGTAATTATGCAAATGTGTGATACGCAGCCAAATCGCAAACGCCCCGCCCCTCTTCGACAATATCTCTACGTCATCCGTAATACGGTATACAAATTCCCACTGTATAAATCAAATTTTATATAACAACATTCGATGGTCCCAGGGACCACCTGGTTTGATTTGCGTACGTTTTGGAATTTGACAGTTTTAGCTTGATTGCGCTAGATTTTGATTATTTCATTCAAAAATGTGATTATTAAATTTTATCTAGAAATATTTCGATTCTCAGCAATTCCTACACGATACTCAACAATTTCTAATCATTCTCATCTCCTAGCATATTGCTTTAATTTTTTTCTCGGAATATTAGTTAAATAATCAAACCTTCAATGGGTTGCCAAATTCAGAAGGAAATGTTTGTAAAATTACACCAGCCGAGCGCGATATTCAAATCGATTTGGCAACAACAGATTTCAAGTTTTTTCATTGGCTGTGTCAACAACAAACCAAATTGTTAACAATATATCGGTTCTATTGGTTCCCATAAAAGGAAACATCGAAAGAAAAAAACAACAACAACAAGGGCGAGATGCCATTGTCGGCGGGCGATGTTCGTTGGACCCCATTAAAGGACAATTGTCGGATAATGTGTGACAACTAAAACAATACTCGTGGGCACACATTCCAACATGCTGCGGATGACCTTCGAATGCTAGTTGACCGCCAAGTTTGAAACACTGATTGCAGGTCCCCCCCCCCCCCCCTCTTCTGCCCATCCATCCATTCATCCATCCGTCCGTTTCCCACACCCATCTCACCGCCCAAATATAGCAATTTGGCGCCGCGTTTTCTTTTTTTCTTGTCTCTGGTTATCTTGTCTAGATATACAAACATGTCATTATTTTTTGTATTTCCGTCATTTGCTAACCACCCAACAACTTTTGTGGTGTCATTATCGAAAATCTGAAGGAAACGAGGGGGGAGGGGGGTATTGAATTAAATAGATCGAAATCGCATGGCGCCCAGAAAACTTGACAGTCGATTTTGTCGTTTCTTTTCGATTTTTTTTTTATCTGTATCCCTTTACCATCTCCACCGACGATTAAATGAAGTGAAACGCTTGAATTATTCATGTTCGCGCGATTATCGCTTTTTTTGTTTTAGCGGTTGTTGTTCATTCTTTTTGACGAAACATCGCTGAAATCTCACTTTTTGTGAAATTTTTGGTGAAAGTCTCAAGTTTCATTTTTTTTAGAAATTTCGTGTGTAACAAATAGTCTCAAAAACTCCAAACCCTAGCATTCGAATCCTTAAAAAAAGACATCTGCGGACAATTTCTTCGACATCAAACTTGTCCGCAGATGATTTTGTTTTCATAAATTCCCAAGCAGTTTGCTAAGTTGAATTTGCGTTGTTGTTGGTTTTTTCTTTGATAATTCAATTAATTTTTTGTGTGTTCGGAATTGTCGACCTCATTCCATTTAAGGAGATGTTTCGTCATCCCGTTAATACCAACAATAAAAAAAGTGTTGTTAATAATTACGACGCAATTTGCAGTTCGGATAATCTCGACCAGCCGTCGTCAGCCATCGGCAGCGCAGTCCTCCGACGACATTCATCCTCGATCAAGACCTACGATGCTGTGGAGTTCCGCGAGCGATTGAAACGAGGTTTCGATTCGAGTGTGTCTGAATTATCATCAATTGAATTCAAGGTTCATCACTTGACGATCTGCCATCCCAGCGCGTCAGCATTTTGCCGCAACCGAATTCGGCACCGAATCGACGACACGTCGTATTTGTAAAGGTTGCTTTGTTTCGGTTCGCGGGACTTGTCTAATCATTTGTTGGTCTTCAGAATCGAACGTGCTCAATTCCGCGGAATATTCTTCGCAAGGCTTCGAACTACACAAAATTGTCGAGTCTGGCGAGAGTCGCGTGGGTGAGTCTGACAATAAGCGCTTCAATTGCTATCAGGAGATTATGAGTCAGCAACGACGAACGTTTGATTATCAAGAATTTGTGCCCCGAGACAACAGTTATTTGAGGCAAATTTTGAATGTTAGAATTCATTGTGGAAAACCTTGAAAATTGCTAAATTCCATTTAAAATTTCTCGATGATGTCAGAAAATAATATTTTGAAAAAAAAAATTTTTTTATAGTAGATAAAAAAATTGATAATTAAAAACTCTTGCAAATGCATTTTTTTCTATTCTGCTAGTAATGAAACTTGAAAACAATTTTAACATTTTTCGGAATTTTCAGAAAATTTGAAATAAGCAAAAAGAATAAATTAAAAATTTTTTGCTCATTGAGCTTTTTCATCTTCCCTTTCCTAATATTAACGAATCCCATGCAGCCTCAAAAAATGACGAACACATCAAATACGCATAAAAATCGATATTCAGCTCTTATTGCTGGTTTCAAATGCATTTTTCTATTCTTTAGAAGAACACCACAAAAAAAAAACAGCCAAACAAATAAAATAGTAGTGATGTGTGTGTGTGTCTGATGATAAGGCATCAAAAAAAAAATAATAGTTGAACGAGACGGCATTCATTTTATGCACATCGCTTCGAGACGCTGCCCCCCATCCAACAATAAAAATCATAAAGTGTGTTCGTGTGTGAGAATCGCTCGACGCTTCTCCAAATTTGGGAAGAAATGCCGCCATCGAAGCCCGCCGATTTGTGCCATTTCTATGCGCTTCTCGACACCGACGCGCCACTGTATGAAACGAATTCGGTAGGAATTCTGTATATATTTTCGAATTCATTCATTCTGTATATGCATTTCGGTGCCGCTCTTTCTCTTTCTCTCTCAGCACACATAGTCAATATATATTACAAAGGATTATTAATGTTTTCGACGGTGGACGCCTGCGGCTGGTGCCCATTTTTGGTGTTACTGTTAATGTTTGCATGATATTGTTTAAACATTCAAACCGATCGTGTTGAATCGGCTCTTCGGAGGAGAATCGTCGGAAATTTAGTCCGTCCGTCTCGCATCAATCTATTTTTGTAGTGAATTTCGCATTCGTAGCTGTTGGTATTTTTTTTTTCATTTAAGCGGATTAAAAAATTAATTAGTCTGATGTTTATATTCAAAACTTCGATTATTGGATAAATGTTCCCAACTAATTGAAGATATTCCATTTAAAGGTGCATAACGAATTAGTTGGTTAACATCATTAAGCAATAATTGTAGTAGTAGAAATAGATTTCTTGGCAATCGAACGCAGAGCAGAAGAAATAACTCAAATTTGAAACATTCACAACATTTTATGTTTGTAGGGTTTTTAGAGAATTCCTACGATTCTTGAGCAAATGTTAGACAATTCTTCATCCCCTCCCCTTGTTCCGAGGACCCTCTAGAAGTACTGTGATGATCGAACCTTAAACTTGAATAATTGAGAATTTCTGATTTACATTTTGAAAAAAATTGTTGAGCATTCGTTTTTTTTTTAATTGAAATTGCGTTTTGGCACAAATTTAGAAGGTATTTTGTAGGTGTGTCATCTTTATGCAAACAATCGAAAGTTATGAGTTCGATGCCCTTTTACATCTCTCTAAAATTTTACTTGCGTACTTATTCCAAACTTTTCGTCTGATAAGCAAAAACTGTTTCGAAATGAAATAAATTCTTTAAAATTTCGAAATGTTGCGCTGTCTTAAATTTTCGTTGCACCCAAAAAAAATAGGGCATTGATCAGTTCGAATGTAATATGAATTAACTGCTGCGGACAATTCACAGGGATTAATTTTATTATCTGAAAAAAAAAAGAATTTCAACCGAATTCTTTTCTTCTTTTTTTTTTGGGTGGGGGCAATAATACCTCCATTTTTTTCCGGAATGCTGACTCATCGATGGCTATTTTGAACTGATAACAGGCGCCACAATAATTTTGGTTTATTTTTTGCGGTTTCCCTTCCAACACCTAGTTTGTTCGTTTTTTTGCAGCTCCGACCCTACTCGACGGATCCAATGTATTCAGCAACTCTGCCGAGAAATTATGGTATGTTCTCATTTTGGTATTGCAACCCCCCACTTCAGACGACCTTTTTCCTGCGATGAACTTTTTAATCGAAACAGAAAATAAACGAACACTCCACCAAGGGCATTCAATTCAAAGTGATCATATATGTAATTCCCAGGTGTTCATATGGACGATCCACCGTTTCATTATGATCCGATGGCATTTCCGGAAAGGCCTTCGACTGTTGGACGAGCCCAATTTGGACATATCATTCATAATGAAAGGTGGGTTTGGCAAACGCGATTCTCAATTTTTTTCATGACTCTTATTTTTTTAAATTTTGTGCAAAAAGCTTGATTTTTTTGGAATCTGCGCGTTTATATACCATTTTATTTCTTGGCGCGAAATTAAAAAATTTTTGTATGCGCCTTTGATGTATACTGTAGTTTTTTTTTTTAATTTTTTTTGATACGTAGCCATCTGTCTTCTATGACTTTACAATTTCTATAAGATGTGGGCCTTTAAATCGAATGTTAGGATTCTCAAGCACATATTTTGGATTGATGACTCCAGACTCGGAAATTCTCATTCCACATTCATATTTGTATATTGTAAATGCGTTGTGTATTGTCAAACAGAAAAGCTGTTCGTACCAGAAATCGAATTCGTCGAGACACACGCTTTATTGTCTTTTTTTTCACACACAAACTCCATTTTCGTGACTTTTTTTGCATAACCATTTCTACCAAAAATATGTTGTTGTTGTTGTTGTTGGTTGACAGTATAAGACGGTGCCCACACAAACATACATGCACATCATTTCTGCATGAATCATTCCTCCAAATATTTTATTGGCCGATGCGCGGCGGGGGTCGATCGCCACATTTTTAATTTTTATTACCATGTGACCATATATATATATATAATTTTTTTTCTATTTTTCCATTTTGTTTCGCTCTATTCTGTATAGTCTGTTTCCGGCAAAAAAAAATTCTGCGTGTGCCTTCTATTACCGTATCCAAACAAATCTTTTTTGAAATTAGAAAACTCCTCGTATTTTCTTCAAGACCATCGATTTCGAGTTTTTTTCCTCTATTAGAAAATCCGAACTCAATTCAAAAAAATATAATAATCAAAAAAAGAAAAGAAAATATAATAATCAAGTTAAAGGCTCATAAAATCAATTGGGTCTTGTGGCGACTAATTCTGCTAGCTGCTTGTTTTTTGGAAACAGACTATATCGTCTGTAATATGGCAAATTGCGTACTACCCACTAGAACATTCGACAGTACCACCAATCTGTTTAATGGCATAGTTATGACGTCTAAAGATCGCCGACATACTATATTTGGGAATTTTCTTTGAAAATTCCTCCCCCCCCTGGTTCCAAATGTTGTTTTGTTGAATTAAAGGCGCAGAAAGTAATAGGTGTAGCCATAATAAGACGTGAAATGCCCAATTTACCGGGCGCTGGTGTGGCCCGGAGCGACCGGAGGAGGTCGTCATGGCCAAACAAACAATATATATATATATATATCTTATGCGCGGGTCATTACTGATAAAAAAGAAGCATTCGAAAACGCATCGCAATTTCGATGAATTGCAGGCGATTCGCGACGCTTGAGAAATCGCGTGCACATCAGCGAATGTCCAAGTCCGACTACCACCTAATGATGGATGCTCCCAATCAGTACACCGATTACGACACAATTCAAAGAATGGTGAGTGTTTCAGTTTAGACAATTGTCTAAAAATCTAATATGGCCGTGGCCTAACTTTGAGATTTAATTGACGGCCATAATTTATTTGGATCACTGTTGAACTTTTTTCCCAATGGCGCTCAAAGAAGAGAATTTGAAAATTTGTCGAAACGAGTCTATTACTTCTTCTGTTCCATGCTCCACTTTCATTAGTACTATATAATATCGTGTAAATATTCTAGTTTGCGATTTTTGTGCTCTCTCTCTCACATTCTGTTTTCCAAAGTGCGTGATCATCTGGTGGTTTCGGTCAACTTTTTTGCGTTCGACGCGTGCTCTCTTTAAACACGGCGGACCCGACGGCGCAAATTTGCATGCGTACGCCGCGCGGACGGCCAGGAGAGAGAGAGAGAGAGAGCCGGCGTGTTTGAAGAGATCGTCACCTGGCCGGGCAGGCAAACGTGCATGTGCGTGTGTGTGTGTGCTCATGCGATCTTCCTCCTCCGCGCACACATAATAATAATAATAATTATTATTATTATCGATTGATTTGGCTACGTGCCAAACGGACGACGACTGACCGGACCGGAAGGTGCCCGCCGACTGCACCAAGGTCATATGCAAATATGGTTCCGTCTCCTATTCTTCTCCCCTACCTGTTCGTTTTTTACCAGACCGCTGATTCTCGCTCTCAAGTGTGTTTGCTTATATGTATATGTTACTCATCTCATACTTCATTTGTTTTTTTTTCTTATTTTCTAATAATGGCCTCCGCCAACTGCGGACAATCTTGCGGGCTTCTTTCATCGTATTCTCACTCGTGTTTTTTCCGAAATTAACATGAGGCAATTATTTTCTAATCCGTGATTGACATACTTTCGATTTTCGTCAAATTTTTCCCTCCAACTCCCATCTCCTCAGTCGGATTTTGATTCGTTCTGCAAATTATTCGAAATAACAGCAAAAAAAAAACAACACGCTGCTAGAAATAATTAATGAAGTCGACGACAAGGTCGCGTCAAATGTCGTAATTTGAGCGGCTTCGACGGCGGCATTCAATTCTTTCTCGCCTTCCTCCGACTATTATGGGTTTTTTTCTGGGTTTTGCGCTTCGCTTTGAGACCTTCCTGATTGTTAAAATCCTTGGGTTTTCACGCGTCCAGACTCGTCAAAAACTGGTTGTGATTCGATCTCTAATAACAAGGTTCTCACACTTTTGTTCGCCTCCTCCTCCTCTTCCTCCTCCTCGTTGTTCTCCACCTCAACCTACTCCTTCCTCGAAGAGAAGCGAACAAATTGCAATTCATGACTGATTGATTGATTACTCGCCGCCACACATGATCATATGCCGGTCGGTACTCGTGTACTTGTTGTGTATCAATTAATAATTTGCGATTTCAAAAAAAAAAGAGTGCATTCGGGGGTTTGTCGAGGCATTTTTTCTCCCCCCCCCATATCGCCTAGTTTTCGGGCCTAATTATTTTCAAGCAAAACCCTGATGGAAAGTTTTCATTTCATAGAAAATTTGAATTTCGCGGGTTGCCGTTTAATTGATCCCGTAGAACAGAATGAGTCCCCCCTATAGCTAAAAATCAAAGTAATTCCAAATTTACAATAATGATGAACTAGAAAATGTAAAACTCGCTTCTAAAAAGAGAGGTCTTCTTGCTGTCCGTCTTAAAAATTTTTTATTTTTTTGCATACAGATTCTTTAGAAAATTTCCAATCGAATGAACTAGGTCCCTAGTTATCAAGATATGGACCATCGAAGTTTCAACCCCTTTCACCACGTCAATTTTGCATCTAAATATGCGGAAACTCGAAATGAAATAACTGGATGTCTTATGATTTGTAAGATTTTTTTTGAGTGTTTGATTCCGGCTTTAAAAATAATTGTGGCCTGCTCGGAATTGCTGTGTTCCGATGATTTTAACACGATTCGCGAAACACTTGACGTGAACATGTTTATCAACACTGCTTGACAACTACTTTTGCTAATCAGCTTGTAATTGCCGTCGCCAGATTTCCGGATCGTGATGCCCGCTGGCGCCGCCGCTGCCGCCACACTCTATCTCCTCTGCTGCTGCTTCTTCTGCTTCTTCGTTTTCTTGTCGAACACTAATCAAACATTGTGCGGGTGGCCATTATATTCATTCATTTTTCTCACCGAAACGATGCTCCAAATTGGATTGAAAATTTTTTGCTTTTTCGAATACGTTTAATTCGAAATTCCTCCAAAAATTATTCAATGATTTCCACTTCACTGATCATCATTTCAAGGTCAATCTTAAATCCAGTTCTATTCTAAAAACCATATCAACTACATATGTATAGTGTAATAATATCGATTATTACAATATTTAATGAATATTTGAATTACACGTAAAATAGTAATAATTTTCTGTGTGATTTGTCGCCCTGACGATTCGGATTCGTCCAAATCAGCGGAAACGCCAAAAACTGTGGAGAAAACCGAAGAGGCGACGACGACGACGACGACGTCAACCAAAAAAAAAAGCAACATAATGTTGTTTCGATTTTACTGTAACATTTGCGCGATGACGCGTATAGAATTACAATTGTTGTCGACGACGTCTTCCGATCAATTCGATCTCGATCGCATTTTCGACTACTCGAATATTCCCGTTGATTTTCAGCATAGCGGATCGGTTGGCAGTGGAGCAACGTTGTCGAGAATGGCCGGTGCCGGTCTGGGTGCCTTCAAGAATGACGAGAGTCCCCAGCAGAAGCGATACGAGATTGTGTTTCAGGCGCTTAATAAGGGCTTCAAGTGAGTTTTCTCTTCGCATTCCCATGACTATATTCGGGAGACGCTTGTTAGCCGGTCTTCACGACGCCGACCGGCCCCCCGTCCGTCTGTCAGTCTCGAGAACGGCGAGTACATAAATATAGTAAAGACAGACTTCGAGGCGGCTTGAGATATGCATCCCGTTTTGCGAATCGAACACTTCAAAACTTATTCGAAATCGATTTCAGATCGCTAATCGCGCATTATCAGTCGGAAATCGCGCGGATCAAGATTGACATCGAGAACGCGCAACGAGCCGGCGAATCGCTCAAACCATATGACGATGTAAGTTGTTTTTTTTTTCTACGAATTTAGTATTCGATTCGTGTTTCCGTGTTTCCTTGATTTCTGACGCATTTTCGAATTTTGAGGTCAAAGAAGTCTTCTGCCAAATGTGGCGGAACATCAATTCTTTTTTTTTTTGGAAATTCACTTCTTCAATTCAATTTTACACTCATTTATATATTTTTTTTCATAACATTTACATACAGTGCACATCATAATGATACTCAATCGCCCAAATTTTGAGAAAACGATAATCCACTTATTCATACAATAAAAAATATAAAAATGGCACATATTTCCATTATCTAGAAAAAATGCAGATTAAATGTAATTTTATCGCTTTTTATTTTGAAAAAAATATCGTTTCATGAATAAAAATTGACGCGCTCTATATTTTGCGAAAACCATAATTTCGAATAAAAATTGAATGCTGCGGACAACGCGCGGCTTCTCGTGCTTGAAAATTTTTTTCTATAGAGTATTTCAAATTAAATCCTTGCAGATTTGAAAAAAAAATATTGCTACTACAAATCATGAGAATTTCCAAACGTTTTTTTTTTGCAAAATCTGCATACACTAAAAATCACACACTTTTCCCAACGCAAAAAAAAACACATTTTTGTAAATTTTTGCATTTCACGAATAAGTCAGAATAATTTCATCCGGCGGTATATTTTGGGATATAATTTCATATTTCGAAAATATTTTATATTTGTTTTTTAATAATCGCATAAAAGTGAGCTTCGTGAAATTTTCAAACAGTTATTCGCAAAAATTTCATTAAATATTAAAAAAAGTTAACATAATATATTATTTCTATTTGGAGCAGAATGAGAAAGTATAATGGCGGTGTGAAATGATGGGGAGTTTTCGAGAAAAAAAGAATGATAGAGTAGATTCGAATAATCCAAAAAAAAAAACCAACCAATTGCCATTTTCATGTGCCATTTCTTTTCAATCTTTGAATCTTTATGTAAAATCTCGTTAACCTTTTTTTGGCCACTTTCTCTTCAATCATCACTCAATAAAAATCAATCTTAAAATGCCTTTCGATTTCAACGATCGAAACAAGAAAATCGCACTCGAAAATGAATAGGCGAGAACATTTCCGAAATGTGCGTCTTTTATTCGCCGTCTACCGACTTTTTTGTTGTTTCATTTCGTCAAGAAGTCGCAATCAAAGAAAGTGAAACATAAATAGATGTATAATAGATGGGAATAGGTGTAATTGATTCAAATTTATGTATGAGAATCGGAATCGGCATCGAATTCGTTGTACAATCCACACAAGGCGGGTCGTGATCGACACCTGACTCAATTGAATGCTTTGTTAAGTTCGGCGGCTCGCGGGGCGTCGACGTTTCGCACCGCCGAGCCGCCCTCCTTAATTTCTGCGATTCTCTTTCCGTCTCTCGTTTGTCGCTTTTGTGCGAGCATACAGAAGCGAATCAAGACTTTTTGTTTTTTTTTTGCTCACTTGCTTCATTTTTTTGCCGCTTGTGTTTTCGATTCATCTTATACAAGCCCCTTTTCGAGGCATTCATAAGGTGTAAGAATACATATTGTTTGCTACCTCCCCCCCCCCTTGAATATGATCGATTCATTCTTTTTTTTTCAGCAGCTTGTACTCAACGAAGAGAATTTGATATTGTACAACGCACGACTGCAGCGAGTCAACAAACTCTATGAGAACTACAAAGTTGGACATTATCAAAAAATGAAAGGTATAGGTGTTTCCCAAAAAAACCGACTACCGAAATTATTCAATGTCGGCAGACGCGTCGCGGCTCGCGTGCGCTCCCGTCATTCTTTTCGAAATTCTTTAAACAACGCGTTTAAGCTGAAAGGTCTTGCAGTGAAAAAAAAATCAGCTAGCTCTATTTTAATTCTTGTTATCCGAGTGTTTACGCGCTAATATTTTAAAAAGAAACACTGAAAAGAGGGTCGCGTGCGTTGAATTATCGTATCAAAAAAAATATTTTTGAAAACCCCTGATTTAACAACGTACCACTGTGACCGTTGCTTATGATTAATATTTTCCCACTACAGCAGATATCAAAAGCGCATCAAATAATACATAAATTCAACTCGCGCAAGGGTCAATAGTTTTAAAGGTGTTTGAACATTTCAATTTGCCAAATTCGCCCGTCTTTGACTAATATTAATTTAAAAAAAAACCCTGGCATTAAATAATTTTTGTGTTGAAAACTAAAAATAGCGGAAAATTGGCGGAATTGTTTATTAAAACAATAGGGAGAGGTTTTTAGAACACATTTGCTGACTTAAACTGTGAATTGAAAAATAAGCTTTTATTAGTTTTTCGGTCAGACCTACCCCTTACAAGGGAGGTCTTTCTGCTGGCCGTCTTAAAATTTTTTTATTTTTTGCATACAGATTCCAGGTCCCTAGTTCATTCGATTGGAAATTTTCTAAAGAATATGTTTGCAAAAAATAAAAAAAATTTAAGACGGACAGCAAAAAGGCCTCCCTTGTTAGGTACCTTGCAAACATTCAAACTCCGAAAATATGGCTTAAATTTCATTTTTTCAAAGAATAGTCAAAGATAACAAATAATCAAAGACTTTGTGTTTCTTTTTGAAGGGCGAATCGTTTTTTTTTTTGGAAAACTTAAAAATTTTTTAACAATCTTAAAATGAGACAAAAATGAAAAAATTGCAGCCAAGTCATCGAGTTTAAGCGAATTGCGCGCTGCATTCAGTGGCTCGAAATCCGACAATTCGAACAGCGCCATCGACAATGAGCTATCGAATTTGATGGGAAGAGTGGTTATCGAGATCAAGGCGATCGTCGGGTTTGCTCGAATTACACCCGGAGACGTGTTCGAGGTTCAAATTCGGCACGGATCGCAAAAATGGAAAACGAGAGGCAAAACGCTGGCCGATAGAACTCAGAAATGGGAGAAAGAGCAGGTGGTGCTCACTTGTTGTTCGGATTCCTCGATTGACGTCAAAGTGTCGGAATCGAGACTATTCAAATCGAAACCGTTGAATGACCGCTCGTTTGACCCATGCCAGTTATTCTCGTCGCAACCGCAATTAGTCACGATGAATTTGAACTCGATGGGGACGATCAAACTGCAATTGGTCGTCACATGGCTCCCTCTTCTTGCCTCGAAGACATCAGCGAAGCCGAACATCGCGACGAAGGAGAACGGCGAAACAACGATGGATCGCAAACCGCGCGTTGCACTTCGCGAGAAGAAGCGCGGATCAGCAGCACGAGTTGCGATGAAGGAGCATTGGAGGAACTCGACGAACATGCTTGATTCCATTTACCTCGATGTCGCCAAAACGATACCATCTATGGAAGCGGTACGAAATTATTCGATGAGTTTTTGAAAATCTAAATTTGCACTCTCAGATGTCGACATTGGATCTCCGACGAACTCCAGCGTCGGGCTCAATTCCGAAAATTCCCACTTGCGGAACACTTCCAGCTCCGGCTAGCAAGAAGACATCATCAAATTTCACCGCTCATGCTCCAATGAGCTCTTCGACATTAATGGGCAAACGGAGTCAGAGCCTGGCGCAACTTGGTGCTACGACGACGTCCACGAATAGTCCAGACAGCGTCAGAGCATTCAATAAGCAGTACGAATACTAGAACCAATGAGATGAAACTAATGACGAAGTTCAGGTTCACGCAATGCGATTCAGCTAGTGTGTCATCTCGCAATGATTGCACTAGTATTCCCGAAATCATTGACGATGTGGTGCCGAAGGCGAAGAAGATGGCTCAAGAATATGAGGAATTGTCGAGTATGGTGAACCTGCTGACTCAATGGCATGCGCTGGTTCGAATCAACAAGAAGAACTCGTTCACATCATCACAACGAAACTTCTCGCCGTCGATTCATCATAATCCGATGACGTCATCGACCGCTTCTGATGAGCTCGATGATAATGTTCTAATCGCCAATGATATTCAGTGAGTTTGATATTTGAAAAAAATTCTGAAAATGCCAATGATTCTCTTTTTTTTGAAGCTCTGAAAATGACAGTGGCATCGATTCACTTCGGCAGCATTATTCGCCGTATTTGAGCGATGGTCTCAGAAAAAAGTATGGTGATTCGGAAGGCTCGAGATTCAAACAGGTTGGATTGGAATTTTTGAAAAAGCGTTTGAAAAAATTAAAAATCGAATTTTTCAGCTAAAAGAGCGCCGAAAATCGCTGGGTGTGATGCTGGATTCGGCTGAAATCGAGAAGCTCTACCTCGAGAGCGACTATTTCTGGCAGAGCGATAAAGATTCGTCAAAAGTCACCGCGACGGGAAGCAGCGAACTCGACAGCTGCGTCAACTACCATCTGAAGCGAATTCAGAGATGTCTACGCATTCTCGAATCGATCGAAGTCGACTGTCCGCTCGTCTACACGACGACTGAAATGTTGAAGCGACTGGAGAATGAGACAGTCACACTCGACGATTTGCTGAGAATCGCGAAGACTGCGCCGGCGCTTCCAAATATTGCCAATGGTTTGTAAATCATCGCTTAAAATCCATTATAATAGTAATCATTTGAATTCCAGTGCTCAGCGAAATCGAAGCTTGCCCAGAAGTTCAAGAAATTTGGCTCTCGACGTGCTATCCACTTAATTGCTCACTAATTGTGCCAAAGGATAAGCTCAAAACGCAAATTCGCCTTCAAATTGCTCATATAACCGAGCAAACCTATCCGCATTTGGTGAATCGCGTCGCCGAATCGATTGTTCGATTGTTGAATGATCCGGTCCAGGATGAATGCCCATTCGTCACCGTATTTCATTTTGTTGGAATATTCAAGGGCCGCCATTTCCAGCCATACATCGAGAATCTTGGGCATGATGGTGGGAGATTTAATCGGACTGATTGTAAAATTATGGATTGTTTTTTTCAGCTTGGATGATCACACTGTTGGACACCGAACAAGTGTCGAAGGTGTCGCAGGTGGTGGAGAGACTCTCGAATGTTCCTGTGGTTCCGCCACTTGAATCACTCAAGCATATCGGAATTCTTTTGGCGAGAGGCAACCCGCAAATCGTTCGAATCATTGGTAAGAAAAAAAAATCAAAATTACTCATCAAGTTGGAATGAATTCATGTAATGATTCAATCAAAACTCGATGTGCCGTTGAAACTTCTTATATTGCATTAAGTACGGGTCCAATAGCAGTGTGAAAAAAAGAAAAAAACAATTTTTTAAAATTTGAAAAGATTCAACTTTGCTGCGAAAAAACGATCGATAAATAAATTCAAATGAGATGGATGTTTTCTGAGTTTTTGTGTGACATTTGCGTCAACGTGTTTGCACCGATTTTCTCATGCTACCATTTATATTATTGTGCTCTTTTAAACCTCAAATGTTGATAAATCAAGATCAAAGGCCAAAAATAGCGAAAAAATCCGAAAAAAAAATCAATAGTCCGCAAAAACTGCAGCTTTGGCGGCAATTCAAACAACTTTCTCATTTCAAGTAATTTTCGAGTTTGAGTGGTATTTTTAAAATAAATCAGCCGCCGACATTCAAATTGATCTCCATATCTGTATTGCAGAACGTTATTTGCGATGCGCGCGTGGTCATCTGCTCTCTGATCTTCTCTCCTCCTACCTCTGTCTCCTCGAAGCCGACAGCGCTGAAGCTCGACTCGGAGCACTGCGAGCTCTTCAAATTTTTGAGGTACCCAAATTGCAATAATTCTTGCTGATAATTGGATTTCGTTTTGCAGAATTCTCGAATCGCCAAACAAATCTCCTATGTCGCCGACAACGACACGAGCGACGCGGTTCGACACCTTGCCAATCGGCTACTCGCCGACTTTTCGATGCCGCCATCCGATGAAATTACGAGAATCTAATTTAATAATTTATAAATAAACGCACATATTTAGCGAAAAAAAAAAATGAAAGACCCCGAAAATACAAAAAATGACATGACCGTTTTTATTTTATCATTCGATTCCTTCTCATGTGTTCTCCCCGGCTAAAAGCTCAATTCATGTTGTGATATTCCTTTTTGTTCGTTTTGTTTTTTTGTCGCTCATTACATCGATCAATGAAATGTATACACGTCAGCAATAAGATACCTTTGAATATATTTCGTAAACATGATCAAAAATAAAATTAAGTAGGGCAATTGTACAAAGAAATTGAATGAATAGAATGAGGAAGCACCATTAATAATCGGTTTGAAGCAGTTCCATTTTTGGGCATGGCGAGAAGATGAGAAAAAAAAACGAGCAAAGAATGTAAGCAGTGAGGCAAACACGAACAGACACGGGGTGGTGGAAGAATTGGAATTATATCATTAACTGAACGGTACTGGGATTCAATCACATAACAAAGATACAACACACTGAATGGAGCAAATTGGGGAAGAAATAAATAAATATGAGTAGATTATCTAAATAGGGTGGCAATATGCAGCTGGCACATATCCAACCTGTCCGTTTGACTTCTTGATAAGAAGCCACTCAGGATTTCCGTCATCGTCAGTTCGTTGCAAGACTCCGGCCACTTCGCCTTCTTTTATCTCAACTTGATTCGATCCCTGGGGGACGAAGTCATAGTCGGCTCGCACCTCGCAAAGCTAAAATTATAACAATTAGGATTCAATCGCAGTGTTGAATAAGGTCGCTCACGATTGGTCGGATAACGGATGATGTAGATGGCTGAACAGAAGAAGTAGAAGCTTCTATTGGTGGTTGATCGTATTGAGAAGCAAAACATGGTGGAGCATCGTAAAGATTAGCAGCAGCTGGCTTGGGCGCGATTGGAGTTGGAGTAAGAGCTGAATTTCATATCATTTTAAACAATTTCAATACGGAAGAATACTTACGTTGAGGTGTTAGGTCATACATGGGCGGCACGGAATAGTTTGTTGGTTCATTCGGAACAGCTGAGTAAAGTGGAGCTTGTTGCGATGTCGTCGGTGGAAAATCATAAGAAGCTTGCGCATTTCCATTGAATCCATTCTTCACCGTCGGTGCTGGACGAGACGGTATCAAGGGTTGCGGTGAATCAGCTCGAACACTTGTCGAAGACGGCCAAACAGTCGGATTCGCGACGGCCGACGCCGATCGTTGGGTGATCGGCATCGGCGGAAGGCTTGGCGACTCATCGAAGCTCACCGGGAACAAATTGGTCTGACCCGAGAAGGCATCGTTGAACACTTCTTTTTGGGGGTTGATGATGACTGGAAGTGGTGGAGGCGCGGTGGCGGGCAACGAATCTGGATTGAATATGCCAGTGGTGTAATCGGGTCGAGATGGAGGCACCGAATTGAGATTAGGAAGCGACGGTGTTCGAGCAGCGGTCGACGATGATGAAGCTCCCCAGTTTATTGAGGTGACACCGTCGAACAAATGATCTTCATCAATGTCGTAATTGGCCTTAAAAATAACGGTTTAAATTTTAAATAATGCGATTCCTACCTGCGCCGTTGAAGTCTGCGAATTATTTTGTGGTGGGAAATGTGCCTCGAAAGGTGCCGCCGGCGGCTTTTCATGTTTCGAGTTCGAGTTGATACTCAAACTCGAGAACAAATCCAGTGTTTGAGGCTGCGGTTGGGGTTGTGGAGGAGGCGGAGCCAGAGGAAGCGTTTGCGCGGCAGCAGCCCAATCAGTAATTGGCTTCGACTGAGTTTGCTGCACAGGTACTGGAGCGAGAACAGGCGCCGCTGGAATACTACTTGAACCAAACAAATCCTCAAGATCGATGAGATTTTGACTCTTCGGCGGAGTGCTATGAGGTCTTGTCGTTGTTGTGCTAATAGTTTTGACTGCATCGATTCCCGTTTCGACTTGCTCATTGTAGGGTTTCAGAATATTGCTGGGAAGAGGCGCGTTGTAGTATCCATTGTAACACAGCCACAAACTTGGAACATCGCGATTCACAGCGAGTACCAAATCGTTTTGTCGAACAATCAACACTTTGCCCTCGCTTTCGGCGTATTTCACCATTGAGGCATCAACTGGATAGTTCGAAGTCGCTACGAACATATCGTTCATTCTCCCTTTCATTCGTGCCTTCTCCAACATCGTCTTCCGTTCGGACAACGTTTGCGCACGGAATTTCGGAGCTGACGTCACCGCGGAAGGTGTGGAAGCAGCCGGTGATGTCGCCGATGGTGCTGCCGTCGATGCATCGGATTTCCACTGCTCTTGAATCGCATTCAAATCAATTACCGGCCCTTTTGGACCAGGATAAATGCCAACCATTGATGGAAGTGAAGGATCGTGCTGATGGGCTTTGGAAGTCGGAGAAAGCGATCTCGATCTCATTCTTGCCGCCTGTGCAGCTTTGTTAGCAATTTTCTGAAGCGGTTTGAGTCGATCCGGATCGAAATAATCCACGAAACAGGGAGTGTTCGGCTGAATCAGCTTCCTGTGCTGATCAACACCAGACACGCTCTTCGCTTGCTCGAATATACTGCGAAGATTTGCCATCAGATCCTGATCTTCAAGCTGCACAGACTTCATCGCATCTACCAGCGTTTTATTCAAGTAGTCAATGGATTTAGGTAGTTGTTGTTTGACTTGCATATTCAGAGCTTCATAATCCTTTTGAATCTCAACAAAATCTCGTTTCTGAAACATAATCCCTTGAAGTTTGTTTTGAAATTATCGAAATTGTACCGAATTTCCTTTCTCCTTGGATTTCGCCGCTTCGTAATCCATCAATTTGTCATTTCTTTTCTTGATCAATCTTTTTGGCAAATTGCGAAGAGATCTCACAATCTCATCTCGTACCCTGAAAATGATAAAATAAATCATACAATTTAAATAATAAAACGAACCGTGCATTGATGATCTCCGAGAATACCCGAACAGCTTCATTGAAGAGATACATTTGATGATCGACATCGCTACTAGAAACCTGCTTTTTCCCTGGAAACCAATCAAATTTCGACGAGAATTAGAATGAACGTGGCTCACGAGGCTCGATGATCTTCTTTTGGAGGAGAACCCGAGTTTCATGATAAATTTTTTTCCTATAAATCACGAGCATATAATTGAAACGAACAAGGCGACGTTCGGCGCTGTCAAGCTCGCAGACAAGTCGGTCGAATTGAGGATCTCGTTGCTGCAAAGCGTTTTATCCCAATTTTTTATATTGTTTTCTGCACTTGTTTCTAGACTATACTAAATAAAATAATTGCTTCAATTTTATCAGCGCAAATTATTGTCAGCATCAAGTGAGTGAACAAAATTTTATGGAAATATTCATGCAATAAAAAATGTTTATAAAATTACACATTTTCCATTTTAATGACATTCTTTACATTTTTTGTAAAAAATAAATCCATTTTATTAATAGATCTCTTTTCTCCAAAGGCGGGAAATTTTTCAAGCAAAAATGATTGTTTTGAAAGGTGAATGGGGAAAAACTTTCGAATATCAATAAAAAAAAACGTTTTTTCAAATTCAAGATTGTATCGGTTCTTGTTAGCAAACGGACTTTTCGTCACATTTTTAGTTAAAAAAATTAATTGAAACTGTTAAAAATCAAACTCTAAACATACCAATTTGACAACTCCCAAAGATGATCCCATTCGATACGTGAATCGATTCGATTTCTTTTTCAACGAATGAAATGTCATTTTCGAGAGCATTTCTCCAAACGATTGTTTGTCTTCCGACATGTACTTTCGCGCTAAAAATTATTGAAATTCGAATTCTATAGGAACGTGTGTGTGTGTGTGGTTTTCTTATTGAAAACAATTTTCGTACTTAATTCTTTCCTCCTCTTGCTCTCATTCATCTTTTGTCCCAAATTCGACATTGTTTTGATGGCTTCCAACAATTTCGGATGATCCAAATGGGTTACACTCGTCAATTTGGTGATCTCATTCAGAAACAACGGATATTTGAGGCAACGCTGGACAGGCCGTCCGACAGCCGTCGCTCCATCGATCGCACCGGCGCCGTTCTCTCGCATCCTTCGCACAACATCGTTCAGAGCTTCTGCCATCGCTTTTTCAGTTTTCTGAAAACAAAATGACAACTAGAGCGTGAAACGAGAATTAATTTACCGCAGAAGTGAGCATTTGATTTATTTGTTCGATATTACGAAAGTAGTATCCATAGGTTTGAGCAAATGGTTTGCGGAGTTGAAGGAAACATGCGCCGATTGCTTGAGAATCCACAGGTTTTACTAAAAATGTAGCATTTTTCTGCAGAACTGAGCAATTATTTCTTCAAAAAGAAAACAAAGACAAGTTTCTTCTCAAATTCAACGTAATTTTCCGACTAACGCCTTACTTTGCTCAGATGTCAGAAGCTGTACGAGATTTCCGGAGAGTTGCACAATTTGCGCACACCCATTCTTCATGATCACTTTTTGTTTCGTGCTCAGGTAATTCGTCGAGTTGACAGCCTGAGGAAAAAAAGAAGATATCGCCAAAAATTTGCATAATAAAACCAAAAATCACCTCAATGTAGCTATTAATATCCGTGATGAATTGGAGTTCACTGTTAATGAGCTCCTCTAGAATCTTATTACGTTTGTCGTCATTCGTTGCTGCTCCTTGAGTGACTGTCTCGATACCCATTTCGAAATCAGTGGCCGTTTGGAACATCGAGCTGGGAGCCACTGGTCGTGGAGGCGCTTGACGTTCAACCATTCCGAACATTTCGGTAACCGAGACAACGTCATTTGGCGACTGAATCGAAGACTGCTTTGGCGGAGGTGGTCTTGCCGGTGCAGTCGCTTTCGGTTGTTCAGCGGCGATCCAGTCCTCACCAAATGTCGCCCATTGGTGCGGAGTTGGTGTCGTCCCGCCGCTTTTCGTTGAGCCTGTGTCGAACGTCGCCCAATCATCATTCGACGAGCTTGGAACACTTTCGATTCTCGTCGACGTCCTCCAATCCGGAATCCCTGCCGGCGCCACAAACGAATTCCGTCCAAGAGTTGAAAACGATTGATCTTGCGGTGCTGTTGATTTCCTCGAGCTATGCCCAACATCATCCTCTTCGTCGTCAAGATAAAGTTCTAAGAATCCCACCGGTACAATTCCAGTCCGTTCGCTATCCGGATCTTTGCACATCACCCATTCATCGTTGACCAAACGTAGAACTCTGACCGCATCGCCCGTTTTTACACTGAGCTCGTCGGTTTGCCTCGCCGTGAATGGGTGCTTCACTGTGGCGAATCCAATTCCGTCATTCTCCGCAGCATTACTCTTTCTTTTATCGTTCGCTGACGAGGTCGATTCATCATCTTCGGGAAGATTCACGATAATCTGCACAAAACTAACGGGAAAGATGCCGACACGTCCGCTTCCTATCGATCCTTCCATCCAATCAACATCAATTCGTCGTCGAAGCGAGATGATTTCGTTGGCTTTGAATGAAAGCTCATTGGCAAATTCGCCTTGAAAATCGTACATGGCTCTCGCATACGGCTGCACTGTGTAGCTCGATGAGCCATTCCCTGCCGGCACAGCTGTCGTCGTTGGCTGACTACTACGGAATTTCACATCAAACTCGTCAAAATTCGTGGTAAACGATGGCGTCATTCCACTAGTCGGCGCTTCGACGTCTGAAGGAACGGCGAGCTGAAAACGATAAAATTAACTCAACAAGGATAGAATTTGAAAAGTACTACTCACATGTACCATATATCCTTCCGGTATTAATCCAGGAGACCCAAGTTTTGCACCATTATCGGCCACAATGTACCCTTCAAGCCATCCCTCGTGTGATTTTGATGGAGTAGCAACTGAAAAAAATCATTCATCATAGATTTCTGACAATTGTATAATTTCAATAAAAAATGATCTGTAAGTTTAAAATGGAATTTGCCAAAAAATCAAAGAAATAGTTTCGTTGACAAGTTTTCCAATTAGCTAAATGGTTTTAACACTAAATATGTCCAATAATCACGCTATGATCGATATTAATTACGGCACTCTCCCCCATTAAGCTCTTCTTCTTGTTTATTCATTCCCCTATTATAATGAGCCAAAGACATGACGCAATTTATTCGTTTTCTCTTTTTTGTACGATAAATTGCGCGAAATCATAGCTGCTATTCGAAATTGGGCTTTTAAGGGAAACTCAACTAACAACAAATAATTGGGTTCAGCGGGAAAAAATGAGACTCTCTTTTTCTGGGCTCTTCATCGCCTAAATTGAGGTTTTCTCGAGAATTTCGGACCTAATTATTTGGATATATACGATTTCCAATTCGAAAGACATTGAAAATTTCATTTTTCTTCGTCTTTCTTTTAAAACATGTATTCATTTCAAATATGCCTAATTATTGTTCGCGGGTGACCCGTCAAACGAAAAAAAAATCAACATTTTTGATAGAAAAGGTCATATGGCGTGATTAGGAGCAATTTTCTAAGGACGGCAATTGTTTTTCATTTATCGAAATTTTTTTGTTGAAAAATTTCCTAAACATGAGAATTTTCCATTTCATAACGGATTTGTTCCAAAACTACCAATGAGTCATTTATTCTGACGAATACACTCTATTTCGTTCTGATTTCGAAATATGAAAGAAATAGAAATTTTTGTTTCTTCATTTTTCTAATGGACCTATTCATTAAATGTAATTTTTACAAAAATATGTAAAAAACTGCATTGAAAAAATGCGAAATTTATTTTTTTTTTCATTTCTTATTGCATACGTAGGTCCATAAAAACTTTATATTGGTTTTAAAAAATTTGTCACAGAATTTTCCAAAAAAAAAACTTACCAATTAGAGAATATGGCGCGAAAGAAAGATCGTCAGCCCGTATTGAGGTGTAGGCATCTGTTGAGCAGTAGATTTTCTGACCCGGTTGCCTAAAAATCTAATCATCTTGAACAAATAATTCTTCACAAAATTAGTAGACCTTGGAGGATCGGAAATCGGCAATGTCAGAACTTTCGGCACCCGTCCTGAACTGCCTTCGGTCGTCTCGATTTGATACCTTGAAACGAAATGAGGCGTTTAAGGAAAACGACGAAAAATGGCAAATTGATAACGAACCAGTCGCCGTCTTCGCCGACCACTTTCACAATCTGATCCTGCGCCACCGAGCACCTCGTCTGCGGATCCTGTGTGGCGTTAGACACCCGCACCCACGGTATTTTCGACATTTCGGTGTCTCTATGGAATGCTGCAAAAATTTTGTAAAAGCACAATATTTTCAAAAAAAGAAGAGGCGCGGCTCTTATTGGAGATGAACACCGAGATCGCGGATAAGAAGGCTTGAGCAACAACAAAAAAACGAGAAGATGAAGAAGACGGAAAAAAATGGAAAAATACAACGTGGAGATGAAGTACAATTTAGCGGAAACTGCAGGCACCGCCGCTGATGTGTGTATGTGTGTGTTGGGCTGGTCGGCCGGCCGGCGGCCGCGCCGTGGAGGGCGCAGAGAAACAGACGGCCAAGCGAGGAATCGATATTTCTGGAAGAAAAAAACGACGATGAGGACTAGGGCATCGCGGGACCGCAATTGAAAACTAGCTAGTGAACTTGTTGAAAGCTGCGCGGGTCCCGCCGTCCACAATCCCAAAATTATTTATGCGGCGGCGTCAGAAGCAACTTCTCTTTTTCCGCAACTCCATCAATTTTTTGTATATTTATTTATTTGCCGTATGACTCAAACCACTGAACGCAGGTTGTACGTTGACTACTGTTTCATTTTTTTAACACAGAACATTGAATGACGAATTGTACTCTCGAAACAATAACTATTTTGTTTCCAATCGGATTTGATTGAAAAGTTTCGAAAAAACTTAATGAGAAACGCGAGCTTGCGGGCCGAAAGATGAATAGATTGAAAAAGAGCATAATTTATCTTGCAAAAGTCAACTTTGCTCTGGCGGCTGTTCGTTATAAAAAATGATTTTCGCATTTTTAACGGGTTCGCTATCTCGATGTGATAGAACGGATCATGGTGGGGACGTGAGGGAGTGAAAAAGTTCAACGAAACAGTTAGGCGAATATTTTTCTGCAAAACTAACAAAAATTATTATTCGATGCGAAAGAATCCAAGTGAGAAAATTTTATTACGCTATATTTTGATGGATTCAAATACGAAAAACGGAAGCGAAAACAGAAAAAACGTTGAAAAATTCTTTTAAAATTTTCTGGAAAAAAAATCAAATAATATAGTCTGCAAACACTTTAATATTTGCTTGCCGTACGTACGTCTACCGTACCCTGAAAAATTAAAGTTCACATCAATGATCAACAAATTGTTATGAACAGTGTGTCTACCCGGGACGAAGTTTCCCGGGAATTTCCGGGTTCCCGGGAAATTCCCGGGAAAATTTTCCCGGGACCCGGGACTCATTGAAACTTAATTTCCCGGGATCCCGGGATCCCGGGAAATTCGTTTCCCGGGAAACGCGGGATCCCGGGATCCCGGGAAATTCATTTCCCGGGTTTCCCGGGAAATTCCCGGGACACCCGGGACAATCCCGGGACAATCCCGGGAAAGTCTGCAAACACCGCGCGCGCAAACGCACACTCTTCGAATATTGCGTATTGTCGTTTTTTTTTTCGAAATTTTATGAGTTTTCTTATTTTCTTTGTCATTCTGATTCGCGACATATTCAAATCGAATCTTTTCAGTCAGTCTTTTCAGATCGAATCAGCGATATTATTTATTATTATAATTTATTGTTTACTTGATCGATCTTCAATAAGTTTTTTCGTTGAAAAAAGTCTATTGAAAAAAGTTTAAAACCATTATTTCGTATAAAATTCTTGCTAATTTGGAAAAATCGTTATTTGCACATTTCAATTGTACTCATTTTTCTGCCAAATTTTAAAAATTCCAAATAGGGACTTCCTACGCCATTTTCTAAGCATTGGAATCTTTTTAAAATAAGAAAATTCATTAAAAAGAAACGAGAATACGCAATATTCGAAGAGTGTGCGTTTGCGCGCGCGGTGTTTGCAGACTTTCCCGGGATTGTCCCGGGTTTCCCGGGAATTTCCCGGGAAACCCGGGAATTTCCCGGATTTCCCGGGAACCCGCTCATCCCGGGAAATGAATTTCCCGGGATCCCGGGATCCCGAGATACCGGGATCCCGGGTAGTTGCGGGACGAAACCGGGACGAGACCCGGGATTGGAGTCCCGGGATTTCCCGGATAAACCCGGGAAACGAAATTCCCGGGATCCCGGGAAATCCTGTCCCGGGTAGATAAACTGGTTATGAAGTATTGGATTTCAACTGTTTATAGTTTATATAAGCCATAAATGAGCAAAAATGTTTATAATTAAACAATGGACAAGTAATGTTTTCATATGGAAGTTGAAGATCACATGAATAATTATTATTTGGAAGAAGTGCTTGGATGAGACTTCTTGCTATCAGGTGTCGCCGACCGCGAAGTTTTGTGCCATCGAATGGCTGCGGCTTGAAGGCACAGATGGTGCTGCGGCGACGTCACGGGACCCCGACGCAGCAGTTTTAGGCGTCGACGTGCTCGGCTTTTGTGTCTGTCGGAATTTCTTCCACTGCTTCTGATACTCTTGATAGCGTCTCCAGGCTTCCTCGCTGTATGCTTTTCGTTTCTGTGCGGCGATTTCGGCCGCCGTCAGAGCGCGCGCTAAACAATGACGTTTGTTTTTTGTATTATGCTCAAAAGTAGTACGTTTTGCTGGCGGAGGTGGTGGTGGAGGAGTGGGTTCTCTCGCTGGCTCAGGCTCAGGCGTTGGCTCTCTTGGTGGCGGTGTCGGAGTCTTCGGAGGTGGAGTAGGGTCACGTGGAGGTGATGGTTCAGGCTCAGGCTCAGGTGTAGGCGGAACTAAATTTGATTGTTTGTTTAATTATTGATCTCTGCGAAAAAAAGAGAGAACCACAAGCATCATCAAAAAACAAAAAAATGAAAGTGACCATTCACACTTGCGTGATTTCAATTCTAACCTTCCGGTGATGGTGTTTGCACCACCGGCGATCCTGCCGAAGACATTGGCGATGGTGTCGGTGATGGTGGATTTGGCTCGGGTGATGGCGAGGGAGAAGGGCTCGGAAGACGATAGACGGGTTCAGGCGATGGTTCTGGCGTCGGGGTCGGATCGCGAATCCATTCTGTGTCTGAACACTCATTTCGCACACCAAAATTTCTCATTCAACTGAGGATGAAACAATAAGAGAAGTCTTCGGAAAACTGTGCCGAGAGAATTCACACAAGTTACCTGGCTCGTCCGCGAAGTCCGCTTGGAACTCTTCCGGATCTGGTTCGAATGGAGGAGGCTGAAAATCAAAAACCAAATCAAATTGGCTTGAAACAAAATTCGATCACCCGTAACGTCTCAATTTCTCCTTCTTCGACTTTAATCGCCTGCTCGACAAACGTGTCAAGATTCAGATTCTTCACAACCGTTGTTGGCAAATTGAACTGATCTCCAAGATTTTTGACCAACGCCTTCATAGTAATTCTACAATTTCTCCCCCCATGTGAAAATTATCCACTAATCAATTTTATACTTTTTTCCTCCAAACCAAATCGCCACGTTTCCGACATTTTCGATTTTCCGCCCAAAATAATGTAGTTTTTTGAGCGCGTCTGCGGCAATTTCAATGGCAATTGTGGTGAGAGCAAGACCAATTGCAATATAAATGATTGTGATGAACATGTACGTTTCACTGCAATTATAAAAATTATTATTTCAAAGAAAAAATGATTGCTTGTGACCTTCTTGGCACAATATCACCGAGTCCGATTGAAGTAAGTGTCACAAAATTGAAATAAACTGCCTTGAAAAAGTCCATATCAGGCTCATATGAAGCGAGCATCACGCCGCCTGAAATCAAATAAAATGCATTCATTGGAATGCTCCAATCGTAGTTGTTTTATTAAAAAAAATAGCTAACCTGCTGCGATGTAGATCAAAAATAAAATAAAGAGCGATAATGCCTGAGTTTCAGAGAGCTCATCCTCTTCTTCAGAATGTTGCGAACAATTGTCATCGTCGCCGTCTTTGCCGTCTTCCAATATCTCTTCCTCAATATCCTGATTCAATATCGGCTTGCAATTTCCGTTGCCAAACTTCGGTGATTTTGGGTATCTCATTAGATACTTTGAATTATTCTGCCACGCTTTTTTGAGCCGCCTGAATTGAATTAATCTGTGGTATTCCCCCCGAAATGGTCCTTACTTCCATGTTCGCAACCACGCATTTGTTGCCATTATCATTATTTCAGAGATGAATTTTCCGAGATCTGCGATTGCCAAAAGGGTGAATGGGATCCCAACGAGACCATAGACAATGACAAAAAATCGTCCGCCAAACGTCCTTGGCGCAACATTGCCGTATCCTGAAAATCTTAATTGCCAAATTAAGAGTTCTTCAATCTGCCTACCAATTGTCGTGATCACTGTAAATGCGAACAATAGGGAGTCCATGAATGACCATGCTTCAATATGCTCCTCACTTTCTTCACCAACCGATTCCACTTGTTCTCGACTGTTGGTATAAAGTACGTGATTGACGTGAGTGTCATGCTCGATGGCTACATGGTAGCACTCGTCAAGCTCCTTGACGAGCTTCTCGTCGAGCTCTTCCATCGAACACTCGCGATTGGCCATCTTCTTGATTGTCGCGATGACGCAACGTCGACCTCGCATCACGTGGGCGGCAGCGCGACGTTCGCGTGCGTTCAGATTCCTCCCAAACTTCTCGATGAGCTCCTCGTCTGTCTCATTGTGACGTCGACGACGTCGATGCTTCTGACCAACATGGAGAAGCTTATTGATTTCTAGAGCAACGCTTTATGTTTGGATTAATCCAAATTCTGAATTCACCTGTTTCATAGTGTAAATCGCGCTTATGCACTTCCTTAATCTCACCAACATCGACAATCGCCTTCGATTCCAATCGTCTCATAACAACTGCTCCAAATATTGCATATGCTCCAACGCTCAGTATCATAAGCAAATGGACAAATAAGGGAGTCGCCTGAAAACATTCACAAAAAAAATTATTTGTGCAAAAATGCTCATTTGAACCCACTGAATACCTTGTGCAAAAGATCACCCTTGTGGATGTGGCGTTTCAGACTCAATTTCATTATTACCGTAATCCCACGGAACAGTTGTTCTATAAGAGTCTTCTTTTTTCGAAGTGCCAAGAAATAGAATAGTGCAAGCGGTAAACAATTGATGGCATTTGTTTGTTTGGAAATTTGCAACGAATTACTATACATATATGGTTAAGACAAATTCATGAAAAAAAACTATCAGTAGGCGTCAGAGAAAGTGCGAAAATGAGAATTCGAACGGATTTTCGGTTGAAAATTTATTTTAGAAATCAGTTTTGGCTTGAATTTTGACAGTATTTAATCCCCTTCTATCGAAAAATCCCCTGCTGCCGGTCGTGAAATTGGACAAGAGGAAAGCATTCCACGAGATGGTCGGACTCCGGAGATCCGGAACCCGTTCAAGTTAAGGACCCAAAAGCTTGATATGATGTGGTTCGCGCCTCATCATATCTTAAATATTTGTTTCGCTTCAGAATATTCCACATGCGCCTATCAACATCTACAGTAATCCTTGTTTGAAAAAAAAACGATGTCGGACAATTTGCGGTAAATTTTCCTATCAACAAGTTGTCCCCCCCCCCTTTCAAAGAAATTTTCGAATTTTAATCTCGAGTTCAGACGAACGACCAAAACCTGCGAATTTCCTTATAAACTTTTTTATGTTGAACTCTAAAATGTTCCTTTTACTCAAATCAAATTTCCGGTGGCCTGAATTAAAACGGAGGCGAAAAAAAAACAGAGAAAATGTTTAGAAATAACAACGGCTTGTGTCGAGTATTTGGGTGGAGTCAAATGACGCCCAAATAAGTACATGTTTTGGAGGGTGGCGGGCGGAGCTTATTCTTGGGCTTGCTACCATTTATATGGATGGATAGAGCACGAATTCAAGAACACTCGGGCTTTTTTTCCTCTCGACAAAACGCCACTGAAAACAAGAATGTTTGTTCAAAACTCGAGTCGAATTTGAGAATTTTGGCGAATTTCATGCAACAGTGCACATTTTCCCGTCGCCCACCGTGCTCTTTTTTTTTCTCGAAAAATAAAATGAGTTTTAGTTTTTAGCAGCGAAGAAAAATGCATGAAGCAATTGGGCAATTTCAGGCAAGGAGTATCACAGAGCTCATAACCTAAAATAGCACGGCCTAGATTTTGACAGTCTTTAATTAATATCTGGAATGGGTTTTCTAATGTCTCAAGTGTTTTGCAGGCGACGTCCGACGGTTGCTGTGACTGGGCATTCACTGGGGTCTCGCACAGACGAACTCCCAACGACGATGCTCGTAATTCTACCCCCGGAAAGCAGCCCTGGGAGATATACAACATATTGTCCGCAAACGTGCTCTATAGAAATGTCTCGTTGTATAGCACCCTCTCACTCTCCATCTATCTATGCTTCTCGCCATTTTTCCTCTGTGTCTCTCGCAGGTCGAGATCTTTTTCTCTGCGTCTCTCAGATTTTTTATTGTTTGTAGTATGGTCGGGGTTTGCGTTAGAAGCTCGCGTTTCCCTTATTTCGGCATTCTTTTTAGTTTTTTTCTTTTTCACCAAATCTCATGAACCACACACCCACACCTTCACCCACAAAAACAGAATATTATAATAAATCGAGCATGATCATTTCAATTCGTTTTTTTTCCAGCAATATCTAAAGATTATGATACTGCATATATTGTGGAAGAGCCAAAACCAATCAATGTCGTAATGGAGATCAAAAAATTTGGAAACAAAAAATAATAACCGCACGCGAACCGCAACGCGTCTGACGACATAGGTTTGTCGCGTTTTCTCCAAAAGCAAACTATATTTAACCCAATTTGAGAAAACCCATTTATTATGTGTTTTTAAATAAAACATTCGAAACCATTGAAATATTTATATCGCACATAATGTGCACTATAAATAATATAGGAATATGACCATCCCACTCAAATATAGAAATTTTGATCTTCCAAAAAAATAGCTAAACGGCATAATTATAGCCAATAATCATGCATACAGGGTGTCATTTAAGTTCCCGCACAAAAGTTTGACGCCATGAAAAGCTTGGCTGTCGCACTTTTCGTGCACCAATACAATTTATTTTTGTTAAATAAGGTATATTTTACTTACTTTCCAAGTTTCACCTCATTCGGATGTGTTTCCGAGAAATGGCGAAGGCTAACATTCATCGCGCTTCCATTATCGAATTTCATAAGCAAAATGTGAGCCCGAGAGACATCATTCAACGGGTCGGTGTGCCTCGTAGAACGGTTTATGACACTATCAAACGATTCAAGGAGCTAAATACGACCAGTGACCGTCCCAGACAAGGAAGACTCGTCTCAGTAATCACTCCTCAGAAGATCAACGCCGTTAAATCGAGGATCAGGCGAAAACCCCACAGGAGCATGAGAAAGATGGCGTCAGACATGGGAATGAGCATCTTCGCTATGGAAAAAATCGTCAAAACGAAGCTTGGACTGACCCCATATCGTGTCCAAAAAGCGGCAATTCTATCGGCCGTCAGCAAGCAGAGACGCTTCGAAGAAGCAAAACGACTTCTTGCTCGCACGCGGTCTGGACAACACCTCGTCACTGTCTTCTCCAACGAGAAGCTGTTCACTGTGGCGGCGGCATTCAACTCACAAAGCCATTGAGTACTTGCCCAGACATCCCAGCAAGCTTCTGAGAAAGGAAGAACAATTCATCGAGCCTCACATCCTGCCAGTGTGATGGTTTTCGGTGCCATCTGCTCAACCGGGATGTGCCCCCTGGTTTTCGTGGATCAGGGGGTGAAAATGAACAGAGAAGTCTACGTTCGGGACATTTTGGAGAATCATGTGATGCTCTGTACCCAAACGCATTTCGGTGGGCAGAAATGGGTCTTTCAACAGGACGGAGCACCCGCCCACACTGCCAAAACTACTCAGGAGTGGTGCCAGACCCATTTTCCCGACTTCATCAAGTCATCCGAATGGCCTGATTGCTCCCCAGACCTGAACCCGCTTGACTTCTCCGTGATGGGGTTTTGCAGGAGAAGGTCAACGCAAAACCCCACTCAAGTATAGAGGCTCTGAAGAAGACATTACTGGCGGAATGGGACAATCTTTCCATCGAATATCTGCGTACCACAGTCGCATCCTACCCGAAGCGTCTCCGTGAAGTCATAGCTGCGAAAGAAGACCGAATCGAAAAGAGTTAAAAGATAATTATTTGTTATACTATAGAAAAAAAATATTTCGAGTCTCGTTTGATTTGGACTTTTAGTTTCAGAAATATACGTCTTCAAAGTTGTGCGGGAACTTAAATGACACCCTGTAGACAAAAATTAATCTTGATGATAAAATAAGCAGGAAAAAAGGGATCATTCATAAATGGTAGCTAGATTTATTATATGTATTCACCGGAAAAGTTATAAAAAAAATAATTCGAGTATTTTTTTTTCGATTGGCCTAGAAAACCGTAAAATGAGAAAAAAAAGATTTTGAACATCATAAATTATATATTTTTTATTTTCCCGGTAGAGCTTTAAATAAGAATAATAGCAAATGAGATTCAGTTGAAGATGAGTCAAACGAACACGAAAAAGAAAAGAAATACCGGCTTTCGCTTTAATTCTTATTTAATTTAATTGTTATTCACGCATTTTCTCATTTTTTTTTCAATTTGCAAATAGAGCAGAAAAAATTGAACAAAAAAAACTAGATATTCGAATTGTTGGCGAAGTTCGGAGTGGCATTGAACAAATCCAACAATCTGGTCAAGCGTTTTTCAAATGAATAAGTAATCGAGGATCATGAAACTAAACTTGAACAACGCTTCTTTTTTTTTTCTCAAATCGCTATTATTTTTATGGCGTTTTTTGTTTTTGTGTTTTTTTTTGAACAAATCTCATTTTTTTAACTGCAAAAAAAATTAGTTTCCATATTTTCAGAAAAAGAACATGTTTTTTTGAAAATTAAAAAAAAACATTTTAAGCCGTTAAAAGACTCGGCTTCACGCCGTTGCTGTACGCGGGTAGATTTACGAATGCGCCTTTCGAAATGGTCTCGCCACGTGTGAAGGCTTATTTTGAAATTTTCACGTGAATTGTTTAATTTTTCTTGATCAGTATATCACATTCTTGAATACTTAATATCACCGAAGATGAAATTTAAAGGAATGGTTTCTAAAATACAAAATAATGAGTTAGTCCGTGCAAGACCATAACGAAGGCGTATATTCTTAAATATACCAGTGTACAGAAACCTGGTGTCTTATTGTTTACACTTTTACGGTGAATTTCTTAAAATAATATTTTTCTTTGTTCAGACAGAAAGGACATTGGATTAAAATAACAAAAAGATTGATTGATTGAAGAGTTTTCAAAAAAGGATTGCATAGTCGGTGTCCGGCGACTGCTGCACGCGGGTAGATTTACGGGGATGCGTCTTTCTCTTGGTCTCGCACGGACTAACTGGTTTTTTTTTTTGAATTTTATATATTAATCGAATATCGTTGGAAATTCAAGGAAATGCGAAACTCATCAAGAAAAAATTAACCGTTCATGAGAAAACTGCATAATAAGCATTCACACGTGGCGAGACCTTTTCAAGATGCATCCCCGTAAATCTACACGCGTACAGCAGTCGCCAGACGCTGATTATAAATTTCTGTATTTAGACAAATAAAGAACGGCGGATAATTTAAGGAGCCACCTTCTTGAATATTTCTATAAAACAATTCATTTGATAATTTGAGCACGTTGAAATTCTGGAACTATTTGAGATTTCCATTAATTCAGGTTCATATCAACCAAATTCACACAGAGAAATTGGCAATTAAAAATCTATAATCAAATTTGTTTCTTTTTTTAATTGACGTTAATTAAAGTCAATAAACAAAAAAAATTAAATGGCGTCGCCTTCAAGAGCTTTTCGTATTAATTCAAGATGTTCCATGGAACATGCTGTCATTTGATTTGTGATCTTGTCACAATCATATCCCAAAAAATGTTTTATTTTTCATTGCAGTGATGCTTTTGATTGACATCGAGCTTAAAATATGCACTA